CCGATCTAGCATACTATGGCAACGTCAAGAATTGGCTAGTAGATAAGTACCCACTACAAGGAGCTTTAGTTAAATCTCAGCTCCAAAAAATTCTATCTGGGCTGGGTAAGTATTGTAGCAACCGAGAGGAGGTCGGCGACGAGAAGAAAGCACCCCCGTGCTCTAAACAAGACTTAGAAGCTATGGTGTCTCTACTGTACTCAACGGCTGCGACGGAGAGTGAATACCTCGACGCGACCCTAGTCGTGATGATGTGGTACCTTTACGGTCGACGCTCGGACGCGGAAACAGTCGAGAAGAGCCAGCTATCCATCTTGCCTGGTAAGTAAGTAATTACGATGTTCTTAGCAGAATTATTTTAACACTGAGGGCATATATGCTAGGTGGCGTCTTATTTCTTCGATTTAAGCGGGTTAAAACAGCTTTACTACAAGGCATCTCCTTATTGAAGGACCCAACGAATTTCTTGACATGTCCTCTGCAAGCTTTGGCTGTGGCGCTGGTTATGCTGAAGACACCAAGCCAGCGCATGTTCCCTCAGTTCATCGCCAAAAAGCACAGATCAGATGATATTGATGATGTACAGGAGCTTACACTGATTGAACTACTGGAAGTTGAGGATGACCAGCCTTCTATGGAGGAATCTGAAGCACCTTCGACAAAGCGGGCAGTTCCTGGTGCACAAGCATACGTCAACAGGTTGCTGGTTAGAGTTAAAAAACAAAACTCGCCGATTTGCGAAGCATTCGTATGACGCCAGATCTTACCTCTCATTCGTTTCGACGTGGTGGGGCCATGCATGCCAACGACGGTACCTTGGCGGAAAACTGGATTATCGAGCGCGGGGGCTGGCAGCTGGACCGCGTCAATAGGCCTTCGGGTACATGCTTGGTACAACCCAAGCTGACCAAAAGGTGTCCCGCGTCCTGAGTGGCTGGAAGCCCAAGGACGGCGCGCGGCTGCCAACGCTAGCCGCTCTGGACACGCCAGTCTTGGCCCGCGCTCGCAAGATGCAGCGGCTTCTCTTTTCCAGTACGATGGCTTTCGCTGACGCTACCTTGAACCTCGACGACGACGTCGCTGATGTCTTTACGGCTACCCTGTTCATGCATTACCCCAACATGTTAGTGCTCTGCCCAAGCAGCCCGCTCATCACGAAGATACGTGATCTCCTAGCACAACGAGCCATCGGTGAGTCCGAGCTGCTGGCGTGGAGCGTGACGATTAACCTGGCATTCGTGGCACCTCCTGCATCAGAGGCTTCGGCTAGCGCTGGTGAGGAGCAGTCGCCTGCGTTGATTGACCTCATCAAACGCCAGTCCGAGCAGGTCGACGTCTTAATCCTGCAGAACAAACGACTCGACGAGCGCATATTAGCTGTTGAAGCACACCTTCAAGCCCTTACCAACACAGCCGCAACTCAATCAGCAAACACCGACGCCACGCTTCCTGCTCCCGAGCAACCACCGCCAATAGGAGCTACGACGACACGCCCGAAGAAGAAGGGAGCCCAGTCGTTGTCGGCAATCTGGTTCGAGTGGTTTACAGCGGAGCCTCGTGTGCATGTGTCGCGTTCTGTAAAGATGACAGTACAGGCACATCGCAGGGTATCTCATACTCTTCTTACCTGAAGGTTTCGCGCTTGACACTTCGTCGCCTGCATACAAAAGCGAGGTCCTGGAGCTAGGTGATAAAGCGCAGCAGAACGCACTCACCTTCTTGAAATCGCACGGCTCCTCCGCGGTTGCAGCAGGTTCGGCGTTGAAGGCTCTTCGTCAGATGCAGAAGCTTGGTAAGCTCGACGCGCTCATCGCCCAGTTCCATGAACGCGTTCACTAAGGTGTCATTGTCGATTCGACGCCACCTTCAGGACTTCCATCATTCATTCGACTGACGCCCGCGCAAGGTTGATCTGCTACTGTAATACATAGAAAAATTAACAAACTCAACAGTTAAAGCGACCCACCGCACACCAGGCTCGCTGATCAAGGGACAATACCACCGACATCACATGAATGCATGAACAACATCATAATTTGGGTGAACCTCTTCGTGTATTTTCTTGCCCTTGTTCATTACTACATTATAAACTACACTGCACAAAACATAACGTTAGAATAGGACGTTCACAGTTATGACAGGGCATAGAGTGTTTACCTTGTATCTTGCAGTCCTCGGCTGCCATCACCTTGCGCAAGACCAGCCTGCCGGCAGTGTCGCTGCAGCCGCACTCACTGGTCCTGTTGCTGATGATGATGCTGGCCCCGCCGACCATCACCCCGCGCGAGGCCAAGCCGCTGTCGCAGTCGTCGCCCTCGCCCGCGTCGCCGCCCTCGCCCGCGTCGCCGCCCTGCTCCTGGTGCTGCTGACCTCGGCGGCCATCACCCCGCCCGAGGCCGAGCGCTCGCCCACGTAGCCGCCCTCGCCCGCGTCTTCGCCTGCTACTGATGCTGCTGGCCTCGGCGGCCATCACCCCGCCCGAGGCCCAGCCACAGTCCACGTCGCCGCCCTCGCCCGCGTCGCCCTGCTACTGATGCTGCTGGCCTCGAGCTCCATCACCCCGCCCGAGGCCGAGCACTTGTCCATCTCGCTGCCGACGCCCGTCTTGCTCTCGGTGCTGCTGGCCGAGGGCCCTCTCCACGCGCTCCGAAGTGAACGATATGAATGAACAGGATTCAGTTAGGATGTCATTAAAATGAAATAGATGTCATTAAAATGATTTGCTGTAGTACCGGTACAGGTTGGACACCACAGTTGGAATTTTGACGGTATGGGTATGTACTAATTCTTACCAGTATCGTCGGTAGCACACCGGTTCGATCTGCCCACGCATAATACCGGCATCCTCCGTTCTTTACTGACTTTCGCTTATTACTGACAATTAATTTATAGCCAATCAAAATACCTTATTGTCATCCTCCACTTTTAACTGGTCATTTCCCAATCCACAAAATTCTACCTGCTCGTAGACGCACCGCAATTAATTTGATGCCTGGCCACAGTGCGGTGACATCACCGTGGCTTTTAACGCCTTCTACAGCGGTCTAGATACGAACCGCAGAGAAAGCTCATGGACAGACAGCTCTCAAAAAGAATGCTCGGACGAGCGGCACAGGTATGGCCCTCCCCGCTGAAGCTGAGCGGTATGGATGAATCAACTGCGTGGGGAGGGCGTACCACTTTCGGCTTTGATGCTGCACTTACAGGCCCTGGAAGCAGGCGATGACTACAGCCTTTAGTGAAGAAAGTAGACGTTGTAGCTAGTGAAATTATCGCTCAGCGTTCTAGCCCGAGTCTGATAGATCATAGAGTTTGAGCTATCGCTGTCGAGCATGATACCATCGAGAGCAGCTCGGTCTGCGATGAAACAATGAGCTGCTGTGTGTTTCACAATGCGCGGCAGACATCACTTTCTTACCCACTTTTTGTAGCCAAACATGACTGTCAGTAAAGAACGGAGGATGCCGGTATGCAGTGCGGCACCGGAGTCATACCGGTTTGATGGGTATCCTACCGGTTAAGTCTGTCCAGGCCCAGAGCGCCACCGGAATCGTACCGGTTTCAAGAAAATGTATTAATACCAGTAGATGTCAAGAGGATCCTACCTATTTGGTCTGCGATAGCAGCACTAACGTTGCTTCCTAAAACTAACTACTGGACAGGGCAACGGGGCAGCTCGCTGGTATGCTCACTACCGTCTTCTATTAAGAACCTAATTTTCACCATCGTTGTGGAATTCTCGGATCTGCTGGGGTTTTGTTTATTTGCTCCTTGGGAACGGCACGATGGCCGCTTCGGATCCCTTGCTAGTCAAAACTGCAGCACTGGTCGTAAACTACGTCGTGTTTCTTCTACATATAAGGCACCAGGAAAAGGCATGCAGAAAAATGTCTACAACCGTCGCCCCAGCCATTCATAGGTCTGGGCTAGGAGCCCCCCCCCCCCCCGATCCCAGACCAGCAAGCGCTACGACACCACGTCGGCGAGTTGCCCTCGCGTCGTATCAGTCTTATCTAGGCAAAAAGTGACAGACCCCGATGGCTGCTACTGTTTACCGCAAAGCGCATGTAGTGAGCTGCACCCAATGTTCATGAGTAAAGTACAGCCTTCAAGAATAAATATTCAAACGACACATAAAAAACAACAGGATTCAGATGGGGCTTGCATTACACGTCGACAATGCGGTCGAAGTCTTGGTCAGCGTTCACAACTGGTCCTGTCAACGAAAGGTGCTGCAGCTCATCTATCAACGACGCTACGGCAAGGCACTCGTCACCCCTTCCTGTCTAGGGTACCCCTCCCTGTCTAAGGCTAATAATCCATGCTACGACGTCTAGCTCCGCAGATTCAGATAGAATGGTGCCTATCCCAACGCTCCGCACCTTTAAATGGCTACCTTTAGCCCTTTAGAGCCGCAGGTACTGTTCTTCTGCGTGACCCCGTGCCCACTCTATAGAGTCTCTATGGGTCGCGCAGCCTGCTAATGTGACGTCCCTGGTCTCGGATAGTATCATGTGCAGTTGAACCGCAGCTCGATCAAGGTAGCTGGCCTCTATATTAACGGGTCAGAGAGCAGTATGCCGATGTAGCTTTACTAAGTACACCGCTGCAGTTCTGGTCCGGATCCAGTCGTGAAGTCGTAACGTGGTATACCTAGTCACATGTATTAATACATGTACTCCGTATGCATAGCCATCTTAGCAGTGACAAGTAGTAACTCAATAGACGATCTGACCTCACCACCGGGTTTTGAGGTAGTATGAAAGACGGATACTTTCGTTGTTCGTTTAATGCATGCAGGATTCTGTAGGCATAAATACACAACGTGGAAGGCCGATCTCATTCACTCGAACGTTTTTTACACGTGTTGCTGTGCTACTTAGCTAGTACATATACTGCTAAGGTTTTCTTGATATGAGTAGAGCAGGCGTTCGTTGAATACGTCCACGAACCGTCAGTGCTGCCCAACCAAGCTCCGTAGAAGTAGAAAAACCTGGAGCTTAGTTCAGCTTGTTAATACTGGTCCAGATCGCGGCAACCGAGTCCAGCTCCACGCCGCTGGTGCCCAGGAACCCGCCCAACTGGTAGCCCTCAGGGGCTGTGTCCGTTCCGATCTTGGTCGCGCGGGTTCCTCCCGATATGGTATTGTTGGCGCTGGTTGTGAACTGGATGAACCGGACGCGCGTGTGGCTATGGTACTCGCCCCAGTGGGCCTCGATGCCCGTGACATACTCGTTCTGGCCCAGCGTGAGCGTATTGTTGTCGCCGCCGCCACCGCCGTGGTACAGGTACTGGTCCTTGCCTGTGAGGTCAATGAAGTGGATGCCGACGCCGTTCACGCGCTCGCCAGTCCGAATCGTAATGGACTTGACGGCTTGGCCAGGCGCCACCAAGTCCATGTCCGTGTACTTATTTCCGTGCGGGCCACCGAAGGTCTCGCTCAGTCGGACGCCGTCTTTGAGAGCAGCAGCGCTAGTTGCAAGGAGCGCGACCGTCGCCAGGAACTTCATCGTCGTAACTTGCTTGAGCTTGTAGTTGGGGGCAGGAAGAAAAATTGGAAATGACCTCGAGTTGGCGTGTGTCGGCCGAATCCCAAGCTGCAGCTACTGTACTGTATTTTACGATCATAATACAGTACAGTGTAAAAACGTCTGTTCGGTGTGAGCGGCTTCTTGATCCTCCCCCGGAAGCCTTCAAGGATTATTAATAACCTTGCACGAGGATAACAAATAGGATCGGTCCATTGGTGTGTGGTCGTTTCCAGGGCTGTGGTACACCGTACATAGAACTAAGGAGAATACAGCTAGGCCCGTAGATATTACAGATAGATAAATGGTATAGTTATTTTCTTCCTTTTCACACTAGTTGGAGGGTATTTTACTTGGTACATGCACGTCGGTGCGTGCGTCTCCATAAACTTTATCATGCACTCATGGGCGCGTGCATGGCAAAGTTAATGGAGATACGTCCGTAGGTGCATGTTTACCAATTTACTGTATCGTCAGCTTAATTGTTGATACAGTACTGTAATCCATGTTATCGATAGCCATGAATGTTCGTACACAACCTGTCACTCTACATATACTTGAGGACCCTACTGCTCGTACATGACGCATTAGGCAAATGAATCCGATATCAAGCTTAATATAAGTAAATCATATCAGCCTTTTAAGTTTCATCTGAGGGCGGAACTTCCACCCAACTTACGTGGAGATTTCATACATGTACAGTACGTGCGCATTCGGATTTGTAAGGGTGTGTAGTCACTTCCTGGGGAATGATACACAAAAACATAAGGTCACGCCATGAGATTGTCATTGGGATGGACTTCGCGCTTGTGCGAAGCCGTACACATACAGTACGGTAACACAAGGAAGCGTCCGAACCGTGCATGCAGTACATGTATTGTGCTCGCACTGGATACAACGTGCACTACGTTGCACAGTGCATGTACCCAGGTTCTTCAGTTTCAGTCTCAGGCGCGGTCGCGACTGACGTTAGGCGGGGATGGAATGATGCGATACATTTCAGGAAGTAGAGGTGCTATGTATGACTGGTTAGTTCATTCAATTTACGTCCGAGCCGGAGGCTGTTCGCTATTTTTTACTCCTGGACTAATAGTTGTGCCCCTACGAGCACCACGCCGACGCTTAGCCAAAAATCTCGTCGAGTACACCCGCTGCCTGCAGGATGATCCAAAGGACGCCAACAACGAACGAGAACGCCGAAGAGCACATGCCCACGCGGAAGTCCATCTTGGGTGAGCTGCCGCCAAGTCGACGCGTGACTTCACCGTAAACGGCTGCGAACACGCCCATCGTCAATATGGACGCGCCGCAGAACGAGCCGAGGTAGGCGATCGACTTGCCCCAGTTGTTGAGCACCACGGCGGGTAGCACACCCAGAATGCCTCCAGGTCCGGCGATACCGTGCACAATCCCCACGCAAAGAGCTGCGACCTGTTCAATTTTCAAACACAAACCGACATGTCAGGATACTTGTGCATTCCCAAGACTGCACCAACAACCTCGGTCTTACCCTTTGCATCATGGGGTTCTCGAAGCTCAGGTTGGCGCAGTAATTCTGCTTGAAGGTCTTAGGCCCTTCCAGTCCATCGTTCGACTTGGGCGACAACGCCATCACGGGCGTGCCGGGGTTATTGCCGTCCGTACTCTCAGTGTCCGCCTTGTTGTTCACCACGAGGAAGAAGGAGCTCGACGGAGAGCTCCCGATCCGTCCACTGGTTGAGGAGGTACCGGCAGTGGCCACTCGCCTTGGCTCCGGGTTGAACTCGACGACTGTCGGTAGTTTAGCAGCAGAAGAGTTGACGTAGCTACGATTGCTATCGCAATTGGACTCAAGGTCGTCGCAGCTAGGGTGAACAGCCTTCTCCTCATCATGTGCTTGATGGTACTTGCGGTAGATGCTTCTACCCGTCCAGACGCCCAACGCGATCATGAAGACGCCCACGACGTAGTTGAGGTATCCGCCCACGTCATCGAGGTCGATGGTTTGGCCCGCGGCGAAGAAGATGCCGGCCATGATCAACAGGCCGAGGGAGTGGCCGCAGCCCCATCGCACTCCCAGTGCGAACGCCTTGAACGACCCACCCGTGGCCATAGCAGCTAGGGCGCTCAAATGGTCCGGGCCCGTGAGCACGTGCACAATGCCGAGCAGCAAACCGGTTGAGATGATTTTGCCCACGGACGCGTGCTCCAGACTGCTGTCGGCTTCAGTTAGGAGTCTCGTGGCGGTCGATATGACGGGGTCCATTGGGAGTGTTGTCGTGTGTTGGAGGAGAATTGAGTTGTGAGCCTCAAATCCGACTGCGTTGCAGCCACCCCGCATCGAGGACATGGCGACGGTGGGCACTACAAAGGATCCAGCGGCTAGAGGTTTAATCTGCTTGTTTTTGGTGCGAAGGAACGAGCTGGAAGGCTCTCGATAGCGTGAAATGCGCCCGGTGTACCGGCACAGCAGCTGCAACGCCGGCAATGGTCAGTTGGAAGGCAGCGCTCGCAATGAAGTCGATACTTCAATCGAGTGTGTTGTGGTCAGCACTTTGAGTGTTGCTAAATGTTAAACCTGGGCCGTCTATCTCGAAATTTGTCAAAAGCTGAGGCGGGGTGGCGTTGCAACTTTGCAGCAATATTACCATTGGGTCATTGCACGCGTCCGATGCCAATGAAAGACAAGTCACGTCAGGCAACATACTCCGTTCAGGATGGATACGGTTAGTCGCCGGAAGCGATTGTCAGCGATAAACTGTGATCTTTTCGTCTTGTGGATGGAGTTCAGAGCCGCAAAGACTGCGTGGTTTAGCGGGAATGAGAGGGGACCAAATGACTCCGTCGGTCTTTTGAACCAGTGCTGACTACCGGCATGTTCAGAGGAGAAATCGCACTCGGACTTATGCCCTGGTGAGGTGTTGGTCAAATTGGGACCCAAAGTGGAGTTGGTTTCGCGAATTCAGGCGCTCTCGCTCAGCCTTACGGTTGAAGCTATTACATATGTAGCAACTCAAACTTCCCAGTCGGATGCAATACGTTTCGTTAAAGGCGTCAGCTCGCATGATACGACCGCCGACTCATTCTTAACAGAGCACCCCAACATCACCGTTAGCGAGCATTGCATGAGCCGGGAATTCTGGCACTTCTTTAGCGACACCGTTGCTGCAGGGTCGGCTTCATGGATCGGTGCTTGGTTTTGTTGTAACCCGTGCGGGCCATATCCGTCCGAGCCAACTGAGGTGTATCAGACACCACACCACGGCGGAAAGTGTTCAAGGTAGTGCACGCCGTAGACGAACCACCAGATATCTTGAATCCTGGTGGTGGCATCGTCAATGAGCTCTTGCTTGCTGTGTTGCTGCAACTTGAGGGGGGGTGCACTGTGGATGGAATTGTAGCGATCTTCCAGCAAGCAACTTCAACTTAATTCATACAAAAGTGGAGATGTCTGGAACTTACATACCTGGAAAAATAACAGTTATTACGAAGGACGCATCTGCTGTCCGATCCTACATCGCCAAGAACCCCGACAAGGTCCGCCGTCTTTCCCCGGAGGGCAAAAAGTTCCTGATCATCGCAACCCTGACCAGCTCGTTTATCGTCATCCCCATTATCCTCGCTGCAACCGTCTTCCGCAACAAGTTGGGCAAATTCGGCACAGATAAGAGCTATTGTGAAATTAGCCCACGGTGCAACGAAGTGAACAAGTGGATAATTATTTTTCCGAATGAAGGAAGGCACGACGAAACCCGACGCGCCGTCAGCCGACAGGAACCGCTGTCGGATAAGACAGTCAAGCACCGAGAGCAACCTCGCGGCTCATTCCGCGTTCTGCGTCGCCGAGCGCAAGCACCTCGTCCGACACGAGTCGACCTCCAGTCACACCGCCGTGACCGAATCGGCCCGACAAGCCCAGCCCCGCGCCGCCAGTTCGATAGACAGATTTTTCTACCCTCCCACCATCCCTTGGGGCTACCTTGCCTATCAACCAAAGCGCCTCTGGCTTTGGCCCATTAACACAATGAAAACTTTTTAATCCCCCCAATGCCTGGAAGCACCGAGGAAACATAAAAGACATTGCCTAAATTTCATGTCACGACAATCGGTTTGATACTTTTAATCGCAGTCATGTATACGGCCCCAAAGCCATCTCGCTCACCCCATGTAGTAAATGACACGTAATGCTTTACATTGTGAAGCATAACGTTAAGCCTTGGATTTCCGCGGTGCTGAGTTTGATAGACTATACCAAATCGAGAAAGATTAATTCAGAGTAAGCAGTGCCTCTGCTTCCACCAGTGTGCATGTACTACGAAAGTCGTAAACCTTCAGCAAGCTGAAAGCTCTTGTCAAGAAGAATCCTGAGCTGACGAAAACCTTGCAGAAGATCGAGAGTACCAAAATGACCACAAAGGACGTAAACGCCGCCCGATCGTTTATTACATAGAACCCGGACATGGTCGGCCGTCTTTCTCTGGAGGTTGAAAGGCCCTGATTTTCGCGATTGCGACGGGCACGTTTATCGTGCTTCCAATGATCCTGTTTTTCGAAATAAGTTTCGCTAATTCGGCACAGGACAGGAGCTGGAAGACATCGATTTCATGTCACGGTAATCGGTATGATACTTTTTGCTGACTGGTACTCCATGGGACGCATACTTAGAGCATCTCCAACGGTAGTGCATAGTGCAAAAATGATAAGGCGAAGTGAACGGCTGGACACTTCGTAAAAACAGGACGAACATGCATGAAATAGCTTGCATTTGTTTTCGCTTCCCCAACGGTATTGCAGAAATGCATAGTGAAAGTGGAGGAGTTGCTCCAGAACAGTCAATGCAGCTGCCTTACCTCATAGTAGAGGTGCCATCCTACTTTTGCGAGAACCTGCTTGATGACCTGCACGACGATGAGACCTCGTATATCTGCTTGCAAATATGGGTTTAGAGTACACTGCCACTTTGCCTTGAGACTATAGCAACCGTGAGAGTGTTGCAAGCGCCTTACCAAGGAAGAAATTCCGCTGTATACCTAACTAGTACCTATATACGCTCTGTAGGAGCATGTGCACCTGTTTCCAGCATCCGTCAACGCAGTAGGCGCTCGCACGAGAATATTTCGTTGTGCACTACGTTTGCATTATGGGCCGATTCGTAGGGGAAAACCGGGCTCTATTCCCTACGAGGCTTCCCTAGTGCAGTGGAATTTTATTGTAATATAAATAATAGTTTCCCTTTTACAAAATGACACGCATACCACCGTACCAGCGCCCCGCGTTTGTTTCGCACAACGTTATTTAGCTACCCTAGTACCTTGAAATCAAAATAAGCATTCAAGAAATTGAAGAATCTGTAAAATGATATAGAGGATCCAAAATTTAATATGTTATTATTTGCGTGCGTCACTTCGACTTTTTCTCAGAAACGTGTCAATCGACGAGCATAAAGCGCCAGCGCGAGGCCCCCATGACGCTCCCCGCTCCGTGGCTGTCGTACAAGACGCAGGATGGCAAGGTACGCTGGCCCACCACCAACCCCTTCATCTCGCGGGTCTAGCGCTGCCCCACACGGCCCCCAACTCGCAGAAATGACGTCAAAAACTCATGGAAATCAAAGTGATCCCGTCCCCACCTTAACCTTATTTATTGTTCCCTTGCTCCCCGCTGCAGGAATACTACTACAACCCGCAGACGAAAGTGACGACATGGACGCGGCCCTCCAGCTCCTCGTCCTCCGGTAAAACTCCGCCCAAGCACAAGCACAGCAACTCAGGAGGAGGAGGCGGAGGCTCGAGCTCTTCCACCCCAGCTCTGCCCACGGGAGGCGCTGGGCGTGGCGGCCTCTTGGCCCAGATCCAGCAGGGCACCAGGCTTAAGAAGGTCAAGACGGTGGAGAAGACCATGTTCGCTGGCCACCCCAACGGCAGCGTCGGCGGAGGAGGTGGTGGTGGAGCTGCAGCTGCTGCACTGACGGCTAGTAGCGCTCCGATGGGCGGAGGTGGCGGCATGGGCGCCATGATGACGGCTATCCAGGCGGGAGGCAACTTGAGGAAGACCCCGAGCTCCGGCATCAAGAGGGAGAACAGCGGAGGAGGTTCTGGTGGTGGTGCGGGTGCCTCGAATGGAGGGGCTGGAGGGTTCGCGGAGATCATGCGGAAGAACCGCGAGGCTGCGGCGCGGAGATCCGGAGGGGGATCGGCCCCCGCCCGCGCACAACAGCAGCTCGGCGCCCTCGACCCCGCGCCACACGCCGTCGAACTCGGGAGGTTATGAGAATGGCACCAGCAGCTCGGTGGAGGCGCGACTAGCGGCGATTGAAATCAAACTCGACAAGATCATGGCCAAGCTGGGCATTGAGTAAGTTAACCAACCAACCAGTCCACGGACTCCGTACTACCGCGTAAGTGACTCGTAAAGGGTCTGCTGGTCTTCGTTAACCCCCGAGAGACGCTCGTTGTTGACAAGAACGTAAGCGTAATGTCCTAGATACAAAGTCAATGCAAAAAAGCTGGCACGATTTCAGCACTTCTCTATTCTGTTAGTCTGTCTACCGGGTTAACCAAAGTGCATGGCCATCTCCTGGAGCGACATGCTCTTCTTTTTCTGCTTCTTCTTGCCATTGCCACGGCCTCCATTCGTGGTGTTTGACGAACGGTTCTGCGCGATGGCCTGCACCTGGTCGTCCCAAGTCGCACGCGTCACAGGCTGCACACCGACAGGCTTACCGGCCTTGGGCAGCTCGGGGAAGTCGTTCCTGACAGTCTTGAAGGTCGGCGCGGCTGGAGGAGGCGTGATCTGACGCAGCACAGGCGTGGGGGTCGACGCGTACGCAGAAGCCGCTGCGCCGTATCCAGACGACGACGCTGACGAGGAAACACTAAGACTGGCAAACGATTCGATGGGGGCACTCTGGAACTTCGTGCTCGTCGGCGTACGGCCCAGTGCCGGGTACGCCGAGGAGCTGGACGCAGCAGGTGGCGGGGCCTGCCGGCTTCCAGCCGAGCTCCACTGCGTCGTAGGCTGCGTGTCTCGGCCCAGCATCGAACGCAGGTTTGTGTTGTGGACGATAGCTGCAGGCTTGCGTCCAGTCGCCGTCTTGACGCCGCTCTCCTTCAGAGCGTTGCCCCAGCCGGACTGCGAGGGTGCCGGCGGCTGACGCTGGTTCTTGCGGCGCGGTGCAGGCGCCTTCTGCTCCAGTTCAGCCTGCTGTTGCTTGGCCGCCTTCTTGTTGCGCTTGGACGTAGATTCCTGGAACCCTTGGGTCTTTGCGCGTTGCTTGTTCACCTGCTTGTGGTACGCGAAGAAAGTGTCCACCTGCTCCTTGTCGGGGGACAGTCGCATCAGCGGTAGGAAAAGCTGCGAGAAGTCCGCGGACGAGAACATGTCGTGCATCTTGGCGTAGAACTCGGGGGTATCTGTCTCTCCAAGACGGAAGCGCTTGCAGTCCTCGCGGAACACCTCATACTTCGCGTCACTGCCCAGCACCTGACGAATCTTCAGCACGACCGCAGTCTTGGACGGAGCGGGTCCCACAGGCTCGTCGTCCTCTGACTCCGACTCTTCCTCCTGAATCGCAGGCGCGGGGGCGGACAGCTTCTCCTCCAAGCCGCCGCCCGACTTCCGACCCTTCTTCTTTCCTTTATTATTCTTCCGTGCCGGCTTCAGAACTCCCAGCAGTGGGTTGTTCGCACCAAGAACCGCAGCTGCAGACGCTAGCTCAGGACTCTCGTACTCCCACCCATTAGTGTCCATGTGCGCGCGAAGAGCTGCCGACGGGGGTGGTGCCAGCGCGTTCCGGAACGTCGATCCCGTTCTGTTAGGAGCCGATCCCGACGACAAGGCCGGGAAGTCTTCTGCGCGTGGACGGCGGGTCACACTCTGATTCTCCCACAACGACAACGACGGCCCAGCAGCAGCACTGTCCGAGCCTGAAAGCGACGGGAAGTCCGCCACATTGATCGTGTTACCCCCGGACGCCTGCTGCTGGAACAGTCTGGGGTCTTCAAAGTCGTCTTCGTCTCCTTGCGAGGCTCGACGCACCGTGAAATGCACGTCAATCTTGCGACTCGTCTTGATATGCGGGTGGTCCGTCGCCATGTGCCCCTGCAGGTCAATATGACTCTTGAACACGACGAATTTCTTGGCCAGACACTCGCGCTCCTCACACAAGAAGTGGTCGGCTCGGAAGTGGTTCTCCAGGTCGTTGTAGTCCTTGTAGTATCTGTTCTGCACATTGAGCTGGTACAGGCAGATGTCGCACTCGAAGTGGTTCTTCCTCAAATGTTCGTACAGCTCCGTAGTAGAATAAAACCTCGAGAAGCAGAAATCACACCGTGGGTGCCCCATGAACCCTTCATGGGGGTTGCCCTTGGTGTTGTGCCTTTTAAGCCCTTCTTTAGTGAAGAGCTCCAACTCTTCAAGAAAAACCTTCTTGTTCTCAAGGCAGATGCCGCAGTACTGCAGCTGGTGCACGTCCAGCACGTGCGTCTTGAGCGCCGCCACGGTCGCGAACTTCTTGCCGCACTTCTTGCAGAGCGGGTCCCGCAGCTTGCGGATGCGCTTGGCGTAGTCCTCCTTGAGGAAGAACATGGCCGAGGCCTCGTCGAACACGTGCACGGGGCCGATGTTGTCCCCCCAGTCCTGGAACGACTCGAAGCTCTGGTCCGCGCGCTGCAGGCAGATGACGCGCGGCATGTCCGTCTTGCACATGACGCAGGACGTTTGGCCCAGGAGCTGGCGCAGCCGCAGCGCGCAGATGCTGCAGCAGCCAGGGTGGTTGCACACGCCCACGGTGTTGAAGCGCGAGGCGTTGTCGATGGCGTTGCAGCACAGCACGCAGGAGGCAGCGGCGGACTCGGCCATGGCGACGCAGGGAGGGAGGTGCAGGTGGTCACGATGGCTCGCTCGGGCTCCAATAAAAGAATGAGTGACGTTGGATCACAAGCATGTTTTTACGTACGAGACATGAAAATATTAGCTGTGGGAGGGGTTTGGAAGTGAGTGATGGTCGAATGTCAAAGATGATATTTTGGGATTGCATAGTTGATCACCACCAGTCGAACTAGCCGAGTTTGCCTCGAAAAACGGTGGCGGCTAGAATGACAGCGACGACGATGAACGCGCTGCTTAGGATTGCGCTAATCAGGAGCTTTTTGCCCCCCGGGGAAAGACGGCGGACTTTGTCGGGGTTCTTTGCGATGTAGGATCGGACAGCAGCTGCGTCCTTTGTAATAACTGTCGTACCAGTACCCTCGAGCTTCTGCAAGCTCTTGGTCATTGCGGGGTTCTTCTTGAAGATATTTTGCAGTTTGCTGAAACCTGCTTTAATGTCGATGGGCCTCTCTTCTTCGTCGAGGTCGTCTTCCGTTGCTGCTCCACCTCTCAGTTTCCTTTGCGACGTGTCATCGCTCTCACGCTCGATTGAGGGAGGAACCCACCACTTCGTCGCTTTTCCAGATACCGTTGATGTCCTCGAGGCCGTAGCATGTTACTGCAAATGTAAGTGCCAATAGCACCAACAAGCCATACGAATGCATCCTTAGTGTACTGGGGTGGTGTTGACGTGCTGTTAACTGAGTGTTGGCTTGCGGGCAATTTGAGAACTGGACTCGCTGAAAGGTGTTTGAGGCTCGTCAAAAGAGCCGGGTGCTGTAAGATCGCCAGATAAGACATGTGTTGAGCTGCGTCTTCACCACACTCAAATAACACTTCATACGTTGACGATCTGCTGTAGCGCACGTCGCGATGATGCCCTGCTTACTCTGTGTCGACCCTGCAGGATTAGGCGGCTTTTCAAACCCCACACCGGGGGAAAAGTCCGGCAAGAACTATGTTCTCTCAACGTTTGATCTGAAGGAACCATACGTCGCCCAAGCGCACACGACAAGTTAGTTCGTCTAGTTCATTTATCAATTCGATCACAAACACGCAAACCCCGACAGCAAGCCACTCCAGCGTCCCATTAACGATGTATTTTCGCCACTTCCTGATACTGCTCGCACTTACTTTTGCGGTTTCCAAGGATACGCTCAGTCATTTCAGGGGGCAATGTGTACATTGACCTTCGACCAGCCATGAGTATGGGCGTGGTGAGGCGGGTTTTCGAGACGAGGATAATTGAAAAGTGAGCGACCCTAAGGCTCTAACGAGCTACTGCTCGTCCTCAGGATCTCATCTAAGTTGCCCTAAGAATACTAGTAGTTTCGAAACTCCCTTCGCTGTATCCGGAAACTCGAACATCCTGCGAATGTTCGCTATAACCTGCGAAGGTCTCGCCGACGTTCCATCGGGCAACCAAGTGGTGGGATCCGCCATCGCGCTCGACAACAACGACGGCTTGACGGAGCGGAAGCTGAGAAGCAGCGCAACTACGACGCCCGTGGAGGATGGTCCCGACGATGAGGAGAGGGCGGCCTTCAGCATTAAAGAGGGTTTCAGCAAGCTGAACAATATCTTCAAGAAGAACCCTGACGTGACCAAGACGCTGCAGAAGGCCGAGAGTACCAAGCTTACTGCGAAGGAAGTAGCCGCAGTCCGATCGGCTATCGCAAAGAGCCCCGACAAGATGTCTCGGAAAGAGTTGCTCCAACTTTTAGGAGTTCTGGTGGGCGTCTTTGTAGTCTTCCCTGCAGTCGCCGTTCCTATCGTGCACAAGCTTACCGAGCCCTAGCAGGATAACAATAATAGGACTTAGCGAAGGCTGGGATAGGACTGGTTAGCTCATTTTCACCGCTATCATTGATAAACTCAAGCTGGTGCGTACAGCATAAAGCAGTCTAGACTAGCTGAGCACCTCGTTCACTGCGCTTCCTCGCTGCTAATTTGGGGCGACACTAAATATTGTGCTCTACACAAAATTTCGCGATGCCCCCCCCCCCCGAGCCGATCGAAACCTTTTCATACAAGAAAGCTTAACAGCCTGATACGCTGAGAAATCATTTAATTTGTCGTCAAACTTCATTTAGTTGACCGGTAGTGCTAGGAGTAAGCGAGTGTATCGAGATTGTGTATCAACACTTCACACACATGCCTCATGCGCAGACCTCTACCAATACGGGAATTTCCGAATTTTTCCTATATCCTGGCGATCACTGACAGAATATGGGAGAAATTTTGAAGGTTCTACATCGTTTGAAGTGCTTTCTTGGAGCTATCCGCCAGTGTTGATAGTCTGTTCGATTTGCTTTATCTGTAACTGTTGTGTACTTTGACGTAGCTGCTTTGTATAGCAAGGTGCATCAATTGCTTGGTCGGTTTTGCGGTCCTCCGCTGTCTAATCTTCTGCTGATCGATTTTGATAACCTGACATTTTCCTTTTGTGCACTACTACACCGTTGCCGAGCCCTGGAACTCTCGGTTAATCTTACCTCCGCGCAAAAGTGAAAACGAATAACGGTAGGCAATTGGGTAGCAACAGGACAACAGGAATAATGTTAATTTCTCAGCGCTTTAGCAACACTTGCATTAGCAATCCTTTCGTGGCCAGTAGGTCCCCGAGTTGACGTGTATTGCGCCTTTTAGTCTTTGTGCCGCTTTTTGTTTAAGATTGAGGCTCTGTACTTGCAAGAGGTTGGATCAGTGCTTATTTTATTAATGTCTTAGGGAAACCTAACGAGATACCCCTTCGAAAATATTTCATGAGACGCCCTTCACGGCCAGCACAAACCATATGCCCCTCATTTAAAATTCGCCTCATAGGAATGACATTCAAAGTACCACTGAAAGTGGTGAGAACGTAGGCAGCATACTTCGGTATTTCCATTAAGCGAAGCGAGGTGGAAATTAAGTTTTCCTGCACAAGAGGAGAAAGCCACGTTCCCACAACTGGAGCCCAGTCATGGTTCGCGCTCAGCTGCATCAAGTTCAGCGACCCGCTCATGCTGGAGAGCCCCATGGCTATGATTAGAATAGACTGTCCGATAAGCGATTTTCACCCGGGGGTCCGAGGAACCTTCCGTTCTGAGGGACCAGCGGTTTTTGCTCCGCCACATCGCACAGAGTAGTTATAGATAGGTAGTCGTTCTTGATCGTCTCGGCCGGCTCGGACACCTGCTTCCCACGCGATGGCCAACTTTTTTCTTAACGTTGAGTGCGGCAGACACAGTATGGCCCGATTTCTTTAGGGCTTGCAATCCTTCATTGACTATGGAACGAGCTGCATATCTAACGTCTAAAGAACGACGTAATTACCTTAACGAAAACCCTGATTTTGCTGCCAGGCATTTTAACAAGGTTTAAAGCTTTTTTCGACCACGTACTTCGCGGCCCAAGCCAACCTCTGGGTGAAATTATTGATTTCTTTTGGCGAGTTGAGTTTCAGCAAAGAGGCTAACCTCATATTCATGCTCTATTGTGGATAAAAGATGCCCCTGATGTCCTTCACAAGTATATTTCTGTATTGATAAAGTCACTCGATGACCTAGATTCGTGCCAGTGCTCCGTCTGTAAGTCATCACGGTCTGCAAGCATTGATATTTTGGCAATGCGACCGCCATGTGGCAATTCAGATGAATGGGCATGCGATATCTCCCGATTAGCTCGCCGAGTGCAGCAACATGTATGCTACAGTGGATCTACTTGTCGAAAGAAAGCCGACGAATGTAGATTTGGCTTTCCCAAAACTCTTCATCCTCGCACTGAAGTTGAGGTAAAAACTGCACCTGACGGTACCCCGTCATTAAAAGTACTTTAAATAGAGACTCACCCTCGGTAAACAATTTTTCGCCAATAATTCTTTCGACTTGGCGCGCAAACATGGATATTCAGATGATAGGAAACGCGTATGGCGCTGCCGAATATACTGCTGCTTACGTGAGCAATGCCGAACCTGACACATTGCGCTTCCGAAGCACTGTCGCTGCAGCTGTTAAGCGATGTGACCCGAATCTCCCTTACTACGCTATTCTTAAAAGAATAGCTAACGCCACATTGGCTGTTCGTGAGGTAAGTGCCCAAGAAGCTTACTTCATACTGCTTCGAGAATTAAAAATGTATGGTAAGTCTCGTAAAGTAAGCCGAGTGAAGGTTTTGCGTCATCACTTGCGATATTACCGAAGCCTTATGGAACTTGGGCATCGACAAACCGCCTCAACCCGATAATATTAAAATTGAATCATACGAAAAAGCCTACATGGCGCGTCCTCAGGAAGAACCGTTTAAGTCGATGTCATATGCTAGCTTTGTAGAGCACTATGAGGTAGTTGAAAGCGCAACCTCAACAGCGAAGTATTGGAAGCGAATCGATAATCTAGGTTTTTTACGACAGCGTCGAAAAGCCCAAGTTCTTCGTATGTCGCCATGGATACATCAAACCCTAACTTTTGTTTTGCTGAGTTGTTTTTACACGTTGCTTGGAGACACTTAAGTGACTTACCGATTACTGACGATGACTGTATTAGTCGGTTCTACGACGAACAAAATAAAAACCTCGACAATGAACTCCGAACTGAAGTGAATTTTAAGGTAACGAGGCAATGTCAATTAAATCTTCTGAAGAATTCTCGCGAGAACCAATGCTGCACTAATCTGCCCCCGTTCGAGTATGTTTTCATCGAAGAACCTGATGAGCACCTCAATGAGCATGAGATGGAAATCGAGAGAGATAAAAAACTTATTGCAGACCTTCATACTCAATGGAAGCCAAATCACAACTACTCTAACGAAGACATTAATAGAGCACGCGAATTTATGACAAAATATGTGCGGCCATGGGCAAAAAATCAGCGAGAAGCATTTCATTTCAATTTACAGCAATCCCCCAATCACAAACAAAGATTTTCCAAACCTTACGTCGCAATGACGACGCAAAAAACGGCCCAGCTAAGCTATTGTCTCTACAGCAGCGCTTCAGGGATATACACCTGGTAATAATTGACGAATTTAGCGTAATATCATGTGGAATGCTATATTGGATAGACCAAAGAATGCGAGAGATATGGCCTGATCAGCGCGAGGTCCGATTTGGTGGAAGAGATGCCATTTTCACGGGAGACAGTGCCCAGTTGGACCCTGTAACCCCTTACTCTCTAGCGACATCCACAGATAGAATACGTGACAATATCCAGCGCAAAGGACGCGGAATTTGGGAGGAAATTAAATGCGTATGAGTCAACATAGAGGGAAGGATGACCCGGAATGGTTTGAAGCGCTACGAAGATTGCGAGAAAAAGTACCAACACAGCAGGACATTGACCTTTTTAATACTCGAATCTTCAAAACCAACGCAATGCCTGAGTGGGTGCATGCTGCGAAGCACATTGCATACCTTAACGCAGATGTTGATAGTGCTAATGACGTAAATCTGCAGAATGCTTCTTCTCCAATTGTGCACATAAAGTCCGTGCACAATGTGGAGCAAAAACGCTTGATCGCAAATAGAGAAGTACCTCAAGGCACAGTTAAAGCTCTTTTAGATCAGGCACCAGAAAAGATCCCAAGGAGAGACCGAGTTGTACCAATCCAACTCAATTTAGCAATTGGTGCTCCTGTCACACTAACATTTAATGCTGAGCAAACAGCAGGGCTATGCAATGGAACGAACGCTACTGTGTACGACATGATCTTTGTGTCTGGATCAGAACTTCCTATCGTTTTGGTTGAAATAGTTGATGAATACTTTGGTCCATCCTTTTTACCAAACGTACCTAACATTATCCCCATCATTTCAAACGAAACGAGCTGGGGAAGTACAAGGAGTGACTTTAAAGTCGTTCGCTGTGGCATTCCGTTAAGGCTTGCCTACGCTATGACGATTCATAAGGTTCAAGGGGTTACATGCTCAATAGTCGTATTTCATTCCAATTCACTGCCAAATGCATCCTATGCTTACCTTGCTCTTTCCCGCGTTAGAAAAAGAGAATATATAGTTCTTACGCATCGTTTGAGTTTGGAAAAGCTCACAGCGTCCCCAGAGAGTCGATCATCGTTTGACACTGAAAGGGATCGCATCATTCATCTTGTTAACCAAACTACACTTCATGCAAATATTTTTCTAAAGGAAATAAAGACGATAGCACTTTTCCACAATCTCGATATGTCGCCAAGATAATAAAAAGAAAGCATGTTGGCGAGGCGTCCAAGTCGACCCAAGTTCACATTGGGTACAAGCACCGCGAAAACAAAACCTGGCAAGGCAAGCCTCATGGTTGGATTCGGTTTGGAGTCTCACTCTCGAAGGTCGGCCGTCAATATGGGCTGCGAGCGAGTATTGACGTGGCTCGGAGGCGACCTCGATCAGCCACGTCCAGAAGCAGCAGCGGCACAGTAGTCATCGCTTGGCGGATACTACTACGAATTGCAAGGGGATCTGGCGGTGGGTGTTGTCGCGGTTCTCTTCCTCGATGTGCGTGTCTACGAGCACCCACGCAGCAGGCCAGTTGACTTGGCGCGCCCGAAGACGGTCCGTGAAGGCGTGTCGACAACACAAGGTGGTGAAGGTGGTGACAAGGTTGTGGCGGGCGGTGACGGCTGTGCATGGTTCGCCATCGCTCACGGCTCCACGGAGTAGCTAGCGTCTTGCAGCCAATGCAAGCCTCAACGAAGCTAGCTATTTCGCGCAGCAACGTTTCCGAAGCTAAAACAGGGTCGCTTGTTTAGCAAAAGAGAGTATTCATTTAGCTAAAACAATGCAGTTTTACGCCAAATCCACTTTCCAGAGCCCACAGCCCATATATATCCTATTTGGAAGGGGCCTCCTAAAAGACGGGCCTCAGTTTAATGGCTTTCGCACCCTTTGCTGGAGGCTAAACCCCTGAACTTCTATGAATAGTCACTCGGAACCGTCGCACCATTTTTGCCCCTGGGAGAGGCAACCATTAAACCTTTCCCTAGCCCTAGCCATAAAATCATCGAAAGAAAGTAAAACAGAGCGATTTCATTATAGGGGGGCTTCGCCCCAAATACGCGTTGTAACATGTACACTCAGCATTCGAGCTGATAAATGCTGCTCGAATCATTCGCACAAAATAGGACCCCTTATCCAGCTGGGAACGACGACGAGAACCTTCGACTCGGACTCGTCAGGGTGCAGCCACTCGCTGGCGACGACCTTGTTAGTCAGTGCTAGTAAAATCTGCACCAGAATATTCAATTATGTTGTATAAGCGCTACCACTTCTATTTCGCGAGTGCACACGATCCCACGGGCATATCCAGCATCTGCTCGACAATTGCACCACCATTGTATCCTTCTCCAAGCCTACTTGCTAACCTTTTGCAGGATAGGATAGGCGATTGCAGGGAAAACTACAAAGGCACCCGTCACAATCCCTGCAGTTAATTAGAAACCATTTCTTCCGCTCAGACATAGAGCGAAGTCTGTCGGGGGCCCCGACTCGGGGCTCTTTGTGATGACCGATCGGACTGCAGCTACAGTACTTCCTTTGAAGTAAACTTGATACTCTCAACATTCTGCAACGTCTTGGTCATCTCGAGATTCTTCTTGAAGAGATTTTTCAGTTTGTCAAAGCCCGCTTTAACGTTGAGAGTCACCCTCTCCTCATCGTCCGGGCCATCAGCCACGACGGCCGTAGTTGCGCTGCTTCTCAGCCTCCGCTGCGCCATGCCGTCATTGTCACCCCTGGCGACTGAACCCGCTACTTGGTTCTCTCCTGCGACGTCGACAAGACCTTCGCAGGCCACCGCCAAAGTAAGTGTTAGCAGTATCATCAAATGACGCAAATACATCGCTGGCGAGCGGGGGCTCGGGTGTTTGCGAAATTGAGTAATGGACTTGTCGGGGACTCTTGGGCGGCGCGAGGCACCAGATTATTAATCTTTATAGCTTAATCTGAGATTAAGCTTCTGAACAACCTTGCTGTTCTGCTTCAGTATCTACATACAGTACTAACGTTATTTGCATAATGCACGCTTCAAACTTTTACGCTTGGCGTGATGCCTACGTAGATACACTGCTTACTCCAAATCGATCGTTCGCGATTGGGCAGCTTGCTCAGTAGTTAAGTAAATCAAACAGAAGGAATAATATATGTTGGGAACAGATTACATGGATCTCGTAACGAAATCCTGGCATCGGATCGTTAGACCAGGAGATCATAACCACCGAATTATTCATGATAAACTTCTGTTGCTTTAATGGGACCGTCGAGCAATTACAACAAGCGGGAGCAGACGATTTCATCAATAAGGATGATGATTCTGCTGGAAAAGCGATAAAATATGGAATGCTCTCGCTCAACTACCCCCCCCCCCCCACCCCCACCCCACCCACCCACACCCACCTCTGCACGCACACACACACACACGCGCGCGATTTCATTTTTTATATTGATGGCACAAATTGCCGAAACTGTCGAGGCAACATTTGACTGACACCCGAGTAACTTATTATAGTCAATCGCCACGCAGCCTAGATCATGTTATCGGTGCCATCCGATGAATGATGCCTTGCCGGAAAAGAACATTCACAACGAGTACGCAAACGGAAGTAATGGTCGGGTGGCAAAGATGATTTTCGGGTCGCTTACTTGCTGAGCAAGTATCCTCCCACAAGCCTACTTGTCAACCTTCTTAAGGATAGCATAGGTGACTGCAGGAGTAATTGTGAGCACGCCAGTCACAACCCCAATAATCAGGATCCATTTCTTCCGCTCAGACATAGAGCGAAGTTTGTCGGGGCTCTTTTCGATGACCGATCGGACAGCGGCTACTTCCTTTGAAGAAATCTTGGTACTCTCAACCTTCTGCAGAGTCTTGGTCAGGTCACGATTCTTCTTGGAGAGGGTTTTCACCTTGCTGAAGCCCGCATTAATGTTCAGGGCCCGTTCCTCATCGTCGGAGTCGTCTTCTGCGAGGGGGCTGCTTCTCAGCTTTCGCTGCATCGTGCCTTCGTTGTTGAGAGTGATAGCGGAACCCGCCACTTGGTTATTTCCCGCAACGTCAGCGAGACCGTTACGTACCACCGAAAAAGTAAGGGCCAGCTCCAACATCAAGTTAATCTCAGCACGATCAACCGATCTCAACACCAACACTTGTTCGCGAGCAGAGATTGTTCATAACTTGTCATCACCCTTACAACAAACGATGACAGCTTATCGGAATGGCTCGGTTATTGTCATGATCTGCTAATAGAAGCGCGTGCTAATGTCTGACTCCGTATTATAATATACAGACAACGACTTACAAAGCCGGCATGCTTAATGCCATCCTCCTGTATAAAAACAACGATAAATTCCCTCCCGTCAAATCTGTAAAAATGTCATAAAACACACGGTGTGTTGCATAAAGTACACAAGAAAGCATATAAAGTACACAAAACCAGATGGTATACTAAGATGAAGTCATTTGATTGAATCTGATTGGCTGGTTAGCTCATGTTAAGCTTTGCTTGACTTCGTCTGCCGGCTTTTTGTGTCTGCCGGCTGTGTAAGTCGTTGTCGGTAATGCTTACGCGTACTTACAAACAGCTGATCCGACGTACATTACTTATTGAGGTTAGCTGTTTCTTAAAACATATTAATCCTGTAAGCTGCCCAAATCCCGACAGATTGATTTAGAGTAAATGCTCATAAACGTTTGAAGTGTGGGCTTCGTACAGTGCTCTAGTAGTGCTGGAAGCAGCTTGAATGCGTGTCTGCACGGCACCGCGTCGCCCGGCTCTTTAGACGCGTCCCCAACCAACGAGATCGTCATGCTCATTCTCGAATTTGGTCGCAAGCACTCAACCCCCAACAGGAAGTCAACTCCCCCGCAGATGTATTTGCGCCATTTGCTGGTTCTTCGAGTAAGTGGCTCGCTTCGCTAACACAGGTGGAGATGCTCTTTAATTTTTTTTTACTTATTTGGAGGGGGGAGAGGGGACGGTCGACTCAGTTGAAAACCTGCATAGGACGAGTTCCACTACCCGGCACCATCGAGACTTGTTATCATTCGATACTGTAGCTTGTCGGGGCAAAATTGTGACGTGCAGCAGAGCAAGTTGAAGTCAAACCTTGCCAATCGTACTTAACATAAGTACCGCTCCTTAATTTTATACCGAAAAACACATCCCTCATTCGATACCCTCAAATTTGATTGATCCCAATCATGCTGCGCACCTCGATCCTGCTACGTCGCGCCTCCACGCTACCACGCCCGCTCTCTACCTGTTTCTCCTCGAGCTCCTTCTCGGACAGTCAATGGTCTTCTCCGTCACGTTCCCGCGGTGCTAAGCCGTCTCGCTGGGGTCCTCCACGAGGCGACCGTGGTGGCCAGCGAGGTGGGGGTGGACGCTGGCGTGACAACGAGCGCCGTCCCCCTCTCACGCGCACGAACGACGGCAAAGACGTTCCGCAACTATCGGGTGAGGGCGTCTATGGCATCCACAGTGTGCTGCAGGCGCTCGAGAGCGGCCACCGAAACGCCCACGCGCTGTACGTGCGGGAGGAGCGGACGGCTCTGGACGGCCAGCGCCCCAAGAAGAAGAGCGCGGCCGATGTGCGCGCGCTGGAGCGCATCAAGGAGCTGGCGGAGGCCAAAGGAGTGCAGCTCCACACGACCAGCAAGTGGATGCTGAACCACATCACGGGGGACAAGCCGCATCAGGTAAGAGAGACCCTTGAAGTGAAGTGAGGATACGTGGATTCTCATAGTTGATCATGATGGAATTGTGGCTGTTAGGGTGTGGTGTTGGATGCTGCTCCGATTCAACTGAAGGAGTTCAAGCCCGCGGAACCTTCAGGTTGGGCTGAGACGACAGTGTGTGGGGTTGTATGTTGTTATTGACTTTTTGGGTCGTAGTTTTCACGGATTCGGAGCGTTCGCCGGTGATTTTGGTGCTGGACGAGATTCACGACCCGCAGAACTTTGGAGCGATCCTCCGCTCCGCGCACTTCTTGGGCTGCTCAGCAGTTGTTGTGAGTGATCGAAACAGCGCCCCGTTGTCTCCTGCTGTATCGCGTGCGTCCGTCGGCGCATTGGAAGTCATGGTCGCCAATGTACGATTTCGTCGGTTGAGGTATTGATTAGCTTCTGGGAAGATTTACTGACGATAACGCTGGTACAGGACAAGTTGATGAAGGCGAGGAACCTGCACGAGGTCCTTGCAATCAGCGGCGACCTCGGCTGGCGTGTTGTTGGTGCCAGCAGCGGGCCCAACTCCATCACGTCTACCAACCTCTCGGCGGGTTCCCAGCCCACGATCCTCGTTATGGTACGTTTCGGTGCTCCTTGGGCGATGAAGGCACGTTCTCATCTGCGGTTTGCGCTCCGAACAGGGCAACGAGCACCGCGGCCTCCGTAAGGGCATTCGCCAGTGCTGCCAGGACATCGTTATCATCCCCGGTACGCACGTGTTTTTGATAAAGTTTTGTTTGCTTCATTCAGACTCAAGTAATTACTGCAACACAGGCCAAGCCACGGATGAAGACACGCGCGTGGACTCGCTTAACGTTAGCGTCGCTTCGGCAATCCTGCTCTACGAGCTCTTGCACCACTAAAGCATGTTGAAGATTTCCCCGCTGGTAATGTTTAAAACGCAGTCTACGATTTCGCATGCCTCAGTGTGGAGCTTGTGCGATGGAAAATCGGTACGCGAACTGATGCCGATATCTCTTTGAAGATGCGAGGACTCGTTTCTCTGGATCCGGGGGTGTTTGGCTGCGTAGAGCAAAATCAAACAAAACTAAAGTCAATCCCAAAGCCCCAAAGCCAAACTGTCGAGAGAGAGCTGCTTACCTTAACGCTGCCGGGCAAAGTGGGGTGCCCAAGACACACTGTTACAGTGAACGCAGTCGGATCCGAAAATGGCGACACCGTCAGTGTGATGGTGTGGTCGACCATGTGCTTTCGTGAGCCTTGGTTGCAGACACGTTTTGCAGGTACGTGATGATACTCCACATCACCATTGGGCAGTACGCTCTTGACGAACACCTGAGTGATGTCCCGCACGCTTGTCAGTAAGAATCGGACTCGCTGTTCAAACGGCCAGTTTGCTGTGATTTCCCGAGGCTCAGGCTTTGCGCTTGCACTCGTTGTAGGCTCCACAATAGAAGCGTGAGCAATAGCTGGACGTCGGTAGATAACTCCAGAACCGTTTGCTGCTCGCGTCAACCGATGAATTGCAGCTTTAATTAGCGCCGTAGGCCACGCCTTACGAACAATGACCACGAAAGCACGCTTCACATCGTCCAGTGAGCTAACGTCGGATAGCAACTGTGTCGGCAACCACATCTCGCCTTGATGATGGTTATCACTGACGAGGAAGCGCAGGCGAGTTGCCTCCTTGGCAATCCATCGAAGCTTTTCAATCTTCAGCAGGCTGTCGCTGGAATTCTGCAGCAATGAGAGCACAAGTCCTACGCGGCCAAGCAATATCAACTAACGCAAGAGCAACGAAGAGTTAGTCGCGAGCAACCCCGGTACGGTCCGAAAATGATCACAATCAATACCTGGAGCAGTTCTGCACGGGGCGATGAGCTGAGTGCGAACGCCTTGACGTAGGTATCCGAGGCAACGTCAACCACTTCTTGGCAGCTTTTTTCCAGATCCACGGGTATCCGCAGACTTGCAAATACTTGCGCCTCTTTCTGATCTTGGTTGTCCACGCTAGTACTACTCGTGTGGCCAGAGCTCACGCTCGGGCTCGTGCTGAGCATCGCCTGCATCGAAACATATTTGTGTGCAGTCGGGGCTGGCGCGGCTGATGCATCAGGGAACGAATGTACGTGCTGGCGCAAACGCACGATAACATCAGCGACTCGAACGGAAATATCAACGGCATCCACAGCAAACGCAGTCCGGAGTCGCTGGATCTACACACACACAATCAACACCACGTTAGCACCTTCAGATGAATGGTTAAAGTATTAGTCAAGGGACTTACCGCCTTGAGGTATACAGCCACATTCCCATCGGTTGGAGACTTTCGCAAGGTATCCATTGAATCAGCCACTTGAGACGAAACGGTAGAGGAATCTCGCGCGGGAATATGAGGGGAGCTCGTAGGTGGGGTCTTCAGGAAAAATAAGCTTGACACGTCGAATGGTGACTTGTTCGCATCCTTTGACTTGTCGTGCCGGGGTGATTCCGTCTGACCAAGTAGTGCGTGACACACAGATTTCAAGAATCGACGCTGAGAGGATGCTTCCTGCCGCAAACGGTCTGACAAGGCAACGTCAGCTTTCAGCACCTTTGAGCACTTCTTCCCGAGATCGCGCAGTACGACGAGAATCCGTTTGCCCCAACAGTCAGGAGTATCGCTATCTTCGCTCTCCCTGTCGGACGAAGGGTAATCAAACGAAGAAGACCCCACGCTGTCGAGCACGAAGTCAATAATGCGTTGAACGGCCCAGGCGCTTGACAAGTCACAATACTGCAGCACAACCAAGATATCAACAACTGCGGGCTTGATGCTGTCTGCGTCGATGCTGGCGCTACGAATCAGGCAGCTTAAATCTGCGCTTGAGATAGTGAAGTCCGTCTTTGTGCTAAGTGAGTCCCCGCACACCAGCAATCGGCCCACCGAGCTAACTAGCACGCGACAGAGTGTCGCGGAGCTCGGCACGCTTGCTCGAGGAAGAGCGTCGAAGTGCGCCGTGATGGCCCGCTCCATCGCCCGTTGACTCCATCGCCCAACGCCGGCATCTGGCTTCGTCGTCATTTCACTCAGCCGCGCGATAGTGCGTGAGGCTTCCGCAGCCACATCTCCATCAATATCCTCCAGCAGCGACAGCAACACTCCACTCGACAGCATACGACGCGTGTTCATCTCCAAAGCCTCAGGCGTAACATCCACCACAGCTTCATCGATCTGCGTCTTCAGCACAGCGTGCTCCACTACTTCACTCGCAAGCACGCGCGAGAACCCGCGCAAACAGCGTGCAACCTCCACACGCACCGAAGCCGACACATCACTTCCAGCCATACACAACACATAGAACGCCTTTTCCGGCAGAAACAGCGTTGTCTTCGCCACCGCCATGCTGATCGACGACGGGAAGAACCTGCGGCTCGCAACTTCGTGCTGCGGGTGCAAGTCCGCCAGCGCCACCAGCACCTGCGCCGCCAGCACTCGCACCTCCTCGCTCTGCGCAAAGAGTACGAACGCCGCTAGACGGTCGAAATGGTTCCCCACCGCATCCTTCGCGCCTGGTGACGACGCCGTCTCCGCCGCGAAGCTGCGACCTGCATCGTGCAGCCTCAGATACCCTCGCAGACAAATGGCCTGCATACCGGCGTCGTGGTCCCGCACACACACGTGCAGCAGCGTCTCCACCTGCGCGAACTTGTTGGTGAGCATGAGGCAATCCACGACGATGCGCAGCATGTCGCGCCGCAGCTTGAAGTCTTCCCCCACGCTCATGCACTGCATGAGCTGCTCGCCCATGGCGTCCACCTGGATCATGGGCTGCACCACGGCGGGCTTGACGGCCAGCAGCTGCCTCAGGCCGCGCACGATGGCGCCCACGACGATGGCTCCGCTGCTGCCGGCGTCCTTGCTGGTCTGATTCCCGTCCCCTTGTGCCTCGGCCTGCGTCTGATTCTGCTGTAGGAAGGAGAAGAGGAAGTCGATGGCCGCCGCGGTCTTGGCACCGGGCGAGGCCGCAGCTGAGCTGTACTGCAGCAGAAGGCGGGCCTGTAAATGGGGGTCCGAGGTGCTCTGCAGCTTGGCGCGGATAGCGTCCAGTACGGCCATGGGGTGATCTTCCGAGCGCTGTCCTGAAGCGGGTACGGGGTGTTGAGAGCTGGAAGAAGCATCGGATGAAAGAGAAGGTGGCGGAGGAGAGATGCGTGGACGTTTGGACTCGGGGTCGGCCGCGGGGGCCGCGCCGTCGCCGCCAGAAGTCGACGGCTCCCACTCCCGGTCGCGCTTGGCTGAAGAGCTCATTTTCGGCTATGACGATGTTTTATATGTGTGATACATAGTTGTATGTGTGACACACTATTTTGGGTTCAACTGAAGTACCGAACACCAAGTACACATGGCTACATCCTATTTGTAGTTGAAGTGAGCAGTACAAGATGGACGCAGAGCTGATGCCCGTTTAGAGAGGAATGGCGGCCGCGCGTCGAAACGGAGGGAGGAAGTCTTCCAAGCTTGAGGGCTGGTGGTGGCAGGCGGCGCCCGACCCGGCGGCTACTCCGTCGGCCGTGGCGATCGCGAGGCACCGCGCGTTGCAGGAGCAGCTACTGCACTTCGACCAGAACGCGTGGCTCACCAAGCACGCCAAGCAGCCGCGCTTCCAGTTCTCCGGTGAGCAGAAGCGCATGCTGCGGCAGTGGTTCGACGCGCTGGACTCCGACGGTTCGGGCAAGATCTCCGTGGAGGAGCTGGAGGACCCGATGCTATCCATTGGCATCGTGAGCGATACGAGGGAGATCGCGCAGATCGTGAGCAAGCTGGACAAGGACGCCAATGGACAGATCGACTTCCAGGAATTTGTGGACTTCCTCACGCCGCACGCGAGGCATAACAAGGGCGCGAGTCCGCAGAAGCACGAGGTCATGTTCCACCAACTCACCAAGAAGATGGAGGTATTGTATGGCGGTGGGGAGGGTGTATGTGGCCTAAGTACGTCGAGCTAAATGAGCGTTGCGTGTATTGCGTATTGCATCGCAGCACCAGAGTTCGGGGTTTATGGAGATCAATACGCAGTTGTCGATGGAGAGGAGGCGGTTCATCCTCGACTCTATCACTAGTTTTACGACGCAGTCGATCCAAGAAGACCTCGCAGAGCTCAAGCACTTCAAGGATGAACGGAGTCCTACTGGTGACGCCACCTCACCGGGACGGTCGCGGCATCGACGGGCGATGACAAAAAAGGCGAAACTTGCAGCGCTAGCCACTCGACACCAGGAAGAGCTGCGTTTTCAGGCACTGGAGCAGGTCTTCATTCGCAACAGCGCCCAGAAGGTTTGTATCTGTTGTGAGTGGGTTAAAAAAAGTATCTCACCTCGCACTTCGTATTCGGACAGCACTTTCAAGCGATGCCTTCGTCGCTACTTGGGGCGCCTGGTGCTAGTAGGCGGTCTCAGCAGCGACGAGTAGAGCTCCTGACGCCGCTGCCAGCGGTGGACAGACCGCCCACCACGCCGAAGCGCTCCATCGTCGCGAGCCCCAGTTTGGAGTATCTCGACGCTCGACGCGCCAGCGCGAAGCTGCTGGAGCAGTCGGGAATGGGCAGCTACCGGCGGCTGCTGCCAGCGTCAGGGCTTAGCAGCAGCATGCCGAACCTCCCCGCAAATACAGACGCAGGCTGGCGCTGATGAATGCATGGTAAGAGTAATAACTATTGTGCAGGTGGCGTTGATTCACACATGTCCACGCGATAAGAATGACGCGTAGCATCTGAAGCAGCTACCATACTTGCAATGCCCGGCTAGCGGCTGGAGTGTGGCAGCCAAAGCTAGACGCTGTTGAGGCCCAAGCACACCTCGTCCGTCATGAAGTGCCCTCGCGCGTGAACCTTTTTCAAGATTCGAAGTGCCTGCTCGCCGCAGCTGAGCCCATCGTCGCTCCACTGTCGTGCCAGATGGTATGATCGCTCTCAGCGCTCTGCAGCCGACGGGATTGCACGCTGCCGGCACGAGGGCCGGCAGTGAGGGCCTAGCTGCGGCAGCTTCGTCGGCAGCACTGACTGGTGCTGCTGTTCTATATAGGCGGTGGCACCGCTGGGAGCTGACCCCGGCTTGCAGCAGCTCTGCCAACAGGGTTTGGTAGTAGTCTCCAGAATAGTAGCGTTAGTAGGCATATTAAGACTACTACTACTATTACTACTACTATAGCTCTGGGATTGGAGCCATTAGTAGTACTATTTATATAGTAGCCAAACGAAACATGGATAGTAGTGCTATTATCACTACTAATGTACCCATTGCTCAACCGACGGCAGATCGCACGAGTGAGTGGCCACGCACCTGTCAGGATCCCTCATTAGGCTTCCAACATCACGCAAACGTGCCATGAAGTGCGCGAAGAGTGATTGCCACCAAAGTGCCATATCGGAGACTTTTCCGTGCTGTGTATGCGGCCGACAGGTGCATCATTTGTGCAACAACGTGCTGTGTGACAAATGCAAGCTAACGTTATCTCAAAGGTAACGCTGCTGTTCGTGGTTGCCTTTGTAGCTTCGATTGTACTAAGCAGCTCGCCATACTGATTTTGCGGCCGCACTCGTGTTACCAGGGACTTTAATGCGGAGATGCCGACTCCCAGGAGCCTACACTCAACTGTACATCTGAGAATCGTCCTTACTCTCAAGTATTCTCCTGACTTCTGAGTAAGAGTAACATGCTTCAACTTTCAAGTACATTATTTCTTTTGGAGTTAGTTTGCTGTATAAACTAGAAGCTAGATACATCAACGTAAGGTGCTGGCTGTTGCACTGTCACAAGCGAAGTGAATAGAATATTACAAGCAGTCTGGGGTGGTGTTTGTATAGTCTTTGGCTTGACGACGCTTGACTTTCCTATTAACCTCTTCTCGTCAGTACATGAATGCCGATGATCTCCTCCTCATGTATACTTGCGCTGTGCCTTCCTCCTCTTTTTTCTAGGTTGCCATACTGGGCATGGCATCTTTCCAAAGAAACCAGAAGCCATTTGCGGAGTTACTCAGAAGTCATTGAGAGGTGTTAGGCTCCACGTTGCTACTACTACGTAGAGTTACGGTCATAGCAGTCGCAAAGTAGATAGAGGAAAGACTAAGAAGCACGTAAGTGCCGAGGCGGAACGCCACGACAGGTACAGCAGTAGTTCGGTAGAGGTTCCCACTTGCGCCGCAGGCGTTTCTCGAGTGAGTGGGAAACTCCAGCCAAACTCCTGCATACCAGCAGTCAGTGTATTAGCAGCAGCAACACAACAAGCAAGATAACTACACTAAATCTAAGTACATGTTGTCCTTTGCACTAGGGCAGGGAGCAGAGCCTTCGTGCTCCCTGTCATCAATCTCGTTCTCCATAGTAAAGTGTACATATTCCTGCTGTCGTTGTACGACAGAGCTGGATACACTTGATAGCCGCGCGTGGCAACCACACGCGGAAGATCTTTGGCAAGATCTGTCGTTGTTGAGCCGCAGCACAGGTAAGACTGTATGTCACAGTCATCACTTTACTCTAAATCAAGTACCTCACTCTATCGCTTGTGATCGAGCAATGCGCCGATCGCAATATTCAGGCAAGGTAGAGTGCAATACCGAAGATCGTGTGAAATAGAAGACGCAATATAAAGGTTTGGAGGGTTGAGCAGCTTTGAGGAAGCATTTACGTGTGCTGTTGGTTCGCGGAGGGTCGCGAAAACTTACTCGTGCTTGAACGCTGCTCGTCGCCAAGCGCGTCTAAACCGGGTCTTTCGTGAGGGATCCTCTTAGGATGACAGCGGACAGCGCGCACCTACAGTTGTAGTTCATACTTCGCATATGGAGGCCAGTAAGCACCATTGCGGTCGGAATTCGGAATGATGGTCAAATAGTCAAAATTAGTAGTCATATTTGTAGTCATATTAGTACCACCGATGCCTCACTACTAAGATATATCATTCTACTATTGCCAGAATTTGGATAGTAGTAGTAGTATGACTACTAGCCAATACTACTACCAAACCTGTCTGAAAGCCACAAGCGAACGACGACGACGTTTCATGATTTCGTTGAAGTCGTGACTGGTGTGGCGTACACAGAATCATTTTGCGCATTAATCTCCGCTGCTGCACTGCAACAGCAACGGCCAACCCATTTGTAGAGGGCCAGTACTATGGGCTTCCTTCTCACCTGTTGGCCTGCTGTGGGTTCGCGTATAGTCTCCCGTCTGTTGCATATTACCTCCCTTCGCGGTACGCGTTCTCAAGTTGAAGCTGCGCGTGGCAATCTTCCACCCATACTGGAACCCATATGTCGGGAAAAGCCGAGTAGACGTTGCCTATCGCTCTCTCTCTTCATTCTCCAAGATGACCGGAGCCTCGCAGGTCGTCGCCAGCGCCACCAGCAGCAAGTCCTCCTCCGCCTTCTTCCGCGGCATCCAGCCCACGCCCGTGGGCTCGCCGGGCGCCGCGGCGCGCAAGATCCTGCAGAGCCGCGCGCCGAGCAAGCCCCAGGACTGCAGCAGCAGCAGAAGCAGCAACCAGCAGCTCGAGCCGCTGCCCGACGAGGCGCAGGGGCTCAAGGACCTGCTGCTGTCCGCGCCCTCGCAGCAGCAGCGCTCGCGCTTCAGCTTCCTCAAGCTCAAGCGCGTGGTGGTGCCCCCCGTCAAGATCCCGCCCGAGCTCGACACGCCCAACGCCGTGAGCAACATCGTGGCCGGCAGCAAGATCCCCATGACCAAGGCCATGTGGATGCGCCGCCGCGCGCGCATGATGCGGCGCGTGCCCGGCCGCATCGACGAGCGGGTCGCGTGGTAGAGAGGCCTTGTCTCTCGTAATATTTGGCTGCTGCGTGCGTGTAAACTATCAGAATGCTATTCTAGCCGTTTATTTACTTACTCTCAACATTTGTCACTGGGGTCTTGGAGCGTGAGGCTATCTGCCCTCACGCTATCTCATAGCTACCCCTTCTGGAGGTACGAGAAGAGGCCGCGCATCATGACCTTGGCCTCTCCCAGCGCCTCGCCGGCGATGTCACGCGCGGTGCTCGTGACCGCCTTGGCATTGTCCAAAGTGGACATGGCCAGCGTCTGCGCGTGCTGCACCGTGCCCTTGACGCGCTTGAGCTTGGACGACACGCCGAGCAGGCGACGCACGTTGGCCAGGAACGATACAGATCCGCTCGCGTCCGGCAGCAACTGCAGCGACAGCGTACCGTCCTCGTGACCCGAAGCCAGCAGGATCACAGCCTCCTTGGGGCCGAAGCACGTCGCGGAGATCATTGACCCCACAGAAGACGGCGAGACGTACTCCTGCACCGTCACGAAGCTGTGCAGCATCACAACATGTTAGTTACTACAGCTATAGCAAGCAGCACACAAGCCCAATCAAGCACTTACTCTTCGATGCGGCAGATGCGGACGACCCCTGGACAGAGTGTGAGGAAGATGAGGTCGCCTTCGGCCGACACCTGCACGTCCGAGATCTCCTCGGCCGGGAGGTGGTGTGACTGGATCAACACACCCGAGAGATTGAAGATCTGGCAGACGCTGGAGATCACCGTCCGCGTCTCCGCCTCCCCTCCTGCTTCGTTGGCGGTGGTCACACTTCGAGAAATGCTCGTGATGGCGATGGCGTAGCCTTTCACGGACAATCGCACTCGAACGAGCTCTCCGCCTTCCTCTGCAGGCTCGAACACAAACGCTACTTGGCCCTCGTCGTACAAGAAGTGCGCCATGCCCACAGAGTGTGAGCATGACGCAACGACACCCAGATACGTGCTCACACAGCAGTCGACGAGAGGAGTCGCATGGCCACGAAGGATCTGGATAGGGCGAGGCGAGACGCGAGGCAGGCGGAACAGCATATCAGGCTTGAGTCTTGATAGACGCCAGAGCGCGAGCGTGCCGTCTTGCGATCCAGACACCAGCAGCTCTTCATCTTCTTGCGACGTCGAGACAACCACCTGGCTGTGGCTGTGGTAGCTCCAGCGATCCAAGCTCAGACACGTCACTGCGGCGCTGTGTCCCACGACGCTGGCCTTGCCAATCACGTGACCGTTGTCCAAGTCCAGCAGTCGGAAGTGTAAAGCGCCACTACGCGCTCCGCCTGATGCAAGCACGCGTCCATTACGCGAGATAACCACTGGGAATCCTCGATGCCGCTTGTGTTGATGGACACTCTCCTCGTCGTGATGAACGTGGTCGAAGACAGGTATCCGCGGCACGTAGTCGAACGGGGAGTCATCGCGCGCAATCTCCAGTAGCCATGGACAGTCGTTCACTGCATCAGCTTCACCTTCTTCCTCAGCGGCCGGCACGTCACCTAACAGCTTCTCCACCTCGCTCCCTCGCTGCGAGTCCGTAATTGAAGAGAAACTCCCTCTTGGCTCCAGCATCGTTTCCCCCAGGTCGACAGCAGAGAACGTCTTGAACGGAACTTTCGGAGATGCCGACGCAGAGCCGACGTGCGGCGACGACGGTAATGGAGGAGCAGGTTTCGGCAACAACTTCCAATAGTAGACCTCGATCACGCCCAGGTCGTTGACGCTGACGACACGGTCGGGAAGGATCTTCAGCAGCCGGATACCGCTCTGAGCGATGGGTTTCACGGTAGCAACAGGACTCCAGTTCCGACGCTTCTCCTGAGCAATAGGCGAGCAGTCTTGAAATGCCAGCGAGAGCGGTCGAGGAATATTGCTCGCTGGTCCGTTAGAGCCTCCCTCTTTGCCTGGGAATCCTCCACTGAGCGGTGGGCTTGCTCGTCCTGAGATGGGCTTGTTATTCATCGCTGGAGGAGGAGCTGTCTTCCCAACAGCACTGCGCGCGAATGCAGCATGACGCTTGGGGTGAGGAGTGGCGAAGAGCTGCATGGGGCACTGGCCAAAGTGGGCGATTTGCAGCTCCATGGACTCCCTCAAGAAGGGGTCCTCCACCTTGTCCAAATCCACGACGCCGTAGTACGTCAGGTAGTAGAACACATTGTTCGCCTGCAGTGACGCTCGCCCGCGTTGCTTGAAACCAAAAATGAGGTCGATCCACTGGTGCAGATGGCGAGAAACGTGCTCGCTCTCAAGCGCAGCGCGGTGAATACGTACAAACTCCTCGGGAGTACTCGCCCACTTGGGTAGCTGCACATCTCCCACCGCTTGCTGGTCGTGGCGTTTGCCAAGCACGTAACCGTTCCTGTTCCGCAGGAAGGTCCCGTCACTAGCGAAAAACTCGGGCGTTAGCTCCTTGACCTCGGACATCTGCGAGTTGCACATTCGCCAAGTCTCCTGGATGGAGAAGAAGAGGCGGTCAGGTAGATCGAAAGTTCCGCCCTGCATCTTCTGGTGCAAACTCGCGAAAGGTTCCAGTCGGAAGAGGAAGAAGAGCACCACGCCGGCACAAGTCGAGTAGTGAGAGCCGTAGAGGAACTTGGGGATCACTGGGTCATCGAACGAGTGATAGCGCTCCCAATACTCTTCCAATCGTGCAGCATTCAGTGCACCGACAGGCTTCGAGAGATCACGGAAGTTGTGAGGGTCGCTCAGGTCCAGCGTAGAGTCTTCATAGTTCGAGAGCACCCACGGGAATACCGGGTACTGGGTCAGATCGTTGAAACTGCGTCCAGCAAACGTATTCAGCGCCATCAAGTAGTCGAAGTTGCTGATCTGCCGGTTTTGCCACGCCTTGGTAGTCGCTGCTAAGTGTGGAATCACACGCCCAGGCCACTGCTTGGGGGTGCTTCGAGGGAGGAAGGAGTATAACACCCGCACAAACTCATTGCGCCGTTGCTTGGTCGTCAGCGGGAAGTCCAAGAAGTGCGTGCTGCCATTGCGGAGGAAAATCTCGATCGCCGAGTCGCGTAGTCGATAGCGGCGGAGATAAACGCCCACCAGATGCGAGTATTTCCAACGCCAGCACCGGTGAAGACCTGGAGCAGCTTCGTCCGCACTTATAGTCGAGGGCGCAGGAAGAGTTCCATCATCGAAATCAGTCGTACCTGGGGCGATACCTCCTCCAGGGGTTTGTGCGTTCTGGGGCAGCTCCTGCTGGGGCTCGAAGGCGATATGCTTACCGCACAGGGACAAACGGCCTAGCACAACACCCTCGGGTACCACGCGCCGGCACGTTACGCAGGCATACACTTGGTCATCCGGTGCTACTGCGATGCCAGCACTAGGATCCAGCCCCTTTTCGCCCTGACCCAACAGAGCGGATCCCTTTGACGCGGTGGAGGTTGTCGTAGATGCCGCTTGCTTGCCATCATCCACCCCCGCGTTTGCTGTTGAGGGGTCCCCTTTGTATTCTTCCAGAGGATCTTCTTCGCCGGTGATGCGTGCTTCGGTCTCATCGCCACCCTTATCACCGTTGTCTGCACTCGGTACGTAGGTATCCGCCAGCTCGGACGCTGGAAGTGCATCGTCGGACGTAATATCTCTAATTTCACCACCACGCTGCTGTGCTACCACCCGACCAACCCGCTCCAGCAAATTCTCCCCATTAGTCGAACTCGTTTCGCTACCTTCGGTGTCTCCTTCGAAGCTATGAAGCATTTCCAACGGCAGAGATAATGCTGAGGAGTGTCTGTGCCGCCTCAGGATTGGCGTTTTCTTTGTCGCTTCTTCAGCCGTGGAGCCCTCAGCTTCTAGCGCCAGCAGCTTATCGGAGCTTAACTGCAAATCCACATCGACTGTCCGTCGCATCCGAGCCGGGAACGGAGTTTCGTAGAGCCCCAATCTCCACATGAGCGTTTTCTGCAATGTTGTCAATGTGTCTGGTGCAGCACGTCGCAATGAGTCATACTGGTTCTGCGAGCGGAAGGTAAACTCGTGTTTCAACCACAATTTCTGAGTCCACTGCTGCTTCTGTTCGCGCTGGGCCGATAGTTCAGTCATCGCACGCTGCTTCTCGCGAGTCGTCACATCCCGCAACGTCGCCAGCATTCGGTTCTCTTCCACTTCTAGCGCTGCCCAGAGCACCCTCTCGCTGTCGTCGGCATAATCCACATTGGCGTACTTCTTCTCTGCTGACACCGGTTCTTCAGGAACATCAGTGGATGTTTGCTGTGACTTCTGCAGCTCCTTAGCTATCGGGAAATACGGCACCATATCTTCCACCTCCTCTCGCTCATGCAATTCCGTATCGTTAATAGACAGCGCTAGTGCGTCTAAGACGACTTCCACTGCTTGTTGCTCAGTAATCTCTCCAAGCTCATGCACCGATAGACCCGCGACGCCCAAATCTTCGTTAAAGGAGCCGGACGTGCATATCCGAAGAGTCAAACCCCTCAGCAACACCAGCAGTTCTTCCTTCTTGTGTACAACCAGCGCGCGCCGAAGATCAACCAGCGCACGGAGGAACACGTCGCGCGTAGGCACGGACTCGTAAACACGGAGTGCAGACCCAGCGGTCAGTTCTTGCTGGAAACTCTGCACTAATACCTTCACCATGCGTTCCATCATATTGGTACCAGTGACGTAAGACAGCGCGTTCTGCAGTATTTGCAGACCAGGAAAGAGACCCACGCGATGCATTTTGTGCGTGCTCTCGACTAATCGAGCGCAGATATCCAACACGGCATTCAATAGGAAAAGTTGGGCGTCGGACCACGAATACTTGTCTGATACACCATTCGTAGAGGCTTCCGTATCGTCACTTGCTGAAGATCTTAGCGGCACGGCCAGTAGCGTTTCGTGAACCAGGAACATCAAACGCTGCACATTTTCCGCTAGTGTTCGGGACAAAATCGTTCGGCTCCTCGCCATCCGCTGCAAGACAATACCGACCACTCGACAAATCCAGTTCAAAGGCTCACGGAATAACTCAGACCGGTTGACGTGCGGAACCACTTGAGCCAATGGAGGGAGCCAGGATAAAGCAGGAGAACTTGCGGTCCCATCTGTAAGCTCGTACTTCACCTGCATTCCCTTTAAGGCCAACAGCAAGTGAGTAAATGATCGCCACCCATGCGAGTTGCTCATCGCCAGACAAAGCAGCGACACGATCGTATCCAGAACAAGATCTTCCCCCGTCTTGCTAGCTTCGAAGCTATAAGCCCGACCGCAGTTCTCATCACTGGCGTTAGTGCTACCATCTTCACTCCCAGCAGCGTTAACAAGCTCGATTCCAACGGAGCAGGTTAACGATAACTCCAGAAGCGCATCCGCCCAGCCCTTTTTCATCAAGAGTAGCTGCTGCTGAAGGTCTTCGTCGGTCTTCAGCTTCACATTGATATCCATGAGAACCTTCTCCCGAAAGTGTGGAGTGCTTTTCCCCAATAAAATCGGCAGAAACGGCAAAATCCCCTTCAGAGGCAGACTCAGTATCCCACTAACCCCTTCATCAAACATATCTGCAACAAACGCCGAGTTGTTATCAGCGCCATTCCGAACCTCCGCGCCAACGTTAGACAGGCTTCGTAGCGCTGTCAGCCTGATCACAGCAGCCCGCTTTTCCCACGTCAACTGCAGACGCTTGCCCACGAACTGGTTTGCCATCTTAATCCACTCAACCAAACCGCCGATCCCGGCGCTTATTTCTCCTGGAGTAGTGAGCGACGACGAAGCAACGGCAATACCATCTTCAAATCCATTATCATGCGCGACAGCCGATTTATTCGCCGCTGCAGGCGCAATTGGGAACAGCAGCGAGTCCTTCTTAGAAGGGTCGTTCATAATGATGCTGTGCTGGACACCCAGTAGCCACGCCGGGTCGAAGTAGAACTCCATCATAAGCTCCAGAAACCCGACCGAAAAACTGCCTTGACCGTTCAGGACTAACCGCAAATGTTCCTCTAGACCGCACCAAACTGTGCGGCCTTCGATAGACTCGAGCCAATCCAGCAGATAAATGAACAAAGGGACGCAAGCCATTCGGACGTGGATCGAGACGTGCGAGTCGTCTCCATCCTCTTTGCTGGTATTTGCACCGTTGCTTTCTGCATCACTGCGCCGATCATGCATGAGATACAGCAGACAATCCATAATACTGGAACTTACTAGAGCAAAACGCATGTCCAGGAAGGACACCGCGAGTCGCCGCAACAGAAGAAGTATCGAGGTACAAACAGCAGAATCCTTGCAAGTCATCAAGAAGCGAATCACAGCGCGAATGTCACGGACGAGTGAGAACCGGACTTGGACTGAATGCAGCACGCTCTTCTTGGGGGAGGCGCTCTTCTCCTCAGCGGCGCTGGCGTCCGGGTTTCCAGACGAAGCTGCTCCAGACGCTTGGTCGCTCCACACAATACTCTCCAGATTGATACTAAACACGCCTCCTTTCCGGCCAGGCACCACCATCGAAGGCGATGTCGAAGACGACGACGGGGTGGCAGGAGACGGCGACGGCCCCGATCCGCTTGTGGTAGAGCCGCCACCAGTCCCTGCAGTGATACTCGCTCGCGCAAACGTGGTCTCCATCACCTCCTGCTCCAGCACTTCGTGTACTTGTGTGCTCTGATTCGTCAGACAGACCTCGATAACCTCTACCAGACTCTGGATACTTTGCTGCTTCCAGTGGTGGTCCTTGTCATCGGGCTCCGTTAATCGCTGAGAGTTCTGACTCGACTCACCCTCGTTAGACGTGGCTGAAGGGTGGGACACCGAGTAAAAGTTACCGAGAATCTCCAGCACCTTTGGAACCGCCTGCATGTTGTTGAACGCTCGTGGGTATTCGCAAGCGAGGCCGTACATTTGGTGATTGTAGATAGACTGCGTCTTGTAATCCGCTTGCGTCCACAGACGATGATCCATGAGAATGGCTCTTACTCCAGAGGCAAATAGTGGGTTTGTCGCCCATACAGACATGTGGAAAGGGTGGTTGTCGCCAAACTCGAGGCTTTTCTTCGGCGGCGGCATCATCCCGAACAAACTCTTCACCATTTCAACGCAAACGACGAGACTTCCAGGCGTCCATATCACGGAAAGACAGTTTTTGTGTTGCACCATGACGTGCGACAGCATGTGGAACACGTAGTTCTGGAGCACTTCTTGCTGGTTGGCCACGTTACTCTGCAGCATACCATTCAAGATCCACAGTAAATCCACCACTACGCTTTCCATGACTGCCGAGAGAGGCCTCTCTCCTTCTTGTGCTTGACGGTCACTTTCAGTCGACGTATCAGCCGTCTGCTTCTTTAAAACTCTCTCGTAGGCCGTCAAAATGTAGTCCAGCAGTACCGGCAACGAGGAGACACCAACTGAGCGATACCATGCCGCGTGGTAGTCGGGGAAGATCATTTTCTGCGTGCTTTTGCCAAGCCTAGCGTTTCGTTGCTGGATCTCAGCAGACGCCCCCACCGTATTCTCCAACACCAGCCATTTCCCGTTAGTCGTAGGCGTCGTCCCTTCACACAACCATTCCACCCCAAGATCAGCATAGTCCTCGTTGACAGTGTTCTGTGCATTGAAAGCGAACACGACCTGTAGCTTGCAGAACGCCGCAAACGACTCGTTCTCCGGAATCGACAAAGGGGACGGCCCCAGCGCACGCTCGTGGGTGCCAGCAACCATCCGGCTAGACTGAGCTGGTAATGCCGCAGACCACCGATTAAACGAAGACGCCATGGGCCCCAGCGCATACATCAAGTCTATCGTCCCGCGTGGGAGCTCTTCCTGGTACATGGCTACACTGGCAATTTTGGCCTTAGCGTTGCGACCACCTCCAACCGTGCATTTGGACGCTGTCACCAGTCCAGACGGGTACACAAGCTCTTCCTTGAACTGCAGCTTGTTGTCTACGTGGCACGTCACTTTGCTCTTCTTGACGTAGTGCAGCGAGTGCGATATCACGAGCAGATGCCACTCACCGGGCGCCAGATCAATCTCCTGCTGAATCCTCCTCCACTCCGGCGAGTTCGACGAAGGCGCTGCAATGGACGCCGACTTCTTGGCGTCCCCAGTGCTCCCCGGAGCGCAACAACTCACATTAAGCAGCACCCCATGCCCTCCCCCACTCGAGTCCTCTGTATACTCCAGCGACGCCTCCACCCCGAGCGTATTAGAGCCGTTCGTGAACCTGAAGAGATTGAACTTAGCGTATAAATCTTCCTGCGCCACACCCTCCACCGCCGCGCTCTCTTTCTTCGCCTTGGCGAGACAAAAGTCCACATTGATCCACACCGCCACTGAGTAGCCTCGGAACGCGCTCCAGTCCACTATAGGGAGGTGCATCCTCCCGTTATCTCGGAAGGAGAAGTAGGCAGAGGGGGGTATTACCCGCCCCCGCGGTAGAACGTACTGCGACTGACTGTCCTCCTCCCCTTCATCCGCTGCTGCGTTCTCCTCTGGAGGGAGCAGCAGCCGCTTGGCGAACGTCCTGGAGAGCTTCTGCACGTCTCGGACTAATCGCTCCCTTTCAGTTGGGGAGCAGTCCTTGTCCGCGACGAAGCAGGCCAGCATGGCCTTGCGCACCAGCTCATGGGCAGCTTTGGACGGCGATAACTCGCTCAATTCTCGCGACTCGGAGCCGCCACTTGGTTGCTCCTCAACTGTAGAATTTGGTTCTTCTTTGGTATCGTCGGCGTCGCCCCTGCTGGTCTGCAAGTCGAGTTTTGCCTGCTCATCGTGCTCCATAGTGTCTTACGCCGTAGTATTTTACCTTTTCTAGGCGAATACGGACGCTGCGGAGCTCGCGCTTGCGGGGTCGAGGGGAGGAGAAGTACGCGGAGCAGGGGAGTTTGTCGGCACGTGGGCAGGGCCGGCGAGAGCGGAGGAACGCAGCAATAAGCGAGAGCGCGAACCGAAGGTCGCTGTCGTGTCGCGCGATATTTAGGAAGTTATCTGTATGGCTTGAAGTGAAGGTTATAACTGTTACATATCGATATACATACGTTACTTAGCCGATGTATCCATTGATACAAACAGTAAGGGTTTATGGGGCCTGTTCTTAACTTCCATTACTGTGAACGGGTGCAACATGGACAGCTACTCCTCGTCAAGGCCGGGCCACGCGGTGTTGGTCTGCTGGCTGCTGCGGCTGCTAGAGCTCGTGTTCAAGGTCAGCGCTGCCGGCGAGGAGATCATGTACATCGAGAGCACCGCCTGGGTCTTGGTGCAGGCGGCGACACGCATTCTCCAGCATCGATACGTCCGCGACAAGCACAACCAGGCGAGCGTGTTGAGAGACGTCTTCGGCGGGGAGCTACACGATCGAGACCGATGCTTCCCTCGGCGAGGCGGACAACCCAGCGCGAGTGGACGTGCGTCTCGAACGCGGACTGTTCGACTACAAGGTGCAGAAGAAGGGGAAGTGGACGAGGCGGCAGTCGGGAGTCTTATGTTGCACGAGATCCTCGTTTACCTCGACACCTCCGTCGACGAACAGTGTTCATTACAACCCGAGACGGACGTCCTTAGCTACGAGTCGCCGGTCGAGAGTATCACGAAGAACCTGTATTTCTGCACCTGCCAGCGCTGAAGAAGTTCACAAACGAATTGGGCCCTTTCATATGCGGCAAGGGGGTAATTAGCGAGAAGGATCAAGAGACCATTCAAACCAGGGCACAGCAAGGCGATCTGGGGCACTATGGGCGTGTCAAGTGGCGCTGGTGCTTGCCGTTTATCGGCTCGACGCCGGAGCACATCATTAAGCGCGCGGAGACAAGGCTGCTCTTCCACCTCTCGCGAATGGGCTTGATGTTTCCATTTCTCGACGACGGAGAACAGTCGAAGAAGGAATTGCTGCTCTTTCATCCAAGTCATATCGGCCTAATGCGTCAGGCGTTCTACATGGTTGCGAAGGAAGAAGACTTCGAGCCCTACCTCTTCGAACGCCGGAACCCGCCTGCGGGCCATCCTGGTGACCAGAGCCGCCAGTATTCCCCTTCGACCAGAGGTGCTCAGACGTTACTAGTGTACTAAGTTTACTCAGCGCCAAAACCGGTATCTTGCAATATATATTATATCCGTCTCCCACATGCACACGGAGCTCAGCAGCAGGTATGTACAACACCAAGGAGCCGTGATCCCGGGGGCCAGGACGGCACATTGTTGCTGTAGCCTACAGCCTCTAAGCAGAAGGCAACCCACCTAATTGAGCCAAATCATCCAAAGTTGAAGTTGTCCTAAAAATAGATCCGCGCTTCTGATTGGTGTTTAACTGCACGTCAGCGACGCTGAGGGTCTCTACCACAACTCCCAGAACACTTGAAAATTGTATGCTCTCAGCCGTTACAAAATTGCTTCGGGTGAGTCAAAACATGGGCAAAGTCTCATTTGCCAGTCTGCGGCCGAGAGCGCAAGTCCATCGACTCAATCGACCCGGTGCCGATGGCGCCGCACACAGACAAGCAGAATCTGCAGGAGCGCCCCAATGCCGGCGAGAAGGCGAGCCTGCTCCCCACCAAGCAGTCGGAGCGAGGTTCCAGCCCGGCGCGCCCGCAGTACCGCTCCGTGATCGTGAGCGTCTGCTCCTTCATCCTCGTGACCGAGTTCTGCGAGCGACTGGCCTACTACGGGCTCTCCGGGTCGCTGCCCATCTTCTTCCACCGCAACTTGGGGCTCAGCACCGTGCTGGCCACGGAGCTCAACTCGACCTTCACGTCGCTGTCGTACCTGACGCCGCTGCTGGGCGCGTACGTGGCCGACCGGTACCTGGGGCGCTTCAGCACCATCGTGCTCTTCTGCCTGCTGTACATCGCGGGGCTCGCGCTCTGCGTGTTCGCGTCGCTGCCGGCTGTGTCGTCACTGCCGCTGTTCATGCTGGGGCTCTTCGGCGGCGTCGGGTTCGGAGCGGGAGGCATCAAGCCCAATGTCGTGGTGCTGGGGGCGGACCAGTTCGACGTCGACATCCCCGCGCAACGCGCCGAGAAGGACAGCTTCTTCAACTGGTTCTACTGGGCGATCAACGTGGGGGCGACGTTCAGCTACGGTGTGCTGACGAATCTGGCGGTGAACGGCCTCCCGCCCTACATCTCGGCGGACTTTGGCTTCTTCGCGTCGTTCGCCATCCCGTCCGCGGCCTTCGTGCTGGCGGCGCTGGTGTTCTACGCCGGAAAGGGACGATACCGCCGCGTGCCGCCCAAGGGCAGCGCTCTCAGCAAGTTTTTTTCCGTGCTGATTCAGGCCGGATCACGCTCGAGTCGCGGCAAACTTGTGCTCAGTGGAGGCTTGGCGTTCATCCCCGGTATCGTGTTGACGACCGTGTCGTACTTTATTCAAGATGATTTCACGCACATGGCGGTGGCGCTGGTCGGTGCGGGGGCTGTGGCATACGGCACGTTCGTGCTCATTTTCTCCGGAGCTGCGACGGACTGGCTGAGACTGGCGACGCGCACGAATGGAGGGTCCTTTTCGTTCCAAGAAGTGCAGGATGCGGCGCAGGTGGTGCGGCTCGCCCCGTACCTGGGCATCATCATCATTTTCTGGGCCGTGTACGGCCAGATGAACTCCAACTTCGTCGTGCAGGGCTGTCAGATGGACCTGCGGGTGAAAGGAAGTGATGAGGTACTGCTGTCGTCTGCGATGCTTAACGTTGTGGACTCGGGCGTCATTCTGATCTTCATCCCCGTGTTCGACCGCCTGTTGTACCCGTTGCTGACCAAGATGGGCATCTACCCTACGCTGCTGCGGAAGGTTGGCGCTGGACTCGTGTTCGCGTTGCTGGCTATGCTGGCGGCCGGGTGGGTAGAGCAGATCCGCAAAAGCAGCCCCATGATCGAGGGCATTTCCTCGAACTGCAGCGCGGCGGGCGAATCGCTGCCGATGTCGTCGATCAGCGTGTGGTGGCAGACGCCGCAGTACGTGCTCGTTGGAATCGCCGAGATCCTGACGAGCATCTCGGCCTACGACTTGTTCTACTCGGAGGTGCCCGAGTCCATGCGCAGTGTGTGCCAGGCGCTCAATCTGCTCACCACCACGCTGGGCTTCATCGTAGCGGGCGCGATCAACAGCATCTTCTCCTTCTGGGTTACGAGCGACCTCAACAACGGCCACCTCGAGTACATCTACTACATGATGGCGTTCCTCGTGTTCGTGCTGCTGGTGGCGTTCGTGTTTGTGTCCCAGTCGTTCGAGTACCACGTGCCTCCGCCCGGACTTGACTCCGTGTCTGGGTTCTCCCCTGCGCTCTCGCGTGCCGCTAGAGAATTGCGCAAGAAGCTGCAGTTCCAGCGCAATGGCAGCAACTAGGCTCTACGTAGTAACTATCTGATCAATTGATGATGACGACTTCAGCTTTATCACTTCACGGCCTAGAGCTCGCCGCGTATGGATACTTTTTATCGACGTTGTTACCCGCGATATCCTTGCAATGCACTAGGTAAGACTGGGGAACGTGGGTCTTACTAGATCGCTGGCGCTTAACCCGGGAGTGTTTCTAAAATGAAACATGAAGTGACTAGATGTACTTGATCGCCTGTCGCTTGAAGGCTGTTCAGCTACCTTCGTCTTCCGATCGAATGGTCGATAGCAGCGATGATGAACTATACATGAATCTTTGGTAACGCTTCCCGTAGGGAATGCATAGTTTACTACCTAAGAAGCAATCTATGACTCAAGGTCAACGCTTTTCGAAGCTCATGCCAAGTTTGTGGAACGCGCGAAAAGAATTTCATGATTCTCTGCTTATATCACGGTATCGATAAGCATATCGAGTATTACCTATGTGTAGCCTAGAGTTGGCAGTTGAGCTGGAGGTAGATTTAAAAGTATCCTGCACCTAATGCGGCTCCCAAGGCTACGATGATGGTTGGGAACTCGTTATGCAAAAGCTTAAACTCGTCGAAGTGTATCTCGTAAGGAAGCTGTTCGTAACATGGTTGAAGTCAGCGAAGTGGTCATCACCAATACTGCACGCGCGCTCGTAAGGGAGCTGTAGAGTCCTCCTTCATCCTCACCACGGTTGTCAATATTGCCACCAAAAGATGAATTCCACAAACCGGGGTTGATGATGGTTAAGCAACTGTAGAATTCCTATCGCGGTGGGTATCGCCACTGTATCCTCGGCATCGTCGTCGTCTAGGTCGTCAAAGCCACCAACACCCTCGCTCACAGACGCGCGAGCCTGTGATGTGCGACCGACTGCTCAGGCTCTCGCACAACGAATTCCGCGTTGTTCATGCCGCTGGTTAAGACGTCCAGCATGAAGCGCAGCTGCACGAAGCGTCCTGCCTCCGTGTAGAAGGCTGGCATCTGCAGCTTCATCGCGGCCTCGACGTTCCCTGTAACTCAGTCGACATTTTTTGAACGAAACAACGCTGGTGGAGCCCAACAGGCTACTACGTAGCCCTCCCGGTAAAATCATTTATTTCTGACGTGCTTGAAAGGTGAAGATGCCCGCTTATCCGTGCAGTTCTCGTTTGGTGTCAAAACAGAAAGGCGAACCATCATCCCGCTCATACCAGCACCCGCGAACACATCACTGCTATGACAGCACAGCTCCTGTGTTTTGCACCATAGCATGAAGCTCACCAGAAGCGATTACTGTACGCACCATGAGCGCTAACAGTTTGAAGTACTGACGTTTAATTAGGCTAATACTACGCGTAGCAGCTAACTATAACTACTTTCTGCATCGTTGATGCTCTTCCTCATCGGGAGGGAATTTGATAACACGAAACTCTGACGGCGTCTTGTTCGCCTCAGAGGATGAAGTACTCGAGTAGCCAAATGTCCTCGGGCTCCAAGCTACCGGCACTCTCTTGCAAACGCATCGACGGTGGAGTCGTAATCGGGGACATTGGGGACAAACACCGCGGGAACCAGTTCACGGACGACACGTCTAAGTCGACGGCCGTGGGGCTGGTGGATTCGTGAGTCTTCTCCTGGTCTTCTCCCACCGACGATGGACTCGCGAAGATCGACATGCTCTCGTACTCATCAATCCGCGGTGCGACGATTGCAGCGAGTGGAGACCAAGACAACCCGTGGGTGCGTTCTTGAGTCACGACCTGGTGTTGATGCTTCTTCTGCATCTTCTCGCGTTGCGCCTGACGCTTCTTGGCGCGGTCGTGACGGCACTTCATGTCGCTGCGCTTCTTGGTGCGGTTCTGCTGGTTGCGATGGTACTCGCAGAGCAGCAGCAGCGTGCCGTTCGCTTTGACTGCGCGCGTGTTTGGGCAGCGGCCCGTCTTGTATCGACAGCGCGTGGACGGCGAGCTGGCTGGTGAGGTCGGGTGCAGAGCCACCATGGTCGCATCGCCATTACTCTGCATGTTTGAGGTGTTATCCTTGCAGATTAATTGGAGTGGTCGTCAGCCAGCTTGAAAATCTCGGAATGGCTTCAAACGGTCCCGTGGAAAGCCAAGCGCCTCCAGCAGTAACGTGAAACACACCAGCGCTGACCGTATAATTCCAGACGTCAGATCAGAATAAATAGCTTTACCGAGGCCGTTGCGGCAAGCTGTGGGATTGTTAAAAGCGACCATGGGATGGCTCGTCGGGTCAGTAAATATAGGGCCTGCTATGTGTGGGATGGTTCTTATGAGACTGCAATGTATAGTTTTTCACTGTGGAGACCTGTGGATATTGGAACGCACGCATGCGCAGTTATGAAACGAACTCACTTTGGGCGCTATTGACGCCAGAAAAAGACTGATGTCACTTCCATTCTAATGAGCCTGGCATCAAGTTGGGAATGCTCAACGCCTACAAATAACCCGTCAAAGCTCGGAATTCGGATTTCAAACGGAATTCCCAGAGCTTCGTCGGAGGCCTTGAGCTTCAATTTAGAGACAACAACAAGTTCTTCTTATCACTTGCGAGAGCCACACCTTACCATACACGCATCATAGACGCACTTTGTTCGTCTTGAACCACTTGAACAGTCATAAGTCGCACGCCAGTCCGGATACAACAACACCAGACTCGACACTCGTTGATGATTGTCGGGGCGTTAGCGTTGCACACCACGCCAGCCGAAACGCATTCTTGTCCCAGGGGCGCAAAACCAACCTGCATTTACATTTAGTTACTCTCAGCAATCAGGGGAGTGTTGCGTGGTAAGTTTTCGTGCAGGATCCCATGAAAAACTATAAATGCCAAGGTCACTTTGGTCCCAAAGTGTGCGCGTTTGCTGGACTGGTTTGACGTTTGTCATCAGCAGAGCCGTCACCAAAGGACTGGCGACTAGCACTCGGGAAGATCGTAGGATGTGTATTTACAATGAGGAGAGGACAACGCTGAACAGCTCTGCATGCACGTAGTCTACAGCTCGGTAACCAAAAGATAATGGGAAATATTCAATTTAAACATCAAAAACTGTCGTCTTCCTACGTCATAGGTTTAGTTTTCAACGTAGAAGAAGGTCGAGTCTCGCGGCCGCGAGGCGTCGGTGGCTTCAGAAGCTCGGCTCATGTTGCTGCGGCGTTGCTGAGCTTCAGATGACACCTCGCTCAGCACGCGGTGCAGCTCGATGGGGTCGCACGTACGGCGGATCTCGTCGTTGTAGGCTCCGTTCAGCGGGTCGTACAGGCCCAGCAGACAAGAGAAGAAGCGGTCGTGATTCACGTGCTGCATCATGAGGCAGCACGTGGAGAACGGCACCTTGCCCAGCTTGTTCTTGTCCATGTATCGGAAGATGAGCCCGGAGTACGGCAGCAGCTCGGACGGGTGCTTGCACAACCAGGCGGCGAGAAGCTGGATCAGTTCGGGTTCCGCCAGGTGGCCATCGCCGTCTACATCGTGCTTCTCGAACAGGGCGCGCAGACGTTGCACGTACTCGAGCTGCGAAGGCGGCGCAGCGGGGGTGGCCGTCAGGTGCTGGATCTGCTTGAGTCGCAGATATCCAGAGCTTCGAATGGAGGCGGGCGTCTTCTCGACCTGCATCACCAAGTAGCGCACGCAAAAGCTCACGTGCTCCAGCACCACGAAAAGCACGATCTGGTACATTCGCCAGCTCGGCGTGTCACTTTCGTTTACGCACTCGCTCGGGTCGGCCGTGTCGTTCGGGTCGATCGTACCAAATGGAATCATGTAGGCGTTGCTGAACGTGAAGTTGCAGTCCGTTTGAAAGTATCCGTAGTGGTAGACCACCACGAAAGCTGAAACAACCGTCACACCGATAATGTTGGCGTACGCGAGCACTGTAGCCCACTCGCCGATCGATGTATCACGTCGCGGCATCGGCCTCCGGTTTGCAAACAGCAGGCGGAACGCATCACCTCGCACCTCCAGAACATTGTTGAAGAAAGCAGGGAACGGCAACAGCGGCCACACCACCGTGAACATCATCACGTAGGAGAACTGGATACACGCGTCCAGGTAATCCAGCACCGGGTCGAAGATCGGCAGCTTTACTTCGGCCAGGATTTCATACGCCGAGTACTTGTTTGAGTCGTCCGACATGGGCAGCACATTCACGAAGAATCCCGTGTCCTTCTGCACCAATTGCGCTAGACGAGTCGAAGTCAAGTTGGTGACAGATGCACCGTCATCCTTGGCTGCACGATTACTTTGTCCGCTGATAGCACTTGCAGTCCCCTGTGAGCTAAAGTCCGTAGCGGCTTGTGTGGACTCTCGCTGATGCTTCGCAAAGCGGAAGCGCCGCGACAGGTGTTGCACGCACCACGTAAAGGGGGACGCCTGGCGACAACCGATGGAGGGACGACCACGAAGCTTGCGAAGCAGATACGGGGCGATCGTCTCCAAAAGCATGTTCAGGAACTGCGTGACCACTAGAGGAGTAACGAACAGTGTGTCGAGCGTAAGAAGATTTGGGTTCCAGTCGTATGGCGCCAGTGCACCAAGCCCAATCTTGTGGAAGAGCTTCAGGATCGTATCACCGAACGGCAGGTAGACAAACGAGATAAAGAGGAACCAGAAGAACCAATTACTCCACACGAAGACGAATCGACGGTGGATCAACCGGTTTTCGTGGTCCGATTTCTTCGCGTAGTTTTCCCACTTCACGAACTTCTCCGACATCCAGTTGAAGAGCTCAAAGAAAATGATATCAATAAGCAAACCCAGAATAATACCCTGGATCAGGATATACACCCACCGATCCGTGCCCAGAGCAGAATTGGTCGAGTTGAAGCACGTAATGAACCAGATACACGCATACGAGTCGTCATCACTATCGCCGTTGCATGCGTCACAAGTCGGTGCGTTCTTGGCGTACACATACCACTGAATGAAAGGCACGAGACACACGCACTGGATGAAAGCGCACACAAGCACAAAGCAGAGCATCGTCAGCTGGATCCAGTGGTTCTTGCGCTGCTTGGGGATTTTCTCCATCTCGTGCGTGAGCTGATTCTTCACCCACGTGTACTTGAATCCCGGGTTGTCATCATTACGCTCGTACACAGTGTTCTTGTACTTGGTCAGATTCCACTTCTCCACAAGCAAGCGCGTCTCACGAGCCCAACACACCAAGAAAGACGGACCCCAGAAACACACCACGAAAACTCCAATAACTGCCAATCCTTCCACGTACTGTTTCCACAGCGGCGTAGTCGTGAAGCGGAAACACAAGTAGTAGAATAAACACGCCGCCGTGAGCGGCACCAGATGCTTCGTGTAGATGTGCATGAACGCAAACAGGAACGCCACGCGCTCTCCGAAGTGCAGACGCAACTCCTCCACTGCCCATCGATCACTGTTACCCGCTGCAGCCTTGCGCAGGTTCAAGTCGAACGTCCGCTTGCGATACTCGTCGAAAAACTTCCTGTTGAACGCGCGGTCGTGCAGTGGGAAGCACTCGACAATAATGTCGTTGACAGTGAGCTCCTTGTTCACGTCGATCACCCACTCCTCCTTGTCGTAGTCCTTAAACGCGTTCTTGATAATATTGTGCGTAAGCTGCAGCTCCAGTGCCGGCGAGAAGCACATCTCTTTCAGCGAGTCCAGCGACTCCTCAGCCAATCGGCCGAGCGCGTCGCCGCGCTTGATCGACAGCTCGTCCAATTCACGCTTGAACTCGTGCAGCAACAAGTCCGGGTTCTTCTTGGGGTCGATCAAGATGCACAGGTTCCTGGCCACGTCTTCTTCCTGGCTGTTCGGGTCGCGTTTGCTGCGCACGCCGCGCTGGTCCTCCAAGTAGTTATCATACAGCGCGTTGTCCAGCAGCACCACTCCGAGCCCGGCCTGGATCAATCTCCTCACGCACTTCTGCTGCAGCGCGCTCACCTGCTGCGGCAGGTCCCTCCTAATGGACGCCGCGGACCTGGACGGGAAGCGCCGCTTCAGTAGATGGAAAATCTGCTCCGTGTGCTTGAGCACGATGGCGAACGTGTACTTCTGCGACTCCTCGATGGACACGTGGGGCGCGCCGTTCATGAAGTAGTGCATGGCGTCCAGCGGCGTCTTCTCGCACTTTCCTTCTTCCAAACCTTCGTCATAGTCTCCGTCTCCCTGGCGCGCGAGTCCCTTGCCCTTGCGGTTGGACCGCCCCTGCTCCGTCTGGAACACTTGCAGCGCGAAGTTGGGCTCCCCCACCTCGGTCAGCACCGCGCCCTTGCGCTCGGACACGTGGGACACGCCGCTCTTGGTGCGCATGCGCGGCGCCGAGTGCACCGTGCTGGGCGCGGGCGACTGCGGCGCGTAGTACACATCGAAGGACGCGTCCTTGCTCTCGAAGACGCGCGCGCTGCTGCTGCTCTTGCCCTTGCTCTGCCGGTCCTTCTTGCGCCACGCGCCGCGCTTGCTCCGGTTGTTCTCGTCGGCCAGCGGCGTCACGCCGGCCTTGCTCGCCTCCTCGGGCGCGTGGTAGCTGTCGAGCGTCGGGAGGCTGCTGCGGTCCTCGTCGAAGCCGCCGATCGGCGGGTACTTGAGCCGCGCGCTGTTGTTCTTCCGCGCGCGCAAGAGCCAGTCGGAGGCGGGCGCGGACTGCGCCGACGCCAGCGAGTGGTGCGACACGAGGCTCGAGCGGTGGCTCTCGGCGCCGTCCGTGTCGTCCGACGGCCGGCGCCGCAGCTCCACGGCCTGCACGCGCGAGCGCAGCGCCTGCTCCTGCTGGGCGGCGGCCAGCGCCGCGTCCACTTCGTCCTCGAGCCGCTGCTGCTCGCTGGCCATGCGCGTACGCGTGGGTGTGGGCGTGACGCGCGGAGACGGCAGCGCCGAGTCGGCGGCGTCCGCCCGCGTCGCCATTCTCGGGCTTTGGAGGCGATTTGGTTATGGGCCGGCTGTTGGACATCTTGAGATGGCCTGGGATTGGCTAGAAAAGGGGGCGACGGGTTATAAGCCAATGAGGATATGTAGATGCAGGAAGTCAGTGAAAGGCAACTTGTTCAGCTGCCTGGCATGAGTTATTTATTATGGGCCGTTAAGCTTGATGTTTCTGATGGAGTCATCATGCTGTAGTTCGTGAGGCGGGTGGAAATCAGCTCGGGGGCAGTATTTTCCCGCCGTTACGACAGCCAGCGAGGCTTTCGCCGTAACGACACCTTGGTTTCGAGCTCAGCTGTGTAGCTCGGCGGGTAGTAAGGCAAAGAGAGGTGAGGCCCCGTGCAGCATTGCTGTAGCTGAACCCGTGGTGACCGAGTGGATGGCTTCAGGCCTGTCGTGGCGAGAGCTGATTGGCGACGATACTGAGCGAGGACCAAGACATGCATGCCGCGCCCGGTCTTTGGGGGACCACGAGGATTACTCCAGCGCGCAGGACCACGGACCAGACGCGCGGTAAGCGCTACGCTACTGGAAGCGAGGCACATCCGTATCCAGTCGCAGGATACCGAGTCAACGTGGATGGCTGGCTGGATATCCGTGCTCAACGGCTCGTTGCAGCGTGCAAATGCGTGTGTGACAGCAATAGGGGGCAATGATTGCACCAAATGCCTCGTTAGCATGTTGTCCGCTTGTGGAGTTTAACACCCTCGTTTGAGTACGACACCACGTGCTCTCCTGCAGACTCCGGTGTAGTCTTGCTGTTGCTCTAGGTACACCTGCACTACTGAACTCAGCACTGTGGGGTTCATTATGATAGCATTCATTGCTTGAGGTGGGCTGAGGACGGTGCTCTCGACTGCCGCTGCGCTACCACGAGATGCGGCTGTGCTGTAAGCAGAAACGGAGCGCAAGTATGCTGGTCTACAGTTCTCGAAAGGGCCTAGGTTGCTACCTAGACTGTCTAGTAACCAGTCTAGTCTAGACACCATGTCCAGGACTGGCATCGCCAATCCAGCCGCTATCTACCGCTATCCTCTGCCGGACTCTACTAGAGTCACTCTAGTCGCTGTACTCAATTGCGAGTTGTGATTGGCCCGTCAAGTTGAAGTGATCTCGTTCCCCCTCTCTAAGTCGACCCGCATCATGTTAAAGAGGGGTCTATAGAGTCGCCGACACGTCGGTCAGTTAACGATGGCGGCGGCGCTGGAGATCCACCGCGCGCGGCGGTGCGACTTCACGCGCGTGTGGGCGGCGGACGCCTCCGCCACCAACAGCCTCACGGCGCTGCAGCAGCAGGTCGGCACGGCGTGGGAGCCCTCGCGCACGTCCGCCGTGTCGCTGTCGAACGGGGCCCTCGAGCTGTCGGCGGACGCGTCGCTCCAAATCTCCGTCGCAATGGGCGGCAACCAGTCGCTGCATCGCCTCGCAATGAGGACGCAATTGCCAAAGGTGGACACTTGTAATACTATTACAGCTATTTCATGTTCTGAGATGGACACAGTTCGATAAAGTGTCCATTTAGCAACAATTACTGACAATTTTCGTTTAATTAATGGGTTCTGCTAGGCTGGACAAGCGACGCTGAGTGTGCAGCTGCCAGTGCTCGATGGACTGAAGATGGTCGTGGGCTCGGCGCCTGTGGACGCGGAGAAGAACGAGGTCTTTGTCGGGTCGTCACAGAACACGTCGATTGTTGCCGAATTGCCGTGCGTGACGGTGCGTTAGACAGCATGGAGAACTGGTGATATTGAAGAGGAGGGCTGATCTGTGCTGTATTGAGATGTTAGGATGCGGCGGAGGCGTTCCACGACGTGGAATTTGTGTGGGACGACGAGTGGATGCGGTGGTATGTGGACGAAGTGCTGCTGCTGGAAGAATTTATCCATGAGGTGGAGGAGGGAAAAAGTGCGAGCAGCGGTGGGGGCAATGTCGTCGTGGAGTTAGCAGTAAAGGGGGACGAGAAAGGTGGCAGTGGGGTGAAGCTGGCGGTGGAGCGGATCGAGTTGGGCTCGGCGGACGCGTCGGACCCATTGTGCGCGCCGCGGCATCCAACCGCGAGCAATTGTCGAGCGCAAGAGTGTACGTTGCCAATCAGATTGCGGGTAAATGATAGGTGGTTACTTACACGTACGGTGGTGATATTGTGTTGCGTAGCATTTTCTCCGCGGCTTGGGTCGGTTCAGGGCTCGCTGTCGGTGGACGAAGTGGAATCCTACATCAATGAAATAGCCGAAGCGTTTCCTCTCATCACAAAGGTGGACGTGCTCGGCCAGTCAGTGGAAAAGCGGCCTCTGCGTGCTCTGTGCTTGGGCGCATGCCACGTCGCTGAAGGCGAGCACGTCCCTCAAGCGCTCTATACTGGCATGCATCACGCTCGCGAGGTAATTTACCCCGTTTGCTTTCAACACAATACCATGGCCAACAGCTGGACTAACAGTTTCTCTACTTTATTTTATTTTATTCTACACACTACTGTATTTCTCCGCTGGCAGCCAGTATCGATGATGAACTTGGTGTATACAATCGACATATTGACGACAGACTATCGCAATGGAGACCTGGCAGCGTTGGAGCTGCTGTCATCACGCCAACTCTGGTTTTTGCTGGTTGTGAATCCTGACGGCTACGCGCACAACGAAATGATGCGTGTGTGGGAGCGCAATAACATGGGCCAGCGCAAGAGCGCTGCGCCGACTTGCGACAGAAGCCCGCCCGACGCAGGTGTCGACCTCAATCGCAACTACGATGTCTGTTTCGCGATCAACAGCAAGGGCAGCAGCAATGATCCCTGTGGCGATGACTACAACGGACCGACCGCCTTCTCGGAGCCGGAGACGCAAGCCGTTCGCGATCTGGTGGAGCGCAACACCTCCGACTTCAGCGTGGCCCTCAATTACCACTCCTTTGGCAAGTACTTCAATCTGCCATTCGCTTGCCAGGATGAAGGCACGCCTACAGAGCCAAACAACTCGGTATTTGTGGCGCTGGCTCGCGAGCTGGCACATTTCAACGGATTCGACTATGGTCAGTCGTGGAAGGAGGGCAACTTGTACACCGTCAACGGCGAGACGAGCGACTGGATGTGGCAAGCGCACGGTATTTTCGCCATGTCTCCCGAGGTGGGGCCAGCATTTGAGGTGTCCTCTGTCCCCGGGTTTTGGCCACCGCGTGAAGACGTCCCTCACCTATCAGCTGAGCTTCACTACACGAACCTGCAGCTCGCGCGCATGGCAGGACCTATGTACTCCCTGGCTGTGAAGGGCGTGCAGTTAGGAGCGATCGCGGATGGTGACTCGACGTCTTCGTTCGTGTCTGTGGAGGTGGTAGTCTCAAACAGCGGACTTCGACCTGCGTCTGCGGAGTTGTTGGGATCTGTTTATGTGAACGGAACGGATGCCAGTGAGGCTGTGCATCTTGAGCTCAAGGCAGAGCCGGAGGGTTTTACACAGAGTGCGACTGAGGAGGTTTATACACTGATGATTCCTCATTTCGGAGACGATTTCCACAAGTCCATGAAGGAGATTGATGCGCTGTACTTGGTTGTGCGAGACGCCCTCAGCTGTCATCTCTTCCGTGTCGGTACGTTCTGCGGTGATGCGTTGCATGCAAAAAGGTGTTAAGCCTAACAATCGTTCTTGCGCGCTTTTAGCTGTTCATTTCGATACTGCTGCTGAGAAGACGAACCTACCGAACTTCCAAACGTGGACAGCTCTCCCGCTGCCCCGTTGTGGCACATGCGAGCGATTTGGAGCCCCGCAATCCACCGATGGATCCACAGACAAAGCCAGCACCTCTCCGGTTTGCTCAGGAATGGAGGACGTGGTCGTCTTGAAGTCGGTTCGCACTCGAGATATCGGCGTGCCGACGTCTTCTGGATCAGCAGGCTCCACCACTACCGGCTCCGTGACTCCTGCTGCATCTTTATCAGCTCCTACTATCGAGTCCAACCCCACTGCCACCGCTGCCAATGTCAATGTCAGCTCCAGTGGTAGCATGTCAGCGGAGACGACTAGCGAGCAGCAAGCGTCGAATTCATCATCAATCCTGCCCTCGTCTGTGTCGTGGTCGGGTCCAGTTGCGATGGCAGCGTTGGCGGCCGTGGTGTTACTTGTGGTGGTCGTGCTCTTCTTCCGCCGTCGTTGCCGGCGAACCAAACAGAAACCTGCCAGGACCAAGGCGGCGTCTGGAGTTCAGAAGAGACGCAGCAACGTGCAGTACTCGCGCATCGGTGAAGACCCCAACTCTCCTGCAGCCAGCGACAAACAACTCAACTACGACGATGATGACGAAGAGTTTGATTTACTCGACGCCGAATGCGGAGAGAGAGGCCTGTCGCCTCAAGATGAGGACGTGGTGGTGTCCAAGGATCGTGCAACATCTCCTCGTAGAACGTCGAAGGCATTGCGTTCGTCTGACGAAGAGGTGGTCTAGAAGCTGCGGGGGGGCTGAAGGATAGACGTGGTGGAAGGTTTGAGTGATGGATGATAACGTGTGTCGAGCTGAGTATTTGGAGCTTTATCTCATGATCTTGTCGGCTATATTTTGCCTGTTATCCTCAGCTCAGGTTGGCAAGACACCACAATGCGATGGTGTCGTCTTATCCTGGGATATCCTCTCCAGATCGGATGATCCCGTAGTACACGCAATTGTGGCAGATATCTGGGGCTCACCAAGCTGTACTGACACTGAAGAGGCAGAGGAGGGTATGGATCATCGTATACAAATGCCTAAGGACGATGGCACAGCAGCCGATGGTAGTGTGGTCTGGAGCTACGACTGCCTCGAAGAACGTAGCCTCATCGGAGACAAACCCAGCGCGGATGGCAGCTTCAAGCTCTTTCACATTGCAATCTACCAGCTGAACAAGACATCTTCAAGCGAGGAGCCTTCCTCTCCAAGTCCCGCAGCCTTCACGGCATTTCAGCCTCCGGACCGATAAGATCATGATACCCGTTAGTCGCTACTTCACGCTGCTGCTAACGGCGCTCTCCGTTTCGACCACGACAGCAGGATACTCGTCTTCCTGCCAGACAACGCTGGGTGGTTCGTATCCGACCGCGGTCGCGGCGTATCCGGGTCTGAAAGACAGCATCGAGCTCATAGCGAAGCAGCAGGTTGCGAATTGGTACACTGATCGAGTTTCCGATGTTCCTGCGCTGGCCAAGGCCGTCGTACTCCCAGTCTGCAGCGACACGAATGAAGCCACAGCTCCACCCACCGTCGTCGTCTACGGACTACCCCAAAAGGACTGCGCGCACGGGTTCTCGACTGCTGGATCCAACGCCAACAGTGACGACTATCGCACATTCCTACAGCAACTCGCAGATGCTGCAGGCAGCCAGCAAGTCGTCTATATCTTGGAGCCTGACGCGATCGGTCTTCTCGCGGATGGAGGCTGCGGCAATGACAAAGGTTACGCCGAGAACCTCGGAGTGGCGATGGACATCCTCTCGCAGAACCCCAATGCTGAAATCTACCTGGATGTGGGGTACTGGGCGCTGTCCGACGAAGACCAGGCGACCGCTGTCGCGAAGATTGTGAATGCCGTGGACCCGAACTGCAAGTGCAAGGGCATCTCGCTCAACACGTCGAACTATCGCTCCAACGCGGAGATGGCGGCGACATGCGAACGGTTCGTCAAAGCCAGTGGCCGCCGCGAGTACAAGTGCATTGTGGACACGTCTCGCAACTTCGTGAGTCCTTCTAGCACGGAGTGGTGCAATGCCAACTGGGCAGGTATCGGCGAGCTGCCCACGACCAACACCGGGTCCGAGTACGTGAGTCGCTACGTGTGGGTCAATCCTCCTGGCGAGAGCGACGGCGAATGCACAAACCAATCCGACCAGGCACTCCGAGGGCCTGATGCTGGCGTCTTCTTCCCGGACCACTTTGTGCAGCTCTGGAACAACGGCGCGTTCGTCCAGAAGCTCGGAATGGCCCCCATCAGCGTCGCTGGTAACAGTACGAGCAATGGGACTTTGGACACGCCAACGCCAGCATCAGCAACAGTGACGCCGGTCCCGGAGCCGGTGATGGTAGCGCCAACCCCAGCGTCGACAACCACCACGCCATCGACCGAGCAGGCCAACACCCAGGAGGTCAAGATCACATCGCTTGCATCACTTGATCTCTCAGACGAAGGCCTCGCTGGAGTTCATGCTGGTGGATGGTATTCCGACGACGGCGACGATGTTACTGCAGCCCCAGCGAATGCGCCTACGACCCCCACGCCAACTACTTCGGCTGCAGTGGTGGTAGATGTTGAGCCTCCGCACACGGCAGTTGTGGTGGACGTCGTTCCGGAGGAATATGCTGTCGATGAGGACGCTGACTTCACCAGAGTGGGCGGCGATGACACGAATAACGAGTATGCTGGACGTATTCGCACGCACAAGCCATACCAGTAGCTAAGAACTATCCTAGCCCGAGCTAAGCTAGGCCACACCAATTTGAAGTACTGTAAAACCTCTAATTGTGCCCCACCCTCAATTAGTACCCCACCCTCAAATAGTAACCCACTATCCACTAAAAACTTAGTACAGTACCCCTCCAACCTTAGTATTGGAATTATTGGCAGCGTGAAGTTTCTTGTTGCCGGTCTAACATAAGAAGGGTGCTGTTTGCGTTATCTGTTGGGATGCCACATTTTTCAATTATTATAGTTACCGTCGTTGCTCTCACTCATATACCGCACAGCTGCATGTAACTTTTTAAAGTTAATTAAAATTAAATTTAGTTATTAGGATGTAAAACAAGGATGAAAGCTGATTTTAGAAGGAATGTTTTAAAATTCCAAAAACAACATTATAAATTGTTTTTTCTGATTTTAGACGCTAAATATGGCAAAGCCTGCTCCTAAATATGTGTGAAAGAAGATACACGACCTGCTAAAATTATGCATAAATCCACCTCTTGATATATATATCGACTTGGGAGGGCCTGTCAGCAGCCATGCATTGGCCCAGTACACCACCGTCCATGATCCCCAGCACATCCACCCTCTTATGCATAATTGCCGTGTGTGTAGGTGCTTGTGGATAAAAACCGACAGAATTGCAGCTGCACAGCCAGAATTGCACTTTCAAAAGTGCAATTGTGGCGCTTTTCGCGTAATTCTATGCCTCCACCCATTTATGCACCTCGATTTATCGTAAATCTAGCAGGTGGTCGCTATAAATACAGCAAATCTCGCCTCATATTGCCAAAATCATTGCAAAGCACAATAGCTGGGCACTTGGCTTTTTGCTAGTACCCCACCCTCAAATAGTGCCCCACCTCCCTTGCGTGGGTGGGGTACTAACTTAGTACCCCAGGGGCACAATTAGAGGTTTTACAGTAAGTAAATAAACCTCCGTGAGTCTGTCAAGCACAGTAGGTCTTGAATTGTTTGCACGTCATGAGCTCCAGACGTTGGCCGGTACACCGTTCACCCTAATTAGTCGTGTGACCTAAATAGTCGTGCACCTTTGATAATCATTCCACCGGTTTTGAAAAAGATTTTCATTTTCACCTAAAATCGAGAAAAGAGACCGTAAATGTGTAGAGCTCGGCAAGACGAATTGCGTAGTACATTTAGGCCGTGTTCGACTTGTACACACTATTCGAGCTCGATTCAAAAGGGACTGGTATCGGACAAATTGTTGGTTTGGGAGGCGCTGGTTTGGGAGGCGCGTAGAAAAGGCAGGCTTATCCAGAAAATTTTGCCTAGACCTGAATTTCAAATCCAGCTCTTTTGAGCTTATCGAGCTGGATCGCTTTTTGGGTGTTTCAGGTCGCAAACGAGCTGGATGATTCATCCAGGATGAAGCAAATCCGGCTGCATTTGGCCTAAAACAACTGGATTGGATGCAAGTCGAACACGTTAGTTTTTGGTAGATTGGAATAGTTTTTCAGAAAACTGAAATTGAAAACAGGGTGAATCACTCTTCAGGTCGTACACGGTAAATAGTCAAGGCACGACTAATTAGGGTGAACCCATCCAGACACTCATCGCAGCGCACCGAGCATCACTTACGCTGTGCGATCAATGCATCTCTTTGCGTCTCTCCAAAGCGTTGAGGTCTTCAAATACACATCCGCCGAAGATAGCCATGAGACTGTGTGAGCAAAGCGAAACGATTGCAGCCCCGCCCAGCGCGCCATTCCCCTTTAGAGCTGTCACCCAGCCAAGACATCGCCCACCTCTCTCTCTTACCAACCGGAGGACACGACCACGATCCACAGCCATGCAGCGTGACGAGTGCATCTACAACTTGATCCCCAAGGTGCACGTGGAGCCTGTGAAGCCCGAGCGCTATCGTTCCAAGTTCGACCCTCATGTGCAGCCGACAGGGAGCACCTTCGGTGTGCGCGGCAAGACCAAGCTCGATGGCGCGAACCTCGGCACGGCACAACGGATCGAGAAGCCTGCAAGCGCTCGCGGCTTCGGGCGTCTACCGGCCAAGCCCGACCCCAAGTCGTTCATCCGCAAGGGCGAACGCAGCGCCACCGCCGTCGTCTCCAAGAAACGTAAGCGAGCTTTACTGCCTCAAAAACGCCTCGAGTTATTAACCCGCTGTCTTTCGTTGCTTGGTCTCCAGCGGGCAAGTTCAATTACCCCGGGGCGACAAGAGCTCCCGTAGTGAAGAGGGACGACAAGCCTATCATGGGGCTCAAGTCGGCCAAGAACTTCATCACGGCCAACGCTGTCGAGACCATCCTCGCTGTACCCGGCAACCGCGCGCGCGTGAAGAACGAGCCTCCTCAGTACATGACGAAGGAGGACTACGGCCAGGTGCCGCGGTACTTGAGCCAGGTGAAGGACGAGATCGAGCGCGAAAACTCCATGATCGAGGAGTTCGTGCGGCAGAACCACAACCTGATGGAGGAGGACAGTCGCGATCGCGTGGAGGCCATGGACGAGAGCGAGCGACTGGCGCTGGTGGACGCGCTCAAGTCCAAGTGGGACCACGTGAACGCCAAGTACCAGAAGCTCTGCCATAACGTCGTTTTCGACACCCTTGGCAAGGTGCGGCGAAAAGAGACCTTCGAGAAGGAGCTGACGCAGCTCGAGAAGGACATTCAGCTGCTCGAGAAGGGCCACGTCGTCGTCAGCCAGAGCAACAACGACCGCTACTGATCCAATGTCAAAGCAGCCTAGTCACTCTCTTCTTAGGCTCCCCCTTTGACACAACAATATATTAGCTTCACCTCTGTTGTTCTGTTCGTTGGATCACGCGGTAGTTCTGAGTTGAGAGGGCGTCCCTGCTGCGAGCTTCTCCACCTCGTTGGCGGCTTCTTGGATGCGATACACGAGCGACCGCAGCTCTTCCACAGAGCAGGAGAAGGACACCGTCTGGAACCCCGAGCTGCCAGCGCTAGGAGACTGCAACTTCAGTTGCACAAAGTACAGCGGCTCGTGGGCGCTCCCCGCGCTGCTGGAGCGCAGCACGTAGTCCAGTCGCCACGACACAGCCACTACATGAGCGAAGTCGAAGCCTGCTCCGGTGCAGAAGTAAAGTAGACAAGGCCAACAGAGCAGGAAGGTTAGACGCCCAGCACATCACTGAAAGTTCATAACCGGATCCAAGTGCAGCTTACTGGTATTCTCCAGCACGCACTCCACACTCGGCACAGCGGTGGCCAGCACTGGCAGCAGCTTCGTCTGCAGTTCTTCGTCCTCCACTCCAAGAGCGAAGAGCTGCAGTCTGTTGGGCAACATAGCTCAGTATAAAATTAAAGAGTCTTGACGATATCTGCGTTGCTCTTGGAGCTCGTACCGCTGCTCCACCGGCGTTCGATTTCCTCCGTCTCTTGCACAAGTCGCCACGATAGCACACATGGCTGCGAAAGCTTCGTTGTCGACTGGAAGCTGCTGCTCGGTGGCGTTCGGACTGTTGGAGGAGTAGACGAGGTCTCCAGTCATTTCAGAGACCGCGGCGGTCGCAAGGGACTGCAGATCTGCGATTGGAAGCGATGAGAGCAGGTCGAGCGCGTGACGAGGCACCACACGCGCATCGCCGTCCAGGACGGCCGCAGCATCTCTCGCGAAGCCTCCGGCCATGACTATGATTTGGTATTTGACACGCGATCTAGGAATGCAAGATTTAGTTTTTGACATGGATTTCCAAATGCGATATTATCAGATGTGGGAATTTCAGATATTTCAGAAAGTCATTTCTTATGGCGCATTTTGCCATAAAAAATGACTTTCTGAAATTCAGGTTGAAGCGGTTAGAACATAACGTTACTTAACGAACAGATTCAATAAGTTCTCACTTTTTGGATGAAGACGATACATTAGAGAAAGCCCCAGAGTAAATATATATATATATATATATATATGGTGTCACTTCTTCCAGCAAGCGGTTTGTCATCTACATACTCATCCAGGATTCACGTTTCATGATGTAGGAACAAACAACCAGAAAAAGCTTCCATGAACGCGTTGCGAAAAGTAAATTCCAATAAAACTTAGAGACGGACTTACCATCGGGCAATCATGATACATCTGAGCACGACGCTGTCTCAGTTGTTGAAAACGTATTTTGCACGCAGCCCACGCCCTCGCAGCGGGTAGTTCGTAAATTTGATGATCCATTCCACACACAACCCGCAGACAGAAATATGACCAGGCAAGGTCTTCAACAAAGTAGGCAATCAAAACAGCTAGTACAGACCAACCAAGTCACAACATGAACCAAAAGACGCTAGTATACAGCCATATAATGGTTTGAAAAACATCTATTGACATTCTATTGAAGTGAAACTTTAAATGACAAAACACAAAACTCAATACATCTTCGCAAGCCTTCGTGGATGCCAGACGCCGCTGGACCTAGGCGAAGGAGACGGAGCTGGTGGAGTACTAGCAGAGCGATCCCGAGGGCCCGGCGCCCAGCTTCTTGGGCTCGCCCGACCTGGAGCCCTGCGACCACGCGCAGACGTCGACCTTCTTGCCCTTGATCTTGATGTTGTCGAGCGTGGCCTGGTCGCCCCAGTTCTTGTTGACGGTGACGAGGCTGACCTTGCCGTTGACGGCCAGCACGTTCTTGAGCGAGACCTTGCGGTCCTTGCCGCCGCACGTGCCGCAGGAGCGGTAGAGCTTGCCGAAGTCCTGGGCGTAAAAGCCCTCGATGAAGACGGCGCCCTGGCCGTTGTGCTGGATGACCTTATCGTCGGCCGAGCGCGCGCCGCCGCCGATGACCCTGCTGACGCTCATGGTTCTAGCGTCCTTTGATCTATTTCACTCCTTAACTAACTCTGCATTTTTCAAGTAGCTACTGCGGAGTATTTTGATTTTCTGATGATGTTCAGAGGTCCTCTATTTACTTTTGTGTAAACTATAGAGTCCTGATATCGCTGTAGACTGAGCCTAATTGATAAATGGTGTTGGGATTGTATTTCGCAACGCGTTCATGGAAGCTTTTTCTGGTTGTTTGTTCCTACATCATGAAACGTGAATCCTGGATGAGTATGTAGATGACAAACCGCTTGCTGGAAGAAGTGACACCATATATATATATATATATATATATTTACTCTGGGGCTTTCTCTAATGTATCGTCTTCATCCAAAAAGTGAGAACTTATTGAATCTGTTCGTTAAGTAACGTTATGTTCTAACCGCTTCAACCTGAATTTCAGAAAGTCATTTTTTATGGCAAAATGCGCCATAAGAAATGACTTTCTGAAATATCTGAAATTCCCACATCTGATAATATCGCATTTGGAAATCCATGTCAAAAACTAAATCTTGCATTCCTAGATCGCGTGTCAAATACCAAATCATAGTCATGGCCGGAGGCTTCGCGAGAGATGCTGCGGCCGTCCTGGACGGCGATGCGCGTGTGGTGCCTCGTCACGCGCTCGACCTGCTCTCATCGCTTCCAATCGCAGATCTGCAGTCCCTTGCGACCGCCGCGGTCTCTGAAATGACTGGAGACCTCGTCTACTCCTCCAACAGTCCGAACGCCACCGAGCAGCAGCTTCCAGTCGACAACGAAGCTTTCGCAGCCATGTGTGCTATCGTGGCGACTTGTGCAAGAGACGGAGGAAATCGAACGCCGGTGGAGCAGCGGTACGAGCTCCAAGAGCAACGCAGATATCGTCAAGACTCTTTAATTTTATACTGAGCTATGTTGCCCAACAGACTGCAGCTCTTCGCTCTTGGAGTGGAGGACGAAGAACTGCAGACGAAGCTGCTGCCAGTGCTGGCCACCGCTGTGCCGAGTGTGGAGTGCGTGCTGGAGAATACCAGTAAGCTGCACTTGGATCCGGTTATGAACTTTCAGTGATGTGCTGGGCGTCTAACCTTCCTGCTCTGTTGGCCTTGTCTACTTTACTTCTGCACCGGAGCAGGCTTCGACTTCGCTCATGTAGTGGCTGTGTCGTGGCGACTGGACTACGTGCTGCGCTCCAGCAGCGCGGGGAGCGCCCACGAGCCGCTGTACTTTGTGCAACTGAAGTTGCAGTCTCCTAGCGCTGGCAGCTCGGGGTTCCAGACGGTGTCCTTCTCCTGCTCTGTGGAAGAGCTGCGGTCGCTCGTGTATCGCATCCAAGAAGCCGCCAACGAGGTGGAGAAGCTCGCAGCAGGGACGCCCTCTCAACTCAGAACTACCGCGTAAAATTCAGATAAGGGTGGTGTAGGAGGAGAGACTTTTAACATACATGTTCGTAGTACATACATGTTCGTAGTACATGTACTTCTCTGGCCCACATAAGAAACAACACTTCGGTTTTCTGGACATAACTATTTACAAAAAAATCGTTTGGCGACTCGCAATACCTCAACCGAAAGCTGCGCATTTGCTCCTATGATTTAAAAAAATCTAGCAGCAGAAAGAAAAGAGAAACAGCCTTTTATCTGAAGTCCGTTTTAGGCAACATTAGGTTTTTTAGCGAGGTGCCGTCAAAAATTAGCGATATTAGAAAATAAAATATCACCGTAATCGCGAGTGACTGCTTTACCCTTATATGTTCGGTTGTCGATGTTGTAGCGCCTGTACAGTTTTGAGGTTTTTCTACGCGATTATCTCGACATGCGCGGACCCATTTATTTTGGCCAATAGTAAGCTGAAACAGTTGATTATACTCAATCATATGAGACATGTGGTCCACATCAAATTGAGGTTTAATGCGGAATGTTGTTTCTTGAGTGGGCCAGAGAAGTAGTCCGTAAAGTTGCTTTTCGGTGGTCGTCTCTCCACCACAAGGGTACAGTGTACCCTATTCCATCGTTGAGGTGCGCTACATCAAACCTGCTGCATACAAACTCCAAGTCCGCCTCATTTGAAGCGCAGCGCTCGAGAAGCGTGAAGAGATCTCGCCATGTTCCTGTGCGCTCGCGACGCGTCCGCGCGGCCGCAAGGCGCTTCAGACGACGCGCAGGCGGCTCCTCACTCTCCAGCCGACGCGCAGGTCGCAGATCCTCGTCCTCCGCGCGCTCCAGCGCTCCAGAGGCCGCCCTTTCGCCGCGCAGACGACGCACAGGCCTCCGCCGCTTACCTGCAGGTTCTGGACGCGCTGACGCGGCTGGTGGCGCAGCTGCTGGACGTACACACTCTGTCCCCGTCGCTGCGGTTCGCAGCGGGCGAGTCGGTGGCTGTAGACGCCGCCGAGTGGTGGCGCGAGGTCCAGCGCCAAAGCATCGCGCGCGTGCAGCGGCAGGAGCGCGCGGAGACGGCGAACGACCGGGCAGAGGACACGGAGAAGAGCTCAAGCAGCAGGCTGTGGCCGCTGGCGGCGCGTAGTCAGGAGAAGACGCTCGAGCAGGAGCAGAGATCGAAGGACAGCGGGGTATTGGCCTCTAGTGAGGCCTTTGAGGACCTCCCGGGGGACACTTGGAAGGACAATGCGGCGGGCTTCTTCGTGCAGGCTCTGTATCTGATTATGCAGGCGATGGATAGAGTGTCCAGAGCTCAAGGACAGGAGGACGACGAGGGTCGGAATGTGGACGCAGAGTCCTTTGTGGACGCTCTTGCCAGTGTGGACGCCGGCGTGGCCTTCGCTGCCGCCGAGTTGCTGCAGACGTGGGCGCCTGTGAGTCAGAAGACGGTCGTGGACTCGGCCCAGAAGCCGTCCAAGTTGTTGGGTGTGGCGGTGGTGAACGTGCTGCTGCAACCGACGGGCGTTGGGACCAAGCACAGCTTCCACGAACACGCGCTGCTGCCGTCGCTGCCGCTGCGCGCGTTCCTCGGAGCGAAGCAGTGGAGGTGCTCGGTGTGTGAACGTGTGACGCAGACAACGGGTAGTGATGCTGCGCGCGCGGTGTGTGTCTATCGCTGCGCGGCGTGCAACTTCAACCTGTGTCGTGAGTGCTTTACGAGGATTCCCAACGCGGCAGGAACTAGACGGAGCAACCCACTGGCAGATATGACCAGACTCACAACAGACCGATTTTTTAGACTGATCGTGCCTCAGCTGAAGCACAAGTCGGGCGCGGTGGTGGTACGCCAGATTGCACAGGAATTGCGACGGCGGGTGCTGGAGCTGTATCCGCATAACTTCCAGGCGGCTGCGGAGTTTGCGCAGTTATTTCACAAATTGGTGGCGTCGGACAAAGCGGCGGCGCTTGCACTGGTGATGTCTCCGCCAGCGTCAATGCCTTCGTCGACGGCAAGGCCAGCAGTTGCGTGGTTCCCGCTGTTTATGAGGACGTGGACCATGTCGTTGAGCACGCTACTTGGGCCGTTTCTGCGTGCTTCTACTATGCTCGAGGATACACGCGAAATTGACACGGCTGTGAGGGCTGCGAATCACGGTTCTGCAGTTGCTGACTGTCTGCGTGCGCAGTGGACAAATGGCTACGCAGAGTACCGAACAACGTTGCAAACTCTCATGAGGACACTACTATCTAACGACCAGCACCCAGTGGTGGTGGACGCCACTCTGTGCTGGCTTGCACTCACATTAATGACGGCGGACCCACGAAGGCGCTTGAACTATGATGCCCACGAGCGACTAGATGGATTTTTGGTGAATGTTACCACGATGCTGCTCGCTTACACCTTGCCTCTGCTAGACAGAGCCCAGCATGATTCAAGCGTTATCGATGCCCACTATCATCAAAGTGTGGAGCCTGTTCGGGTCTACGCCAGCAAGGATTTTCCCGAGGTTCCGCTTCACTACTCGCGCAGCACGCAAGATACGCGTGCCAGCGAGACCGCCGCCGGTTCTGAAATGTCGGAGATCCAGTCAAGTGACGAGAGATGTATAGCCGAGTACAATGTGCGTCGAATACGGAGGGACCAAGACAGGCACGATAAAGAAGACAACGAGGTGGAGTCCACCTACTATTACCCGCGGCTATCCTGCCACGAGGGAGTAGTGTGTGATCGGTGCGAGTTCGCCAATATCCACCATGTCCGGTATAAATGCGCCTTCTGCGCGGATATGGATTTATGCAGTAGCTGCTTTGAAGACTTCCGCTCGCACCAGGCTGCTACCGATTCATCGTCCGAGTCTGAGTCGGAGGCCATGGTGCATTACCCGGATCATGTATTTATTCGCATCGAGTCGCCGATCCCAGTTTTCGCTCTGAAGCACTTCCAACCGTTGCCTGTGGAATGGCTTACAAGCAGCAAACAGAAGGACGATGCAAGCGTGTTGAGCGAATGTGTGGATGGAGGGTTTGATGCTTCAAGCATCCACTGTGCTGATTGTGGAGACACACTGGGTGCAATTGGTCAGCTTGACCATGCATTTTACAAATGTGCAAACTGTATGGACGCTAGATTCGTGTGTGCCACGTGCTTGACGCACGAGGAGAAGCTCAGCAACGGCAATCCGAACGGAATGCACGCTCCTGGACACGTGTACTTTGTGGTGACGGACCCATGGCGGCGTCAGCTCCAAATTCCGTGGGGTGACGTTGTACGAAAGCTGCACTTTCAGCGACTATTGCATCCGCCGGCGCTGATCCCGCGTGTTCGTTTCCGACGCGATACGGAGATGTTCTATATTACACTGAAGTATCTTCACTTCGGCCCTCTCGCTACTATGTCGCGTTGGCTGAGTATGTTGAAAGAGGTCCAGGAGCTGCAGGCATTCTGCGCCTGTGATGAAGAGCAGTATGAGATGGAGAGTCAGCGAGAGAGAAGAGGACGACGGCGGCAGGATGGCTCGCAGCGGCGATCGATGAAGCCGTCTGTGCACTACAAAGCTAGCAAAGCTCGGCTTGAGGATATCCGTGTGAAATGTGTGAAGATGGAGTTACACTTGCTGGAAAGTGTCAACGTAGCGGAGTGGCTGGTATTCTACGCGCGGTCGTGTCGCTGGCTATTCCACTCAGCGTCTACAGCTCATCCAGATTCCGTGGCAGGGACTGTGCCTCAGGATCCGTTTGCTGAACCCTTATCACACTTCTCTTCGACGTTTAGCGCATTCCCCGAGCATTTTTTCTTCGACCTGTGCGACGTCGTTTACCTGTTGGGTCTCGAAAAACTGGAGTATCGGGAGCTCGTTGCCGAGCTGAAGAGAATGAAGGGAAATAGTGCTGAGAGCGAAGCACTTGATGAAGTCGAAGAAGTTGTGGAGCCGCTGCTGATAATGCTTGTACAAATAGTGGTGGCTCCGAAGTTCACGAAGAATCCTCACCTCCGAGTGGAGGCGCTGCGCTCACTGACGACTCTACTGACTTTCGTTTCGAAGGGCCAGCAAATCCAGTACCGCCCTGGGCATCGGAGAATGGAGGCATTATTTAGGCGGCATTCGTTGCTGTCGCGTTACTTGATACCCGGTCTACTGCAATTTCATTCCGATATGGATCGATACAACGTCAGTAACAACGGCCTGGCCTTCACCAGCGCTGTGTCAAGTGGAGATCACATGTTGTGGGGATTCCTGCCGACGCGAGTATCGGTAACGATGCTGCTGCGTTATCTGTGGCAGCTCCCGAGTCAGCGTCAAAGTATCCTACAAATGCTTAACACATGGGATGCCATTGAGGTCCCGCAGGCTTCACTATCTGCGGAGGCGAACGATGACAGTACTCAGCAGTTAACGGGGCTTGTGAGCGGTTTGTGGAGCGATATCGCCAAGCTTTTCGATGAGGCTCACAACAAAATTGCGACGCTCCGACAGATACACGATCTCATTGAGGACTCGCTGGACGGAAGTGTGGTGGTGCTGCCGTTTCGACGTGACATGCTGGATGGGTATGTAGCGATCAATGCAAAGCAGCTACGGCTGACGATGCGTCTGCTCCTGGAGGCATTGGAGTTGACATCATGGTTCGCTGCAATTGTGAGCGGTGAAGGCAGCGCCCGTTCCCGATCTTTGTCGGCCCCTGCCACAGCGCTGCGGCACGTTTTGTTACAACCACTTGTTGTGGAACAAGCGGCACGCACTCTCAGTTTCTTGGTGGCCTCGCTTGCGAATGCGCACGAAGAGAAAGAGTGGGCCTTCTCGTTACCTCTGGTGGAAGATGGCAAACTGCTTTTGGCGCACCTGATTGTGCTTGTGGTGCGCTACTCCGGCCACAGTGCCTTGCCGTCTTCTGGTTCGACCTCCTCCAGTTTTTGTTCACCGTCGTCGTTCTGGAAAATCGTGCGGTCAAGTGGCGACATTATGGAGAAGCGCGTGGGCGACTTGGACACACACGTGCGCTGGGGTTTGAACGCTTTGTGCACGCGCATTGAATCGGAAAGCTACCTCGGATCGAGCCTGGATGATGACGACGATGATGATGTAGAAGAAGTGCGAATGATAGCCGAAGCAGCAAACCACGAACTGGATGAGGACGAGGCCCTGGCGCTGCTGGAGAAGCAGTCTGAGGCGATCAGCAGCTCTGTCACTGATACTACTACAGCGAAAAAGCGGTTGGGCAAGCGCTTTATCGCGACGTTGGCCAAGGACGGCCGCTTCGACTTCAGGCAGTTCGTGGGCGGCTGCCGATTCTTGCGGCCACATCGAAAGCAAGACGAGAGCGGTAGCTCGGACGGCGAGGAAGACTCGGAGGGCGTGGAAGAGGGCTACCTTTACCTTGATGGCTCGTGGGTGCAGCAGTTTGTTCGCACGATGCACGAGGCCAATGAGATGATCCACGTGCAGGAGGCCATGGAAGCATGTCTCGGAGATATCCCCGACCAGTACCTGGATCCGCTGCTCAGTACCCTGATGACGGATCCCGTACGTCTGCCATCGGGCAACATCGTAGATCGCGCAGTGATTGCTCGGCATCTGCTGGCCTCGTCGCAGCAGGGCGGAAGCACTGGGAGAGATCCGTTCACCCGCGAGCCGCTGACGATGGCCATGGTGGAGCCCTGCGACGCGCTGCGATCAGAGATCCAATTGTATCTGCGTACGAAGATGAGGCACTTCCGCAAGACAGCGCGCGAAGACGTGCTGGCTACGTGGGGCCTTGGCTGGGATGTATTGTTCGACAGCAGCAGCGAAACGGAGGCCGACTCGGAGGATGGAGTGGAAGGTGGCAACAGCGCATCGACGAGCTCCACGTCGTCCTAGGTGAGTCATGCACAGTCTCGCCTATAATTATTTGACAAAATGTACGCATGAAAAGAGAAGAGAATGAAACTTGAGGCTTACAAGCGACAATCGTGGCAAAAGTTTTATTTGTCCAGGTTGCAAGCGTCACTGAAAGCTGTGAACGATATTATTCTGCCCGAAACAGTAGATCTACGACGACGCCGAGGACACCAGACCCGCGTAAATCCCATTGCGTCCCAGCAACTCTTGGTGCGTGCCCTGCTCTGCGATTCTGCCTCCGCTGACGACGCAGATCTTGTCTGCCTTGCGGATCGTCGACAACCGATGCGCGATGATGATGGTCGTACGGCGTTTCAACGCCATCACCTTGTCCAGAGCCTCCTGCACCACCTTCTCGCTCTCCGAGTCCAGCGCACTCGTGGCCTCGTCCAGTAGCAGGATGTCGGGGTTCTTCAGGATGGCGCGCGCGATGGCGATACGCTGCGTTTGACCGCCAGACAACTGCTCGCCCTTCATGCCCACCTGCGTGTCGTAGCCATCCGGGAACTTGGAGATGAAGTCGTGCGCGTTGGCCATCTTGGCTGCCTCCTCGATCTCTTGCTGGCTTGGCTCCTCGGCTAGACCGTACGCAATGTTCTCGGCGATGGTGCCGATGAAAAGCATGGGCTCCTGACCGACGAGGCCGATGTGGCTGCGCAGCCAGCTCAAGTTCAGGTCCTTGATGTTGTAGCCGTCCAGCATGACCTCGCCATCCACGGGGTCGTAGAACCGCTCAATGAGCGAGATGATGGTGCTCTTTCCGCCTCCGCTTGGTCCACAGAACGCTACGGTCTCGCCCGCTTCAATGGAGAGATTGTAGTGCTTGAGCACGCTCACTTCGGGTCGCGTCGGGTACCGGAATGAAATGTCCCTGAAGTCGAGTCTTCCTTCGAGCTTGGGCAGACGGACGCCGTCGGAGCTGAACGAGTCGATCGGCGTGACGTGGTCGCGGAGAGCGAAAATGGTTGAGCCGGCCTGGAAGGCTTTAGGCGCGTCGCCGAAGAACTTGGACGCGCTTCCAGCGATCTGGATCGACATCATGATGGCCATAAGCGTCCGCATCATCTCGGAAACGTCAATCGTGCCATCGTTGGCGCCGAACCAGAAGATGAGCGCGTAGGCAGCCATGAAGATGAAGGAGCTGAAGCCGAGAGACAACCCGTTGACTTGCGCCTCCTTGCTAGGGGCTCCTCAAGCAGTTCGTCGAACACGGCAGCGGATTTTTGCTGGATGCCAAGCGCGGCGACAGTGCGAATATTCCCGAGAACCCCCGACACGTGGGCGCCAGGGACAGCGAGGTCGTCCGAGATGAGAGAACGACCCTCCATTTCCTTCATACGTGCCAGAATTCCAAACGCAAGTAACGGCAGAATCGCCAACATGATGAGCGAGAGCAGCCAACTGCCGAAGCCGAAGGAGATCACGAGAGCAGCCAGCATTGTGAACACCGCCTGCCAGACCTGAGCCTGAGAATCACCCGACAGCAGCGCAACTTTGACGGCATTTGTGGCTAGGTCGGCAGTCAAAGCCCCCGTCGCGTTCTTCTTGTCGTCGAAAAACCCGACGTTCTGTCGGCAGAGGCCCTCAAAGTTCGCGTGACGCAGGCGAGTGGTGACCTTCTCCCCGATCAACTTGAAGCTGTACGTTTGCAAGGTGAAGAGTACAACCGCCACCGCGCCGACGATGTACAAGATGCCGTAGAGCTCCACGTTGTCGTACAGTTCGCCCAAATATTTCTGGTCGCCCGAGTCTTCGTACAGCCCGAACTTGCCCGTCATCGACGTCATCATCTCGGCGACTAAGAGCGCCGAAGCTGGGGTAAGGATGCCTCCGAAGCATGCACCAATGATCCCCACCACATAGTAGTTGCGCTCAGGCCTGCTGATCTCCGCCAACTCCTTCAACCCGAATGGCTTCTTGTCCAAGACGTTGGTCTCAACCGCGCGCATTGATGAGATATCCGTCTTCGCCGATGCAACACTAGTACGGCGTGACACGGGAACAAAACTGCTCGTCGCTTCAGTACCGACATGACGCTCCTCATTCAAGCGCAGTTCTTGAGTGCAATACATGGATCGGTAGATGCCGTCCACGACTTCCAGCAGCTCGTCGTGTGAGCCACTTTCCACGACGCGTCCGTCTTTCAGCACCACGATCTTGTCTGCGTTGCGAATCGTGCTCAAGCGGTGGGCGATCACCAGCGTCGTCATGTTCGTCGAAGCCATCAAGTCGTTCAAGGCCTGCTGGACGAGTTTCTCACTCTCGTTGTCGAGCGCACTCGTGGCTTCATCCAAGACGAGAATGCTGGGCTTGCGGACGATAGCACGGGCGATGGCGATTCGCTGCTTCTGGTCGCCCGAGAGAGACACGCCTTTCTTGCCGACCAACGTGTCGTAGTTGTCCGGCAAAGACATGATGAAGTCGTGCGTGTTCGAGAGCCTGCACGCTGCAACAGCCTCCTCCCGAGTCACGTTGATGCCGCCCATGGCAATGTTCTCGAAGATCGTCGTAGCGAACAACACCGGCTCCTGTGAGACCAGACCGATCTGCGAGCGCAGCCACTTGACATTGAGCGTCTTCACGTCACGGCCATCGAGGTAGATGGTGCCGCTGCTCGGATCGTAGAACCGCTCCAGAAGCGCGACGAGTGTGCTTTTGCCGCCGCCGCTGAACCCAGCAAACGCCACGGTTTGGCCAGCCTCAATGGTGACGTTGTAGTCGCGCAGGATCTGTGCGTCAGGACGGCTCGGGTAAGCGAAGTAGCCTCGATCTTGCCTCTGCAGGTCTCGGGGGTGAAGCCTTCGTCAATTTTCTCTGCGTCGATAGTGCTGGGCGTGTCCAGGATCACGAACAGCTCTTTAGCTGCTCCTAGAGCGTTGGAGACAGCAGTAATGTTTGGCGAGATCTGTCCAAGCAAACCTGCCCCCATCATCACTCCAAAGAAGGCCGCAAAAACGTCGCCGGGTGTTGCGTTCCCCTGCGAAGCCTTCCAACCACCGTACCAGAGGCCGATCGCCTGCATGAGCCAAGTGCTACCAAGGAACCCGGACAGCACCAAGGACGACGTCTTGTGCATGGCAATGTTCTCCTTCTCCGCCAGCAGAACTTTGGTCTCAAACTTGGCGATGGCCTTCTTCTCGCCGTTGAGAGACGGCACAGTTCGGATGGAGCCCAGAGTTTCCTCCGCCACCGAGCCAGCCTCGGCATACACCTTCTGCGCCCACTCAGCCTTGATACGCATCGTGGTGATCACCCAGCTCAGCGACATGGACGTGAACGGGATCACGCACGCCATGACCAGCGTGATGTCCCACCCGCGAGCAAAGCCAATGCCGAAACCCACGTAGAACTGGATCGTGTACCGGATGGAGTCGCCGAGCTTCTGCCCCATGCCGTCCTTGATCTTGACCGTGTCTCCAGCGGCTGGAAAGCTGAAGGGCGTCGTGCTGGTCGTACCAACCGATGTCCAGGTACAGCATACGCCTCAGCGCCTCGCTGCGTAAGGCCTTCATCTGTCGCTCCGCGCTGTGGTAGAACGACACATAGGACAAGTAGTCCGTGAAGAAGAGACCCACTGCGATGAGGGCGAAGTCCAGCGCCGCCTTGTTCACGGTGTCCATATCGATCGGCACGCTCGCAAACCCCGTCATGACGTCGCCGAAAACGATCGCCATGAACGGGAACAGGGCGCCGTTTACCCCCGTCGTGAGGATGCCGACCGCTAGCAGAAACTTGTCGAAGCCCGTGGCGTAGCGGTAAAGCTGCGTGAAGTTGAAAGAAGAGGAGGAGTCTTGCTCGCTCTCCTTGGAATCGGACAAGCTCGAGTCGGTGCCGTCGGCGTCGAACGCCGCCGTTGACGCACCCACGTCCTTCGCACGAGACGTCTCGATCGGTCGGTATGGTGCGCCGTCATCGTCGGCATGGTCAAGTCGAAAAACTGCGGAGATCACCCAAGGAATGGAGTGATGCAGTGGCAGGAGATTGCAGAATGACCGAGTTGACAAAGATTCCTGCACCGCAACAAAAAGAAGACCAACCAACACTCAGAGTGCGGTTTAGTTTTCGTGAGATCGCGTTAAGAAGACACAAGGATCGACGGACAATTTGCGACCAGCTTTTGGCTTGTCAAGAAGATGTAGGTGTTCACCACGCAACAAGCCCTCTGTCGTTCCGTGGCTTATAGTTTTTCGGGATACTATTAACTAAAGTTTTAACAGATCATAGCTGTCTATTTTAAAATAGACAGCTATGATCTTCAAAAGGATGGTGTAGGCGTTGGTGGGTTCTCAAAACACAAACAAACAAATCCAGCTCCGCGTTAGAATGCTATGATAGGCATAAAATGTACGTAAATTTGAATTTGTTGCGGTTTAGTCGGCTACCTACTCCCGGAGACGCGCACAGCTGCATCTCCGCCTACGGCGGTCGCATCGCTAGATCTCTAGGATACGAGTCCGCGGTAGGCGCCCAAGTAAAATGTACGTAAAGAGCGAGCTCCCTAAGCATAGAAGTCCGAAGTGTGATGTCTCTGCAACCTTCTCCCCCCTTCGTAATATTCATGGGTCGTCCTTATTTTCGAGTACATTTCGCGGACTTTCGAGTAAAGAGTGGACTTTCGAGTACATATACCTCTTTTGAACTCGTGCATTGCGTTGGCTTCCAGCTACTGACTCCGCTCTAAGAACGTTGAAGGTCGGTATGTCATTCACGATCGTAAATAACGTGCTACTAGCCCTTTAGGGAAACTTGTCTGATGTTTTCTGCTGGATAACGCTTAAATTCTCAATTAGCTTCCTTACATCCGCATAAGTGGTGGTTCGATGCGTTACTTCCCCAGATACATTCATGCTGTGTCTTCCTTCGGTCTCATCCAGGGTGGCAATGCCGGACGTGGCGCCTTTCCTAAGCCACGAATAAGGTTTATGTGAAATTACTCGGAAGTCAGTGAAGTGTACTCGCAATTAAGTAGCACCCCATATTCATCGCAGTCCTTCCAAGATCACCTTGTTATGTTGGAAGCGATAAATTGCGGCTTGGTCTGACGTTTTGACGGCATTGAGGTCACGGAGAGACGATGTTGGAGTGCCTTCATTCCAGGATTTTTCAGCTGACCAAAACGAAAATGGCCACATGTATATTTATAGTGCCGAGGACCTCATTATTCGTAGTCCGACTAGTTAGCGCCGCGCTGGGCTTGCTTTCATCATACCAGACCCCATGGCGAGCGGCGGACGCAGGTGACGACGAGACGAATAGCAACAATTCAATATTGCCTTGAACCATACTCACCACCTCGGTAGTCGCCGGTGTGCGTTGTGCCAGCAGTTCTACGCCTCTGGGTTCCGTGACAATGTGCCGGCGGGGGTGAGTCGACCAAGCGTAGCCATCTACCATGAAGGTTTCGATCTAACGGACTGCTCGATGATGACAGGAGCTGCTGCGTGCGCGACGAATGCTGATGGAGCGCAGCACGGAAGACGACGGACCTACAAGCCGATTGATCCGCGAAGGATTCGACCGGTTCCTCGCTGATCTTGCGCGCGAGCGCGAAGCCCTCGACATCAGCCAGCGCACTATGCCGTTGGACGTCTGCGCGTTCTGCGTGCAGTTCCTGCCGTCTTCGTACAACGTGAGCGGCGACGGCGACGAGGAACAGCGCGTCCAGAGTCCAACCAGCTACGCTGTCCGGGCAGCTCCCCCTTCGGAGCTCATGACGGCTCGCTGCAGTACAGGGGCTCAAATGCGCTCAAGTCTCGTGATTCAGCATCAATTTCCGAGCAAGGCTACAACCTCAGCAGCTCTGGGTAAAAGTCCACGAACGGCACGAATGGCAGCGAGAATCCATCGACCTCGAAGCTGCACTCGACCTGCCCCAACTGCTTCAATGTCACCACCTCGATCGTCTCCGACGTATCGTCTTCTGTCAACAGACGCCACGCGGGTGTTGCGTATCGAGTCGCCAGTTGCAGCGCTGCACTCGATGTCGATGGGGCAGGAATACGACCAGCATCGCGTTCTATTGACGGAGGCCTCAGACGTTATGGGCAACCTTCGCGAGCAAGAGAAGCAGCAGACAGCGACAATCCTGCGGGCTGAGAGCAGCAAGCGGGAAGCTTATTACCAGCAACGCGCGTTGTCAGCGAAGTTGGTTCAGAGAATGGCTCGTGAACGGGATGAACGGATGACGGGGGCGATTGATCCAGAGTCGCAGCAACATCAGAATATCATCGACGCGCTTATCCGAGGAGCAGGGACTTTGTACACTGGTGTTGTTGTCGCTCAGCAGGAGAATAAACCTCCAACTCCCGCACCTCGATCAAGTCTCACTGCAGCAGGCTCCAAGATTGTCACGAAGAAACACGGTCGCCACTTTAAAACCGAGCTCTTCTTCCCAGCTATCCCTTCACGAACAGCGCCACAAAAGTCTAGTAGAAGTTGAAGTTGGCGTTGGCGTTTCATTGGTGACGAAGTCCCCCCTTGCATTGATGCACTCACTTTTGCTTATTGGCTTTTTCAAGGGTCCATACCCGCATTTACTTACCTGATATCAGTTTAGAAGAAACGGGTTAGGGCTGACATTCTGATTGAGTCGCCCAGGGCTATTTTTGACCAAACAATTCTGTGTTTACTGACATTTCCAGAATTGTGACATGAATAGAATTTGAGATTTCACTGCATAAAGATGTAGAGTTTAGTGGCCATATGTCATTAAATCGGAGGTACACGATTTAGAGGGCACTTTCCAAACAGAGAAATGCTAATTTGGCTCAGCAACAGGACGACGGGTGCAGCTTTATCTAAAATGCTACAGTTTATGGGCTGTGATGATGTGACTAAATGCCTCGTCGCATACGTTCGTACATGTACCCTGATTTAGAGCGGAGGGAACACGGTCAGCAAGCTTATATACGGAAGCGTCAGACTCAGTCTCCTACAGTTTATTTAAGAAAATAAGATTGGACAGACTCTCGCTTCAAGCTCGTGCCTACCAGCCAGACCTGCTCAAGTGCCCGCGAAGCAGGGCCGCGCGGTATTTGCGTAGGCGTGCCCAGCGACGAGCATTCCAGCGAACGGAGCCGTTGCCCCAACTCGGACTTAGTTTTCTATTGCGGGGGTCTGGGGGTGCAACCCCCAGCATGTAAAGCTCGCAATGCACTTCTTACATGCAATGACGAGTTCTTCATGTAGTTCTATGATAATAGTGTTCCTAATCGAAGATGTGATGTCAGATCGGAAGCTGCACTGATCTACAAGTACACGTGATCGCTTAGACCCAATTAATCAACAGCTTCATCAGATCCATAGTATATACTAATTTGGAAGTCATCGGCAGTTACTAGGACCCCATACTTTATGCGTGATAACTTGCCCAACCATACAAACGCAAAACTCACCTTCCTTCGGTGTATTCAAAAACATAATAGTGTATGCACGTAGCTACATTTTTTTCTTTTCATTAGCGTTGCTGTTTACAGACCGAGCCATCCCTGGTCGCTGAAGAAGAAACCGATGGTAGAACCTGCCGACAAGCCGAAGAACAGGCAAAACACCATGACAGCGCCGCCCGACTCGCGGTCCTCCGGCTTCAGCATGCGCGGGGCAACGCCCATAGTCACCGTCGACAGGAATCCGTTCGTGACGCCAATGATGAGGTTGAGCACGATGTTGTAGGCGATGGCTCCCATGTCGTCGAAGCCGAAGGAGTAGAGCGACGTGCCGGCAACGCCCATGAGCAGCAGCGGGATGAACCCCAGACGGATGATGGAGAGACCGAGGCACCACTCACTGGTCAGCAGCTTGTACACCGCAGCGCTCGTCATCACGCGACCGAAGAAGTCGCCGTAGTTGTACGAGCCGACAATGCCGGGCGAGCAGTACCAGTTGGACGTCACCGAGTGCGTGACGTCCGAGTACGGTGGCTTGAGGTTACGCGCAGCGGCACAGCCGAAGCCCGGATAGACCGACAGCGACACGAAGAAGACGAGGAACTGCGCCAACGCAGGCACCCAGATGATGAGGAAGATGCGCCACAGGTTACTGCACGTCTTGCCGAAGGGCAGCGTGGCCAGGCTCTCGGCCCGCATCGACTCTTCATTGCGCTCGACCAGGAACTTGACGCACGGCAAGTTGTTGAGATGGCGGTACACGAAGAGCGCGACGATGAGCACGACAATGAGGAGGCCGAAGAAGAGGTAGAACGAGAGCTTGGTCGAGTCACCCGTCTGCTTGACGCCACCCACGGCCAGACGCAGGATGGTGAGCAGCGAGACGTTGATGATGCCAGCGGTACCGTTGCCGATCTGCACGGCCTGCGAGAACTTGGGGATCGGGAACAGCGCAGCGAACGTGTAGTACGTGGCCTCCGTGAGTGAATTGCCGAAGCCGATGCAGCAGAAGCACACCAGCACGAGGATGGCTCCCGTCTTCTCGTTGGAAAAGTCGATGGCGCTGAAAACCATGATGAGAATCGCCATGAGCATGAAGATGCCGTAGCCCACGCGCACGCGGAAGTCGCGCGTGATGGACTTGTCGAAGCCGAAGAACATCTGCAGGGCCTGACCGATGACCATGGGCCAGGCCGTGCACAGCGTCGTGAGGAACGAGAAGTCGAGTCCGGAGTCGGCGAATTGCACGGTGTAGAAGTCTTGAGCACTCAGACACGAGTAGTACGCCCACAGCACGGACGCGTTGAGGAACATGAACATGTAGAAGATCTTGCGCTCGTTCTTGATCATGTCCTCCCAGATTTCCTGGGGCATGCCGTCGTGTCCGGTCTCAAGGCTGTCATCGTCTTGGATCGGTGAAATGAGCTTGTCAGCCTTGGTGGGCGAATGCATAGCGGGTGATCGACCTTGGCTATAGTAGTAGTTGTTGTTGAGCGGTAAATTGTAGAATGGGGGACTGGGAGCCGGGCGCTTCGCCACGCGGTCCTCACGACCGGTGTCGTTGACTTCGTGCTCGTAGACGAAAGCACGACTTTCGCATGGTAGTGGCCCGACTACCAATAGATCCTGATCAGCACGCCTTACTTACCCCTTTCGAACTTGGTTGCACTTGAGTCACAAACTTGCTTACTTGAATAGAAGAACGCATGTGGCACGATGTGTTTCTACAAGCTGTAAATTTACTGTGTCTGTATATAATAGTAGCCTGCTATAGTTTATAACTCTTAATTGTTGCTGCAAAAATACGCAGAATACCCATTCAGAACAAGCACCATTGTAACGATCTTGTGTATTTAACTAGTTTATGGGGGTATTTCACTTTTTGTATGCACTCAAGTTGAATGAACTGAAAGTGAAAGACCTCTTTCAGTAAAACTCAAGTTCCGGGTGTAGCAGAAGGCAAGTAGACTTTGTTTAGGATTCGACAAAAGGCCCCAAGATACAAGAAAAATGAAGAAAACCATGATATGCAAACTTGCTGTATCTGCTTGCATTACATTTAACGTATTGAAAGACTTGATCAACAAACAAGTTGTAAGAATCGCTGGATCATTCACGTGGGATGTAAGCTTAAATAGCTCAGACTGCTTTGCCTGTTAGATGAGCGACGGTGGAGTGAGGCCGACATGAATCATTGTGTATAACTTTTCGCAGGCCTTGAATGCATGAATGAATTGCTTGCGTAGAAGGCGCAAATTGAACTTGAATTTTGACTTCAATTGCATCAAGTCGGTGCTTACCCAGGCGCAGGCGCGTATCGCTCGTGAACACCAACAATTCCTGGTCTTCACCGTGAACGTGCGAGTTCACGAGGCGGCAATGCGCTGCCGATCGCCAATGTCACACAGATTCCGCCTCGACTAGGTCAGCGGTGCTGCAAAAAACTAAAACTGCAACACCACGGCCGCGTACGGGGGCTCCAAGTTGCGGTTTGCGGCACAGCCGAATCCAGGGTACACGGCCAATGACACGAAGAAGACGAGGAACTGCACCAACGCGGGGACCCAAATGATGCAGAAGATGCGCCACAGGTTACCGCACGTCTTGCTAATCGGAAGCGTGGTCAAGCTCTCGGCCTTAAAGGACTCCGCATTGTGCTCCAGCAAGAACTTGACGCACGCACGGAATGGTCATCAAACGGTAGTACACGAAGAGTGCCGCAATCAGCACGATGATCAGGATGCCGAAAAAGAGGTAGAACGACAGCTTGGTCGAGTCACTCGTCTGGTGGACACCGCCCACAGCCAGCCGCAGAATTGTGGCCAACGTGATGTTGAAGATACCAGCGGTACCATTGCCGATCTGCACGGCCTGCGAGAACTTGGGGATCGGGAAGAGCGCAGCGAACGTGTAGTACGTGGCCTCCGAGAGCGAGTTACTGAATCCAATGCAGGCGAAGCACACCAGCACCAGGACAGCTCCTGTCTTCTGGTTGGAGAAGTTAATGGCGCTGAAGACCATGATCAGATCGCCATCAAGATGAAGATGCTGTAGCCGACGTGCACGCGGAACTGGCGGGTCATCTTCTTGTCCAGACCGAAGAACATCTGCAGACCTTGGCCGATGACCATGGGCCACGACGTGACCAGCGTCGTGAGGAACGAGAAGTCGAGTCCGGAGTCGGCGAATTGCACCGCGTAGAAGTCTTGGGCGCTCAGACACGAGTAGTAGGCCCACAGCACGGAGCCGTTCAGGAACATGAACATGTAGAAGATCTTGCGCTCGTTCTTGACCATGTCGTCCCAGATCTCCTGCGGCATGCCGTCACGCCCCGTTTCGACGCCGTCATCGCCTTGAACGTGTTGTACTTGTCAGCCGTCCGGTCTGAACTCCCCCCGCTTGTGAGTTCGTGCCAGCAGCACCTGTCCCCTGCCATCCGCTGACAAGCAGACCGATAGTATGGCGTTGCGGTTGCGAGCAGACAATGCTGTTTATGCCATTGCTGCTCGGATGGTCGAAGTTGAGCCATCCGCTGTCAACTGAGACCAGGCTCACCAGTCGGAGTGTTAAACGTCCCCCCAGCGGTGTCGTTGCTCCAACCACTCGTTGGAGCTCGCTACATGTATTAATATCGCTGTCTCTAAGACTGCATTTCGCAGCCCGCCGGTGGATTGCACACATGTACTGTAGCCACATGAACTGGGACGACTGCATAGGGTGGGGCGTGCACGCCCCTGGCTGATGAAAATGGCCCGCCCTTATTGGTGCGACCAGCGACTGAGTGCAAATTTTTTGTGTTCGTCCAAACTGGCTCAGACTGAGAGCAGCACGACTTGGCACACCGATCGAGTCGGGGGTCGATGGCTTGCGGCGCTCCAGCAACCGCGACGCCGATGAAAGAGAGACCGCACTCTCCACCCAGCACCACTGGGCTGGGCCAAACAGACCAGCACTGCTGGCAACAGCAGCGCCAGCCACCCGTTCCGAGTCGATGCAAAACGCCGACTGACTGCCCGTTGCTTGCACGGTGTAGGTGGCCCATAGCGCGTGACCGAGCGACTCTATCTGTCACGACGCGACCGTGTTCTCCCAAGAGACGACGATGTTGAACACGCTCGGGTACCGGTAAATCGCTCTCCACGTCGAAGTCCTCCTCGGCGTAAGTAGGCAGTCCCCGAAGCAATCCGCGGACTGCTTACCGGCGGCCCAAAAGGCAACTTGCAGCGCATTCACACGTCGGTTGATACGCACGGCGGCATAGTGGAGCCAAGAGTATATCGCGGGATGCGCTTGAAGCTGTCGTCTACAGCAGTGGGACGCAGACACGAATCAGCAAATCAAATGAGCCCACGCGCGGCGCGTCGCGCGGCGATGCGGCCTGATGCGGCCGGCAGCATTGCAGCACTGCGGCAACTCGAGCCTGAATGCGAAGGCTGTCGGCAACTCAAGCGTACGCTTCACCGCTGTAAGTGCAACACTCTACATGTAAGCAGGTTTCGTGAAGCCAAAGCTCACCAAAGCGGGAACGCAACGCCGGCCAAACATGAGAGTCGGTTCTGCATCTTACAAATCCCGTGTTACAAGCGACTTGTAAGCGCAGGCGGCGGCGTCGACGACTTCAACGTGATCGACGTCGATTGATCGACTTTTGTTGGCAACAAGTAAGTTGTTGCCCACCACCACCACCACGCTGAGAGGAGCATCGGCATCGTTGGTAAATCGTTTCTTCATCATACTGATCATACTGTACCTCAAATCTGTCCGAAAGGGGGAACATGCAATAAAATATGATCACATCAAACGGTGAATAAATACCTTCAAAAAGATATGGTGCATATAACAGTGTCGACTACTGCATTGGGGGGAAAGCGTAATGTACCGTAGCTCCTCACAAACCTTACACAAAAAGGCTATCCCCAGCGTTCGCAGTCGCAACAGGCCATTTTGTTTTGCTGTGCGTGCTTTTCTTATTGAACGAGAGTCGCTTTGCGAAGACCTCAGTTCGTTCCAGGAAGGCAATCCAGCCTCTTCCAGTTTGGAACTGTGGTATATACATATTTTCGCCAAGCATCACTTCAACTTGGATCAGTCACCGTTCACGGATCGTCGAGACTAATTAATGTCGAGCGGTGCCGCCAGCCACACGCGCCTTACCTCGTCAGCGGTGGTCAAGTTCCACCAAATTCCATCATAGCTTCCACCTCTCACTTCCAATTCCGCCTCGACCTGCTCAAGCCAACAGCGCCATGGATTCCCCGGGCAAGACGGACAAGCTCGTCCAAGAAGACCCGCTCGAGATCGGGCGCGACGGCATGCCGCCCGAGATCTGGGACGATATGGTCAAGCACGAGAAGTTCATATACTTCTCGCTCATGTTCCTCAACGGCTCGGTGCTGTGGGCCTACTACTCGTGTCTGAGCGCCCAAGACTTCTACACGGTCGAGTTCCCGGAGTCCGGCCTCGACTTCTCTTTCCTGACCACGCTCTGCACGGCGTGGCCCATGGTCATCGGCCAGGGGCTGCAGATGGTCTTCGGACTGGACAAGAAGTTCGGCCAGCGCACGCGCGTGCACGTGGGCTACGGCATCTTCATGCTCATGGCCGTGCTCATCATGGTCTTCAGCGCCATCAACTTCTCGAGCCAAAAGACGGGCGCGATCCTCGTGCTGGTCTGCTTCGGGTGCATCGGCTTCGGCAATTCGCTGTCCGAGGCCACGTACTACACGTTCGCGGCGCTGTTTCCCATCGAGAAGTTCACCAACGGCGTGCAGATCGGCAACACGTGCGCCGGCATCCTCAACATCACGGTGGCCACGGTGCTGCGTCTCGCAGTCGGAGGCGTGAACCAGACCAGCAGCTCCACGAAGCTGAGCTTCTACCTGTTCTTCAGTCTGTTGGTCATCGTGCTCATTTGTGCCATCTTGCTGTACCGCTACTTGATCAGCCTGCCGTCGGTCAAGTTCCTCATGGACCGCAACGAGAGCTCGACCAAGGAGGAGCACCTGGCCAGCCAGTCGGTCGGCCGCACACTCAAGAACCTGGGCCGCATCTTCCGCATCATCTGGATGCCGGCGCTGGCTCAGTTCCTCGTCTTCTTCGTGTCGCTCTCAGTGTTCCCGGGCTTCGGCTGCGCGGCGTCGCGCAATTTGTTCCCGCCGTATAACGACGAGGCCCACACCCTCACGTCCACTTGGTACTGCTCGCCGGGCATCATCGGCAGCTACAACTACGGCGACTTCATCGGCCGGATCCTGTGCACGGCGGCGGTGTACCGCGTGGTGACCATGGGCTGGGCCTTCGGACTCTCGGTGCTGCGGATCGCCTTCATCCCGCTGCTGCTCATGGGCGTGGCCGGCACGTCGCTCTACTCGTTCCCGTTCGGCAGCATGGGCGCGCTGGCCTTCAACATCGTGTTGAACCTATTGATCGGCATTTCGACGGGCCTGCTCTCGACCGTCACCATGGGCGTGGCCCCGCGGATGTTGAAGCCCGAGGACCGCGAGTCGGGCGGCGCCGTTATGGTCTTCTTCCTCTTCCTGGGCATCGCCACGGGCTCCACCTTCGGCTTCCTGGTCAGCGACAACGGGTGGCTCGGACTCTAAAGCTTATGCTATGCACATGGCGGTGAGCTTTCATGTAGGCAAACTTTATGATACGAAATTGATGTCGATGAACTTTCACGAACTTGTCCATGTTGCACCTTGCAACAAACAGCTGCCGCTCTCCACGCGGTACAAGTCTCAGCATTTCAAGCCGCGATGTGTCGATGTCGGCGAGGTGGCCTGGCTATCGAGATGATCCATTTCTTCCCGCCGACACAAAGGACCCCCTCTCCACCAATGCACGGCACGTTTGCTTGACGAGAGTTAATCGGAGGAGCGGTTTGCATTAGTCTGCACCGCTCATTCCGAAATCCGCCGGTCAAGCATCAAGCGTTCTTCCTTCTCCCCGCAGCGATGGAGTCTCCGAGCAAGTCCGAGAAGCTCGTGCCTGAGGATCAGGTGGAGCTGGGCCGCGACGGCATGCCGCAGGAGATCTGGGACGACATGGTCAAGAACGAGCGTAACATCTTCTACTCGCTCATGTTCCTCAACGGCTCGGTGCTCTGGGCCTACTACTCGTGCCTGAGCGCGCAGGACTTCTACACGGTCGAGTTCGCCGACTCGGGTCTCGACTTCTCTTTCCTGACCACGCTCTGCACGTCGTGGCCCATGGTCATCGGCCAGGCTGTCCAGATGATCTGGGGCCTCGACAAGAAGCTCTCGCAGGAGTTCCGCGTGCGCGTGGGCTACGGCATCTTCATCCTCATGGCCATCCTCATCATGGTCTTCAGCGCCATCAACTTCTCCAACCAGAAGACGGGCGGCATCCTCGTGCTCATCTGCTTCGGCTGCGTCGGCTTCGGCAACACGCTCTCCGAGGCCACGTACTACACGATTGCCGCGCTCTTCCCCGTGCCCAAGTTCTCGCAGGCCGTGCAGATCGGCAACGGCACGGCCGGCATCCTCAACATCTCGCTGGCCACGATCCTGCGTCTGGCCGTGGGCGGCGTCCACCAGACGAGCAGCTCCACCAAGCTGGCCTTCTACCTCTTCTTCGGCCTCCTCATTGTCGTGCTCATCGTCGCGCTCTTCGTGTACCGCCGCCTAACCAGCCTGCCTTCCGTCAAGTACCTGCTCGAGCGCAACGCCGCGTCGGCCAAGGAGGAGAACCTCACGGAGCAGCCCGTGGGCAAGACGCTCAGCAACCTGTGGCGCATCTTCCTCATCATCTGGATGCCGGCCGTGACCCAGTTCCTCGTCTTCTTTGTGTCGCTCTCGGTCTTCCCGGGCTTCGGCTGCGCGGCCACGCGTAACCTCATGCCGCCGTACTCGGACGTGACGCACACGGTGACGGCCAACTGGTACTGCGCGCCGGGCATCGTGGGCTCGTACAACTACGGCGACTTCTTCGGCCGTATCCTCACCGGCGCTGCCGTGTACAAGTTGCTCAACAGCGAGTGGTGCTTCGGCCTGTCCATCGTGCGTCTGGCCTTCATCCCGCTGCTGCTCATGGGCGTGGCCGGCACGTCGCTCTACGCCTTTGGCCACGACGACATGGGCGCCATCGCCTACAACATCGTGCTCAACCTGACCATCGGTCTCTCGAACGGCTTCCTGTCCACGGTGACCATGGGCGTGGGCCCGCGTCTCCTCAACCCGGAGGACCGCGAGTCGGGCGGTGCCGTCATGGTGCTCTGCCTCTTCCTGGGACTTGCCGGCGGCTCCACGCTCGGCTTCTTCTTCAGCGACCAGGGCTGGCTCGGCCTGTAAGTTGGCTTCTTCTCTTCGAAGCCGCTTAGGTAGTGCGCTCTACACTCTTGTGTGTGTGAGCACGAAGAACTGTACATGCTTCCCCTCCCCATGCTTTACCTGTATCGTACTGCATGGCGAGCAACATTTTCAGTACACGAACTTCTTATACGTGGGTGGGTGTCGTTCGGGTCGAAAGGTGAAGCAGACAACAACCAACTGCCACCCGACCTCAGCGTCGAGCTCTTGCTCAACCGAAACACAAACAAACAAACGTGCCAAACATTAGAACGGTAGGCATCGATGCCCAACCTGCAGTAGTAAGCTTACCGAAAAGCGGCCGGGACCCCATCACAGGCGGCACTACAATCCGAGCAGCTTGACTGCTAACTGAGGACGTTGCCTTTTGAAAAGTAGGTGGGATGCAGTCGTTGAATTCAGGGACGGGGTCCTCTCCAGCTCAAGTTGCGTTGACCGTCGTCTCTCATGTGGCAGTTTGGCTCTACTTTCGTGCCGTCATTTGGAAGCTTTGACGATGCCCAGCCAACCTTCGCCGAAGAAACAGAAGACGCGGTGCAGCCCGAGACTGACGGCGAGGGCTGCTGCGGCTGCTAATGGGTTCCCTGAAGTCACTCCGGAAGATGCCACTGAGACCCTCACAACCGTCAAGAAGAGCTTGACGCAGTTCGATGGCCGAATTGCTGCAGCGCTCTCAGAACCGGTCGCTGCAGCAGCAGCAGACGCACGCGTTAGCTCGGAGATGGGTGTGGTGGAGGAGATATACTGCGAGAACTTCATGTGCCACCGCAAGCTGCGCGTGGCTCTTAGTCCTCATATCAACTTCATCACTGGCGAGAACGGAAGTGGCAAGAGTGCTATCATTGCCGCCCTTCAAGTCTGTCTGGGCTACAGTGCGCGCAGCACGCACCGAGGCAAGAGCTTGAAGACGTTGATCCGTCACGGCTTCGACGGCAACGCGCTGGTCCGCATCACGCTCCGCAACGATGACATTGGCAGCGACGCCTTCCGCCCGGACCAGTTCGGCCGCAGGATAATGGTGGAGAGGCTCATTCGTCGGGACGGAACCGGCTGAAGGACGAGCGCGGACTGCTGGTGTCCAAGCTCAAGACGGACCTGGACGCCATGCTGGATCACTTGAACATTCAGACGCAGGAGGCGCAGAGTGTGAGTTAAAGTAGTATTGTCATTTTGTTTGAATGAAGTCGTTAACTTGGCTCTACCGTGTTGTTCATAGATTGGAAAGCTGGAGAGTTATTTCGTTGTATTGAAAGCCGAGCTGGAGTGGGCGTTCGTGAGCGAGAAGGAGCAGCAAGTAGCGAAAGCGGAGACGAAGATCGCACAGAAGACGACGGACGCAGAGCAAGCCGCTGCAAGAAATGCAGCGGCACGAGTGGAGGTCGATAACCTGGAGAAGAGGCAGAGCGAGCTCAACTCGAAGCTCGAAGCGACCAGCAAGAAGATGGAGCAGTGCAACAAGAGCAAGATGGAGTTGAAGAACAAGATCCGCGAGCTTCGACGCCCGCTGCACCAACATTAGTCGGAATTGACGCTGCTCACTCGGTCCAAGCAGCGTGGAGCCCAAAACCTCGACAGACTCCAGCAAGCGTTGATGAAGAAGAAAGAGCAGCATGAAGAACTGCTGCGTAGAGCTGGGAGCCGAAACCTGCACGATCAACTGGAGCACAAGCGGCAAGAAGCTGCCCAAACGCAGCAGAGTATTCGTGACGCAGAGCTGCGCGTCCAACATGCACCAGGGGATGCCGACGACCTGGACGAGCGACTTTCTGCCTGCGCACGCCTCGTCCGCGAGTCTGAAGACGCCGTTCGATGTGTGCAACGCCGCCTCAGCTCTCTCCGGGGTCGGAAGAGCAACAGCTTGGCAGCGTTTGGTAGCCATATTGCGCACTTGCAGCAACTGATTAATACGAACCTGCATCGATTCACAGCTCCGCCTATCGGGCCTCTGGGGAGATTTGTGACGCTCCCGAAGGAGTTCATGCGCTTCGCCGCTGCGGTCGAGACAGCCTTGAAAGGGTCCCTGGGTCGATACTTGGTGGTCAATGGCCAAGATATGAAGCTGCTGGATGACTTGAAGCGCCAGGCCCGCTGTCTCCCGCGTGAGGCGGAGATCACCATCACAGAGCGCAGTGGCTTCCGATATGAGAGCCTGAACATGCCAGCAGGAGGCCTCGCCGCTCACGCGATTTGCAACATTCTCAGAGTGGAGAACGACAATGTGTTCAATACTTTGATTGATGAGTGTAGTATCGAGAGTAAGTTGGTGTTTGACGACCGCGAGGTGGCTGAGCAAAGGGTGCTGCAAGGCCCCAGTGGGAGCTTCAAAATGGCGAGGTTCGTGTCGGAAGTGTGCCTTGTGAGCGGGGACAAGTTCATTGTTCGCCAAGGGAACTTGGCGTATATTGCGAACAAGCTGCATGGACGCCGGCCCAGTATCTGTGAGGACGTGGACGGCGAGATCAGAGGACAGGAACAGCACCTGAACGTTCTACTACGGGAGCTGCAGGGCTTGCGCCACCAGGAGTCTTAGCTACGGGCAGAGAGGAATGCTTTACACCGGTTTGCCACACAGGAGAAGGCCCGCATTGACAAATTGTCGCTACGATACCTTAAGCAGAATACGGAGCTGCAGAGGCTCGAGGACGAGTTGTCGGACCAGCAGCAAGAGCACACGCTGGATACGACGGTGCTGGATCGCGAGATCAGCGACGTTCAGAACGAGTTGCAGGGCTTAGACGCCCGTGAGACCGAGCTGGAGAAGGCCATCTCTGCGTCGACTGACGCCTTGCAAGCTCCGCTGAACGAACTCGAAGTGCTGAACGCAGAGGAACGCAAGATCGCGGTCGAATTGAACGATCCGCAGCGCGACGCGAACGAGATCTACAAGCAACTTGGCGCGGTGAAGTCCAACGAGATCATGAGTCAGCGCCAGGTGGAGTCGCAAGCCTCGGTGACGCAGTTGAACCAACAGCTGCACTCCCTCCAGGAGGACCGTGATCGACAAGAGAAGAAGGCACTCCAGGTGTGTACCCGACCGGCGAGTATCCTCCCTCGATACGCTTATGAGAAGCGGTTGAAACAGGTCGAGAACCAACTTGCTACAGCTCACAACCGTCTGAATGGTCTGAGTTTGAGTGAGCTGAAGGACGACATGGAGATCAAGGAGATCAAGTACAAGAGCAAGAAGGCCAACAAGTTCTATCAGCACCTGATGCAGATTCGGAACATGCTAAAGGAGCGCAAGGCGACGTGGAATCCCTTCCGCACGGCCATCGCCCACCGCACATCCAACGAGTTCAGCGAGTACATGAACCTCAACAACTTCGTGGCCAAGCTTAAGTTCCGCCACGACCACCAGCGCGTCGAGATCGCTGTGCTTCAGAACGAAAAGGGCGCCACGAGCGCCTCACAGATGACGGACATGAAGGAACTGTCCGGCGGAGAGCGCTCGTTCACGCAGGTGGCGTTGCTGCTCGCTCTGGGCAAGAGCACCGAGTGTCCGTTCCGCATTATGGACGAGTTCGACGTCTTCATGGACTCGGTGAACCGCGATATGACCCTCCAGTTGCTAGTCGATGCGGCCAAGATGGAGGACAAGAAGCAGTTCATCTTCGTGACGCCGAACAACATCAGGTGCGTTATCGGGTGTTGTATTGTGGCTATGTGAACTTCTGTGTTGACTGGCAATGCTATGTTGATCTTGCAGCACTTTGCCGTAGGATCCAAGGGTGAAGGAAGATCCAGACGATGGACCCACCACGAGACCGAGACGGAAGCGCGGACGCGCCGTGAGGGTCCAAATCTGCCTTCGAAATGCCGATACTGGTTGGTTTTGGAATGGAAGAACGTATCTGGGGAGGTATTTAGGTCGACGGCAGGAATGGTTGACAAAGTGGAGTAGCGAAGGATAGGAGCTTTTTGCGGTCAATCAATTTGCTGCTGTCCCTTTGACGAAAACTAAAATTTGTTCGATACTTCACTACTCGAATATAAGTTTGCAGGCGGCATCCTCATGCATGGAGCCATCTACTACAAGTTTTGTGAAAATGTATTTATCAATGTGTAGCAACATGAATCAGCGCTATCCACGTTGCTTGATAGTGGTCATGGTACGCAACAAAGTGTTTGAGGTGGCCGTCTTTTAAAAAAAGACGTTGAGTTTTAAAAAAACTCTACGCCATTGACTGCGCTATACTTGGTACCGACCGTACTGTACCTTCACATTCGACTGATGAAAGACAGGCTAACGCCGAACAATCACTCGAGGCGATGCCACCGCCGCCACTGAGTACAAAATGCTACTGTATTGAAGGGGTCTAATACACGTACTGCATGCACAACAACCCAAAAGCTACAGCAAAGAATTATGGAGCTGCTGTACATTTCATTAGTCGAGTGAATTTTGCTATGTGCTCACTGGCAACGGGTTGCAATACACGAAAAAAAAGAAACAGTCATTCGCATCGTAATGACATACACGCACGCACGTTCACACGCGCTGGTTTGAAACTCACGGAGTGCTGACTGTTGGCGGGAAGCAACGGAAGCTTCCGAAGCGTGCCAGTCGCTGCCATGTCAAGTGTGCGCTTGGTCCCGCGATTGTGCAACCGGCTCAGCTGTGGACGAAAGATTCGTGCACGTGTCGCGGTGGTCTGCTTGCGCAAGTGTACAAGTGCGGCACGCAAATTACACGAGTTGCTGGTGCAGCACTGTAGGACCCTTCTCATGTGAGGGATGCCTCCACGGACGAGTTTAGCATCATTCTTGACGATTCCGCCTGCTAACGGCACGCCACCCCGCTCCAGGCCAGCCGCCCACTGAGAGCGAAGCTATCAACGTTCACCAACTCGCTTTAGTACGTGTACGTGTAGCATCATCCGTCTTGGTCCAAAGATGGTTTACCAGTCCAGTTGGGTCCTCGAGTTGCAGCGCGTGCTGCCTCGGCTCGTCTGGACACTGACGGCGTTGAATACCTCGCCTCCCTATCTTCCTATCCGAGGCGGGGTTGCGGCTGGCTGAGCATGTAAGATAGTAGTCGACGCCTTTCAACAGCTGGGAAGTCTCTCATAGGTCCGACAAAAGTCTCTCATTTAATTTTGGTCTTAGAAAGGGACGACGAGGATCGTCCTCCTGCCTCGAAGCCGCGCAGCGACCGATAAAGCTTGGTCTTGGCGTACACCTCATGCACGTCCACGATAGTGGCGCATTTGGCGCTGATCTCTAGGCGCTACGGCGACGGCACAGCTCGCTATGGCGGCTCCAAATCTTAGCCTTCTTCCCAAGTTGAAGTGGGTCGGGATAGGGGTATTTTTTGCTAAGTTCATGAAGCCAGTGCGCACCTATCCGATCACAAAGACGGTGCATTCACTCCAGTATCTGGACTATTTATTTTTTCGAGTTTTATTTTACTCCATTATCTGCACTTAGTTAGATTGCTGAGGTAACTTTCGCATGGTAACTGTTAAATGTACTATAGCATCCCCTCTCCTGTTAGGTGCGGAACGCATCGTTATTTTCAACTTCGTACTTACATAAGGCGACTACCGACGAGCTCCATCAGGAATCGGTGTCATTCGTCAACTCACCGGCAGCAGCGCAAGCAAGCCTCTCCAAGAAGCCCCAAGCCTCTCTCTCTCAACACACACCACAAGCATGAAGGCCGTCACCGGTATGCAGAAGCTCCGCCCCGTCGCCTCCAAGCTGCGCGGCGTCACGACCCGCAACGTCTGGACCTCGCAGCAGGTACGGGACCCAATAGATACGTAGCTTGTCAACCGTTGCGCTAACGGATCCTCTTGCCATCGCTGCAGTACATCGACCGCGAGGAGCGCTGCGGCGCGCACAACTACCACCCGCTGCCCGTGGTGCTGACCAAGGGCCGCGGCTGCAAGGTCTGGGACGTGGAGGGCAAGGAGTACTACGACTTCCTGAGCGCCTACTCGGCCGTGAACCAGGGCCACTGCCACCCCAAGCTCGTCAAGGCGCTGACGGAGCAGGCGCAGACGCTCACGCTCACGTCGCGCGCCTTCTACAACAACGTGCTGGGCGAGTACCAGGAGTACATGACCCAGCTCCTGGGCTTCGACCGCATCCTGCCCATGAACACGGGCGTGGAGGGCGGCGAGACGGCCATCAAGCTCGCGCGCCGCTGGGCCTACGACGTCAAGGGCGTCCCGGAGAACAAGGCCAAGGTCATCTTTGCCGAGAACAACTTCTGGGGCCGCACGCTGAGTGCCGTGTCCTCGTCGAACGACCCGGCGGCGTACGGCGGCTACGGTCCGTTCATGCCCGGCTTCAGCAGCATCCCGTACAATGACGCGGACGCGCTGGAAGCCGTCTTTGAGAAGGAGGGCAAGAACGTTGCCGCCTTCATGGTGGAGCCCATTCAGGGCGAGGCTGGTGTCGTTGTGCCTGACGAGGGCTACCTCAAGCGCGTGCGTGAGCTCTGCACCAAGCACAACATCCTTTGGATTGCCGACGAGGTGCAAACCGGTCTGGCGCGTACCGGCAAGATGCTCGCTGTCGACTACGAGAACGTCAAGCCGGACATCGTGATCCTCGGCAAGGCCCTCTCGGGCGGCATGTACCCCGTGTCGGCGGTGCTGACCAGCCACGAGGTCATGCTCACGATCAAGCCCGGCCAGCACGGCTCCACTTACGGCGGTAACCCGCTCGGCTGCAAGGTCGCTATGGCGGCCATGGAGGTGATCCAGGAGGAGAAGCTCGCTGAGAACGCCTTCAAGCTTGGCCAGAAGTTCCGTGGCGAGATGGAAAGGTGCGTTGCGTTATCATACGCTATTGAGGACGTGTTGCTGGATCTCACTAACATTATTCACTGGTTGTTGTGCGCGTGTAGCTTCAAGTCGGATGTGCTCCAAGGCGTGCGTGGCCGCGGTCTGCTGAACGCGATTATCATCAACGAGCGTCCCAACCAGCCAGACGCTCTGCAGCTCTGCATGAACCTGGCCAAGAAGGGCCTGCTGGCCAAGCCCACCCACGGCAACATCATCCGTCTCGCTCCCCCGCTTGTCATGAACGAGAAGCAGCTGGACGAGTGCACGTCGATCATCAAGGAGGTCCTCACGGAGGCGGAGAAGTAGAGGCCACCGCAGGACACGCGCACTTCAGGATCCTGTGGCGAACGATAAGCTACAGACAGATAAGATGGACGCAAATGCATGTGCCTTTAGGGAAGTTACGCATTAAAATAATGAAATCTAAGATAGCATACTCCATAATGGACTAAGATGCAAGTAAGCTATCATGATGCAACAATGGCACGCTTGTCACTGCTGACCGCTGCTGCCACGCATCCCGAAAAATAATAATACCCGAAAATATAACAGTATTTTCGGATACAATACTTTATTTAGGGCATCGCCGTTTGTTTTATCCGAAATTTATGTAGCCGAGTTCTAAAATTCGGTATTTTACTTCTGCTCATCCTGCTCCAACCATTAGTTGTGGTCAAACATCGCGCTCTACCAGCGTAACTTTGCCGTTAGCCTCCCCTTTCAAACAAGCACCACCCAGCACGCGCATCACGACTCGACGTTAGCACCATGACCGACAATCTCCTCGCTGGCCCCGCTCCGAGGCCTACCTTCTCGCCCAGGCAGATTGCTGCCTTCTACTTCAAGCCCTGCCTGGACGAGGAGGGAAAGACGACGGGCTACTATGCCTGCAAGACCTCTGCTAAGCGCCGCAAGCACGCGCCCAAGTCAGGCTACAACAACTTGGTGTCACACGTGCGGACGGCGCACCCCAACTACGAGAGCGACATGCTCGACGCTAATGTCGCTGCGACGAGGACCCTACTGCCGTGGGTCACCCAGAAGGCCTCGAACCGCTACGCGTGGCTGCGCTGGATCGTCACGGGCAATCTACCGCTGTCTTTTGCGAGTCCAAGAAAACGCGACAGTACGTATTTTCATATCTATTTTGGTGATTTACATGTGTGCTAATGCCGTATGTTATGTAGATACACGAAGCTAAATCCCATCTCCGTGGAGACGCTGACCGCCATCATGGAGGCCGTGACCAAGGCCATGGAGACGATGATCGGAGACGCCATGCCCGAGCGTTTTGGTCTGGTCCTTGATGGGTGGACCCACGGCACGGAGCACTACATGGCAGTGTATGGCTGTTTTGAGACGGCGACAGGCCCCCAGTACCCGCTGCTGTCGTTAGCGCCTGTCATGGATGAGCCTGACGACCAGCTGAGCGCTGACGGCCATCTGACGGCGATTAAAAGGTTCCTACCCTTTTTGGTAAGTCTATCTCCGGATGTCTATTCCTGGTTGGTGACAACTGCGGAGTAAACAAGCGGCTGGCGAACCTACTCGGTGTGCCGCTAATCGGCTGTGCCAGCCACCGCCTGAACTTGGCGGTGCGAAACTACTTGGAGCCCCAAGACAGCATCCTCGAAGAGGTCCAGCAGCTTATGCGTAAGTTGCGGACTTTAAAACAAGCAGCCAAGTTGCGGTAAGTACTCTGTTTGCTATTTTATTTGGTTTTTGTATTGGTACTAAATTGGTCTTTGTTTTTGGGTTTTGTTCGAAATTAGTGCCAAGACCCCATTGGCCGCTGTCCTCAGACAGGACACGCACTGGTCGTCGACCTTTTCAATGCTCAAGCGCTATTTTCGGCTCCGTCCGTTCATTTCGGCGGACGACGAGGAGCTCGCGGACTTCCTTCCGTCACGCTCAACCCACCCCAAGCTGGAGACTTTGCTGGCAAGCCTCCGGGACGTCGAGTCCGTGTCCAAGCACCTGCAGGGCGACGGCCTTACGCTGCTGGACGCTCGTGTCCTATTCGACGAGCTCCTCAAGAGCCACCCCTCGTTCGCGAAGTATCTCGGTAAGGATCATCGCTCACTCTGCGTCTGATGGTATTTATACTTAGCTACTGCGTTTTATATGTTTTTATTTATGCATAGCCACCGACGCGGATATAGTCCACTCCGCCGTCTTCGAGCAGGCGGTCGTCAAGGTGCTGGACGACCAGGCGGCCCTGCTGACGGACGACGAAGTCGCTGCGCTGGAGCCGTTCAAGCGCACGCAGACTCATGTGGAAGGCGTGGACTGCACGCCGGCGGACAAGGAAGGGTTCGCTGTGCTTGCGCTCAAGCGACGCAAGGTAGCTGCTGCGCCGGCCACGTACGAGCAGCTTAATGCGATTCCTCCTACCTCAAACATGGTTGAGAGGCTCTTCAGCATTGCGCGCGCTATGCTGCGCCATGAGCGCCACCGCCTCTCCCCCATGATGCTAGAGATGATATTATTCCTCAAGATCAACAGCTCGTACTGGGATGTTGCGACCGTGGAGCAGTGCCTGTAAGTAGGTACAGTCGTAACATGCTTGCAGTAATTTACTGTGTCAACACTATGTCTTGCGTTATTTATTCAGTCTGCTACTCAGATGCAATGCAATATTTATTATGGTGTCCTGCAAACAATAGATATATATCGTATTTTCGGCATGCCTGGCTGCTGCCAAGCAAGTTGATAAATTGGGCTTTCACGGCTATGGTGAAAGTTGCGATTTTGTTAGATTCCCACACTTTTCATAAGCTGAGGGAGGCCAAACAACGGTGCTGAGGGGCGTTCTTAACCCCTCTAACCCCGTATTCTGTATCCTACAGAATAAGCATTATTACAGGACAAAATATCTTGCAAACTTGGCTTCAAGTTCAAAAGTCGCATATTTCTTTTTGTACGGCCAACACTTTACACATCTTCCATTCAGATTGGTGATGGGTAGATAGACGGGGATTATGCGGCGAGAATAGAAAGACCAATATAAATCCCTTAAAGGTTTGAAAATTCGTACGAAAGCCAATATCTGCCGCGTGTCCGCCATCCACTGTTCCCCTCATTTCTGAAACGATGAATGGCCCCGGAGAAAAGACGTTCAAGCAGCTGTGGCGTGAGCTATGCAAGGAAGGCTGGAAGGCACGCAAGCCTACCGGCGTGGCGAAGGATCACCGCTATGTGAAGCCAGGGATCAAGAGTCGTCTCGACGGAGCAAAACGTGGAATCGACTTCTTTGACGGTGGGTAACCATAAGTTTTGTATATAATTACGTGTATGCTAACGATAGATGTATTTCTCCAGGTGAGGAGGCTCTCATGGCGTTTGCACGACGATCTGGTCGGCTTGATCTCCCCGCTACCGCTGTGCCCAGCACTCGAAAGTCGACCCGGGTCCCGGCTGGGAAGCAAGCGTCGTACGCCGCTATTAGTCAGCCAGCACCATCGCCAGCTGCCCGGACGCCTAAACCAGCCGCTGGAAGTACGAGCACGGACACGGATGCAGCCTCGATTGCTGCTGCGACACCACGAGCCACCCATGCTGTTCCAACTGCGCATGTCTCGCTGGCCCCTGCATGTACACCAATGGCGACTCCATCGACTGTGGATGGCCCCAATACGGATGCTACAGAACAGGGTGATGGAGTGGGTGGTGCTATTCTGGATGATACTGATCAAGCCGACATGGGGCATCGTTTGGCCGCTAATGCCAACCAACCGGATGCAGTGCGTCGTTCAGCTTCTCCTGCGGATACTGAGCAAGTTGATGGTGCTACTGAGGACTCTACAGACCAAGCTGGTAGGGCGGAAGCTACTACTCTGGATGTGACCGATCACACGGCGTCAACACAAGGCATTACTCCAGATGCTACCGAACAAGGTGGTGCGACCCACGACGCTATTCCGGATACTACAGAGCAAGGTGGTGCGACCCACGACGCTATTCCGGATCCTACAGAGCAAGGTGGTGCGACCCACGACGCTAATCCGGATCCTACTGAAGACAGATCGAGGCCGTTCGACGATGAAGAAGCCAGGAATGAGACCGACAATCCCCCCAACCAGTGCAAAGACTTCATCGATCTGGACGTGTTTGACAGCGACAACTTCATGGAAGGGCTGCGCAAGGAACGACTGTTTGGACCGACTGCTGAAGATGACGTGAACGTTGTAGCGACGGCCGATTTGAGCGACTGCGAGTACGATGCGGATGATGAGGATGTTATGACCGACAACGCCATAGCTCCAGAAGGTGTAGAAAACGTAGACGACGTGGAAACGAATGAAGATGATCTCGACACTGGGACGTTTGATTTGATTGATGACGATCTTCGGACCATTGCGGAAAGTGGTTGGGTAACCTACGATGAGGAGCACAGCGGTAAGCCGGATGGTACAGAATGTGTGGATGTACAGTTGTGTTAATTCTGTATTATCCATCTTTATGATGATTCAGGAAATCTCAAGTCGACGCCGCAACGGACTATTACGACGGGAAATGTGGCCCCACCCGTTCTGCTATCGCCTACGCGGATTCCCCGTTGGGCATGTTCTTCTACTTTCTGCCCAAGGAACTCTGGGTTCGTATAGCTGAAGAGACAGAGCTCTACCGACTGCAGAATATCCCGGCAATGACAATCTCTCGCCGAGAGAAGTTGCTAGCCCGACAGGCCAAGGATCCGCGCGTGAGTGTGCCTAACGTGGAGGATATTGAAGCAGACTTGAACAAGTTCAAGCCCATTCAAGCGCATGAGATCGTGCACGTCGTAGCGCTGCTCTTTCCTAGGGCGGTGGCGCCAATTCGGGATGGCCTAGCTCACCACTGGTGTACTGATGAGGATGGGGCTATTCCGCCCGGAACCTTCTCACGCTTCATGAAACGCCGCCGCTTCGAAGACATTATGAAGTTCCTGCACTTCAACGACAATGAGGACGCCGGGGCCCACGCTGACAAGGCATGGAAAATTCGACCGGTGCTGCAAGCAGTCGAGAAAACGTTTCGTCGTGGATATCGGCTGGGGAAGGTCATCTCGTTCGACGAAGGAATGATGCCGAATCGCAGCAAGTTCAACCCCATGCGCATTTTCATGTCGGACAAGCCCAGCAAGTACGACACGAAGTTCTACATTACGTGCTGTCCTGAAACCGCATACTGTTCTAGGTGAGTTTTCCTGTTCTGTATTCCACTACATGTAATCCGGATCCTACAGAATAAACTAATCTGTATCTATGGTATTCTGTATGCATACAGAGTTGAGATTTACTGCGGTGCAGACAAGACAAAGAAGAAAAAGAAGAAGGCGCCCACAGAAACATTGGGGCTGGGACCAAAGGCTGTCGTGAGGAACATCACGAAAGCGCTGATCAACCAGTCAATGAAGCGCTTGATTGTAACGGATAGTTTCTACTCCACAGTGTCGCTGAGCTTGAAGCTGCTCCGCATGGGCTTGTATCACGTTGCCACCACGAGAATCGATCGCTTGGGCTGGTGCCCGATCCATTTCACGCAAAGCAAACGCCCGCAGTGGATGCCAAGAGGTACCTACCGTATTGCACAAGCTCACGACTATCCTGAACTGGTTGCACTGAGCTGGATGGACTCTAAGCCAGTGAACATGCTCGCCACGGGGTGCAGCACCCACGTGACTAGCGTGCTGAGGACGGAGAAAGATGGAACGCGCAGCACGGTGCCTTGTCCGCAGCTGGTCGTGGACTACGGCCTTGGCATGGGAGGTGTCGATGTCCGCGACCAGCTACGACTTCAGCGTTACAGCATCCAGCGGTGCATGTCCCTGCGCAAGTACTACAAGCAGTTATTTCTGTGCCTCGTCGACATGGCTGTCGTCAATGGATACATCGTGCATTGCTGGGTGCTCAAGAAAAGAGGAGAAAAGCCACCTACCCATGCTGAGTACTTGCGCCGCTTGCACACGCAGCTTTTGGCGCTGCGGACGATCAACTTCGGGACCCACCCCAACGCAGAGGACCTAGTGTCTGTACCAATCCCACGTCAAGACCACACGTTAGCGAACACGGACAGCTTCTACTCCACCGCGAAGCAGTACAAACACCGACAGTACCTGTGCAAAGTGTGCTCTACATTTGCTGACTCAAAGACGAAGTCGTTCGAGACCAGCTACTTCTGTCCGCAGTGCAGCGATGCATTCAGAGGCCGCAAACCGCTTTGTCGTCAAGTACGACGAGGGCAGAGCGGGAACACACTGACCTGCGCTCAGATCTGGCACGACACGTGGGGTGATGGCAAGAGCATTCCAGCGAGCCTGAGAAAGAAGATTAGATTCCGTAAGCGTAAGCGAGAACAGGAGGAAGAGGCGTAAGAGTGAGGTAACAAGGTTAGTCGTGAGCTTTACGTATCTTGTAACTGGGTTGCATGATGGACGTCAGGGAGTAATCGCCCAGTACCTCCTCACTAATCCGTTAGTTAGGAACTGGGTGATTTCTTCCTCCACGCTCTCTCGCCGTGAGAGCTGCCACGTGCTCTTCCTACCAAGAATTGGTGGTCTGCGCCAAAGGTGACAAATTTAGCAACATTGGAGGGTATTTATCGCTAACAGGTATTGTGCGTGCTCTACGCTCGCCATAGCCAATAGAAGATCGCTATTCTGGCACATGTTGAATACATTGAGGATGTTATATCCCACTTCGTAGCTGTTTTGGCCACCAATGCGTACCGGTCTTGACCTCAGGATGCGAAAGGGCTTCCAACAGCAAATCTTTGACAGGTTTTGAAGTATACTTTAATCAAGTTTAATGCTTATTCTGCAGGATACAGAATAAGCGTTGAGGTTAGCAGGGTTAACAGAGGTATTAATAGATTGGTATCACCGTACAACCAAGGTCCAAGTGTGCTAGAGACGTGCGGGTATCACCGTGCAACATTTAACTCGCTGATAAGAATGAAATGTATCCGCTCACCTAATTTTTCAATAGTCAACTTTCGCCTCTACTTTTCATTTTTTATTTTACCGAGGCGGATGCCGCAGAGAGCGCTAGAAACCGCGTTAAAAGAGGACAAGACGACACGGGGTGTGGAGTCGCCACTTTACGCCCCCTCTTCCAGTCAATGCAGTGGTTAAGGTAGGTGGCATTTAAGCACAACTAGCACGGGGGCAGTGAAGCAAGTGAAGAGTACATCTGATCTGCTGTTAGAGATGCTGTTTTAGCGACGTTTTTGCGCGGAAATTTGCTGAGAAAACTTTTCGCATACAAAACGCTAGTGTAACTTCGGGAAGTGCTATAGATAGCAGATGCACGATGTTTTTCCCTCGTGACTCTTGATTGGACAGTTTGTTCTGTATCCCTAATCATGTAGTATCTCATAACTAAGGTTACGGGGTACCGCGGTACGAGGGAATTCAACTGCAAAATTTCGGCTTTCCCCTCCGTACAGCCGTGAACTCTTTCAACTTTGACAAAGTTCATATGCTACCTCCCCGTGATACCTTGCGCCTTTCTACGTCAGAGACGATTACGCTCGGAAGTTGTACGAGGTTGCACGGATACAACCAAAATCTACCAATCTACCTCTGTTAAGAACTGCCCTGAGTCAACGATCGAGGGTCTGAAGCACTTTGAAGGGTGCGCCGATGCAGTTCCTCTCGAACGAGGTGAGGTTTTCTTTATGACCAGGATATGATCGAAGCGGCAAGCGCGAACGCGGCCAACAAAATGAGCACGATCAAGGCCGTGTTCATTGTGAACAGAATGCACGAGTCGTGGAGCCCGCAGTACTTGGCTCCTCGCGCGGATGTCTTGGGCGCAGTCGCTCACATATTTCGTCCGGATCGCCTGAACATCCAACAACACAAAAAAGTGTCATCTTCAAGTCTGTTGAGTCTCGGAGCACCGCGACGATAGTTTCTTCACAAGGATGATCTGAACTAACATCAGTAACAATGTACTTCGAAGTTGTTTCTGACAAGAACAGGGTCAAGTAGTACATAATTCTACAGTCGAGTCGAAGACCTTCCGCACGGGGGCGCGCGGGCTACCAAGGTCACGCCCGAGATTAAAGCCGCTTCAGAGTTGTGGCTTGATGAGTGCTGCACGTACACGCTCAGTACGTTGCGTACAATGGTCATGAGTGAGTATAACGTGCTTCTCTCGGAGGCCACGATCTCGCGCCACCTGGTGGGCATGTTCTTCACAGTCAAACAGGTGGGAGAACCCTGTTCCTACCTAAAATCGTCGTATTCCTAAGAAGTTTTCCTAAAATCCGACATATGTTTCATGTGCACCACCCAAATTTTAGGACTGATTTTAGGTCAAGATATTTGAAAATGAGGTACCGTGAGTAGCATTAGGGCGAGAGCAAGCGGATGCGAGCGGGTGCATTCACCGATCGCCAACACCCGCCGATTAGGCGGGGGCGTGCCTGCGCGAGCGAGCGAAGGCGAGCGCTGCAACCCGATATTTTTTTCAGACACCGCGCCTGGCCGAGACGAGGACTTAGCGTAAGGGGCAAGGGGTGGGGCAGGCCGCGTAGCGGCCCCCCCTCGAGCGAAGCGAGAGAGGGGCGGGTCCCCTTCGGCCCCGTCGGTAAGTCCGCAGATGAGAGCCAACGCGCGAGTGTCCTGCCAAGCTATACTGAATATAAGATGTTTATTAATGTGTCTCTCTCCGGATTTTAGGCAAGATTTTAGGAGATTATGTTTAGGACAGATTATCATGAATTCGACGATTTTAGGTACGCACAGGGGGAGTTCCAAACAGGTAAATCGTTTGCGCTCACTGTATCTTAGCTTTATTTTTCTTACTGTACATGCTACGTTTATTGGGTTACAGAGTCGTGTTGAGCCCACCACGTTTAAACGCAAGGTAAACAAGGAGAAACGTAAGGTCTTCGCTGAAGCGCTGCTCTGCCACAACGATCAAGGAGATCTGGTGGTCATTTCGACGAAACAAATTTTAATTTATACACGAAACGCACGCGCGGACGTGCCAAGAAGGGGAGGCGGTCTATTGAGAAGCTGCCGCCTTCGAAAGGAGGTAACCTGCAGATCCAGTGTGCAGTGTCCTCTGCGTTCGGTGTGGTTGCGTACCGTACGCACCGTGGCAGCATCAAAATGGACACGAACGCAGCGTTCGTGGAGGTACTGTACACTAAGATCAAGGAGGCGGAGGTCTACAAGAGCGAGTTCGCCGACAAAAAGATCGTGGTCGTCTTCGACAACGCGCCAGCTCATTCCCAGACGGAGGCGCTGGTGCCTGCCCACGATGACATCGTCCTACTGCGCCTCGGGCCATACAGCCCGATGTGCAACCCTATCGTGAACTGCTTCAGTGCGCTCAAGGCGCAAATCAAGCAGTACCTGGCGCTGATGAGGGACGAGATGAACCACCCGCGTACACAGCTCCCTACCTCCGGCCCTCGCCTCTCGAAGACCGAAGCTCGCATGCAGTTGCTCGAGCGTGCTGGCATTTGAGCATGCCACGCATCACGCAGGCCATGGTACAGAGGATGGAGCTTCACGCTGCGAAGTTTGTCGTCGCGGCCATCCGCTTGGAGGACATGAAGTACGGCGAGTAATCTTTTTGGTACCGCGTACCACTTCACATTGAATGAAGATTAAACGGCTTTGTTTGTCAAATTAAGATTTCCGTTTGCTTATTTGGGCTCCTTGTGCGCCCCAAACCAAATCATATCACATTTGCTTGTCTAATTAGCTCACGAAGGCCGAGAAAAGGTGTAGATTACCAGTAGTAAATGGCCTCGGCGGATTCCTGCGGGTCGAATGTAGTATCACACAAGGTAAACATAATATCTTCAAGCCCTCGGAGGTAACATGCCTGAGCGCTTGAAACTAGCTTTTATAACGGACCCACACGACACATTCATATTTTGATTAATTTGAACAAGGCTTCGGTTTCATACACGGTCGTCATTCTTTTTGCACTAGCCATTAGTTTATTTTCTCCGGAGAAGACGTATCACCAGGTGCAGTTTTTTTTCGCTAAATGAATTCGTTTGCCACCGTATAGGACGTCACCGCATTGCCGGCGGATAGAGTTTGCAGTCAACAAAATATCAAGCGGAAAAAAATCAATCTCATCTTGGATCGTACAACCTTAAAAACTTCAATAGTTTTTTTTTGCAAAATTTTAGTGGAATATTTTATCTGATTCATTTCAATGAGTGTGGGGATTCATACAGTTATGTCACAACAAATTTAGATGACCACACGATTTTCAATCGATCTTTTTTAGAACTATGCATGCAGAAGAAAAAAATGTGTCTGATAAGAGAAGGGTGTAAGTGATGACTCGTGTCGAATCGATAGTTTTAACGCAAATGGAATAAGTAAGTTCATGTACTTTGCTGAGTGATCTGGACCTTCATGTAGTATAATATGATGCAGTGACACCAGTTGTGCTCAAGGTCAGTACCATTAACATCGATGCCTCTGATTGCCAGACATCATTACTACGACGAATTGTGTAATACATGCAGCAAGAATTGCATTCTATAAAAATGTTTGTGATGGAGCTCCATCACAAACATTATTACTTATGCGCTCCTATCGCTGACTAGGTGCTGCTGTAACTAACTATGCGCGGCTATCGCTTACTATGTCTTCATATTTAACATAGCTCGCTGCATTACTATTATACTAAGTAGTTGGGCAAGCCCAGCTATCGCTGCCACTATGCACTACTCGCAGTGCTATGATATGGTTGGGCGGGCTCTGCTATCGCTGCTACTAATACGCGGTGGGCCAAATACTATCGTAAAGGTTGTTAGAAATAATATTTAGTCACGCACCGCGGTGGGGGTGCTATTATACTCATCTCCCCCGTTCCGCTCATCTCGTCGACTCGCTGCACTACTCGAAGTGCTACTAGCTGTTAAGTAATGGGCGGGCCCGCTAGATCGCACCGCCTTCGGCGTCCAAGGCTGTCTGTGTACGATTATGTGGTCCACCTTATAAAAAAGTGGACAAAGGACTTCACTGACACGCAGATCTCTCTGTTAGTTGTTGAACAAATCCATCTACAATAACTTGTTGTAAGTAGATAGATTTGTGGCCCCTTTTGATAAAAAATCCCCGTCTTAACGATTTGAAGTTGAGACCTGTCCAAGCTGGTTCAACTTCTAAATGTTTTGGCTAGAAGGCAGCAAGCTTCCATGCACGCTATCGTGCAAACGAACCCTCCACAACCATAAGGCTCCGCACAGAGTCCCAGGAGGCTCCGCACAGAGCACAGAACACAAGTCCTTCAATTTTTAGCCACGAATTTATTATCTCCCAAGCAAGAAAACGTTAAAATAAAAAATACCTGGAAAGTTTAGACGAACTTACCTAAGTGACGGCATTCTTTGATCCACGCCACTTAAGAAGACGCTCAACGACTCAACCCCGCACCGTTAAAGCCCACAGGTCGACGAAAGTCCAGCAATGGAACGGGCCACGGAGTATCACGATCAGCAGCGCCTCGAGCGCGAGACACGCTCATTGAAGACTCTGTGCCGACCGTCTGTCCTCGTAGCGCGTTTGGCCATCGCTGGACGCCTTATCGTGGGCCCACTCGCACTTCTGCTGCTGTTCACCGCCACAGGGTATTTAACCGACGCCTCCGTTCTGGTTGAAGTCGACGAGAGCTTCGTGTCATTCACTGAGAGAGACTTGGCGAAGGCTGGAGGCTGCGCACAATGCGTCGGAGCGTGCAAGATCACTTTGCTCATGTTCGGTTTGTTCAGTGGGGAGGCGCTCGTCAGTGCGCCAAGATTCCGAGCCGTCACGAGCCTGCCTCCGACTGAGTCACTGTACGACTTCAGAACTCTTAGCAAAGAGGTCCTCGATCTGGGGGAAACCCTCGACGCCGCCTCCACCGTCTGCTACAGCGGGATGAACGACTGGGGGGCAATTGTTGAATCGATCACAGGAACACCGCAGCAGATTCTGAACGTCGTCGCTACTCTTAACATCAGCGTATCACCTCAATTGATTCGAGAGCTGGAGGTGTCCATTGGACAACCAGACGGGTGCAAGCCACCTTGGACGCTTTGCTCTATCTATCCGGGTGTTTCTATACAAGACGGAGGGCTAGAAGTTTAGCAAAATCTCCGCTGCGACCGTCAACCTTTACCCAGAGTTCACCGAGTGCCGGCCAGACGTGCCAAACGACGGCAATTTGGTTGGAAAGAGATTGGCTAGTGATACCAACGGCAACGACGTGCTTGAAGCCGTTCCTGATGCCCTGAAAATATACCCGTACAGCTTTTCCAGCAGTCTACGGCCAATCTCCCGCGCCGTACCAGCTACAAACACCAAGTATGGGGCGACGACCGTTCTGGAGCCTCTCCTCAATGCATACTACGGTGGCTGTCGTGTTCGTGAGGTGAACATAACAGGGATCTATGTTGAAGATACTTGCGAAGCCTCAAAGCACTGGTCGTCTTACGGTTTGATGGTGCAGTCTCCCGACGATATTCCGTTGTGTATCGCCGGCGACGTCTGCATTCACAACTATTTCAACACCCAGTGGGAGGGCATCGTTGAACTCACGCCTGAAAACCGAGACCATGTTCCCCTGTACGTTAACAGCGTCCGCAGTCGCTATGGCGACACCGTCCCGATTAACACGTTGCCTGGCGTCGTGGTCGCGCAGATCCTGTTCATGGGCATCGTTAGCCTCTACGAGGTGGTGTCGCACCAGCAATCGGTTCTCCTCTCGCAAATCTGGGCGTACCGCTGTCAAATTGGGCGCGTGCAAGTGCTGTACCTTGCGCAGATTACCTACCACCTCGTGTACAATTCCGACCTGTATTTGCTGGGACTCGCGACAGGGACACTCACCGGGGAATCCATTGCCAACCTCACGCTGTGCTTCTTCGCCTTCTCCTACTCGTTCGTCAACCTGGCCAAGGCTCGTTCGGGGGAGCAGCGACTGGACCGTCGACTTCGACTCAAGTGGGAGGCCATGCAGTTCGTCATTACCATTTGCGTTGGCTCGCTGTTGAGGTCCATCCAGCAAACGCCCATAATCGCCATAATTACGCAGAACGCGGAGATCTTGCTCAAAACATCCGCGCGAGGAGCCAGGTACTGCGGTCTCCACGACACGTGCATTCTGTTCACAGTGAGTACGGCCTTGATTGTGCTCATTTTTTCGGCCGCGTTCGCGGTCGTTGTTTCGCTCATATCCTACGCCAATGCCAAACTGATGAAGGACCGAGTGGCCCGTCATTTAAACTCGCGCAGTCACCCCGTCGTTCTATGCAACGCTTGATATTAATATGGCCGAAAACGTCTAGAGACTCAAAACACGGCGAGCTTTGAAGATAACCTTACCTCGTTCGAGAGGAACTGCATCGGCGCACCCTTCAGAAGGCTGTTCCGCGACTGCGATGACATCGCGCACGTCACGTATAAGGGCAAGCGCTGCACAACCGTCGAGGCGCTGCTGCTCGCAGGGTACCTCTACTACGGTGAGCACGTGTACAAGTCGTCCTCCGTGATGATGTTGCTGCTGGCGCGGGTGGTGCCGACAAAGATCATACGCACCTTCAACGTGCTGCTGCTACGCTGGCACATGGACCCGGTAAACGGCACGCTCACTCAAGCGTACTCGTGCACGTGGTACCACGCTAGCCAGGAGAACCACAAGCTGCATGGCGCGATGCCGGTGGCCTAGCTGCGCACGTAAGTGGCCACGTTGAACAGAGTTTAAGCCTAATACTAGTATTATAATAAGTGGCCACGTTGAACAGAGTTTCAGCCTAATACTACACTACTTCGTACCAACGTGCAATCAAATCCGAAAGTCGCAAAATTCATATTGCAAATTTTTAGTTAAGGTGCTCGACCAGTTTACGGCAATGTTTTACTTTTTCCGCGGAAAAATGGTCATAACTTTTTTTCTAGACATCCTCTCAGAAATTTGAAAATATGCCGCAAATCTACAGAAACTCGCCTACAACAAGGTGATCTTGTCGTGGTTCTAGTGTTTGTAAGCGAGCTACCTGCATCAAGGAAAAACCAGGATGCTTTGACGAGCGCCGGCCAGTTTAGCGCAGCGAAACATATTGGGGTTTGTATGACGAAGCATCCCCCATTGCAGAAAACGCGCAATGTGTTACAGGAAGAGCCAAAATCTGTACGCTCTTCACCAAAGTGCGTACTTTTTTCACCACAAGGGCCAAGGGGGATGCTTCGTCAAACTGGCCGGCGCTCGTCAAAGCATCCTGGTTTTTCCTTGATGCAGGTAGCTCGCTTACAAACACTAGAACCACGACAAGATCACCTTGTTGTAGGCGAGTTTCTGTAGATTTGCGGCATATTTTCAAATTTCTGAGAGGATGTCTAGAAAAAAAGTTATGACCATTTTTCCGCGGAAAAAGTAAAACATTGCCGTAAACTGGTCGAGCACCTTAGCAACTTCAATTACGCATTCAAAGATGGAATACGGCAATCAAAGTTGGACCAGAGGTCCAAGATCTCCATGGCTACGAAAGCTGGCGTGCTGTGCTCGCGCCAAGCGCGCACTATAGCCGACGCCGACCGAGGGGAGCTCACTTCGCAATTCGCCTTCTTCTTCGCAGATGTCCCTCCAAGTCGCCACACCGTCCTCGAGAAGCATCGTCCTAAACTCCTGCATTAAGCGAGACCTGGCTCTGGATCGCTCGCGTGAGCCAGACAGCAACGGTCTCCATTTCGGAACACCAGATGCACATCCTGGAGCGCGCCGCGACCGCTAATATGAACGTGATGACCCCCAGCGCTGGTGGCCAGCATGGAGCTGCACTGTCGCGATTTCGTCACCAAGGCGGCGAACAACGGGGGCTGTACGGCATGTAACAGGGCTCATCGGACCAGTAGCAGTAGCCTACTGGTCCGACGAGCTGGCTTGGCATTGTAGATGGAGTACGTAATTGAAGTTGCTAACTAGAAATTTGCAATATGAATTTTGCGACTTTCGGATTTGATTGCACGTTGGTACGCCGCACAAAGGTGTAGTATTATAATATAACAACCTTTTGATAGGAATTCACGAGTGAGGCTTCATAAAACGCTAAAAACCAACACCACGTCATGATGGTGTGTTTCCTGTTGATGTCTTTCACGTGTGGGAGGCCAAGCGATGATTGAGTATTAAGCGACGACTGTGAAGTCTACTTCCCCGACTACTTTATCCTTCCAGGGTTCTTGACTGCAACAAAGTTTGCTTGACGGTTGCAATGACGCCCTGGCAACTGCTGTATCTGCGTCCGTGCTTCGATAGTACTACTACTCACTTGGCGGATGACAGCTTGTGCCAGTGTAGACAGGGCTGAACAATCTTCAGAGAATATGTGTTTGTCAATAAATGCCAGCAACGCGGCGCACGCTTACTCCCTACTACTGATACTACTCACTACGCGCAGCGAAGGCGTGGTTATACTAATGCCGTCGCTCTCCCTAGGCCTAGTCTCGCTCCGCATTCAGTCGATCTCGCGGCGGGTTCATCTTCTGGATCTTCACCATCGGGTCGCGCCGCAGAGCACTGTAACAATACACAATGGTCAGTCTACACATCTTACAACAACAAACTCACAGTAGATCGTACCTGAGGTCGTTGGGGGTCACGAAGATAAACTGCTTCTTGCCGTCCTTCTTAGCGGCATCCACGAGCAGTTGGATCGTCATATCACGGTTCACAGAGTCCATGAACACGTCGAACTCGTCCATTACTCGGAACGGGCATTCAATACTCTCGCCGAGCGCCAGCAGCAGCGACACTTGAGTGTACGAGCGCTCACCACCTGACAGCTCCTTCATATCAGTCACCTGCGACGCGCGCGAGGCCCCCTTTTCGTTCTGGAGCACCGCAATTTCGAGCCGCTGGTCATCATGCCGGAACTTGAGCTTGCCAGCGAAGTTGTTGAGATGCATGTACTTGTTGAACTCCATCGACGTCCGGTGGGCAATCTCCTTGCGGAGAATTTGCCATACCCGCTTGCGCTCCTCCAGCATCGAGTGGATGCGCTCGAGGTTGTCGCGGAACTTGTCGAAGTTGGTCTTCTTGCTTTTATAGTTTAAGTTTGAACTTCTCGTATAATAATGTTGATGAATTGTCGAGATTCAACCTACAATCGCTAAAACAAAACTCGTTTTACACACTGTTAAGGCTAGGAAAATGGAAATATGGCTGCTTCGCACGATCAATGCTGAGTACCGTAGTAAGCAGCCCATTCGAGCGAGTCTAACATGGGGTGAAGTGTTGCCATGCACGAAATGCTACAGGAACGACCCGGGTCACCTATTCGGATCCGGAAATTAATCTGTGCCGATGTGAGCACGTTTCGGCAATGTTCGACTCCCCCTAATATTTTAATACTAATATTGGTAGTTTAAAAACTCATTACGAGATTCGTCTGCTGACACTCGAGCGCTTAGCATTTGAACCTTCGTATCCTGAGCGGGGAGTGCTGATATCCTCTTCAGTGGGTGCCTTCGGCCGGTTCCATGATGGACTATGATTCAAGAGGGCGACGAGCTCCGTGGTCGCCCCCACGACTCGAGGTGATTCGCTCATGATGGTGCTTTTGAATGTTTCCTCGTAATATCACTCCCACCGGTTCTCCATCTTCCGCGCGTATCACCGTAGTCGACAGCTTCACTGTAACTGCGTGCCGCACTGTAGCTGTGAGCGCTCTTGGTTGGCTTGGCGCAGTCGAGTTTCATACGCTCCTGATGCTACTCAATTAGCTCCATCAAAAACTGCAGCAGCACATCGACCACCACGTGTTGAGTGCTCAATTGAGATGAACCGAGTCTGCGAGCAAGAGGAAATGTCTGGATCATGGCCACGAAATCATAAGTAGTGTTGCCTGGTTGTCCAGTGACTTGATATTGTAGCTGGAAACACCAGCCTCGTAGTAGGACACATTTTACACCAGCGTTGCCGACCCCCACATGATGCAACGGCTCCATTATTTTTCGAGGCAGCGAGCGCAACATGCGTGCACAATGAGTGTCGCAAAAAACGAGAAGTCTCCGATGGAACTCTTTCGCGAAGTGCTGGAAGCTCGCTCGTGGTGATCGATTGGCACGCCGTCCAGCTTCAACAGTTGGTCACAACGGCACTTACCGTGGCAGCACGTCGCCATCGTCCACTCACAAGCACATCATGTCCGCCGACAAGCGTAATGACACATTGGCCAAGTTGAAGTGCGCCCAAAACAGTTCTCAAAATCTTAGGATGCCCCCCAAATCGCCCAAATTAGCGTCTCTCGTCCCATAATTTAGGCTCCTCCTGGTTTGGCGCCACTTCTCGCCATCAAAAAGTCAAGTGCGCACTCTTTGGTCCTTGGCCGGGCGATGCCGCTGCTCACGAGCCGCCGGTCGCGCGCCAAGGCGCTGAAGACCGACACAGAAGACGCCTCCACCACCAGCGAGACCGAAGACGAAGTGCTCGAAGCGCAGCAGCAGCAAGAAGAAGGAGACTACGACGAGGAGGACGATGACGCCGCCGCCGACGACGCGCGCGTGGGCTCCAAGCGCCGCAAGAAGAGCAAGACGCCGGCCACGGAGCTGTCCCAGATGGACGCGGACATCGAGTCGGAGATGGGCGTGGTGGAGGAGATCTACTGCGAGAACTTCATGTGCCACCGCAAGCTGCGCGTGGCTCTTAGCCCTCACATCAACTTCATCACCGGAGAGAACGGCAGCGGCAAGAGCGCCATCATCGCCGCCATCCAGATCTGCCTGGGCGCCAGCGCGCGCAGCACGCACCGCGGCAAGAGCATCAAGAACCTCATCCGCCACGGCCACGAGGGCAACGCGCTGGTGCGCATCACGCTGCGCAACGACGCCAAGGGCAGCGATGCCTTCCGCCCGGAGCAGTACGGCCGCAAGATCATGGTGGAGCGGCTGATTCGCAGGGACGGCTCGGCCGAGTACAGACTCAAGGACGAGCGCGGACTGCTGGTGTCTAAGCTCAAGACGGACCTGGACGCCATGCTGGATCATTTGAATATTCAGACGGAGAACCCGTGCGCGATCCTGGACCAGGAGAACGCCAAGCTGTTCCTGAAGGGCAACCCGCAGGACAAGTACAAGTTCTTCCTGCAGTCCACGGACCTGTACAAGATGCGGAACACGTACTCGAAGATCGACGAAGAGACGAGGAACATTGCAGAGTCCACGTTGAAGAGGGAGAGAGCCAAGATTGCTACGTTGAAGGATGCTATGGACGAGGCCAAGAAGCAGTGGAAGGAGGCACAGAGTGTAAGGAACTGCCATTGGGAAGGTGTGATTGGAAAATATGCTAACTGGTTGATACTGTTGATTTTTCCCCCTACAGATTGGAAAGCTGGAGGAGGAGTTTGAAGTGCTCAAGAAGGAGCTGGCGTGGTCGTTCGTGTGCGAGAAGGAGGCGGAGGCTGCGAAGGCGGAGAGGAAGATGAGGCGCAAGCAACGCCTCGCGGAAGAGGCTGCCGAAAAATATGAAGAGACAAAGGTGGAGGTGGAAAACCTCGAACGAAAGCAAAAGGAGAAGAACGACAAGCTCGAGGAGGTCAGCACGCGCATGACTGAGAACAACCAGCGCAAGACCGACGTGAAGAACAGGATTCGTGAGGCCCGGCGTCCGCTCCACACCTGCAAGGCCGAGATGAAGCACCTGACTCAGTCCAAGGAGCGTGCGAATCAACGGCTCGCGCGTCTTCAACGCGACCTGCAGAAGAAGCGTGAGAACCACGAAGCCATGTTGCACAACCGAATGCAGCGCAACGATGAAATGCGCGAGCGTATTACAGTGAAGCGCCGTGAAGTGGACGATGCTGAGCATGAAGTAAACGAAGCCAAGAACCGTGCGCAGGCGCGCCCCCAAGAGCTGGATGAGGTGGAAAACCGCCACGACAATTGTGTCCGTCAACTGCGTGAGGCTGACAGCGAGGCGGGCAAGATCCAGCACCGGATCAATGCGCTGAGAGGGCAGAAGCGCGACAGTCTGGCCGTATATGGCAACCGCATCCCGCAACTGCAGCACCTCATTCAGCAGAATCACCACCGATTCTCCGCACCGCCTATCGGGCCGCTTGGTCTCCACGTGAAGCTTCCTGAAAGATTTATGCACTTTGCTGTGGCGATCGAGGTCGCTCTGAAGGGCACGTTGGGAAGTTACTTGGTGGTTAACGGTCGAGACAAAGCTCTGTTGGATGACCTGAAGCGCCAGGCTCATTGTCCACAGAACCAGGCCAACATCATCATTTCACAGCGGTCTGGACGTCGTTACGGCAACTTGCGGCTAGCTGAAGGCGACCTCGCTGCGCACGCCATCTGCAACATCCTCGAAGTGAACGACGATGAGGTTTTCAACGCGCTCGTGGATGTATGCAGTTCGGAGAGCAAGCTACTGTTCGATGACCGTCAGTCTGCAGAAGAGAGCGTTCTGAGTGGATCGAGTGGCAACTTCAGAATGGCACGATTTGTGTCTGAAGTGTATCTGCCTAGTGGCGACAAATTTGTTGTGCGTTCTGGAAACTTGGCATTCATTGCCAACAAGGGAAATCGCCGCAGTTCCATCATTTGTCAAGACGTGGAAGGCGAGATTAGGGAGCTGGAGCAGAAGCTTGATTATCTACAGGGGAACCTGGACGTGCTGAGGCGTGACGAAGCTCGGCTGCGGCGAGATAGGGAAGACTTCCGTCACCAGATGAAGCAGCAGAACGACCGCATCGATTATCTGTCGCGCAAGTTCAACCAGAAGAGGGCGGAGTTGCGTAATCTGGAGGAGGAATTGTCAGAGGATCTTCAGCAACACACTCTGGATACGTCCGTGCTGGAAGATGAAGTGCGATCAGTGAAGGAGGAACTGGAGGACTTCTACCGTCGTGAGCAAGAGCTTAACGATATTCTGTCCAAGTCCAACCCCGACCTTGAAGGCCAACTGCACGAGCTGGAGGAGCTGGACGCGTTGGAGAAGAAGATCGCTGCAGAAATGAACGAGTACCAGGAAGATGCGGACGCTATCTACAAACACCTCAGTGAGAAGAAGGTGCAGGAGATGACGCACCAGCGGGAGGCAGTAAATTTGAGCGAGATGGTGGTGCAATGGGAAGACCAGCTGGCCACGATTCAGGAAGAGTGCGAGGAGCAGAGGCAAAAGGCCCAGCTGCACTGCGAGCGAGTGGCTGTCACGCACTCGCACGACTACTACGGCAAGCGGTTAACTGATATCAAGCGCCAGATTGATCAAGAACGCAGCCGGTTCCAAGGCATGGACCTCGGCGAGCTGAAGGACGACCTGGAGGCAAAGAAGATCAAGTATAAGAGTAAGAAGATCAACTTCGACAAGTTTCGCGACAACCTCGAGCGCATCCGCTCGATGCTGGAGGAGCGCAAGCGGGTATGGCAAATTCTCCGCAAGGAGATTGCCCACCGGACGTCGATGGAGTTCAACAAGTACATGCATCTCAACAACTTCGCTGGCAAGCTCAAGTTCCGGCATGATGACCAGCGGCTCGAAATTGCGGTGCTCCAGAACGAAAAGGGGGCCTCGCGCGCGTCGCAGGTGACTGATATGAAGGAGCTGTCAGGTGGTGAGCGCTCGTACACTCAAGTGTCGCTGCTGCTGGCGCTCGGCGAGAGTATTGAATGCCCGTTCCGAGTAATGGACGAGTTCGACGTGTTCATGGACTCTGTGAACCGTGATATGACGATCCAACTGCTCGTGGATGCCGCTAAGAAGGACGGCAAGAAGCAGTTTATCTTCGTGACCCCCAACGACCTCAGGTACGATCTACTGTGAGTTTGTTGTTGTAAGATGTGTAGACTGACCATTGTGTATTGTTACAGTGCTCTGCGGCGCGACCCGATGGTGAAGATCCAGAAGATGAACCCGCCGCGAGATCGACTGAATGCGGAGCGAGACTAGGCCTAGGGAGAGCGACGGCATTAGTATAACCACGCCTTCGCTGCGCGTAGTGAGTAGTATCAGTAGTAGGGAGTAAGCGTGCGCCGCGTTGCTGGCATTTATTGACAAACACATATTCTCTGAAGATTGTTCAGCCCTGTCTACACTGGCACAAGCTGTCATCCGCCAAGTGAGTAGTAGTACTATCGAAGCACGGACGCAGATACAGCAGTTGCCAGGGCGCATTGCAACCGTCAAGCAAGCTTAGTTGCAGTCAAGAATGCTGTTTTACATGCATTCAGTTGATCAGCATTTCTGCAATGATTTTGCCGGCCCAGCACAACTCGATTTTGAGTCTCCTGCATCCCAGTGGAGCCCGTCTTCTCCTGCGTCAGTCAGAGCAGACTTTCATTTTAGAAAGACTATTCTAGTATTTGTGTAAGCGGCGCTCAACTCCCTGGGCCTCGAAAACACCCGAGGAAGCGTCAGTCTGGCTGTAGCAAGCTCTCTCTTCAGCGTGGTTTTATAGATACTGTAAAATGCTAGTCAATACGTGATAGGTGGCGGGCGAAGTAGGTGCGCTGTCGTGTCAACAGGGCTATTGGATAGACGGTTTCCGTTACGCCCAGACCGATCCGTCCAAAATGGATGAGCTCATCCTTAATCAAGTGCTAAAATTGACGGAATACATGCACACGGGTGCAATGAGCTGATCCAAGGTCTCAAGTTGAAACCTTCTGGTCAAGTCGGTTGAAACTTTCAACCGTTTTTGGCCAGAAGACAGCAAGCTGGCACGCACGCTATCGTGCAAACGAACCCTCCACAACCATAAGGCTCCGCACAGAGTCCCAGGAGGCTCCGCACAGAGCACAGAACACAAGTCCTTCAATGTTTAGCCACGAATTTATTATCTCCCAAGCAAGAAAACGTTAAAATAAAAAATACCTGGAAAGTTTAGACGAACTTACCTAAGTGACGGCATTCTTTGATCCACGCCACTTAAGAAGACGCTCAACGACTCAACCCCGCACCGTTAAAGCCCACAGGTCGACGAAAGTCCAGCAATGGAACGGGCCACGGAGTATCACGATCAGCAGCGCCTCGAGCGCGAGACACGCTCATTGAAGACTCTGTGCCGACCGTCTGTCCTCGTAGCGTGTTTGGCCATCGCTGGACGCCTTATCGTGGGCCCACTCGCACTTCTGCTGCTGTTCACCGCCACAGGGTATTTAACCGACGCCTCCGTTCTGGTTGAAGTCGACGAGAGCTTCGTGTCTTCACTGAGAGAGACTTGGCGAAGGCTGGAGGCTGCGCACAATGCGTCGGAGCGTGCAAGATCTCTTTGCTCATGTTCGGTTTGATCAGTGGGGAGGCGCTCGTCAGTGCGCCAAGATTCCGAGCCGTCACGAGCCTGCCTCCGACTGAGTCACTGTACGACTTCAGAACTCTTAGCAAAGAGGTCCTCGATCTGGGGGAAACCCTCGACGCCGCCTCCACCGTCTGCTACAGCGGGATGAACGACTGGGGGGCAATTGTTGAATCGATCACAGGAACACCGCAGCAGATTCTGAACGTGTCGCTACTCTTAACATCAGCGTATCACCTCAATTGATTCGAGAGCTGGAGGTGTCCATTGGACAACCAGACGGGTGCAAGCCACCTTGGACGCTTTGCTCTATCTATCCGGGTGTTTCTATACAAGTCGGAGGACGACGGGTTTAGCAAAATCTCCGCTGCGACCGTCAACCTTTACCCAGAGTTCACCGAGTGCCGGCCAGACGTCCCAAACGACGACAATTTGGTTGGAAAGAGATTGGCTAGTGATACCAACGGCAACGACGTGCTTGAAGCCGTTCCTGATGCCCTGAAAATATACCCGTACAGCTTTTCCAGCAGTCTACGGCCAATCTCCCGCGTCGTACCAGCTACAAACACCAAGTATGGGGCGACGACCGTTCTGGAGCCTCTCCTCAATGCATACTACGGTGGCTGTCGTGTTCGTGAGGTGAACATAACAGGGATCTATGTTGAAGATACTTGCGAAGCCTCAAAGCACTGGTCGTCTTACGGTTTGATGGTGCAGTCTCCCGACGATATTCCGTTGTGTATCGCCGGCGACGTCTGCATTCACAACTATTTCAACACCCAGTGGGAGGGCATCGTTGAACTCACGCCTGAAAACCGAGACCATGTTCCCCTGTACGTTAACAGCGTCCGCAGTCGCTATGGCGACACCGTCCCGATTAACACGTTGCCTGGCGTCGTGGTCGCGCAGATCCTGTTCATGGGTATCGTTAGCCTCTACGAGGTGGTGTCGCACCAGCAATCGGTTCTCCTCTCGCAAATCTGGGCGTACCGCTGTCAAATTGGGCGCGTGCAAGTGCTGTACCTTGCGCAGATTACCTACCACCTCGTGTACAATTCCGACCTGTATTTGCTGGGACTCGCGACAGGGACACTCACCGGGGAATCCATTGCCAACCTCACGCTGTGCTTCTTCGCCTTCTCCTACTCGTTCGTCAACCTGGCCAAGGCTCGTTCGGGGGAGCAGCGACTGGACCGTCGACTTCGACTCAAGTGGGAGGCCATGCAGTTCGTCATTACCATTTGCGTTGGCTCGCTGTTGAGGTCCATCCAGCAAACGCCCATAATCGCCATAATTACGCAGAACGCGGAGATCTTGCTCAAAACATCCGCGCGAGGAGCCAAGTACTGCGGTCTCCACGACACGTGCATTCTGTTCACAATGAACACGGCCTTGATCGTGCTCATTTTGTCGGCCACGTTCGCGCTTGCCGCTTCGATCATATCCTACGCCGATGTGATGGTCATGAAGGACAGAGTGGTTCGTCATTCAATCTCGTGCGGACACACCGTCGTTCTGTGTATCGCTTGATATGGCCGAAAAAGTCTGGCGTGACTCAAAACACGGCGAGCTTTGAAGATAACCTTACCTCGTTCGAGAGGAACTGCATCGGCGCACCCGTCAGAAGGCTGTTCCGCGACTGCGATGACATCGCGCACGTCACGTATAAGGGCAAGCGCTGCACAACCGTCGAGGCGCTGCTGCTCGCAGGGTACCTCTACTACAGTGAGCACGTGTACAAGTCGTCCTCTGTGATGATGTTGCTGCTGGCGCGGGTGGTGCCGACAAAGATCATACGCACCTTCAACGTGCTGCTGCTACGCTGGCACATGGACCCGAAAGACGGCACGCTCACTCAAGCGTACTCGTGCACGTGGTACCACGCTAGCGAGGAGAACCACAAGCTGCATGGCGCAATGCCGGTGACCTAACGCTGAACTAATACGGGTTTACAATACTTATTAGTCGCTACCAAGCGATGACGGCTTTAGCTTGTCAAAACTTACATGCATGAAGGCACTCCGTATGACTATAATATTCAGAATATTACGTTTCACCAAACGATCTACAGCGTAACTCATGAAAAGTTGACTCAAAATCCACAATCGTTGACTCAGCACCGTGGGGCATCGCTCCCTCAGCTAAGCTTATTGAAAAGCGTGGCAATCTAACCAAATCGCTACCTCCACCGCAGTCATGAAAGCCCAACGCACAACCGAGCTCAACGAAGTCGTCAAAGTTTGGGTTTGTTTGTTTGTTTGACTCAAACCCACCCGTCCCAAATCGCGGGTGATTTGCACTACAGCCCTGAAAAACCCAGCCAATCCGCGGGTGAATGCGAGCAGCTCATCTGCAGCTCAAACCAGCAAGCTCAGTATCGAAAAAGACCTCTCCAGCACCACCCGCCCCCGACACCATGGACGCGTCGGGCCAAGCGCTGGAGCGCGAGCTGGCGCACCTGCACCTGGACGGCCCGCTGGACCCGGGCTTCCCGTCGCCCCTGCTGCACGCAGACGTGATCGCCGCGGCCGCGCAGGCCGCCACGGACGCGGACGACGGCGACGTGCCGAGCCCCGATGAGGACGAGAGCGACGAGGCCAGCCAGCGCACGCACCACGAGGGCCGCCTCAAGGCCTCGATCCTGGAGAAGGTGGCCACGGAGAAGCGCCTGCGCCGCCTGTCCGAGGTGTTCGCGGACGGCCACGAGGACGCGCGCGAGGACCAGAGCGGCGACCTGTTCGAGACGCTGCCGGAGCCCTACGGCCAGCTGTCCACGTACCAGCGCATCCAGATCACGTCGCCGCCCGAGGAGGTGGACAGGGAGACCAAGGAGGTCTGCGGGCTCATCCGCAAGTGCCTGGAGCTGCGCAAGAAGTGGATCACCGTCAACGAGCCCAAGACGCCGCCGCCGCCCGCGGAGGTGCCCACCAGTCCGCGCGCGGCCGGCGCGGCCGCGAAGCTGCGCCACCGCGACGAGATCCCGTACGAACCTTTCAACAACCCCGTGCCCGAGACGTCGCAGCACCACTTCGTCATGGCGGACGGCGTGGTCATGGTGTACGAGGACAAGGACGCCGTCGAGCCCATCAGCCGCGTCGGCAGCATGGAGGAGTACTACAAGGACCTATTCGAGATCAAGCGCATCATCAACTTTGGGCCGGTCAAGACGCTGGCCTTCAAGCGCCTGCAGCTGCTCGAGGCCAGGTACAACCTGCACACACTGCTCAACTCGGAGCGCGAGCTCGTGGCCCAGAAGGCCGTGCCGCACCGCGACTTCTACAACGTGCGCAAGGTCGACACGCACATCCACCACTCGGCCTGCATGAACCAGAAGCACCTATTGCGCTTCATCAAGTCGCGTCTGCGTAACTCCCCCGGAGAGATCGTGATCTTCCGTGACGGCCGCTTCATGACGCTGAGCGAGGTCTTCCGGTCGCTGAACCTCACGGGCTACGACCTGAGCGTCGACACGCTCGACATGCACGCGAGCAACACGTTCCACCGCTTCGACCGCTTCAACCTCAAGTACAACCCCGCCGGACAGAGCCGTCTGCGTGAGATTTTCCTTAAGACCGACAACCTCATCGCTGGCAAGTACCTGGCCGAGATCACGAAGGAGGTCATCTCCGACCTGCACGCGAGCAAGTACCAGCTCGTGGAGTGGCGCGTCTCGATCTACGGCCGCAAACGCTCGGAATGGGACAAGCTGGGCCGCTGGATCTACGTCAACAAGCTCACGTCCCCGCACGTGCGCTGGATGGTGCAGATCCCGCGACTCTACTTCCTGTACAAGAAGCTCGGCGAAGTGGACAACTTCCAGCAGATGCTGGACTACATCTTCCTGCCGCTCTTCGAAGTCACCCGCGACCCGTCGAGCAACCTGCCGCTGCACTACTTCCTCGAGACGATGGTGGGCTTCGACTGCGTGGACGACGAAAGCAAGGCCGAGCCGTTCCGTGCCGAGCGCGGCAAGAAGCTGCCCAAGCCCCACGAGTGGACACACGAGGCCAACCCTCCATACGACTACTGGTGCTACTACCTGTACGCCAACATTGCTGCGCTGAATGAGTTCCGTCGCCAGAAGGGCCTCAACATCTTCTCGTTCCGACCTCACTCCGGCGAAGCTGGCGACCCCGAACACCTGGCGGCCGCCTACCTGACTGCTAACGGCATCAACCACGGCATCACGCTCCGTAAGTCTGTGGCCCTGCAGTATCTGTACTACCTGACGCAGATCGGCATTGCCATGTCGCCGCTGAGCAACAACCGCTTGTTCTTGGCGTACCACCGCAACCCGTTCCCGATCTACCACGCGCGTGGCCTGAACGTCTCGCTCAGCACAGACGACCCGGTCATGCTGCACTACACGAAGGACGCGCTGCTGGAAGAGTACTCGGTAGCCGTGCAGGTGTGGAAGCTGACGTCCACAGACATGTGCGAAATCGCGCGCAACTCGGTGCTGCAGTCAGGTTTCGAGCACAAGTTCAAGGAGCACTACCTCGGCCCCAAGTACACACTGCCCGGCTCGCGCGGCAACGGTGAGCTCACGAACGCGTTTCATGGCATGCCTTTCTTGCGCTCTAACTTTATGTGCATTCTTCTTGCTATCGCTACGCAGACATTCGAATGACTAACGTGCCGGACATCCGTGTGGACTACCGTCACGAGACGCTCCAGGGCGAGCTAGCGTTCGTAAGCCCCCCCCTCCTACCAATCACTAGGGGATAGATAAGCAAACGTCGTCATTTCAGCTCTATTAAAGCTAAACATTTGCTGCGCTGGTAAGTGTTTCTTGCCTCCAAAACTCTCTACTGTAATGACACCGACCTGGCCTGACCTTCACGCAAGGCTGATGAATTTATGTTGAAAATTGACTTCGTCAGGCTGCCGTTAAGTATCTACGTAGCGTAGCCCACTGACACGCAGGTGTAGTAGAGCTACGACTGCTGCTGCAGCTTGTCCAGAACACGCAGCCCCTGCTCCTCGTACTCGCTCTTGAGCAGCCAGAAGGCGTCGTTGTTCTTCATCAGGTCAGCCAGCACGCTGCCGCCCTGGAAGACCAGGTGTTTGCGGCGCGGCGGGTCGTTGATACGCAGGCGGAACTTGCTCAGGCGGCTCTTGTCGCCCTTCAGCACGTCGGTCAGGTACCGCTGCTTGATGTCCTTCTCGAGTCGGCTCGGCAGACCCGGATACATACTGGAACCGCCCGACAGCACGATGTTCTTGAAGAACTCCGTGCGCAGGTCAATGTCGGCCTTCATGCACATGTCGAACACCATGTCGCTCAGGCCGGCGCCCTCGACGTCGATCAGGTTGGGGTCGAACAGCGCCTCCGGGGCCTCGAAGCGCTCGCGTCCGAGTCGCACGACGCGGCCGTCGGGCAGCTCGTACGACTCCTCCAGGACGGTAGTCTCCAGAGCCAACTTGCGCTCCACGGCCGTGTCGTAGGCGACGTAGCACCACTTCTCCTTGATCTGACGCGCCGTCTCGAAGTCGGCCGTGCGGTTCAGCGGGTAGCCGCGCAGCAGCATGAGCTTGATGAGGTAGTTGGTGATGTGGCGGCCGGCGACGTCCAGGCGGCAGATGAGGTGCTGCGGCACGTAGCCCTGGAACACGGGCACGACGTGCGTGACGCCGTCGCCCGTGTCGATGACCACGCCCGTGGTCATTCCCTGCGCGTAGAGCGTGAGCATGGCCTGCGTCGTGATGTTGCAGCCCTCGAAACCGTACTTCTCGAACATCATCTCCACGAGCTTCTCGCGGTTGCGCTTCGGGTTGAGCGGCGGCTCCGTGAGCAGGATGCGGTGGCCCTCGCGCGGGTTGATGGCCAGGCGCTCCTTGAACGTGTAGTCCCAGAGCTTCTCCATGTCGTCCCAGTTCTTGACGATGCCGTTCTCCACGGGGTACGAGATCTCGAGGTTCGACCGCACGGCGGCAGCCTCGTCGCCGAACATAATGTCCTACAAGTGTATCAACTGTCAGCATTAGCTTCAATTTGAGAGGGGGCGACACACAGGCGACGTACTTTGAGCAGGATGTCCGTCTGCACGGCCTCCTCGGCGCGGAGCACGGGGCGGCCCACGAGGGACGGGAAGATGGCCTTGGGGAAGTTTTCACCGGCGAACCCAGCCTTCACGAACTGCAGAGGTATAACAAGGGAGGGGAACTGTTAGTGATACATGATCAATCATTGCATGGCGCTGCTACAGTCGAAGGCTAGACGCACCCCCGTGCCGTTGTCGCACACGACGATCTTGTTGGAGGCCACCATCGCTGCTGCTGCTGCTGCCCTTGGCCCCTGCTCCTTTGCTGATGCGATTCCGCTGTCGGCGCGTCGAAAGCTTCTTGCTTCCTGTTCGGAGTCAGATTGAGATCGACCCCCTTTTTGCGTCGTAATCGGGCTGTCAACCCGGCTAATTGCGAATGCGAGCTGCGACAAAATCGCACTTACGAGTAAAGACTCACGGTACTACAGCGGCAGGAAGGAAGATGGGGCATCCAATGCTTGTCAAAGATGCTTCGATGGTGGTGGTGGTTAAAATAAGCTTTATCATAACATTATAGCCGAGCAACAGGCAGGCGTCCTCCCGCTCGAGCTCTAACTCTCTCGCTCTCTCTTGATATCGTACAGGCCTGTACTCATTTTCTTGTTGTGTCGATGGAGATGCCGCTCTCGTGCCGTGTGCGAGCGCTGGATTCTTCGTTTCTCCTTCAACGCCGCCGCGTGGCTGTGCGTGACAGGCCGATCTGCGGCTAATTTCAATGTGATCCCGGATCCCCCTCCGAAGCTACCTGCGCCCTCTCGAGCGCGCGCTCGACGACCCTCCGCTACTCTGCGTATTGATGCATTCACCCGCGGCGCTGGCGGGTGGCAGAGTGGGTCGTGAAGTGCGGCGGCGGACGCGTCGCCGCGGCGCGCACCGCCAGCGTCTCCTCCGAGACGAGCGAGGGCGATTGCGCCAGGTAGTGAGGGGCGTGGCTTCACGCGGACTGGCGCAGCCGGTGCGCCGTCTTGCAGTCGAGGCCGCAGTACTGGTCGAAGCGGCTGAGGCCGCGCTGGAAGCACTTGGAGCAGTTGGTGCACCAGCGCTGCTCCTTGCTGGGCTCGTGGGGCTCAGCAGGCAGCGACACGCTCTGCGAGAAGGCCGGGCGCGCGCTGGGCACGGCGTCGCTGAACTTGGCCAGGTGGTCGAAGCCCGTGCCCGTGTGCGTGCGGCGGATGATGTCGTAGATGTTGCGCTTGCTGCTGCTGCTGTCGCCGGCGGCGGCGGGGCTCAGCTCGTCGTCCTCGCACACGATCGTGTCGCGGTGCTCGCGGTGGAACATGCCGCGCAGCTTGCCGCTCAGGTACGAGAGCGACGTGAGCTTGCGCAGGCGGCTCCCCTCGTCCGCGGCCTTGCCGGCGCTCACGAGCGGGAAGCGCATGCCGCGGTGGTCGAAGCTGCGCGCCGCCGCCGCCATCGGGTCTTGCTTGGCGTCCAGCCAGTGGTGGCTGTGGTGGTGCTCGCCGCGCGCCATGATGCAATGCTCTCTCCAAAGACCCACCTGCGCGGAAGCAGCCAAATTCCAAACTGCTTTTGACCGCTGCCGTCCTTTTTGGGAATTAGGTGGGGCGACAGGGCGCGGGGATGAGCTGCACGGATCCCCGCCGTAGATGATACCTGTTTACTGCAATTTTTGGACGGTGTGCGCAGAAGAGTGTGACTGCGCGAATGGTGTCACTGGGGTGTAGTAAGGTTTTTGGTAAGTGATATTACTGCTATATTGGATGCATAGGGGTATGCCGTTCGGAGGTTTGTGTGTGCCACACCGAGCGGTAACTAACACCGTTCCCGAGATGTGAAGTGGCGTGCGAGTGTGGGGACTCTCCTCAATGGCAACCGCACGACGCGGGCTGTCCAATGCATTTAGGTAGCCCACCAGCAGAATTGCTGCATGGTCTCCGCCTTCTCACCACGCAAAGCTGGCGGGTTTCGTCACCGCTTCAAGTCGGACGGAAACGCTTTTACCTTTAGGTATGCGACCAACGGCTCGGCGGCGCAGGACACATGGATTCCGCCGCAGGCTGTTCGCCGACAAAGCACGTGTTTCTGGCTTGGCTGCAGCAATGCCCCCATCCATAGCTTTGGATTTCGACGGCTGCCAAGCTCACGCGCGACCCGTCCGCCGAAATCTCGATGTCCGTGCAGCGCGGTCAAGTGGCCGCTGCAAAGCGAGCGAGCGCTGTTTAGGCAGCGACGACGCACGCGGAAGTCCTTGGGGACGCTTTGGTTCACCCCAACTTACTTAAGTATATCGGTGGAGCTTGCTTGCAGGCTACGATTTGGCCTCAAGGAAATCATGCGGATGCATTTCTCTCGCGACTTGTATCGCAGACCTCGGCACGAAGATTGCACACTTTGGTCCCTCCACCTCTGCGGACCTTCCTCCGCCCTTCCTCCGCCGAAGGTCTCGAGCCTCGGGACCTTCGACTCGCTGGCCTGGGCTGGGCGTGTTGGCGCGGATGTGTCCACCGTCGTGTTTCCTGCGATCAACGACGCATCTGGTCGCCGCGCAAGGCTTCACGCTTGCCCTTCTGCGGAGAGCTATCCGCGACATGGCCCGGTCTGGACGAGCCGTTGGCTCGCGCGGGCGATGCCGGCCGTGCTGGTGGTTGAAGTGCTGCCGGCTGGCGGGGCCGAGCCCGAGGGGCGAAAACTGTGTACAGCGGCGTTCGTGTCATCACCAGGTGCTGCCCGACAACCGAGGCAGACTGCGCGCATGAACATGGCAAAGTTACTTGATGTTTGCCAGCCTGCTGGTGTCGGTGACCCGCTAGGCAGCAAGCAATGCGCTCGGCTGATAGGAGCAGCATTGCGCGCGAATGTTCTCGAGGTACCGTCCTGCTAAAGGCTCAGGTGCCGCGAAATTTGTGCACTGCAACATGCTCTTCACCAGGCCTGCACGTCACCGACTTCTTCAACGCATGGCCTCGGCACACCGATGAAACAAGGCGCATGTGAACATGTTTATTGTTTTTTCGTTCTAATACTGCTGCCCTCGCGTTCGCTCTCGCACGCATTGTCGCCGCGCCAGGACGAGAAGCGGTAGAGCTTGCTTCGATCAGCACAGCCCTTCGAGCGGACACGGGGCAGCACCTCACTAGCGGTTCGTCTACTGGGTCTTCTTCTCCCACTCGTCCATGCGCTCCTTGAGCTCGCGCGCGTGCATGCGGCGGCCGATGAACTTGAGGACCTCGTCGATGACAATCACCGGCAGCGAGAACGCCAGCACCACCAGCCACTCGTTGAAGTCCAGCGGGATCACGCTGAACGTGTCGGCCAGCACGTCCACGTACAGGATCACGAAGTGCATGGCGAACGAGATCACCATGGCGATCATGAGGTACGGGTTCGACCAGGGCGGCATGGTGACCAGACTGCCGTCCTCCGACAGCGCGTTCAGGGCGTTGAACATCTCGATGGCCACCAGAACCGACAGCGAGAGCGTCGACGCCGTCTTCTTGCCGTCAGTGAAGTAGCGGCAAGGGTCCGACGAGAAGTCCATGCCGTCGAAGTTGTTCACGGTGAAGTTCTCCCACTCGTGGCACTTGGTCCAGTTGGTCAGCTGGCTGTACGTGATCAGCGTGTGTCCATCGCCCGAGGCTTCGTAGTACATGTACCAGTACGCGAAGACACCAACGCAAGCGAAACCGACGTAGATGCCGACAACCATGTACCGGAAGAACACCCAGCCCGTGATGAGAGCGTCGTCGCTGCGGCGAGGAGGCTTCCTCATGATGTCAGCGTCAGGCGGGTTGAAGCCCAGAGCCGTGGCCGGAGGGCCGTCGGTCACGAGGTTCACCCACAGCAGCTGCACGGGGATCAGGCCCTCCGGAAGGCCAAGCGCAGCCGTGAAGAAAATGGCCGCCACCTCGCCGATGTTCGACGAAATCAGGTAGCGGATGAACGCCTGCATGTTGTTGTAGATGGCACGGCCCTCCTCGACGGCAGCCACAATCGTGGCGAAGTTGTCGTCGGCAAGCACCATGTCCGAAGCCTCCTTGGCGACTTCGGTACCAGTAATGCCCATGGCAATACCGATGTCAGCCTGCTTCAGGGCAGGCGCGTCGTTCACACCATCGCCAGTCATAGCGGCGACCTCGCCCAGCTGCTTCAGCATCTTGACGAGCTGCTGCTTATGCTTCGGCTCCGTGCGGGAGAACACCATGCCGTGGCCGTCCGACAGGTACTCGTTCTGCTTCTCGAGCGGCAGGTTGAAGAAGTCGGCGCCAGTGAACGAGCGCGTGGACAGGTCATCACCATCCTTGAAAATGCCGATCTTGTGGCAAATGCTCTCAGCAGTGAGCTTGTTGTCACCAGTGATACAGATGACACGGATTCCAGCGGTGTGGCACATCTCAATCATCGGGCGCACCTCCGGGCGCGGCGGGTCCAGCATGCTGACAAGACCGATAAAGGTCAGGCCCGACTCGATCGCAGCAAAGTTCTCGGTACGCTCCAGCTGCTTGTGCGCGGGGTGGTGGCGGTCACCGTCGTACGAGCCGAGCTCACCAAGGTCCTCCTTCTTCGCCAGAGCAAGGCAGCGCAGCGACTTGCGGGCCAGGCTCGACACCTGCGTCAGCAGCCCCTGGCGACCAGCATCCGTCAGCGGCTTGATAGTGCCGTCGCCCAGCTCGATGTGGGTGCAGCGGTCAATGAGGCCCTCGGGGGCACCCTTCACAAGCAGGAGGTTCTGGTTCGCAGACGACGAGCGGGTAGCACGCTGGGAGCCGCCGCTCTTGGCGCACAGCACCGACATCGACTTGCGGTCGCGCGAGAACTCGAGCACCGCCAGCTTCTTGTTCTGCTCCTCCAGGTACTCGTTGCAGAACTGCACGGCCTTCTCCGGGTTGGCAGCGCGCAGCGAGTCGAGCTCCGCCTGCTTGGCGCTGTCGTGCGGGAAGCCAATCTTCTCCACAAGAACCTTCAGGGCGGCCTCCGTGGGCTCACCGACGCGCACGTACTTGCCCTCGTGGAACTCAATGGCAGACTCGTTACACAGCGAGCAAACAGCGGCCAGCGACGACACGGCCTTGAACTGGCCCAGCGGGGCGCCCTCGATCTTGCCAATAGGCGCGTACGTGTGACCCTCCACGTCGTACGTCACCAGGTCCGTCTCGGACTTGCCGAGGTGCGAGAACGTCACACACGACATCTCGTTGGTAGTAAGCGTGCCCGTCTTGTCGGAGCAGATCACAGTCGTGCAGCCCAACGTCTCGACGGAAGGCAGCTTACGGACAATGGCGTTTTTCTTGGCCATCTTGCGCGTTCCCAGAGCCAGGCACGTGGTGATCACAGCCGGCAGACCCTCGGGGATAGCAGCCACGGCCAGCGCCACGGCGATCTTGAAGTAGTAGATGCAGCCCTTGACCACGGAGCCGTAGATGGGGTCGAAGAAGTTCTTGTAGTTGATGACCCACACGACGATGCAGATGATGGCGATGACCTTGGACAGCAGCTCGCCGAACTCGTCCAGCTTCTTGGTGAGCGGCGTGTCCTCCTCCTCCTTGGACGCGTCCTGCACCGACTGCTGGATCTTGCCGATCTCCGTCTTCATGCCGATCTCCGTGACCACGCCGTGGCCCAGGCCGTTGACCACGACCGTGGCGGCGAACAGCATGTTGGTCTTGGCCTGGATGATGTTCTCCGTGCCCTGCGGCAGCGCGTCGATGTCCTTGTTGACGGACGTGGACTCGCCCGTCATCTGCGCCTGCTCCACGCGGATGGCCGTCGTCTTCATGGACAGCAGGCGCAGGTCCGCGGGCACCTTGTCGCCCACGCGGATCTCCACCACGTCGCCGGGCACGAGCTCGCGCGCGGGCAGCGTGAGCATCTCTCCGTCGCGCATGACGCGCGCGTTCTCGGGCTGCAGGTCCTTGAGCGCCTCGAGCGCGGCCTCGGCGTTCGACTCCTGCCACACGCCCACGATGGCGTTCAGCACGAGGATCACGAGGATCACGAGCGGCTCCACGAAGGCACCGATGCCCTCCTCGCCGCCGTCCTCGAACAGCGCGAGCGCGAAGGACACGACGGCGGCGCCCAGCAGGATCTTGACCAGCGCGTCGTCGAACTGCTCCAGCACGAGCTTCCACAGGGGCGTGCCCTCCTCCTTGTCTAGCTCGTTGTAGCCGTGCGCGGCGCGGCGCTGCTCCACCTGCGCGGCGCTCAGGCCGCGCTCCTCCGTCACGTCGAAGTGCTTGAGCACCGCCTCGGGCGTCTCCAGCTCATAGCGAACGTCTGCCATGGCTGCTGGAACTTCCCTCCCTTTGGGCGGCCTTTCCCTCCTTCTCCTTCTTGCGGTCTTCTTCCCGGAAACCAAAGTGCGTTTTGTGCCGCGTGGCAAAAAGATTCCCTGGATACCTGTGGAACTCGATGGGATCAGATTGGGGAGGAATCAGGGAGGGTTTTGTAAAACAAGGTGGGAAAAGGTTTAGAAGGGGGTGAGATGATTGGAGGTTAGTAAGCGTTGAGTGAGCGCCATGCTGGGGTTCATACCGTGTTTTGCAACGCTCTTGTGACGAGTCGTCATTGTGCTTTTTCGAGAACAAAGCAGGGCTTCAAGCCGAGTTATGCACACCGACGGGAGGGTGTCGCGCGGCCCGACGCAGGTGACGCAGTGTCTCCGGACTTCATCATGGCGTCGGGCTCAAGTACACCGGCTTGGAACCGTTTGCGTACATCCGCACGTATCAACACGCCAATTGTGAGGAGCACTCATCGGCTCCGGTTGGAACGGCATTTCATCTCCGTGTGGACGAGCGCTGGATTTTCAATGTCGATGCCGCTGTACGAGGCTCGTTCCACGGGTTGCGGACAATTGGTCGCTCTGGAAGAGCGTCCATGGCTCGATGACCGCTATTACATTAATGCTCTGCACGTACGCCCGCTCACGATAAGACCAACATCCGATCGAGCCATTGGCGGCGGCAGCTTGAAGCAGCTGCACGTTCCGCCCTGGCCAAATCTGCCAGGAGCTGTTGGTGCACCACGTTGGCGCACCGCTGTAGAAGTTGTAGAAGTTGCGCTTTGCGCGAGAGTTGAAAGGAAACGTGCGTTGAAGTTCTATGCAAGTATTGCTGGAGCAACCCAGCCGAATCCCTCTACTTGCCGCTAATAATGAGCCCTCGAACAGCAAGACCGAAGCTCAGACATTGGCGGGTTGAAAGGCAAGAACTGCTACATGTATCGAAATTCCTGGTGACGTTGCGTGGTTGCTACCTTGATATCGTCCCTACCCATGGCGAGCCAGGAAGTCCTCGGTTTCGCCATACATCGGTCGCACAAAGGAGAATGAAGGCGCAGCACGGCGCTTCCCTTCCTTCACGCGGAGCGACTTGCTGTCGCGCGTGATAACGACGAGCTTCGACGTTTTCCGTTCCTGCAACACCCAGTCATTGTAAGCTGTCGACGACCGATACAGCGAGAACTTGCTCTTGCCATGGCCGTCTGCAACAAGATTCCCGTCACGAACGCTCACCCACTGCACCCGCACGTTGCCAACGGGGATCGTTGATAGCAGGAAGGAGCGCTTCCCAGCCGGGTGTAACATGAACAGCGTCTGCGCGGAGTCTTTCTCATTCTGCAACACCAAGCGAAGTTTGTTTGACTTGGGGCAAACACCCATCCACTTTGCCTCGTGTTTGAGACGAACGACTGGGTTGCCGAGTAGCAGATTCATGACGCTTGACACGCTGACCGAGACAAACGCAGGTTTCACCAGCTCTCTTGGGATGGTCATGTGAAACAGTACGTCCACGCTTCCGTCAAACTTCCGCGTGTGGTCCCAAGAAGCCATGGTACAGAATGAAAGCGCTGCAGTGAGCGGATGGGCCCAAATTTGTGCCTCAGCTCGGTGGCGAACTTTCATGACAACATCACACTTGTAGCTCGCATGAGGCAACACGATTTCTTCAATCTCAGCACAGCCGTCAGTGCTAAAGCTAAGCTCGTTGCTCTTGTTGTCCAAAGCGATTCCAGCTCCCTCGGCCAGGGTCCATGGAGAAACCGTGGTCTCGATGAATTCCATGTCCACCAACGATTCGTCCGATGCATAGGCACGGTACCCCCGGGGGGCCTTGTCTCGCTCGCTCACAGACACCTCATGGCTCACTTCGAACACCCCCAGAGCGTACTGCTGCCCTCGAAGTCTGTGTTCATTGCGAAATTTGACAGCATCGAAACTTTTGCCGTAAAATGAGAACAGTCTCTTCACGTCCGCTTGGTCGGCGTGATCAAGTCGACTGAAGAAATTCACATCCGCGTAGGCGAAAGTTGTGCGCTCTCGCTGTACATTCCGAGCCACAAACTCGTTTATCTTGCACTCTTCCACGCCCGAAACGACCGCGCGTCCAGGCAGCTTGTCGTCGCTGAAAGCCACGCGCTTGGACTTGTTCCATGCCGTAAAATACTTCGACAAAGCGCCCAAATCCGCCTCTAGTTGCGACCTCGCGCTGCATTTGAGCTCACCCGCGTAGCCTTCGCTGAGAATGTCAAACAGGCGAATGGCTCGCATTGTCAGCGTCTGGAGCGCATGATTCACGACCTCAGTCGACCGCACCACACTGCAACAGAAGCCACTAGCAAAGGCTTCGCGAAATCGGTCGACGAGATACCAAGTGATCAGGCGCAACTCGCGCGCCTCATCTCGTGGCTTTTGGTCTTCGCCCATGCTCAACAAATTGCACAATGAGCTGGAGATCGTGCGCTGCTAGAACTCTCCATCAATCAGCGGGATTGATGTCACCCTCAGAAATGTCAATTAACATCAGTAGCAGTCGGGATGTTTTTATAAATTGACTCGCTTTTCGTGACATTTGGTGGACTACCTGACTGGCTTCGTCGCTCCTATTGAGCGGCTTGCGAGCTGAGGTGACTCGGCGCGTCGGCGAAGTAGGTTTGTAGGATAAACGCGCGTGACAGCAAAGGCTCGATCTCGTTCTCAACCCAGTCTTTCGTCGGCAGGCTCTGCAGAAAGAGCACGAGGTCCTGGAACTCGAGCGTCTTGAGCGCCTCGCCAAACGTCATGAGAATGGCGGCGCACACGTACACGTGGAAGCTTTCGAAGCCCGAGTCTTCACACAGGTACGTATCCCAGATGCGCACGATTCCGTCCAGTGGTAGCTCGCGCATTAACAAACAGTTCATCCAGCGGAACGCAAACTGCACGAACTGCACATTCTCACGCTCCACGATGTGCTCGAAGAGCTCCGCGTCACACCGGTGAACCAGTTCCTCCATGCGCTGCACCATGCGTTGCAAACCTGGCTGCGCGAACGTGTAATGGTCCTGGATATCGTCCAGAAGCTTCGTCAAGCACCAGTAGCTGTCCGCTTCGACGATCTGCAGGTTTTCATCCGACACCTCCGACAAGTCGCATGTCTGAGGCTCATCTGCAATCGACAAGCGCCACAAAAGACATCTCCTTAGCATTCCCATAGTTTTCAGCATAGATCAGGCTCGAATCGCTGCTTACCGATGAAAGCCGAAAGAAAGACGACTAAGAACGGCGTCATGAGGTCGTTGATTCCTTGAACGTAGCCGCTGGCTGGGTGTCGGATTGCCCAAATATACAGAACGCGCTCCATGCACTACATACACACGATAGCAACCAACGAGCGATATTGCAACTTTGTCAATACGATTCAGCGCCACCCCATCAAACGAATGCTCTGGCCTGGCTCACCTGGTGAATGCGCTCATTTTGGAAGAGCTTAACGTCAGCGTTGGTGCGTGGAATATCGACGAGGATCTGCCGCAGCGTGGTCTGCTCGCGCGTACCCCGGTCGGTGTCCGGGATATAATAATACTGCTGCAACAGTTCCACGTACTCCTGTCGTTTTCTCTCTAACATGGCGGCTCGACGGTCCTGCTTCGGCGGCATGTAACCCTGTAAGCATACGAGGCAAAAACGTGAGAGTCAAGCACGTCATGTATGCAGCAAATACCACGGCAAAGATCGTACCAACAGTAGCCGCCAGACTGTGGGCCGGTGCTTCGTAGGTACGCCACCCCAGCTGAGCTTGCGAAGCTGGTCCAGGTCGACGACCTCCTTCTCCAGCAACCGCTCAAACTGCGTGTACCGAAGGTTTCCCGACGCATTGCGCGACGAGGAGGCAGACGGTAACACCGAGTTAGCGGTAAGCGGAGCCCCCTTGTTGCCACTGTTATGGTGGTGGAGGTGGTGGTGCGACTTGGCATGCCCGTGCGTCGGAGTGCCGTGAGCTTCCTCCTCCAACTCGTCCTCGTGCAGGGAGTGCCGGTTCCTGCCCGAGTGGTCAACTGACCTAGAAGCCGCGTCATCGGTCTCACTATCCGCGGACGATAAACTACGGAGACGCGGCGAGGCTGAGTCAACCGGAGACGACAGTTTTCTATCAAAAACACCACAACTTTAGGTAAGATACCCCATTATCCAACGTCCTCCAAACCAAGGCACACTCGAACCTTGGAGGAGCCGGCGACGGTGTTGCCCACACCGGAGGCAGTTGACCAGTGTTCACCTGCTTCACGGAGCCCGGCAGTGCCTGGGGCTTCTGCTGTGCAGGGGCCTTATTGTTCCCGCGCGAGAAGAAGCTCGAGGTCGCCGCGTTGCTGAGACTCGAGGCCGCCGCGCGCTCCTTCTTCTTCTGCGCGAACTTGTGCAGCGCCGTCTTGAACGGGTTCGACGTCGCTCCCTGCGGAGGGGACGGGCTCGGCTGCATCTGCATCAACACGGTCATAAGGCATCAATACCAGGTACTAATCTGTTGCCAGCAGATACTTTCGTATCCTTTGGGGGGGGTCCAGCTTCAACAACTGTCGCACAACGCACCATATCTTCGGTAGCAGGGCGGTTGTCTGCTGCGGCTTCCATCGGCGCAGTGAACATGCTGGTGCCGGCTGCGAGAGCGCTGGATTTCGCTGGGTTGAGCCCCGAGTAGCTGCTGATATTTCGAGAGCTGCTCGAAGCCGAGGCGATCGATAGCTTCACTGGCTGGTAGAATATCCAGGGGATTTTGGGGTGAGCTTATGGGCAGGAGCGTTGGGGAGATATGTGCAGCGACGACGAGCGCGGAAGACGCGCGGGTCCCGCGACAGAGGCCTCTCCCTCGACGTACCAAGGTCTGCGGATTCCACGCACCGCCCGCCGTTTTGTCCTTTACGCAAGAAGCCGGCGAGTGGTGTGGTCCACGTGGGATCAGGCATAGCATAAAGTAGTGTGAAATACATCAGATTAGATAGCCTAAGTTAGAAAAGGAGTCAGCTGAGATTAGGCACCAAGCAGAACTGGCAACTTGCACCCGTCGGTAGCGGCTTGCATCCTACTCAAAAGCCCTGATGTTTCCTGCGTTACTCGCGGGGCGAGACGCAGTTTGCATTGGAGTACATTCTAATATGTGAGTTGGAAGGCGACAGCGCTCGGTGCTATAGTACATGTGCTACAGTATACCTCGTGCAGGTCTACTTGGTGCATTGCCGTTTAACTGCTCGCTGAGGCGCTTCATTCTTAAGCCAAGTCTTACTTTACAATGTCTAACAATCTCTGCGTGTATGCTGTTGCTGGTTGCTGCGACGCAGGACTTGCCTGGCCGTAGGTCAGCAGGCAAGTCGCACGTCTGCTGCTATCGTGCACTGCTGCCAGCAGTGCAGTCTGCTGACCAGGCACGACCGCGATGCCGCTGGAGCAAGCGGGTTTTTGCGTCGAAGTGCGGGTTGGCTATTGTACCCGCTTCGACCTCAGGGCAGCAGAGATCAGGTGCGCAGAGACTGGGAGCGACTTGCCTCGGCGTGCACGTTGCAGTGCAAGCTGCCCAAGCTACAGCGCTCTCAATGCTCGACTTGGCCCTCTGCGCCGGGTCTGCGCAGTGGCGATGACCGGCCACGGCCACCTGCCCGGGCCAAGGATCCACGTTGAACCGGACGAGCGCAGGACGACGAGCAAGACACGCGATCGCCCCGTCGGCTGTGCATGTTGAGGTGGCGGCGGATTTGAACTCCTTTGGGCGGGAATCCCGCTGGCGGCGCCGAAGGTGACGCACTCACTTGACCGCCAGAGACGAGCCCCGGCGCCGGTGCTTGGGGCTGCGATCGACTTGCAGCGCGCGCGCGGATCTCAATTGACGAGGCAAAAGCTCGCCCGAGCTCGCTCGTTCTCGCCCACCGAGGCGTCCAGCAAATGGCGGCGAAGAAGGCGCCACGGACGACGGCATGAAGCACGTTGTCGTCGAGTTCGAGTAACTTGTGCGGGGCCAGCGGCGGTCGTGCCGTCGTCCGCACACCAAGATGGACACACTCGCAGCCAGGCGAGCGAGCGCGGCGGCGGCGCCGACCTGAGCTGCGACGCCCCAAGCTCGCGTTGCCGGCGGCTTCCTGCTGCGTGCGTCCCCATCGCGGCCGGCGCTCTGCGATCCTCCTCCTCAATTCTCAGCCTTGTGTTGTTGCCTCTCTCCGTTCACGCCCTGGAGCGCCGAGCACTATAATCCCCCATGGAAATCGCCACCATCTGGGCGGAAGCGAGCAGCGCACGCCATGCACCAAGAGGATAAGCAAAGCTGAAAAAATCCCCGTGCAAACGCTGCCGGCGTCCGGGATCGTAAGCTGTGAGCCTCGCCTTGAGCTTGAGCTCGGCACCGGCAGGCAGGTGTTGCCGCGTCGTGCAGCGCTGTCGCACGATCCGACGAGCGCCCGGGAGCTTGACAACGCAACAAACATCACTCTGGTCGCAGGCAGGAACTTTCTTGTGAAAGACGGGCCTGCTGGCCAGCCCCTGGGTTGAGCGCGCAAAGGCAGCGAGAGTGATCATGGCGCGCGCCGCATGTGGGGCTCGCCGCAGATGGAGAGGACTGCTGCGTGCTGCCGCAGCCGGCGCCGGCAAGCAGGCACGGCACGACATGGCATGGCACGGCATGGATGCTGCTGGCGCCAGCCAGCCGGTGGCCACCGGCCATTTGCGATCTTTGCCTCGAATTTGTGGAAGAAAGTCAGCGTATCTTGTGAAAAACCTCGCTTCTGGAAGGCGGGTCGTCGGTCGTGCCACTGCCCATTTTCCGAAAATGAGCTGGTTTTTAAAGTTGAAATGGGCACGAATGTTAGAAGAAGATCGCCGCGCTGCCGCTGACCGGCAAATCTTGCGCTGCAACGCGAATGCGAGGAAAAGCTGTCGCAATATCTGCTATATGCCCTGCTTCAGCGATTTCCGGAAGTCCGGCCGCTTCATACGTCTACCTACATGTAGTCAGGATCCATCGAATGTGCTTCTCTGACCCTGTTGAGTTTCTGGCGGAAACGCTGCACGGAACAATCGCGTGGCTGTCATGGGTCGGAACGTCCGCCTTGTCCGTCCAACCACGACCGAAATTGAGCTCTGCGTTTTTCGAAAATGGGATTTGATGCGCCCGGCTCTGCGCTTGGATCCGAAAAGGCGAGGTTTTATTATCTGCCCTCTGGATTACCTGGGCGAAGCCGGTGCGGGGGGCGCACGCAAATCAAAGCTAGCGCACGGCCGCACCCAGCGGTCAAAAGGGAAAAGGCCACGGAGGAGGCAAGTCGAGCACTAGGAAGAGCGCCAGGGCGATATTTCACCGCCGTAGACCAGAGCAGGAAGTAGCAAGGTATGGCCTCCACCCATCCGTCCAACGGCACCTTGCGTCCCCCGAGACGCGAAACGCTTTGTGTCGCCAGCGCCGTACCGTAGAAGTCTCTAACTTTTTGCCTCTCTTCTCCCCCCCTGTCGCTTTAGACACTTCGCCATTTCCTTCTAAACACACACTTAACCAAGAGAAGAAGACGATAGAGAACACACCACCACACAACACAGCCATGACAGACTTCATCCGCAACATTTGGCAAAACGCCGGCAACGCCGGAAGCGCCGCCGCCGGCACTGCCGGTGCCCGCAAGCCGGACGCCGTACAGCCCGTGGACCAGATCCGCCTGCCGCCGGCCGCCGCCGCACCGTCGGAGCGCCTGATCAAGCTGGAGCCGCCGGCCTCCCCCGCGTCGTCGGCCTCGTCCTCCTCGGACGACGCGCAGTCGGGCAAGGCGCAGCGCATGGCCCGCGTAAACGCGCGCCGCGACAAGCGCAAGCCGCTGGAGGCCGCGGACGCCGCCGCCGCGCCGTCCACTAAGAAGCTCAAGACGGAGCCCGCGCTCGACCCGAGCGGCGAGGAGCGCCTGCGCGCCATGGAGGCGCAGCTGGAGCACCTGGACCCGGACTCGAAGGAGGCCAAGAAGAAGCGCCGCCTCATCCGCAACCGCATGTCGGCGCAGCTGCACCGCGAACGCAAGAAGGCGTACGTGGGCCAGCTCGAGGACCAGCTCCAGGCCAAGGAGCGCGAGCTCAAGGCGCTGCAGGAGCAGCTGGCCGCCATGGCCGTCGAGAGCGAGCAGCTCAAGCAGCAGCTCGTGCGCAAGGAGAGCGTGGCCCTGGTGGAGCCGCGCATCAAGGCCGAGCCCGAGCTCGTCGAGGCGGTGGTGGCCGCGCCGCAGGAGCCCATCGTGGTGCAGGACGAGCCGGCCGTGGACTGGGCCGCGTGCCTCGAGGACATGGACGACGCCATGGTGGGCGAGGACCTGCTCTGCGACCTGGACGAGTCCCCGCTGGCCGCCTACGGCCTGAGCCCCATCAGCGAAGACCCCGTGGCCGCCGCGCTGGCCGAGGAGGAGCAGCGCCAGAAGGCGCAGGCCCAGACCCAGTCGCACCACGAGATCCACGCGGCCAAGAAGAACCTGGCCATGATGATGGCCATGATGTTCTCGGTCACGTTCTGCGGCCAGAGCGAGTCGGTGGCCAACGTCACGAGCGGCAGCAACTTCTCGTCCATGTTCAACGCCGTGCCCGTCAAGGAGCTCTCGCAGATGAGCATCGCCTCGCGCATCGTCGCGTGCCTCGAGAAGACGTCGTGGGAGGACTTCCAGGACGTGTCCTCGTGGACGGCCTCCGCCGCCAGCGCGGCGGCCGCGGCCGCGGTGGCCGTCACGGCCGACAAGAAGTCGCGCTCGCCCCCCGCCCAGCAGCCGGCTAACTCGCCGTCCGCGGCCTCGGACGTGACGGACTCGTCCGGCTCGTGCGACTCGCCCAAGGAGCTCGAGGACGTGGGCATGAGCTTCGACACCGACCTGATCGAGGAGTTCGTCTACCCCGTGGACGAGCCCTTCGCGCCGGCCCTGGCCGACACGAACTGGTTCGGCGCCGACAGCGACGAGTTCGGCCACAGCGACGTCGAAGGCGACGACGAGCACATGCCCGAGACCAAGACGACGGTCAAGCCCGTGTCGATGACCTCGCGCCTGTACGAGAAGCTGACGAAGCTCTGGAACGAGAAGAACCAGGTGCTGCTCACCGTGCTGAACGGCAAGAACGAGGTGACCCGGCGCTCGGTGGCCGACATGAGCACGATCCGCAAGGGCATGTCCACGGGCGCGCTGTTCCCCACGATGGCCGCCAACGCGGCCACCGCGTCTAACGACAAGCTGCTGGAGAAGCACGACCAGTCGGTCACGTTCCTCTACCCGCTGAGCGCCTTCTCCAAAGACCAGCGCTCGGCCGCCTTCCCGAACGGCGCCAGCTCCGACCAGGTGTTCCTGGAGGTGTCGTGCCAGATCAACGGCGCAGTGACCCCCGTGCTGTAAAAGGGTTGGCGAGCGGCTAGGTAGACATTCAGTATTAGGGAGCGCGAGCACGAGCAGCAGAGCTCATGCTTCGTATCTTCATTTCGGTGTAGGCGTGGAGTTCCATTATCTATCACGAGAACCATAGAGTCGAAGACAATCAATGGCTTCTTTGCTTTATCAACCCGCGCATGCACCTCGTTGCCTTTCATCAACTGCTTGTCATTGCCATTGCAAGCGTCTTGCAAGGCAAAACGTTGATGTTTTGGCTTTCAAACGCATTTGCACTTGGTCGCCTCCTTCGAAGCACACTACATGTATCTGGATACGACGATAGTGATTGCATGCATGACCCGATCGTGCGGCTGAGCTTCATTGGTTTCCCACATTGACACGATGTCAACTATGTACACAGCTGAAGCTACAGCGACTACAGCACAGCACTGGCGCAGGCCTTCAACTACATGTACTTAAGTAGAGCAGCTTCACTGCGCCATCTCGCAGCTCTTGCGCTTCCTGCGAGCCTTCTCGTCATCACTGATGGGCTGCGCGAGTGGTGGCGGCGCCGAGTCCGTCGCCGTTGCCTCCATCTCCGCGCAGTCGTACGTTGCCGGGCACCGATCCAAGTCGACGCAGCCAATTGACGGCATCGGGTCGTTCGCGGAGCCCCAGCACTCCTTCGTTTGCGCGCGCACTGCCAATAGTTGCTCGGCAGCCTCCGCAGACGGCAGCTCCACATACACGCACTGCTGTCCCTCCCAGTGCACGTTCACCAGCCTGGTCGCCGACTGCAGATTCAGAGCCCACCCCACACAGTGCTTGATGTGGAACGTCTTGAGTGCAGGACACGAGTTGTTGCCCGCGCCGTTCGGTAGTGGCGTGGCCCCTGCAGCCACGGGCGCGCGCGTGCGAGTGAGCTTCATGCGTACAAATCGAGAGCGTGACGGCGTAGGTGTCGGCTGTGGGAACGGCCCCGGCAGATCCAACACGTAGGTCGGCAGAAAGTGGCTCACGAACAGGACGTTGCGAAGACTCTCCAGTGCATTATCAGCGCGCTTCGATTTGCTCTCAGGCCGCTGCGAGGATCTCCCCAACGACGCAATGGACTCGTTCGAGACCCCAAGACCCGAGCACACACGGAGGAACACGAACCCCGTCATGAACGCGTCGTAGCCTGCTTGATGCGCCTGGAGCGGCGCTTGAGACGAGCCCATGAGCTCAGCTCCATACTCACGGGCGGCATCAACACCCCTCACACTTGGCTGCGCGCTCTGAACCTCCGGGCCGTAGAACGGGTGCTTCGATAGCACCTCGAAGCAGTTCTCGAGCGCAGTGTGCGCCAAGTGGGTAGCGAACGAGTCCACCTTCTGCATCGCATAGTCGACAAGCGTCTTAGTATCAAAGACGCCGCCCCCTGCGCCTAGCCAGGCATGCAACTCGCGCTGGAACTCGGCACAGCGCGCCGGCAACGGTCCATGGAACTTCTCGTAGCACTGCATCAGGTCGAGGAGCATGTTGTGTCCAACAATGGGCTTGCGCGCGGCGACGATCGCATCCAGCACAGCCGTGAACCCAATCAGACTCAGATTCCGCTCGCGCATTTCGTCGTCCGCAAGCTGCTGGTCCGCCAGCAACAGTGCTTCCCGTTGGCACTTGGAGCGCGCGGCGATGATACGAACGCGACGCCTCCACGGGTTGCGTACAACGTCCTCGTCGTCCACATTGTCCACCTTGCAGTCGAGCGCTAGCGACCCCGGGAGGATCTTGCGCAGATACTGCACCAGCGCGTGACGACGGAACGGTGCAAGCGGCTCCGTGACGTACGCACCACACGGGCCGTACGTCGGGTCTGCAGGTACTGGTGCCAATAGAAATCGCTTCATAGCAGCAACAGACTCCTCGTCCGGCTCGAGGTTGCCGTCCTCAACTCGCTGTAGCTCCTCTTCAGCCAGCTCCGGCTCCAGCTCCTGCTGCCCCCTCTCCTCTTCCTCCTCCTCCTCGATATCTTCCTCCTTGGCCAACTCATCTTCAGCCTGTTGAGCCGGTTGGTCCATAGGCTCCTCCTTCCCGCTGAGGTTGCTGCTCGTCGTGCTGCCGGGCGGCGTGGGGCGATCGCGATCCCCCCTCCGCTTGTTGCGTCCGTTGTTCTTCTTCTTGTTCTTCTTGCCCCCGCGTCGTCCGCGACGCCTCGTGCCGTTGTCCTGCATCGTTCCAGCCCCTCGCCCCACCACAATTTCCCTGCCCGCATCATCGAACGCCGCGAGCCGCTGCTTCAACTTGGCCGCGAGCTGGTCCAGGAAGGCCTGGGTCTCGTCCGTGATGAGCGCCGGCTGCTGCGGGTCGAACTTGCGCAGGATCTCGGGCCGGGCCGACCTCTCCAGCGCCGACTTGCACGGCTCCTGCTGCTGCTCGTGGTGGGACAAGTGGCCGATGCCGCGGTCGATCCACGCGTTCAGGTCGAAGCCGTGCGCGCGGATGTACTGCAGACACTTGGCCTGCACCAGGAACCTCCTGTCGGGGCACGCGGACGCGCCTGCACCCGCGGATCCATTGGCCGCATTGCTGCTGCTGCCGTGGCCGAAGACCTTCTCGTGGAAGACCGGGAAGAGCGGGAACTGGTACGTCTCGACGCGGAACACGCGCGCGTCGGCGTCCCAGAGGAAGACGCTGAGCCCGAACTGCACAAGCGGGAACTGCCTGGCGCTCTCCCGGTACTGGGCGAAGCGCTCGTCGATCGAGTCCATGACGCTGGGGCGCGGCGTGCTGCACACGCAGAGCAGACACAGACAGAGCGAGCGTTAGGAGACGCAAGTGAGAGGCACGAGACGAGAGGACGCTCGCTACGCGACGCACTCGTGGCACGAGACGCCGCCCATCTCCGTGTCGATGGCCACGAAGGCGCTGCGGCTCACGACGCGCTGCAGGCGGCCGAGCGCCGCCGCGTCCAGCTCGCCGCGCCCGAGCTCGTGCACCCGCACGTCTCGCAGCATTGTCGGCTCTGGAAGAGGGGAAGGGATGCGCTAGTCGTAACCTGAAACTTGACATTTCCAGCCAATCGAGCGCGACTTTCACGTTAAGACCGGCAAGTTGAAGTGACCCCCCAAAAAAACGGACGCCTCACATTAACGCCTACTTATTGCTAGCTACCCTTTAGTGCAATGCAGCCTCCTGTCGTTAAGGCGCGGTTCCGCGTGCCGCTGCTGCTCATGACCATGGTCTGTGGCTGCGCGTACCTGTACGCGGTGCTGGACGTGCCGACGCTCGAGTTCCACGAGCTCAAGCACTCGGTCTTCCCGTCGGCGTCCTTCCAGACCCGTCGGGGATTCAGCAGCGTGCTGCGGTGGCTCGAGAGCTTGAACTCCAGCGAAGACCTGGCGGTGCTCGCACAACTGCTGACACAGGCACGACTCCAAGCTGCTGGCACGTCCGAGCCCAGCTTCGCTGCGCGGGTGGCGTCGGCTGCGTCGTCCGAGAGTCTCCAGCATCTGTCCAAGCTTGGGCTGCAGTGCGGCCTCGTGATCTTCCTGTACCGCCGACGAGTGCTCTCCAAGACGCGCACCATCCCGACCTTGTGCCTCTGCATCCTGAGCTTGATCTGCTGGAAGATGGCCCAGACGTGTCTGCACGAGGTGCTGTCGCCGTTCCGCTCTTCGACTGGCTCGGGGTTCCAGGCTGCGGCTTCGCAGGCCAAGCCACTTGCTCTTCAGGACTCGCGAGACGAAGTCGCTGCCTCGTTCCTCAACGCTCTCTTTGTGGCGAGATACAGCTCAGTCTGCATCACCAACGCGATCTTCGGGCGCGCGTACCAAGTGCATTTCTGCGAGCCGTGGCCGACCAAGTGGAAGCGCGTCCCGGGATACCTGGGCTCAAAGAACCTCGTTCTCGGCACACTATTCTTCGCTGCAGCCGGGGTCAGTGCCATGAGCGTGTCTTCTCCAGCACTGCGATCGCTATGTGAGGCGGCGGGGTATATCGAACAACTTGCGCTTGGGATCGCCTTCGGTCACTTCGTCTTCCTGTATTTCCAGCCCACATATGACGACGCCGAATCTCACATCAAAGCAAAAAGCGATTAACCGTTTATAAGATTCATTTCCCGTCCATACCTTAGTCTTCCTCATCACTCGAGAACGCCAAGTCCTCCATTAACTCATCACCGCCGTTGTCCATGGACAGCCCGCTCTCGCGACACACATAAGCGTAGGCATCTTGCCCCACAGTTTCCAGCAGGGGACCCATGAACACATCTCGGATGAGTTGGAGGTCCTTACCTGAATCCAGGAACACTGCAGCAACGAGCGCTTCGAACACATCGGCAAACATCTTCGGCAGCGTGTGGTTGTTGCCTCCACTTGACGCGCTCTTGCCCCTCGCCTTCTGCCTTTTTGATAATTCAACAGCTTCAAACGCTGGGCTCAGACCAGTGTTCGATTCGGCCTGGGCGTATTTCCGCTCAATGTTGGCAACGCGCTCCATTGTCTCCCGGTCGATACGAACGGTGCCGGCGAAAATACACTCGTCTACACCAAAGCATGCCAAAGCCGTCTTGCCTAGCGCATCATTTGACACCGTAGCGCTCTTCCACTGCGATAGAGAACCCGGTAGCCACTTGTCGTACTTCAGGAACGCGTACGATAGCGTCAGGTACTCGATCAGAGCATCGCCCAGGTACTCTAACCGCTCATAGTCACCCTTCCAAACCGTCTTCTTCTTCTTTTGCGTGCGCGACATCACCTCAATGTCACCGCCTTCAGCCGCCTGATCAGCGTCGCTACCATTCGCATCCATTTGGTCGATGTGAAGGACTAATTGACCCACCGATGGGTGTGTTACTGCCTCAAGCAGCAAGCGCTTGTTCCGGAATGTGTACTTCAGTCGTTGCTGAAGGAGCATGAGTCGCTTGGGTAGATCCTCGAATTGCGGCACTTTGAAATTCATGCTCAGTGGGTGCTCCACTCCTCGACGAGAAGTCATTGCCGCGTCATACAGCTCATTGGGGAAACAGTCTGGGTAAAAGGGTCGTGCGAAGTTGGTCGACGGGTGCTCAAGGACACTGACACCAATCCATTTGAGGAAGTATCGCGCTCCCTTCTCTCCTTGACCAACAAGATACGCTCCAGTAATTGCCTCCAACACGTCAGCAATCCACTTCGATGGAGCCACCACGGGGTCGGGAGTCTTGCCCATACACGACGGCTTCCAGCACTGGAAGGGGTGTTGCTCCACTTCGGCTGGGTACAAGATGTAGTGGTGAAGGCGTGCCGCTAGCGCGAACTGGTTGAGTCGGTCATTTCGAATGATGTCGCGACGAAGCTGCGTCAACTGACCCTCTTGAGAAATGTCTTTCCGCTGCTCGTACATGTACCACGAGGTCTCGAGTTTTAGGAACGTGTCCCCGAGGATTTCAAGCCGCTCGTAAGCAGGCTTTGTGGTCGCGTCATCCAGCAACACCATGTCGAGCTCCAGACCGATTTTCCCCATCAGATGCGAGATCTGACACTTGCGTTCGAACTCGTAGAGAAGCGGAACGAGTCCCATTGCATCGAAGAAGCGGTTCTTAGTCAGTCGCAGGCGCGACGTGTACTGCGGGACGAGCAAGCGTTCGTTAAACTTGGTCTTGTATTGCGCGACGCTTCCTTCGTCGTTGTTGCGCTGCATGACCCGCCGGATGATAGGGACGATAGGGGGCACTTGAACGCCATGAATCAGTGGCTGCTCTGCATCTGCTTCCTCGAGCTGCTGACGAGTATGCCATCGACCTAGGATCGGATTACCTGGGGTGGATTTCCCCTTTTTCAAGTGAGTCGCCCAGGCTTTGTCGTCCGCTAAATACTCCTTTCGTATATCATCCACTGTTTTGTCGGTAAACGCTTGCACGACGTAACTCGCATTCAGACGATATGTTGGCACGCAGATCCATTCCTCTGTCGTATCTGCGGTGTTCTCTGCTGTGCAAGTTGAGGGTAGAGGCCACAGTGGCTCGAGCAATGGTTTCCCAATGATGTCACGTACGTACTCCCAGTCCAGTGACAGCGTTGGTGGCTGCTTCGTCTCGTCCAGAATACTAGGAACAACCAGGTATCCCTTATCGTTTTGCTCAGAGAACTCGTTCCACACGTTATCACTCGAAATGTCGACATCGCGCACCGCGTCTTGTACACCCATACACGCGAGGCGCATGACCACCAAGTGGAAGTGCAGTACATCGTGCAGCTCTTGCTTTGTTAGGGTAATTTTCAGTGGTCGCTCAGCGAGCGTTATCGGCTGGATCTCCGGTGTCATCACTCCACTCGTAGCAAAATCGTATCGCCATCCCGTGTTGGTGTTCCCGGTGTACAGCTCATTAGTCGCCAAGATAGCGTAGTGTGCGCCGCTGAGACCATAAAAACACATCGTCGTGGACCATTCTTCGCCTTCTTCGCTGCTGATGGCAGCTTCTTTCGTCAAGCTACGAATCGGTCTCAAACTCAACTCAACCGCACTCACAGGCGGTAAGTCATACGACGACTGCGTCGACAGATCGGCCAGTTGTGCGTGTTGCTCGGGAGCTTCGTCGTTCTCGCCAATCACAATTGTGTCGTCGGATTTGGAAGGTGCACCATTGCTGGCGGTTGCTCCTGCTCCGTTTTCATCCTTGTGAATTGTAGCCACTTGGTCGTCCAGAAGCTTCGAACGGAAGTGGCGGTCCAGCAAACCCTTCTTTATCAGCTCTTGGCACGCCTTGAACGCGACGATACCCTTCGCTTCATCCTGTGTCTCCACCTGCTGGGAATGCAGTTGCTTCCGAATACCCAAAACCCCTGGTAACTTTAACGTAGCTGAATAGTGAAAGCGATTATCCTGGACGACGGTCGTGGCAGTGCCGGATCCCTCATCTTCATCCACATTTTCCTCAGCCGCTTCATTAGCGCGTTGCTCTGCCTCTGCCTTCAATACATCGATCTTGTCCGTCAGCTTCGCATTATACTTCAGAAGCTTCTTCTTAGATCGCTTCAGGGACGGAGCCATGTGCTTTACGATAGAGATACGCTTCACGATGTACTGTGGGCGGCGATCGTACGTATCCAGGCCGGGAAGGGTGTCACAAAACTTGCTGAGGCACGAGACGCTGTTCGTCACGTTCAAAATCGCACCCGTGTCACGATTAATTATCTCGTACGGATTCACCACAGGTTGCACCCTCTTCGGAATGACAGCGTTCCGACTTTCTGCCTGCAAAGAGACTAGCGTTGAGCTGACAGAGGCCGGTGTGGCTTCGGTCGACGATGCTGTGGGTGGCGGCATCTGTAAACTACCATTTGAATTCGAAGGCGTAAGCGCTGGCTGAGATGCCGATGGATGAACTTGGTTGTTTTCTTGCTCAAGACGAATGAACTCCTGCATTTTGCGGAGTAGTCCCTCAAACTTCTTCCGAGCCACCATCGTGTCTTCCGTGATGTACTTGATGAACCCCTTGGAAGCATCTGCTCGCTTCCCAAACTCGTAAAGTTTATTGGGCTCCAGCAACTCGTTCATGACCACAACAAGGTCGCACGGCGGTGGAGCCATGCACATTTTCTGCGAACTTTTGGACACCGAGGTCGTCACCATGATCTTCGTCTTGTAGTTTGTAAACGTCTTCATCACCTTCAGAAATGACGAAAACCGAAGAGCTCCAGAAATGCGGGCATTGCTGCTACCAAGCATGCAGCAGCTAGGCGGCAAGCCCATGCCTGCAAACGCGGCGGTGAAGTACTCAGCAACGACGCGGCAGTGACATCTCCTTTCAAGAAACACCCACGCTCGGATCTCCTTCTGTCCTGGAGAATTCGCGAATCGATTCCGCACCACCTCCGCAGTCTTCAGCAGCCGCGGCGAGGCCTTTTGAGTTCCGCAAAGTGCCGACTGGGTGGCCAGCCACGCCAATACCTTCAGGATAGGTCGAATCTTGACCCTTGTACTCTCGTCGATCTCGACATTGGGCCCTATAAACCTGGCAATCAGACGGTTTATTTTCGCATCCTTGGAGTCATCTTGGCCGTTGCTGTCCGCAGCACTGTTCACGTCCATCATTTCAGCGTCGTCTTCCCCCACTTCCCCATCCTCTGCTTCATTTCCGGCGTCACTTTCGATTTCCTCCCCATTCATCCGATCGTCCACTTCCTCTTCGTTACCTTGTTGTTTCCGCTTTCTCCTGTTATTAACGTTGTCCGGGTCATCGACAATACACGCCTGCAGATTAACCTGCAGCTCCAGCTCCACGAACTTCCAGAGACACCACTCCCCCAGATGCTCCTTCACGGACTCCGCGTCCTGGATGAACCTGTTCACCTTGTCCTGCTTCTTCTTTTCATCATACACCGCCGCCGAGTTGCCAAGCTCCAACTCCAGTCGAAACACGTGCACCAGGTCCACCTTCTTACTGTTGGCTCCCAGCAGAAAGTCTCTCACACTCCCAGCTTCCTCCTCTTTACTTCCCATCACCTCATTCTTAAACACTTCGCAATGCACCGGAGGGAAACTCGGCTCCAAGGACGCCGACGACAGCACCGGCAGCATATTGAACACATGGATGTGCTTCAGCAGCGGGTTCGTCACCGGGCTCCAGTCCATCCTGGACGCCGGCAGCTTGGACGTGGCGAAGATCCGCAGCGTGTCGGCGCTCGGCATCTCGTCCATGAGTCCCGTCAGCAGCTTGAAGAAGGACGGCAGCTCGGCGTGCACGAGGTCCCAGTCCTCCACGACCAGCAGCTCCACGTCGCTCAGCGTCAGGACGCCTCTACGTAACGTTTCCTGCAGTATCAGCGGCGAGAGGACGGCGATCTGGCCGCGCGCGGCTCGTAGCTGGTCGCGCGCGAAGGCCTGGTCCTCCAGCCACTTGCTGCCGCCTGGCTTGGGCGCGCACGACGCGCTGTCGTCGCTGTTGAGCACGCGCAGGCCGCACAGGCGCGCCAGTTGCGTCTGCAGACCCGCGCGATCCGCAGTGGACGCGGCCAGCGCCAGCGCCAGCTGCTGCGGGCGGGAGGCGGCGGCCTCGCACAGCAGCGCGCAGCTCAGGAAGCTCTTGCCCACGGGCTGCACGCTGCTCACCAGCACGCTGCGGTGGCGCGCCACGGCCGCGATCTCCCGCTGATGCTCCCACAGCGCGGCCTCCATGGCGGAAATTGCGGAAATGATGGCAGGTCAACTTGGGTACAAAAATGCAAGTGACAACCTCGTGATAGTGACATTCCGGCTGAAAACGGTAACGTCAGGTGAAAACCTTCAACTCTTCACATGCTTTTGTTGTTGCATGCTCTTTGACTAAGCGAGTACGCAACCACAACGACTCGGGTCGGAGGCTTGTCTTGTCTGTGCGGCTAACAGCACCGCCCCATGACTGAAGAATCGTAGCGACTTAGCTATGGTGTTTTTAAGTGTTGAGAAAAATAAAGCACAGCGGGGATTCATACCAAGCCTATTTGGCGCAGTGCGTTGCTCACTTCGATGTAGTGTCCGCATGACTGTGGACTTTGACTTCCTACTACCCATGTGTGAACTCGTCTCGAAGTGCTGGCCGGCGTATTGGGGCGATGTGTATCATTATCGCCTGCATGCATGCATGCGAATTGAGGAAAAGCATTCCGAGACGCATTTCTTTTTGCCCACATTGCTGACATCTGAACAAAGTCACCAGTACGTGATGGCGCGCCGATCTGCAGGGTCAGGGAAGCATTCCCACAGAGGTAAGGTCTATCTCTCCCTACTGCAGTTGACTGCGAACACCCCAGGCCGGGTCTGGTTTCCATGGCAAATTGCCACCCGTCTTTTAACCTGCGACGAAGCCGATAGATTTCGACGGTCTGCTCTGTAGACGACAATGGATGATGATAGCTGCGGCCGCATGAGCAAGCGAGGCGCGCCTCGGTCTCAGCAAGTTTTCTTGTGGGCCGCGGCAACGGCGGCGCCCCGCTGGCCCGCGCCGGCCTCTCCGTATGCTAGCTCAACTCGAGGGCCGGGCCACGCGGAACGTTCCTGCTGGCCGGCCAGGGGCAACGTGTTGAAGCTGCCCCGTGAATGCGGGTGTTTGCGCATGTCCGTGACGCTCTCGCCGTCGCTGACAGAGCCTGGGGCTGGAGCCCGGGACGCACCACGTCATGCGCTCGAAACGACACGAGGTTTCTTGCGGAGCCCGCGAACAGCTCATCTAGGATTTGGGAGGCATCCAAACACACTCAGAATCGCACTTAGCTGTAAGCCCTCCGGAAACGATATAGATACAAAACCCGCATAACTCAGGTTATGTATTTTTCTCAGTACGGGATTGGCATTTTTCTCAATTTATCTGCTTTTGTACCTACATTCATTCTTAGGGCCACCTAGCGTTCTCAGAAAACTTCTTCTGGTCGTCCCTCAAAATTCGAGAACGGCGGACTCTAGTTCAAACAGTTGGGTCTGTCTGTCTCTCGAGAAACGGCTCGGGCGATTGGCGCAGTATCCACGGCGCACTTACTTCCCCATTCGCCTCCTTCCGCGTTCGACGGCCTCGCATCGAGAGCTGTCCTGCGCGTACTGAGTCACCGCCTCCGCCTCCGCGCCTCCGTCTGCCCCACCCCATGCCCAGCCCGCCCACGCGCTGCTTGTACGACCGCCAGCCCTTGGACCCGAGACAGCAACCACAGCAGCAGCAGCAGAACCCGGCAGATGACCAGCGAGACGTCGAGGCGACAGCGGCCCGAGCCAGAGCCACAGCGGCGGCCTTCGCCATGCGCAAGCAGTGGGAGGCCAAGGCCGCGTCCTTCCAGCGCGGACTCGAGCACGTGAGGCACTGCCACGCCGGTGACGCGTGCGGCAGCTCGCTCTGCCACTCCACGCGGCGCCTGATGAAGACGTACGCGACCCACCCGTGCCCCAAGAAGAGCGGCAATAATAATACCAGCAACAGCAGCGCGGACTGCCGCGTGTGCAAGCTCTGGGACTTCCTCACGGCCTCGCAGCAGCCGCAGCAGCTGCCGAGGCTACAGCGCGCCTTGGCGCAGAATGGAGGCCTCAGCTGCGGCTCGGCGCTCCTGCAGACGCGTCGACTGAGCCGCCCCAGCGTCCTGACCCGCCGGATCGCCACTGCGCAGAAGGAAGCGCAGACTATGCTGCGTCGCTGTTAATTGGCAGCGACCAGCGGAGATCCTGCTCGAGTCAAGACGAGAGAGATATGAAGAAGAACGAGGAGAAGACGGCAGATGGATGCTCAGCTTCTCCATTTTTGAGCTGCCAGGGCGGCGCGCGGGGTCTCTATATGGGCGGCCGCGTGTCCTGGTAGCAACGAGGAGTGTAGGTGCAGAGGATGAAGAGATTTAAGCCGCACCGCGCAGCCTACAAATGGATCTTCAGGCCTCGCTTCCCCACCTTATTCCGGCCAATCCTGCAGATTTACAAGCCGAGCTCCTTGAACCTGCGGAGGAGGCAACCAACAGTAGTTAAGAGTAGTTAGGATACCATTGTAGCATAGTGATTCACAAGAAAATATAAAGAAAAAGTGGCCTCCTCATTGCCTGTCGCCTCGTACCTCTTCTGCTGCTGCGCGGCCAGCTTCGCCAGCGCCTTCTCGAACTGCTCGTTGTCGTGGTAGTACATGAGCGCGGCCTGGAACGCGCGCAGGTCCAGCTTGTACTTCTTGCAGATCTCCTCCGTCTGCTTGCCCGACGCCTTGACGTACTGCTGCGAGAGCTGGCCGCGGAACTCGGCGTCCGACAGCTTCTGCTTACGCAGCGTGGTGGCGATCTTCTCCATCTCGGCCGTCAGCGACGGGATCAGCTCCTCCATGACGCTAATCACCGTCGAGACCTCAATGTCCGGCTTGTCCTCGGGAACCATCTACAGCAGCACACAACAATAGGCATCAGCACCGACAAAGAGCCTACAGCAGTCGGATATCTGTTGCTCCAAACTCACCCACGCAGACTTGGCGCCAGGGATCAGCGGGTCGCGCGAGCCCGTGACCTTCCACCGCAGGCGTCCCAGCTTGCGGACGAAGTCCTCGATCGTCTCGGCCTCAGCCTCCGAGATCTTGCCGTCCGGGCCGCCGCCGCGCAGCGTGCCCGTCACGAGCTGCTGCATGGCCTCCTGCACCTGCTCCTTGGTCACGTAGTTGTTGCGGAAGACCGCGTCCTGCACCTTCTCGAGCGTGGACTCGAAGGCGATGCTCATGTTGAGCGCGCGCTGCTCGGGCGACAGCTTGAGCTTGCCGCTGTTCTCCTTCTTCTCCTTCTCCACGCTCTTCTCCAGGTCCTCCAGCATGCGCGCCGCGAACACGCTCATGTTCTGGTCGATCTGCTCGTACAGCCGCAGCAGCGCCGTCACATTCTGGATCGGGTTCACAGTGTAGCCACCCTCCGGTGCCGATGCCTCCTGCTTTGCTTCACTATGGGCCTCACCGCCCAGCGCTGCAGCAACGGCTAGCGCGCCACCCGCCGCAGCCAGCCACTTCGTCGCGCTGACGTGCTGCGCCTGGCGCCCAGGGACCGCGCTCAATCCGGAAAAAGCGCGGGCGTGCTGCACCGCCATCTCGACATTGCTGCGTGGCGACCCGTTGCCAGTCAGCGGCCGCACCGCGCCCAGCACACGCCGACGCAGCGCCCGCTCCACCTTGGTCACTCGCGCTCCGAACATGGTCGTCAAAAAGTCTGCGGCCAAGAATCGCGTATAATTGTGTATACAGTGGTGCGTATACTTGGATTGATTATGATAATCTATCCAGTGTCTATCTGCTGTAACTAACTGACAGCGATGACGGTACTGCACTATACGCGATGAATTATACGGATGCACACGCACCACCCACGCGCCCTGTCCATTAGAGTATCATCGACCCCCAAGCCCAAGGAAGGAGATCGAGCATGAGCGCGCTGCTGCTGGGCACGGAGCCCGTGACTGAGGTGAAGCTGCACCCCGTGGTGGTGCTGCAGGTGCTGGACCGCGCGCTGCGCCGCGCCGAGGGCCAGAAGCGCGTGATCGGCACGCTGCTGGGCCGCGTGGAGGGCGGCGTGGCCGAGGTGAGCGGCTCGTTCGCCGTGCCGCACCTGGAGAACGGCGACGAGGTGGCCGTGGGCCGCGACTTCCACACGCACATGTACGAGCTGCACCAGCGCGTGAACGAGGGCGAGGTGGTCGTGGGCTGGTACGCGGCCGGCCCGGGCCAGCTGGACGACCACTCGGCGCTCATCCACCAGTTCTACAGCTCGGTCTGCGAGCTGCCCGTGCACCTCGTGCTGGACACGAGCCTGCAGGGCGACAAGCTGGACGTGGCGGCCTTCGTCAGCGCGCCGCTCGAGGTCGTGGACACGGCGCTCGTCAACCAGTTCAAGCAGATCCCCGTCACGCAGAAGGTGTCGGAGCCCGAGGCCATCGCGCTCAACGCCATGGCCCCCAAGGACGCCGAGGCCAAGGCCGCGGCCCTGCCCAAGGAGCTCGAGGCCCTGGAGGAGACCATGGAGCAGCTGTACAAGGTCATCGACGGCGCCAGCTCCTTCGTGGGCGACGTCGTTGCGGGCAAGCAGACGGCGGACGCCAAGCTCGGCCGCGAGATCGCCGACGCGCTGGCCGCCATCCCCATGCTGCGCGAGGAGCAGTTCGACCAGCTCTTCAACACGGGTCTGCAGGACCTGCTCATGGTGTCGTACCTGTCGGGCCTCACGCAGGCGCAGCTGTCCATGGCCGAGAAGCTCATCAACACCTAAATTTGTGGATAATCTCTCTCGGACTGGACCTGTCTCGGTAGTTTTAGTAAGGCGCGAACAGGTTGCTGCGTTGTGCTTTTGATTCTCTCTCTCTCGTTGTGTGTCCTGTGTGCGCGTCCCCTGCTTCTGTATTTGTGCTGCAGCGAGTGACCCTTCAACTAGAGACGAGTTGTGTGCTATTGCAGGCGCCGTATCCCCAGAGCGTCAGGGTTATCCTGCGAGACGATGGTGGCCCGAGCGCGTCAAGCGTCGGCGGCGTCCAGAGCGACTTCTTCGGCCGTGTCCTCGCCCAGTGCCTCGAGTTTTGAAGATTCCTTCGCGTCGTCCGAGTCCGATGCACCATCCGAGTCAGAGTTCTCGACGGATTCGGAGGCGGGAAGCGCGCCGTCCGTCCGACGCGTTCGAGCAGCGCGCGTGTCCCGGCGACGATGGCGGAAGACGCAGAACCAGTCGGGCAGCTCGACTACATTGCTGCCGCCTGCTGAACCTGCATCAACCTCGCTGTGGACGACGAGAGAGAAGCAGTTCGAGAAGTTCCGCTCGAGTTTGCTGTCCATGCCCGTGCCAGACGGAGTTGTTCGCGTCGAGAAGGCCAAGGGCTATTCGCTCCACGTCATGTCGGTCATGAACTGGGTGCTGCCCGACTCGATCCTGCACACGTCGGCAATCCCAGCGTCCAGTGGCGCAAATGAAGCGGAGGAGGAGGATGAAGAGGAGCCTCTCATCACTCTAGGCGTGCACGTGAGCTTGTTCCATGCCACGTCCAAGCGCTTCTTCGGCAATACATGGGTGAGTCCCGAGCTGGCGGTGGACCCGTTCCACATCAAGCAGGGGCGACACCCGAAGGACGGCACGCTGCGGTACGTCATTGAGAACGCGCTGCTGAACTTCCGCGCCTACTTCATCTCGGACATCATCGATTCAAACTGCGTCGGCGTGCTGGAGCTGGTGGCGTACGAGAAGGATCCCGACTCCAAGGCAACGGTACGCGTCGTGGGCTGTGGCTGGACGCTCCTGCCGCTGTTCGCTCGTCAACAACCAGTGCAGTCCGGCACGAAGGACGAGCCCAGCGCCGTGCCGTCAGCCTTCTCCTTGAACACCAGCGGTGACTCTGTCGGTGTCTTCACTGGAAGTCCGCGCGCGCTGTGGGAACTGAATCCGGACACTTGGAGTGCGCAGGACAAGCACGAGGGATGCAAGTTCTACTACCAGCTAGTGCAGTACGAGCCCATGATGGCGATCGCCATGTTCTTGCGGAAGAACGAGCTCGTGGGCGCCCTGGACCCGATCCCCGGCTTGAAGAACGGCAACCTGGCCAACATCGACATGGGCAAGAACCCCAAGATGCTGCTCCTCGAAGAGGCCGACTCGACGTACGAAGAAACGCTGGCGTCGTTCGTGAAGATCGCCTCGCTTGTCCCCAAGTCCGTGCAGGTGGAGGAGCCGTTCGAACTGAACGTCGTTGCCACTCGCGTGGTGATCAATCTGCGCGACGAGATCGAAGCGAACTTGGTGGCTCGACTACGGATCAGCCGCAAAGCGATCCACAAAGGCGCTGTCAGCGTCGAAGGAGAGGTCTCCGCTCGAGTGTTGAAGATCGCACTGCACAACGGACGCTGCTTCAGGACGCGGCAATTCACAGTACCCCTCAAGGCTGACCCGAACGGAGGAGACACGCTACTGTGCGTACGCAACCACTCGAAGCTTCGCGGCTTCGTGTTCCACCCGAACATGGCGATCGTCGTTGTGCTGCAGTACACGGTTCACTTCCGGGTCATCTGGCCGTCGAAGCTCAAGCAGCAAGCTCTTGAAGCCAAGAAGCCTCCTTTACCAGAGGAAGACGTGGTCTTAGTGACGATGGGGGCACGCGCGCTGGTTCCGAGCGATGGCAAGAAGCTGTACTTGTTCGACAAGCATCACCACGCCACCGCCATCTCCGCTGAGCCCCTTACTACGCTAGGAGGAGTGCTGCTGCAAGAGCAGGAGGAGCATCGCCGCGTTCTCCACGTAGACCTGTTATCAGGAGCGGCTTGTCGACCGTACTCGGACAACACGTTGTACACCCCGCCGGATCAAGTGACGAGGTCGCTGCAGAACCGTGAGCCATCAGCGAAGGACTCGTTCGCGTTTTGCGACCTGAAGATCACAATTGATGAGGAGATTCCGGCACTAGGACCCCCAGTCGAAGAAGAAGCAAAAGCCCCAGCATCGCCCGTGAAGCCCGCAGTCGACGAAAGCAACCAGACCAACCACGACGAGGAAGAATGTGCGGCGGATCAGTGGGCGAGGAAGCTGCTCGGCAAAGCAAACAGCAACCCGGTGCTAGCCCAAACGCTCAACGCATTGGCCACCTCCCCCACTGCGAAGGACAGACCTGCGAGCCCGCCGCCGAGAACACCGTCGCCTACCAAGAAGCATCAAGTGGAGCGGCCTGCTGACCCGACGACTCTCGTTCCTGACGCTCCAACGTCGGAACTCAGTCGTGCTTCAAAGACGCTGCTCACCCGCTACGGCTACATCGAGTCTCATGACAAGCCGCCTTCGTCTCCTACGAACAACCAAAAGGACCACGACAAACGGAAGAAGCCGAAGAAGGTTGAGCTCATTGCCAAGTCCATTGAGACGGAGGTGAAGGACCTGTTCAAGGCCAACGAGATCAGGTTCCACTTCGCTGCCTATCGTGCGTGTAGCCCCGGCGCGGAAATGAAGGCGGGGATGACCTGCAGTCCAGCTCCTGCTCGCGTGTACTTCACCTTCCAGTTCTACAACTTTTCACCCACGCGGACGGAGACGCTGCGCCTCAGCAAGGCATTCGACAACGGAGCAGGCGGAGAGATCCAAACCTTCTTGCTGATGCGAGACACCACAGCCAACAAGCCGTCGCTGGCCATTCAGTTCGACGTGGACACGACCTCGACGATGAATCCGCTCGAGACGCGCCGCTTTGCAGAGTACCTCAAGTGGAACAACATGTACGTGGATGTGTGGGACGCTGATAGCCTCTTCCAGCTCGGAACGTTTGCCATCCCCCTCCACGAGCTGCTTCGTCAAGGAAACAGCGTCAAGAAATTCCAAGCGGAGGTGGAGATAACGCCACCATTAGGGGGCACCCTCTCACCAGACTATACTGGAGATGACGAAGGTAGTGCAGTTTGCACCGTCCCCGACTCGAGGAGCGGAGGTGACAGTCCAAGTATCGGAAGGATCCAGCTTCTGATGAGTAGCTACGGACTCAAGGGAGAGAACTACATCGACCAGCAGCCTTCGAACCAAGCTGAGGTGGTGCAGTCTACAGCACCGATTGATGGCCAAGGGGAACAGCCGCGTAAGCCCAAGCACCGCGTTCGTGCGCGGACGCTAGTGGAGTCGAATCCTGAGCTCTATCGCCTTCTCTCGCAGGAAGGTTTCTATGGCGAGCACACTATGAAGGAGCTTCGAGAGCGAAAGGAGTCGCAACCTCTTCAGCGTAAAGGGACCGCAGCGGTGAACACACTCACGCCCAAGGAGATCGCCATCCTATGCGAGCTCTTCGGATCACGCAAGGCTGCGTCTAGTTCGACTGGGAATCGGCCGACGCGCATCAAGTGCGACGTGGAAGGGAAGACAGGCTTGCTGGTGCTGCTCTCTCTTAAGCCGTCAGAAGCCCCGGCCCCCGTAGCAGCCCCTGACGCTGCCGCTAAGCCAGTCGAAGACCAGCCTGCAGCAGTTGTTGAGAGTGTGAAAGCCCCGGAAGTTCAGCAGACACAGCAACCGCAGCAGCCGAGCGAGTCTACGTCTGACCACGCTCAGCGTCTGAAGCGTGTGCTGGCAATCGCGACGAAGAACCAACTCGCGCTTGCGGATGCGTTCGCGCTGTTCGACGCTAACAAGGACGGCTTCCTGTCGAGGGATGAGTTCATCAAAGCCATGCGCTCGCTGGGGACTGTGTTTGCTGATCTGTCGGACGATGATCTCGGGCTGCTGCCAGACTTGCTGGACAAGAACAAGGACGGCAAGGTCGAGTACAAAGAGTTCAGCCAGTTCATGGACAAACCCAGTCGAATGCCCAAAGCGGAGTGGCAAGACCACATCAAGCGCATCGTTGTGCGCGCGATGGAGAAGGGTATCCGTGTCCACCACATCTTCGTCGAGCTTGACGCCTCAGGGGACGGCAAGCTGTCGTATGAAGAGTTTGAGCGCGGGCTCAACCAACTCGGGATCTCGACTAATAAGGACGATAGGGAAAGTATACGGGAGCTGCTGCTTGAGCTGGACAAAGATCGCGATGGTACCATCTCGTACGTTGAGTTCTTGGAGTCGCTAGGGATTTCCGTGGAAGACAACAAGAAGGAGGTGGTCAAGGAGACGATAAAGGACATCAAAGAAGACGTGCGCAAGATCCTCAGTCGGTTGGTGAAGAAAGGAATCAGCTTTGAGGAAGTCTTCGTGCATTTTGACGCTGATCGGAACGGTACTCTATCTGTCGAGGAGTTTACGCAGGCTCTCAACCAGTTGCTGCAGCTCAACGCGAATGGTGGGGGTGACGATACGACTGATACGCTGAAGGAGTTCGAGAGAGATGCTGTCGAGGTGTTCGTGAAGACGATCAACTCGGACGGAGACTTGAAGATCGATTACCGCGAGTTTCTGGTGGCGTGTGGAGTGTCGGACAAAGAGATGAAGGAGAAGACGGCGAATTTCCAGCAAGCAGCTCGAGAGATGGCGGAGCGGAAGCTCATCAAGCTCATGGTTCGCGCTTGTGCGAGCGGAATGACAATCTCTGAGGTGTTTGATCAGTTCGACTCGAACTCCGATGGAAACATCTCGGTTGCTGAGTTCCAAACCACCATGGAGAAGCTCTTCCTTGGTCAAGGCATGACTGGAGACGATGCTGCGCTTGTCGCCGCGCGGTTCGACACCAACCGCGATGGAATGATCTCTCGACGAGAGTTCCAGGAGTTCGGTACCGATCTCCAGAAGAAGCAGCAGGCATTGTCCAGTGTCTTCGTTCCTCACTTAAACAAGCTGAGTGAATTAGACGCATCGTCTACTCTAGTGGGGAAGAAATGGGAATCGTTTTGCCGGCAAAAGCTTGGCTTATCCCCACAGAACATTCGCACGGACGTGATGCCGTTGATGTCATACTTTGGCTTTGTGGAGGAAGGAGGGGATGTGGATGTCAAAGAATTGTGTGCGTTGGTCAAGACGGTGCAGACCGCAAAGACACCAGCAAAGTCTGCGGGCAAGGACGCTGCGTTAGAGCGACTACGAACGCTCCTGGTTAAGGCTAAAGACCAGGGGGTTGACTTGAAGAAGAGTTTCGCGCATTTCGATGCTAATGGAGATGGGGAGATCACGCGCAGCGAGCTTAAAGCTGGTTTGGTCGCTCTCGGATGCTTCAAAGAGATGGATGATGGAGACTTTGACTCGCTGATGGAGCAGCTCGATGAAGACGGCAGTGGCGAGATCGACTTCAGCGAGTTTAGAGCTTTAATGAACGAAGGCAGTGCGCGTACAACTCCGCCTACTGAAGACGAAAGGAAAGAACTGATGGTCAAGCTGAAGACGCTAATGGAGAAGGCAGTCGAGAAAGGGGTCTCTATCGACGCTTGCTTCGCTCACTTCGACAAAGACGGCGACGGGATGATCAAGAAGGAGGAGTTCGTGACGGCGATGACGGAGCTGGGACTTGGAGTTGACAGCGCCGTGATCAATGGGGTTATAAAGTTGCTCGATGGCAATGGCAATGGGACCATCTCGCTCTCAGAGTTCAAGCAGCTCTTCCCAGCAACATCAGCACCGGTCCCCGAGGATTCGTCGCCGAAAACCATAGCTGATGATAAGACCCCCGAACCTGCTGCTCCTGACTCATCCCGTGAAGAAGTGAAAGGTGAAGCAAGCGTGTCTAGACAACCTTCGGCAAGACAGACAACTGAGGAGAAGCTACGCCAACTGCTGCTCCGTGCAGAGGCTGGTGGCGTCGATGTGAAGAAATGCTTCGCCCATTTTGACAGTGACAGCAGTGGAGTCATCTCTAAGGATGAGTTTGTCGCTGCAATCAAGCAGCTCCCTGGCTTTGAGAACGTGCCCGACGAAGACACTCTTGCGATTGTTAAGACGCTCGATAAGGATGGCAGTGGGAGTGTGTCGCTGGAAGAGTTTGACGCTTTTCTGAGGGCATCACCGCCGTCGACTGGTGTTGGTACAACGGAGAATACTGCACGGGAAGAAGAACAGGCGAATGCTGTAATATCTGCAGACGCTGATAGTGAATCTCTACCGCTCACTCAACATGAAGGCTCGCCCGGTGCTGCGGCCACTTCTGCGGGTGCTGTCGACTCGCCTGATCTTGGTGATGCTGTCAAGACCCCGGAGACGGCATTCAGTGCCCCTGAAAAGGCTAGTAACACGGAAGAAGTGAAAGACTCGACCGAAGATGAAGCGTTTCCAAGTGAAGGAGCGGATGGATCGGTTCCTGTTGCAACTGAGATTCCTGGGAATGACGACGTCAAGGAGCCGGTAGCAGTGAAAGCTAAGCAGTCCCCGAGGGAGGAAGCAAACGCTCAACCTGCTGAGTCTGGTCCTGCTGACGCACCTCCCAGCGCCACAACGAAACCAAGCGAGGAAGGCGAATCGACTCCCCCTGCAGGCGACAGTGAAGTGACGGGAGGAACTGGGGCGACTCCTGTGGAGAACAAACAGCCAAAGCAACCTGTGCGGTCGTCTTCTTTCGGCAAGGGGAAGATCCCCGAGGCAACTGCTGCTGCTACTGGAGCTCCCTTTCGCAGGACGCAGACTGATCCCAAGGCGGTTGGTGCAGCACAGAACGAGGGGTCTGCGAACTCGAAGTCCACGCCTCTGCGCGTATCGTTTGCTACAGCACGAGCAGCAAAGAGAGCTGAGATGGCCGCTTCAAAGGCGCCGAAACCTGAGGACAGCGCATCAGAGGCAGGTAACGGAAGCTCACTCAGCAAACCGGCATCTGAAGGGCTTGCGAAGCTAAAGAAGCTGTTGCAGACGGCGACGGAGAAGGGAGTGGCAGTCCAGCAGTCTTTCAACCATTTCGATAAGGAGACCAAGAGGGTCCTCTCGTACGATCAGTTTGCGACAGGGCTGCGAGAACTTGGTCCAGACTTCGCAAACCTTTCGGACGACGACATCATCGCGATGGCCAAGTCACTCGACGGCAAACAGCAAAATGCTCTTCGTGTGGAAGACTTTGTCGCGTTCGTGGAGGCTTCGGAAGTGGAAAATGCCCCAGCAGTAGCAGAGGAACCCGTCAAAAGCAAAGACCAGACGTCCACTGCACCACCAGACCCACAAACAGCTCCAGTTGCAACAAGCAAGCGCCCGCCACCTCTTCGTCGCTCGGGTTCCTCGAGGTTGCCAGCAAAGAAGCCTCCAAGGCCATCGACTGGCACGCAAAGCGCTCGAGCTGTAACTGAGACCACGACGGAATCGGCTTCAGCTGTCACTCGAGATAAGCCGTGGAAAGCAAAACCTGCAGTAGCAGCGGAAAAGGTGGAGAAAGCAGCAGAACCAGCACCAGCACCGGAGAAGGCAGAGCAAGCGGCAAAACCTGACGTTTCTAAAGCTCCTTCACCGGGACCTACCCCAAGAGAGCCACAAGATCAAAGGGGGAGTGCAGCAAGCCTCGACTGCAGCTACACGTTCAGCAGCAACCCCGAGATCCGAGCTGTCGAGCTGAAACTTCGGCAAACGGCGCTAGACGCTTATCAGCGCGGCATTCTACCGTTGCGGGTGGTCGCCAAGTTCCTGGAGGATGCAGACGATCGTCGTGGTCGAGTCCCTGGCGGTCGCGAGCGCTCTAGTAAAAAGCGCAGCGAACTGCTGCGTGTCGAGTTTCTTCAGGTGTTGATGGAGCTGGGGTTCACGTTGCTGTCGGATCAGAGCGAGGATGACGTCGAAGCAGGAGCTGGTGGAGGAATGGTCAAGCCCGTGACGAAGATGAACGATCACCTGTACGCGCGTCAGCTTGAGCGCTTGGCGCGATACCGGCAGCACGTTAAGAGCGACGAAGCCAAGGCGCACAAGCAGCTTGTCCGAGCTGTGTCCAAGACGAAGCAGTACCAGCAGCGCGGCAGACAGCAAGGAGAAGACAGCTTACGCCGGTTCCAAGAGGAGAAGAACCAGCTACTGCGCGTGCTCTCGTACTACCGCGACGGCCACAAGAAGTCGCTCGTGTACTCGCTGCTTCGCCAGCAGGTGACGACCTCGCTCACGCTGTTCCCGTCCTTCGGAGACCTGCTCTTCTTCGAGCTGCCGTTCGTGAACCCGTACAACCACAACGACCGCTTCCGTATCGAGCTGCTGCTGCCGTCGTCCAGAGAGATCGCAGTGGTTCTGGACCTGGAGATCGTGCGCAGTAGCGAGGAGTGGGCGTTCTACCGTGAAAACCTCCCGTTAGCGTACGGCTTCGCGGCATCTAGCGCTGAAGTGGAGGAAGAAATGATCGACGACCACGATGAGGTCGTCATGGACTCGCACGACCAGCTCCACATCCCCATGCGTCTGCGTTGGCTCGACACCAGCGACAGCTTTACGCGAGTTCAGAAGACCGAGCCTGGCAAGAAGAAGTCGACGATTCCGGTCTCGGTGGTCATCAAGAGCTGCTCGCACGGCCACACGGTAGCGCTCTTCAACATGGAGCTGCAGCCGCAGCCGTTCGCTTGTCACCGCGTGCTCCGCTTCTCCCACCCGGCATTGTCGATCTGGCGCTGGAAGCTGCGATATCCGCGCGGCAAGTTCGTCGTGTGCATGGACCCGAGCGTGGCGATGGAGCTGCTGCGTAGCGGCGAGGACGAAGCCAACAACAGTGGCCTCGTGAGCTTCAAGTGCCGCGTGGGGGAGTACCCCGCGCTCGAGACCTTCTTCGTCGTGCTGTACGACGACAAGTACTACGCGCGCGTGTTCGAGGTGTGGCAGATCCGCATCCAGTCCAAGCTGCGCGTGGATGTGCACGCGGTTCTCGGCCAGAGCGTGCGCCACGAGCTCGTGATCAAGGGCGACGGAGGTTTATCGACTCAAGACGCTGGCGCCAAGCGCCGAGTCATGTGCTTCACGCCGATGCAGCACCACAGTCTCGTGCAGTTCCGTCCTGGCCACGTGTTTGCTCTGGTGCCGCAGGCCTTCAACCGCATCGAGTTCGCCTTCTGCGCCGTGGAGAATGCCGCAGCCACGCACTTGGTGGTGCTCGTGAACCTCGTGGACGTGGACACCCACGAACTCGTCGGAGCTTGGAGTGTCCACGTGACGCTGGCGCTGCCTATCATCACCAAGACGTACGAGCTGCGGCTGCCCGTCGGCCGCGCCGCGCAGAAGAAGATCTCGTACTCGAACCCTTGGGACCAGCCGCAGACCATCATGCTGCGCTCGAGCGCGCCGACGCTGCTGGTGCCTCGCGAGCCCGTGCTGCAGCTGCCCAGCAACGGCCAGGCCTTCCTGCGTCTCGCCTTCGTCGCTCGAGACTACTCAGCTGCGGCAGCTGAAGACATCTACCTCTTCATCAACGACAAGCGCACCGACCAGAACGAGGAGTGCTTGCTCTTCCAGGTCACGTACGAATGAGTTGAATACAGTTTCTCGTTGCATGTTGGCGCCTGTCGTGGAGCGCGTTCCTGCCTGACGTCATGAAGCTCGCCCATTAGTCGCCCTTGAGCCGTGAGCCGTGAGTACATCCATGTCCGCCGCCGAATGCACATACATCAGCTTCACCTTGCCTCACTTCCGCACATCTTGAGGATAACAGTACTCGGCCATCCCCAACAGCAGGCACTCAGCGATGGTACAAACAGTACTCGCTTCAACGTGGCACGCTTCTTGCAGCGCCCGACATGGCTACATGTATGGCTTCTCCATCTAAACGGCGCGCGCGCGACTGGTGACAGGCAAGAAGCACGCCACACCATGCAGCGGAGACCAACCATTCCAGGCGCGTGCTTGAAGCATCGGCGCGCGAACGCCCGCGGAGTTCTCTCGCCGCCGCGTATTGAAGTTCAATGGCCCAGCCCGTGATCTCGAAGCCCTGGCCATCTGGCGCAGCGCTCCGCCTTATCCCCGCCGTGCTACGCTTCGAGTCGAAGTTCGACGCGTTCAACTCGCGGCCACGCTGTTGAATCCCACGACGTGGCGCCGCCGCGTCCGTCTGTGTAAGCGGACGAAGGCCTCGGTCTCCGCTCAGCCGTGATGATTTGACCTGCAGGCTCTGAACCCCGCTCTTGCCATGCCATCCTGCACTGCGCTGATAATTCCGCTGCCAATCCGCAGCCTCCACCTGGCCATCAGCCCGATGTAGCGGCCGTCAAGCGTCCACGCCGGCCACCAAACCTCTGCGATATGCATATAATATGAACCATACTCAGGCCCAGTGAATCTTGTAGGGACGCGAGCGCTGGTCACCATCCCACCCTTCTTCCACCTGCTGCTTCGAGCTCATTCGGCAAGTTGCCCTCAGCAGCGCAAGCACTAAAGACTACGTAGAGATCTTGTGGCCAGGATGGCGGCAGTGTCCATGCACGGCTCGGAGAACGCCTTCGGCGGCATGAACAGCGGCCTCAACCGGCGCCTGTCGCCGGCCTTCCGCACGCTGGCGTCGCCGCTGCGCCAGCGCCACTTCGACCTCGAGAAGCTGCGCGAGCTCGCGCGCAGCGACGAGTTCTCCGACAGCGAGAGCGACGGCGTGGACAGCGACGAGGAGCGGGACGAGGACGACGAGGAGGATGACGACGACGTCGACGTGGCCGACACCATGTTCGTGCCCTACCGCCGGCCGTCGCCCAAGCGCAAGGCGGTCGTGGGCAAGCGCCGCGCGCAGCTGCAGCAGCAGAAGAAGAGCAAGGACGCCAAGGCCAGCAGCAGCCCCAAGGGCGACGGGTGGGAGATCGTCGACAAGTCCCCGACCTTCGAGAGCGTGGCCGAGGGCAAGACGGAGCTCGGCGGCGAGAGCTGGTTCGTGCAGGAGCGCGAGCAGTAGAGCGCGCAGTATGTGGCGAGGACGGTGACGCGGTTGGCCGCCGTCTTCTGGGTAAATTAACTTCATCCTTTGCGTATTTCGACGGTGTTTTGAGCCTTTGGAGTTGCGTCGCGGCAAGTGTGTATGTGTGTGTTGTAGTAGGTCAGTCCACGCGCGGACGCTTGCTGTGTGTGAGGTAGCGCGGGTTCTCCTGTGATGAAGTCTGCGATAGCGACAGCGTTTGACTGGGAACGACGTTGCCGTTGCCACTGCCGCTGCTGCAATGGGACAGGAGGTTAGCATGCATGCGCGCGTGGTGTTGCTTGTAGCTGCAGCGTACCCGTTGGCGAAGAGCGTGACTTCCTCCTCGCTGCGCGTCTGAGATGACGCCGGGAGGAACGTCGTCACGGTGGACAGCGTCATCTCGATGGAGAACTTGGCCATAGACGTCGACTCGGCCGCAAACAGCACCGGGCTTGGCAAGAAGAAGCAATAGTCATCAGACACACAACACCAAGGCCCCCATCACAACCTAACTCAACTCACCTCCCTGCTGTGCTGAAGTAGAACGACACCTCCAACACGTCGCTCGCCTTGCAGAACGCCAGTAGCGCCTACAAAAACAGCAACAGCAACCATCAGCACCAGACAGTCTCCTCTTGGTCAGCTATCACGCGCCCACCTACCCTGATCTCCTTGATGCAAAAGATCAGCTGGGCCGCCGCGTCAACGCTGTCATCAGCTGGCGGCTGCAGGATGTACTCGCTGAACTCGAGGCTCTCGACCGCCGTCTCGGTCTGCAGCTGGGCCTTGCTGTCCGTGAAGTTGGAGAAGTAGCTCTCGAACTTGACGTGCGTGGGCGAGCACGTGACGCTCACCTCGCCGCTGTGGTGGATGTGCGTGAGCAGCGAGCTCAGATGGTGCTGCCGCGTGCGCCAGCGACTGGGGCTCGCGCTCTTGTCGAACAGGGCGCGCATGATCTGGCACGCCTGCACCTTCATGTGGTGCGTCTTGGTGATGTCGAAGTCGCAGCGCAGGCGCCACGTGAGCTCCATGCAGTCCAAGTCCACCTCGTCCACCTCGCTGGCCTGCGACGTGTCCTCCTGGCTGGCAGCGGTGGCCTGGTCCAGCGCGTCCTTGTCCACCAGCAGCGCCAGTTGCACGCTCTGCACGTGCTTGAGCGTGCGGAAGACGTTGCAGCACGACTTCGCGAACACTTTGCACTTGACGAAGGGCGTGCGCCCGTTGAAGTGCGCGCGCAGCATCTCGTTGGACGCGATGTCCACGCCCGCGAGCGTCACGCTGCGCCCGCCCTGCGACTCGGAGAAGAAGGTCCGGTCCAGCACCACTTGGCCTGACGCCGAGTGCGCGTCATTCAGCGCGCGCAGTGTCAGGCGGCGAGCGCCCGGGTCGCACTCGATGGACAGCTCCTTGCCCACCTGCGACAGGCACTGCAGCGCCGCCACGAACACCTTGAGCGCTTCCTCGGCGATGTCGAGCCGAACCTCCATGATACCGGTAGCGAAATGGCAAGTTGACCTTCACATGAGTGACGGGGTGACTCGGTTGAGTGACAAAATGTAATTATTTAGGGGAAATTGTGTTTCGGGGCCGTTATTACAGACGGCTTCACGGGGCTACTCTTCTGACAGCGCTTGAAGCTCGCCGCGCAGCGAATCTGGGCGTTCAAACGCTGCCTGACTTGGCCTGATACCGTGAGAACGCCCGGCGCACTACGCTGCGCAGTCTGCGCCGCAGAGGGTACGCGAGGGTACACTGCTCTCGTCCTCGTGTCCTGAGCAGCGCTTCAAATTGTCATCGTCTTCGAACAGAGAGATCGATGCATATCACGACAAGCGCCGCTGATGAATGCTGCAGTTCTTTTGGATGGCCGTCCAGAAGCTTGAGTACGCGGCGTCGTGAAATGGTCGCGTGCCGGCATAGCAAATCATCTCAGGACAAAGGTGAGAGCAGTGTCGCTCCATTCAGCAGCGAGGGTCTGCAGAGACGGAAACAAGAAGGACATGCACAAGCATCAAGAGTCTGCGCTTCGGCTGAAGCGGGAACGAAAGCTACAAGCGACTGCTGCTGCTGTTGTTAATGAATCTCGTCGCGGGGCGATGTCATGGGGCAAGGAGTCGCCGCAGCAAGCGTCGAGATCGTGTCCGGCATGGACAAGGAGGAGTTGATGAAGACATCGACGGAGCTGTGGTTGTGCCCGTGGAAGTGAACTGACCAGGTACGGAGTGGTGATTGAAGCTTGAGAAGCACCAGATGCCGCGAGCAAAGTGCCCGGGTGGTCTTCGTGTCGGGCGGCGACGTCATGGGGCACCGGGTCGTCGTATTTGACAGCGAGCGGGGCACGGGGAGGCCGTGTTCGTGTCGGGTAAGCTCGGCGCTCCATGAAGGAGACCGCACTTCATCATGACGCGCGTCGTCTTCCGTGCCCATGACCCCCCCCCCCCTAGATCATTAATGCTCAGTTTCCCACGGCGCAATGCGGAGGTAGCGCGGTGAACGTTGTCATCAATGACTTTGGCCGCAGCACCACCCGGCCTTCCTGAACCTCGTGGCGTGGCTGCCACCCACCGAGCAGCTGGGCAACTTCAAGGCCATCGAACGCGACATCGGCTGCACGCTGTCGCTGCGCTGGAGTTCGCGCCTCATCGACATGGACATCCTTCAGTGCGACGACTAGCATAGTTTACTGTGGGCACGGCTAATGGACCACTCATGTCCAGCACGAACGCAGCGGCGACTTTGTGCTGACCTCGCCGAAGCTGGGCGCTAGGCCTATCAGTACGCATTGCCCAGGAAATTCGTACCGGACACCACGGCTCTGGCTGACACTACTTCGTTACTATTCTCGTGGAAGTTAGCCATAGTAAGAACTCAAGAGTTGTTGAGCAGGCGCATCGTAATCAGCAGGTTGGGCACATCAGTGGCGATGGTAGGAATACATAATGTAATGAGCCAGTCCTACCCCAGCTGCATAGGCCGTATATATAGTATGCTGCATAGGCCGTATATATAGTACAACCTGCCGATCGCTGTCGGTTCTCGTTCTTAACAGAAGGTCCCGCTAAGAGGGAACACATTTTGAGGGGAACACAGAAAAACACATAATGCGGAATTAGTCGGGTTTCAACGCCATTTGGGCACGTGAATGCTTTCAACTTTAAACGAGCAGTATACCTTCTGCATTGAGGTGCTCTATCTTACTTTGGCAATGCAGTGCATGTAGCAAGCGCCCTGGTAGTAACTCTGTTTGAAGTCATTTGTAGAGATTACGCATTTGTAGGCATTTCAATTTGGTACATGGTACCAATACTGGGTGGAGGAGCTGCGCAGCAGCGTTACATAGCTAAGGCAAGAGAGCGTTGCAAGCCCTTAAGGGTGCTGATCGACGTGATCAGCGCGATGGGCGCTAACACGGACGTGAAGTCACTGCTGTCCAAGGACGTTGGCAGGATGACCGACTTCGCGATCAACGGTTGATTCAACCTGGTGGGAGGGAAGGTGGGGGGAAGCTGCCCCGCTCTTGAACCGTGTTTCAATTTTTTGAAAATCGGTTCACAGAGCACACGGCAATCACTCGAGGCGCGCTGGTGCAGCGCCTGTGGTTGCCAGATAGCACGGATAGCTTACATTAGATTAGCATGGTGTTTAGTTTGAGATAGCGAACTGGCGAACGATACCAGTTGCATGCATGCTTCACTAAAACCGCAATTAGTTTTTTTTTCGACTTTCACTGTTTTGGGCTCTTTTTATTCCCTTCTTAGCGGGATCTCCTGTTAAAATAATTCCGAATCGGGTCCGCAATTTTCGAACCGAACGTTTTTATGAAATAATTTAGAATTTTGGAAAAAACGTACCCAAAGTGTACCCTGTTCCAAAGTGTTTCCTGTTATCAAACTCTTCCCCGTTCCAAAGTTGTACCACGAGATATGAAATAATAAGTATATTTCCACTGTAGAAAATGCTGATATTATATAAAATAAGCACTAAAAACAGCCGTTTAGGAAAATGAATACGTCAAAGCGTAGGACTACTACTATAATGGTTTCTTCATTTAAAAAAATATTCTTGTACACTATTTTTATCAGTCTACATATTCATGTATGAATGTCAAATGCAGTTTTATGGCATGCTTAAACGTAATTCAACGCGTTTAAGGTAATTTACTTGTAGTATAGCGCAAAACAGCAATGCTGAAACTAGTTTTAGCGTTTATAATCAGAAGTAGAGTGTGTTGGTAATATTTTCTGAAATATAAAAGAAGCTTTTATCACTAGTTCGTAAGCAGTGGAACCTTATCTTGTGCCTAAACGATTATTGTTTTAGCATTGAGCATGACTTTTTATGTGCATTAAGAATAAAAGGACCGTAAGATTTGCAATTGGGTACGGATGGCAATAGGGTGTGGAATAGTTACAGGGTACACTTTGGATACAGGGTACCTTGGCTTTTTCAAAAAAACGAAAAAAATTACGGACCCGATTCGGAATTATATTAAAATAACGGACCTGAAACACAATTTCCCCAATTATTTATTGCAACTACACCTTTGCCAGTCCAATACGAGATGGTGCCAGAGCAATGCGAGATAGATGAAATATTACCAGGTAATTTACCCAATCTAGATATATTACGTAATTTATATCACTGGCTATGGAGCAAGCGAGATTAGCTCCAGGGCATCCGAGACGAGCAGCGCCATTCCCCAATCTACCGCGCCCCACGCCGACCGCATGTCCGAGTCGCCGAGAGCTTTGGCTTTGCGCGGCGCACTGCCACTGAAGAAGAACGCCAGCGTGTGCTGGATGCGTTCTCGGCTGGCGACGACTGGCTCACCGTGGCAAAATACATGTACAACAACGTCTCGCGGGCTGCGGTGTACAGGCTGGGCATGAAAGGAGATCCCAGCCCGCCTCCGAGAGGCGGTGCCCGCGCCAGCTGCGTCAAGTGCACGGACGCAATGGTGGAGGCGCTGGAGGGCTACTTAGACGAGGACTGCACGTTGACGCTCGTCCAGTTGCGAGACAAGCTCATGGAGCACTTCGCGGTCGACGTCTCCACGTCCACGATTAGTGCGAAGCTTGCTGGCAAACTTATTACGTTAAAACAGGTTGTGTATACTGTACCTGTCGGAGCACCACAGCGGATGATCGAACGGGGCTCGCATCGAAGGATGACGGAGGCAAGGATGCGCTTACTTGAGGACGCTGCCAACTCCTCGATTGGCTGCATGAATCGACACTTAGTGGTCTCAATGGCACTGCACTGCCAGCGCATGCAGTATGGGGCGTAGCCATGCAACACGCAATCTCGTTTGCCCTGTTAATCTCATTTGCGTTGAAATCACCCAATTTAATGATTTCATCTTGTGCCCAAAACAATTTGTATCCAAACAATCCTGTTTTGCTTTCCTTGCCGTCTCGTATTGGACTGGCAAAGGTGTAGGGCTACAATTTTACGGGAGCAACCAGCACCAAATAGTATGCTCTGGTGGGGGTACTATAGTCCGTTCAAATTGTTTCGTCTCACGACTAGGAGTACTTCGCTGACATCCAGGGACATATCAGCAACAACGATCGTGCTGTGCACGAAGAAGCTCTGAAATTTCGCTGTAAACCCAACACATGCGTATTCCTAAGCAATTTTGCGTACTTGTACGTGTACTCATCGAGCATCCTTCTGGGCGGCGTCCTGTCACGCAGCATGACCCACCTAGACCAGGCCCTAGCGGCACGTCCTTTTCAAGCCTCAGACAACGGTTCTGGTTGAAGTCGTCGGTGCACACCTTGGTATTGAAGTCAACCAGCGCCTGACTGAACACCTTGACCCTCGTGCAGCATGCGCTGCGGTCGCAACTCCGATTAACCAACGTCCAGATGCTCGCGGACGGAGACGCCAGCAGGCACGAGTCGAACGTGGGCATCTTGTTCGGGGTGAATTGCTTGTAGAATATCCACTTGAGACCGCGGTCGTCGGGCTCGTACGAGCAACAGCGGCGCCGCAGTGACCGGGAAAAGCGGTGTGACAGGGTCCTCACAAGAGTTCCCCTTCATGATGTTTGCGAAACCAGCGTAGTCATCCATTGCCCAGCACCAGAGTGTCGAAGGTGTACGTAGGTCTGACGGTCGGACTCCGACCTCATACTTCTCGGCGCCGCCTCCTCGGTGAGCCCGTGGTGACCACCAGCAGCTTGCTGCCCAGGTAGACGAGTCCGTGCGGCGCCCTTTTGAAGCCCCATGCACCTGAATCCAGAACATGTGGCCCTTGTCGGCGAACAGCATCGAGTAACTCGAGCTGCGTGTTCACGAGGACAAGCGTGCGCCCAGATAAGATCTCCGTCTCAAAGGCGGTGGGCGTGCGTGAGTTCATTTCCATGCCTTCGCGAGCTCCTCCACCGCCTTGCCATTACTCGGCGCGCGCTCGCTGGAATTTTTGCCTAGCAAATGATAAGAAGCGCTATGAATCTAGGCGTCTTCGTGAGCGGTACCTTTATGAGAATTCTGGCGCATTATATAAGTTCTTTGTAAATGCAGCACTTTACCATGTCTTATCATTTTCTGGTCCTAAATTTTGTGGGTATCTGTCAATATGTTGGTATCCTACATCTACCGGTAACGGTGATATACTACACTTGGCCACATTTCTAGTCGACGAGACGCGCGCCACAGGCACCCCTGCCAACTTGACAACTAGTCGTTCGTAGCGGTCGTGGCGACCATAGCGTTCGTTAGGCTTCCATTATTTGAGAGGTCTTGCGTGCTGACGTTGGTGTTGCCGCGCTGGCCGTGCGGCTGCCTTTTTGTGACTAGCCGTAGGATTCGAGCGCCATCGTGTCCTTGCCAGTCGTTCCGGTGGCAAAGCACGAATTAGTTGTCATGGCCACAACCTACCACGTCAAAGTACTGATCTACGCCACAGAGGAACAATATGAACGCCTGTGTCCACGAATTAGGTTTGAGATCATTACATTAATGCCATGGTTTGAAGAAACAGCAGAATGTTTTAAGTATTCTGCTGGACTTAAAAGTACTCGACGCTTCGAGAGGAAAAACTAGTCCCCATAGTACAGTTCATAGCGCAAGATTTTTCCATCGCCAATCTGCGCGATCAGGCCGAATTCGAAATGCATGCTCGGTTTATCACGGGCGCAACACGATTGGTGTTTAGCTCTACTAGGAGACAGAAAGTGATATTGCCTCAGTTACTGGCTTCAGTAACCGGGTCACTAACAGAATGACAGACAGTGACACGGGACCACGGATGCCGGCCTCAGTTACCGGCTTCAGTTACCGAGGTGCGAAATAACCCGATTTGGGCTGCCTAGTAGCATGACCTATCGGCCACTGCTCTCCCAGTATAATTATAAGCTTGAAAACTCTTATAAATAATCAAAAGACAGGATTATGTGCTCCCAAAACTAACGTTGCTACTACCAATCGACTAACTAGTATGCTGACATTTGACTCTTAACCTTAGTGAGAGCTTTGCTAGGATAAATGGAGAGACAAAATATATTGCTCTAGTATTGTGTACCACGATATGAATAGGATAACATTTTGAAACCAAGTTTATTTACCATTGGTAGAATCAAAAGTTATTATTGGGGTGAAGAAGACAATAGCCAAATCATCTGTTTGTTTGTGTAAGTCCTGTTTCAATTTGGCGAATCATCACAAAAAGGAAAAGTTAAACAAAGATGCTAAAGCTACATATTCTTTCTGATTATTCGCTGTTATTAGTGTACGACTGATGTATCTAAAAAATAAATTGTTAACCTTTAAAATGTTGAAATGATACGCAAAATAAGACTATTCAAAACAAAATATAGAAAATAATGTAGTTTTTTTCAAGAACGACGTTGTCATAAAAGAACTATCATGGTTTTTCGCAGGCTGCGGATATTTACTGCGATATATATTGATTTCGATTTTAAGAACTGTGCTGCGTTTCGGAGTTTCTCATTTTGTCAATGCAAATCGTTTTGGATCATGTTCGCCATCAAAGCACACAACGTGTGTCTCTTTGTAAATAGACGAAGCGATTAGGGACAACTCACAAGGTAAAGTTGGCTGCATTCACATTTACATTTGTATTTAAAAATATCTAGGATGAAGTTTTAGCGTTACCGCTCAGATGCTAAAAATGTCCCCGGTCTGCACTCAAAACAATTGTTGCGAGCAATGGGGTTTTACGCTTATAATACATTAAATAATTTAGTTTTAAATAAATGCTAAATTTAAAGGGACCCGAAAACTAGAAATTAGCGTCTCATCGACCCCTGGTGGTGGGTGTCTGGTGGGTGTGCCGAGGTGCGAATCGGGACGGAGCCTTTCTACGCGGTGGTAGGCAGTGTGGAGTGGCTCGTTGGATGCGTCTCGACATGGCGATACGGTTGGCACCTTCATTTGGCGCCAACGAGCCATTGTTGCCGTAGCTACGGTCGGCGGGAGCCTGGTGGTGGGTGTCTGGTGGGTGTGCCGAGGTGCGAATCGGGACGGAGCCTTTCTACGCGGTGGTAGGCAGTGTGGAGTGGCTCGTTGGATGCGTCTCGACATGGCGATACGGTTGGCACCTTCATTTGGCGCCAACGAGCCATTGTTGCCGTAGCTACGGTCGGCGGGAGCCTGGTGGTGGGTGTCTGGTGGGTGTGCCGAGGTGCGAATCGGGACGGAGCCTTTCTACGCGGTGGTAGGCAGTGTGGAGTGGCTCGTTGGATGCGTCTCGACATGGCGATACGGTTGGCACCTTCATTTGGCGCCAACGAGCCATTGTTGCCGTAGCTACGGTCGGCGGGAGCCTGGTGGTGGGTGTCTGGTGGGTGTGCCGAGGTGCGAATCGGGACGGAGCCTTTCTACGCGGTGGTAGGCAGTGTGGAGTGGCTCGTTGGATGCGTCTCGACATGGCGATACGGTTGGCACCTTCATTTGGCGCCAACGAGCCATTGTTGCCGTAGCTACGGTCGGCGGGAGCCTGGTGGTGGGTGTCTGGTGGGTGTGCCGAGGTGCGAATCGGGACGGAGCCTTTCTACGCGGTGGTAGGCAGTGTGGAGTGGCTCGTTGGATGCGTCTCGACATGGCGATACGGTTGGCACCTTCATTTGGCGCCAACGAGCCATTGTTGCCGTAGCTACGGTCGGCGGGAGCCTGGTGGTGGGTGTCTGGTGGGTGTGCCGAGGTGCGAATCGGGACGGAGCCTTTCTACGCAGTGGTAGGCAGTGTGGAGTGGCTCGTTGGATGCGTCTCGACATGGCGATACGGTTGGCACCTTCATTTGGCGCCAACGAGCCATTGTTGCCGTAGCTACGGTCGGCGGGAGCCTGGTGGTGGGTGTCTGGTGGGTGTGCCGAGGTGCGAATCGGGACGGAGCCTTTCTACGCGGTGGTAGGCAGTGTGGAGTGGCTCGTTGGATGCGTCTCGACATGGCGATACGGTTGGCACCTTCATTTGGCGCCAACGAGCCATTGTTGCCGTAGCTACGGTCGGCGGGAGCCTGGTGGTGGGTGTCTGGTGGGTGTGCCGAGGTGCGAATCGGGACGGAGCCTTTCTACGCGGTGGTAGGCAGTGTGGAGTGGCTCGTTCGATGCGTCTCGACATGGCGATACGGTTGGCACCTTCATTTGGCGCCAACGAGCCATTGTTGCCGTAGCTACGGTCGGCGGGAGCCTGGTGGTGGGTGTCTGGTGGGTGTGCCGAGGTGCGAATCGGGACGGAGCCTTTCTACGCGGTGGTAGGCAGTGTGGAGTGGCTCGTTGGATGCGTCTCGACATGGCGATACGGTTGGCACCTTCATTTGGCGCCAACGAGCCATTGTTGCCGTAGCTACGGTCGGCGGGAGCCTGGTGGTGGGTGTCTGGGGGTGTGCCGAGGTGCGAATCGGGACGGAGCCTTTCTACGCGGTGGTAGGCAGTGTGGAGTGGCTCGTTGGATGCGTCTCGACATGGCGATACGGTTGGCACCTTCATTTGGCGCCAACGAGCCATTGTTGCCGTAGCTACGGTCGGCGGGAGCCTGGTGGTGGGTGTCTGGTGGGTGTGCCGAGGTGCGAATCGGGACGGAGCCTTTCTACGCGGTGGTAGGCAGTGTGGAGTGGCTCGTTGGATGCGTCTCGACATGGCGATACGGTTGGCACCTTCATTTGGCGCCAACGAGCCATTGTTGCCGTAGCTACGGTCGGCGGGAGCCTGGTGGTGGGTGTCTGGTGGGTGTGCCGAGGTGCGAATCGGGACGGAGCCTTTCTACGCGGTGGTAGGCAGTGTGGAGTGGCTCGTTGGATGCGTCTCGACATGGCGATACGGTTGGCACCTTCATTTGGCGCCAACGAGCCATTGTTGCCGTAGCTACGGTCGGCGGGAGCCTGGTGGTGGGTGTCTGGTGGGTGTGCCGAGGTGCGAATCGGGACGGAGCCTTTCTACGCGGTGGTAGGCAGTGTGGAGTGGCTCGTTGGATGCGTCTCGACATGGCGATACGGTTGGCACCTTCATTTGGCGCCAACGAGCCATTGTTGCCGTAGCTACGGTCGGCGGGAGCCTGGTGGTGGGTGTCTGGTGGGTGTGCCGAGGTGCGAATCGGGACGGAGCCTTTCTACGCGGTGGTAGGCAGTGTGGAGTGGCTCGTTGGATGCGTCTCGACATGGCGATACGGTTGGCACCTTCATTTGGCGCCAACGAGCCATTGTTGCCGTAGCTACGGTCGGCGGGAGCCTGGTGGTGGGTGTCTGGTGGGTGTGCCGAGGTGCGAATCGGGACGGAGCCTTTCTACGCGGTGGTAGGCAGTGTGGAGTGGCTCGTTGGATGCGTCTCGACATGGCGATACGGTTGGCACCTTCATTTGGCGCCAACGAGCCATTGTTGCCGTAGCTACGGTCGGCGGGAGCCTGGTGGTGGGTGTCTGGTGGGTGTGCCGAGGTGCGAATCGGGACGGAGCCTTTTTACGCGGTGGTAGGCAGTGTGGAGTGGCTCGTTGGATGCGTATCGACATGGCGATACGGTTGGCACCTTCATTTGGCGCCAACGAGCCATTGTTGCCGTAGCTACGGTCGGCGGGAGCCTGGTGGTGGGTGTCTGGTGGGTGTGCCGAGGTGCGAATCGGGACGGAGCCTTTCTACGCGGTGGTAGGCAGTGTGGAGTGGCTCGTTGGATGCGTCTCGACATGGCGATACGGTTGGCACCTTCATTTGGCGCCAACGAGCCATTGTTGCCGTAGCTACGGTCGGCGGGAGCCTGGTGGTGGGTGTCTGGTGGGTGTGCCGAGGTGCGAATCGGGACGGAGCCTTTCTACGCGGTGGTAGGCAGTGTGGAGTGGCTCGTTGGATGCGTCTCGACATGGCGATACGGTTGGCACCTTCATTTGGCGCCAACGAGCCATTGTTGCCGTAGCTACGGTCGGCGGGAGCCTGGTGGTGGGTGTCTGGTGGGTGTGCCGAGGTGCGAATCGGGACGGAGCCTTTCTACGCGGTGGTAGGCAGTGTGGAGTGGCTCGTTGGATGCGTCTCGACATGGCGATACGGTTGGCACCTTCATTTGGCGCCAACGAGCCATTGTTGCCGTAGCTACGGTCGGCGGGAGCCTGGTGGTGGGTGTCTGGTGGGTGTGCCGAGGTGCGAATCGGGACGGAGCCTTTCTACGCGGTGGTAGGCAGTGTGGAGTGGCTCGTTGGATGCGTCTCGACATGGCGATACGGTTGGCACCTTCATTTGGCGCCAACGAGCCATTGTTGCCGTAGCTACGGTCGGCGGGAGCCTGGTGGTGGGTGTCTGGTGGGTGTGCCGAGGTGCGAATCGGGACGGAGCCTTTCTACGCGGTGGTAGGCAGTGTGGAGTGGCTCGTTGGATGCGTCTCGACATGGCGATACGGTTGGCACCTTCATTTGGCGCCAACGAGCCATTGTTGCCGTAGCTACGGTCGGCGGGAGCCTGGTGGTGGGTGTCTGGTGGGTGTGCCGAGGTGCGAATCGGGACGGAGCCTTTCTACGCGGTGGTAGGCAGTGTGAAGTGCCTCGTTGGATGCGTATCGACATGGCGATACGGTTGGCACCTTCATTTGGCGCCAACGAGCCATTGTTGCCGTAGCTACGGTCGGCGGGAGCCTGGTGGTGGGTGTCTGGGGGTGTGCCGAGGTGCGAATCGGGACGGAGCCTTTCTACGCGGTGGTAGGCAGTGTGGAGTGGCTCGTTGGATGCGTCTCGACATGGCGATACGGTTGGCACCTTCATTTGGCGCCAACGAGCCATTGTTGCCGTAGCTACGGTCGGCGGGAGCCTGGTGGTGGGTGTCTGGTGGGTGTGCCGAGGTGCGAATCGGGACGGAGCCTTTCTACGCGGTGGTAGGCAGTGTGGAGTGGCTCGTTGGATGCGTCTCGACATGGCGATACGGTTGGCACCTTCATTTGGCGCCAACGAGCCATTGTTGCCGTAGCTACGGTCGGCGGGAGCCTGGTGGTGGGTGTCTGGGGGTGTGCCGAGGTGCGAATCGGGACGGAGCCTTTCTACGCGGTGGTAGGCAGTGTGGAGTGGCTCGTTGGATGCGTCTCGACATGGCGATACGGTTGGCACCTTCATTTGGCGCCAACGAGCCATTGTTGCCGTAGCTACGGTCGGCGGGAGCCTGGTGGTGGGTGTCTGGTGGGTGTGCCGAGGTGCGAATCGGGACGGAGCCTTTCTACGCGGTGGTAGGCAGTGTGGAGTGGCTCGTTGGATGCGTCTCGACATGGCGATACGGTTGGCACCTTCATTTGGCGCCAACGAGCCATTGTTGCCGTAGCTACGGTCGGCGGGAGCCTGGTGGTGGGTGTCTGGTGGGTGTGCCGAGGTGCGAATCGGGACGGAGCCTTTCTACGCGGTGGTAGGCAGTGTGGAGTGGCTCGTTGGATGCGTATCGACATGGCGATACGGTTGGCACCTTCATTTGGCGCCAACGAGCCATTGTTGCCGTAGCTACGGTCGGCGGGAGCCTGGTGGTGGGTGTCTGGGGGTGTGCCGAGGTGCGAATCGGGACGGAGCCTTTCTACGCGGTGGTAGGCAGTGTGGAGTGGCTCGTTGGATGCGTCTCGACATGGCGATACGGTTGGCACCTTCATTTGGCGCCAACGAGCCATTGTTGCCGTAGCTACGGTCGGCGGGAGCCTGGTGGTGGGTGTCTGGTGGGTGTGCCGAGGTGCGAATCGGGACGGAGCCTTTCTACGCGGTGGTAGGCAGTGTGGAGTGGCTCGTTGGATGCGTCTCGACATGGCGATACGGTTGGCACCTTCATTTGGCGCCAACGAGCCATTGTTGCCGTAGCTACGGTCGGCGGGAGCCTGGTGGTGGGTGTCTGGTGGGTGTGCCGAGGTGCGAATCGGGACGGAGCCTTTCTACGCGGTGGTAGGCAGTGTGGAGTGGCTCGTTGGATGCGTCTCGACATGGCGATACGGTTGGCACCTTCATTTGGCGCCAACGAGCCATTGTTGCCGTAGCTACGGTCGGCGGGAGCCTGGTGGTGGGTGTCTGGGGGTGTGCCGAGGTGCGAATCGGGACGGAGCCTTTCTACGCGGTGGTAGGCAGTGTGGAGTGGCTCGTTGGATGCGTATCGACATGGCGATACGGTTGGCACCTTCATTTGGCGCCAACGAGCCATTGTTGCCGTAGCTACGGTCGGCGGGAGCCTGGTGGTGGGTGTCTGGTGGGTGTGCCGAGGTGCGAATCAGGACGGAGCCTTTCTACGCGGTGGTAGGCAGTGTGGAGTGGCTCGTTGGATGCGTCTCGACATGGCGATACGGTTGGCACCTTCATTTGGCGCCAACGAGCCATTGTTGCCGTAGCTACGGTCGGCGGGAGCCTGGTGGTGGGTGTCTGGGGGTGTGCCGAGGTGCGAATCGGGACGGAGCCTTTCTACGCGGTGGTAGGCAGTGTGGAGTGGCTCGTTGGATGCGTATCGACATGGCGATACGGTTGGCACCTTCATTTGGCGCCAACGAGCCATTGTTGCCGTAGCTACGGTCGGCGGGAGCCTGGTGGTGGGTGTCTGGTGGGTGTGCCGAGGTGCGAATCAGGACGGAGCCTTTCTACGCGGTGGTAGGCAGTGTGGAGTGGCTCGTTGGATGCGTCTCGACATGGCGATACGGTTGGCACGTACATAATATAGCCCATTAACCAGTTAACCAGTACGATTTGCTGAAATTTTACAAGAAGATACTCGTCTCTTGTTAGATTAAGGTACAGACATATGAGGTGGTTGCCGACAACGATTAGGTGAACCTCGAGGGAGGAAATGACAGGCAGAAGATTGAGTTCCCCAGTAACTTCGGTGGCTACGAGCTTGACGTGAAGGTCAATGGGACCTCCAAAGGCGAGAAGCTGGTAGTGATTGTGTAGCAAGCGATGAAATCAATAAAAACTTCATTGAATCCTATGCTAGTCTTAGGCTACTTACGCCTGAATGGGGTGACGGAGCTTCTTCGGCCCTAAGGGCGCATTTCTTGACATTATCTGCAAAATGCAGCAACCGCAGGGTCTTGGTCGCGGCCTGGCGTCTGCTACCACGTTAACCACCGTTTGCACCTTGCCTCCACTAGAGAAGCAAGATTGCAGCAGGGACGTGAGCTTGGAGTCTCGGTAAGGAACCTGGCGCAAAACAAAACAGTAGATATGCTAGAATATAAGATGAAAACAGTAAAAGGAATATGTAGATGCGCGCACATGCTTGCTGCCTTTGTCGATTGCGTTGAATACGCCACTGAGAGCACTCGGGCTCGTGTTCATAGCCTGAGCCTCCTTCATAAAGTCGCATGTGACGCTGGAGCGAGCAACGCGCTCCCTCCCAGTGAGGTCGACCAAATGAAGGAGGTCGTCAGAGCGATCTTCAGAGCTGGCGTGGGAACCAGCAATACTGACCTTGGTCACGCAGTGCGACCGCGATGACACAGCGTTCGCCGCAGTCTTCGCGGTGCAGCGGTTCTTGGACGCTCGGATGAGCAGTTCTTGGACATCTTCGATGTTACGTACCTGGGCACTCGAGAGTCCTTGAACGCTGATCTTGCTCGCCATCCGAAGCTCCAAGTTGGCGCCACCGGAGTCCAGCAGGTCTTGGATGGTCTCATTGTAGACCTGGAGCGCCGACACTTCCATTTGATGGGTCCGGCCGTCCTCTGTCAATACGTAAGTTTGCTGTAAAATAAGTTCCAGCGCACGCGGAATTATTCCGCATTGCAGACCATATTTTCCAAGATCTACAATGTGAAACATATATGAGTGTTAGAATACTTTGTGACAATGTAAATACAAGTGTAAATACATACAAACCTACCGTGTAAGTTTTGCCAGAACCTGTTTGTCCGTAAGCCAGCACAGACACGCTGTGTCCGTCGATGGCGGACTGAACCACCCCCGCCACCTCATCAAAGACGTCATCTTGAGTTGACGACGCGCTGAAAACCCGGTCGAACTCAAACGGACGGCCATTCAGAGTTAAGCCCGGTCCGTCACTCCCAAACGAGAGATTGTCGGTTTGACCTGGGGCGGAGCGGGCTCGAGCGAGGATGCGGACATTTCCACGCAGCTCCTAAAAATGAAAAGTTAAGAAAATTACTAAAGTGTACAAATTTGCATGCAACTGTTACCTGGATGGTGTTGTTTGCGGCTTTGTTGTCTTGAACAAGACTGGCGGTTCGCGACTGGAGGCCTGCCACTTGATTCTTCAGATCCTCGATCGTTTTGTGCAGCTTGCGGTTCTCCTCCTCCTAACACGTTAATGATTAGAAAAATAGATGTGTACAACATTTCAAACAAGTCTTACCTGGACGGCGTCGTTGACCGATTTATCTTGAATGAGCTGGTCAATTGATTTTGCAGTTGGTCAATCTTGGCCTACTGCTCGCGGTGGTATATCTAAATCATGGAAACGGTTAGTAAAATAAAGAGAGTACCATTTTCAGCAGATTTTACCTCCGCAGCCGATTTCTCTTGTGCGAGCCGGTTGTTACTGGATTGGATCCTTGCCGCTTGGCTCTCCAGAATCTCAACATATTCGTGGAGCTCGCGGCTATCCTCTTAACACGTTAATAGTTAGAAAGTAGATATGTGCACAAATTTTCAAAAAATATGAGCTTGACAGCGTCGTTGGTCGCTCTATCTTGAACATGCTGGTCGTGGAGCTCTGTAACTAAATTTTTAAGCTGCTCAAAATTTGGCCTGCAGCTTGCGGTTATTCATCTAAAATACGAAAGGTTAGTAAGAAATAAATTAGAGCACCAATTTGTCGACAAATCCTACCTCAACAACCGATCTCTCTTGTGCGAGCTGGTCGTGATTGGACTGGAGCTCTGTAGCTTGATGATCAAGCTGCTCGATCTGGTGCTGGAGCTCTAGGGGTTATTGGAGCAGTCTCCAGTCCTGCGCTTTCAGGAGACGCGGCTGCTTCTTGAAGCAGAGAAGCACCCAGCAGAAAACGGAACTGCTGCAGTTTCCTTCTCCTGTTGAACGCTGCAGTGCCTGCTCGATGTGGCTTAACATCATTGACGTTAGTAATTCCGATCGAGACCAATTTACCTTTTCACTATAAATATGAGTAGTACTTGGAAAACGACGGTGATAGTTAGTAAGATAAAGTTTACGATTGGACGGGGCTGTTGACAGATCGTCACGAACGATCGTTCCTGGGTTGCATTTATGTAATTATGTACCTTGATACGTGAATCCGTGAACTAGTCTATTTGATCCTTGAGAGCTTGGTTTTCTAGGATAGTTTCCAGTCCTGGGATTTTTGGAAAAGGGGTTGCTTAGTTTTACTAACTATTATCACCTTCTTGTAACGTATACAAAAAGCTACTTACCAGTCCCTTTTTGGATTAAAGAGTACCCTCAAAACCAAACCAGCTGCCGTTTAACTGTTTTCAAAGCTTAATATTCAAATAATTGTATATCTCTACTTTCACACTTTTTTTCATTTAGATTGATTGTTGTTTAGCCGGTTATCACACCTGATGATGCCTCACTATCAAACCGGATCAAGTGTCAGAAGAAAATGCATCTTCTGACGGCACCCAATGTTTTTGGTACGTTTTGGATAAAAATTATCCTAAAAAACAAAATGGAGTCTCGTTAATCTGGCGTTAAAAGCTTACGTAGTTAATGTTTTTCATGTCCTTACCCTCAAAGTATCTGAACAAAACTTCTTCTACAGTGATTGTCTCTTTTAGCAAAACGTTTTTCTAAACAAAATACTTGATCACAAATCTACGGGTTCTTAAGAAAAAAATGTAGATCTGTGATCAAGTTTTTTATATCCCTAACCTCTCAAGTGAAGTTAAAGTGTGTATTTTAGTAAGTAGGTTATATGTTTGTGGTGGGTGCATCCTGAAATCACATTTTAGATTTGTGACGCGCATTTGTCCAGGTTATGTTACATTTACTACGTGATTATACTCGACGTTGTTGCCTCCACGGAGAAATAGTACGGACAGTACCATTATTTGGTTGCTATTTGAGTTATCATATGGGTTTTTGTATGGGCGGGTCGCCCCTTTTGAAAACCTCACTCTACGTCTCACAAATTTACTTCACTGCTCGTTTTCTTTCACTTTTGTTACGAGAACAATTTGTGATTTTAGGATGCACCGGGTATCGGTAAACTTAATCTTTTCGTCGAGGACAAAATTTCCGCCTTTGCCTTGATATTTTCATAATTTTTCTTAGTTTACTCAAATCGCTTCGTAGCAACTGTTCAATCCAGACATTCTGCTTTAAAAAAGAATGTCTGTATTTCTGCATAACGCCATCGCCAATAATGTGGCCAATGTCAGAAAATCGCGCAAATCACATTTCATCGTAATTTGAGAGCAATTTTGCGTTCACCTACACCTAGATTTGCGTTGGGATTGTGAGCGCCAAAATCATCAGCAAAATGCAGCCACAGAGTACTGTAGGCAAGTTTAGACGGCTGCCAATAGCCTACGGAGAGGATTGCAACTCGAGGGCTTAACGGGAAACACAGTAGAGATAACGAGCTATCCAGCGATATGCATTACAGGAAGACGATGGTACGTATATCAAATAGTATTCGCAAAATCAGTCGCAATTTGCAGAGACTCCAAAATCGTCTCCGCAAATTGCGACTGATTTTCCGAGTGCATCGGCGCATTTTGCTACAGGATTTGCGTTTGTCGGATATGCGATTTGCGTGAATTTCTGAAGTCCCCCAATGAGACGTCGCAGTGTTATCGTGGAAATTTTTACAGTTCTAGGAGGTTGGGTTATGTTTTCAAACAAAGCTTCGACAGTTCCTTTTTAGCACAACAGACTATACATGTATACAGTTTGCAGGCGACGATGGTTTTCCCGTTGCGGGACTTGAGTGCAACTGTGCCTCCATCGCATTTTTCTCGAAATTGCTCTTGATCGGCGCATGAACCAACAATTGACCGTGCTGTTGCATTCCGACATCCGTGCTCGCTTTGACTCATCCATTCATGCTTAGCCTCGTTTGCACCTAGCAAATATTTTCAAGTAAAGTGCTGTCGCCGTCTTTAATCCCATGTGTGCCTGTAAAAGCCTTTTACTAAAAGGTGGGTTCGGCGGTACCAGACCACAGATCAAGTTCTGGCTGCGAACTGATTAACGCACACCCCCTTTGAGATCAAGTTTTGCCGACATAAATTCCGGCAAGTTGTTGCTACGCAATGCGCACAGTCTAAGCGAAAAAGTGCAGCGAATTCTGGCGCAACACGTCTACGAGACGACAGCAATGTGGTACAGGTTTCATACAGGTTGGTAGCCGGCTCCATTCTACAATGTATCCGAGAGATAAATAAAACTTGTGCCCGCCTACGATAAATTTACTGTACCGCACGGCTGGGATGCTCGCGTACAGACGATCCGTTTGGCTCCGCAGCTATCATGACACTCCACGTTTAATTTACAGGGGTCCCCGGCCTATTCGCCACAGTGGTACTTATGATGTTTGCGAATCAACAAGATTCACGCGGTCTGAATCCATAGATGAGTATGTACTGACTTACTACAAGCTTAGCTCAAGAATACGGTGGAGGTATTCCCGCAACGTGTCACTTGTCATAGTAGGTCTCGCTGTACACTAATCTAAACCAATATGTTTGCAGAAATAGCGCTCAAATCTTGAGAACTGCTTGTACTTCCTGTGCGAGGTACATTAAAATATACAGCCGGGACTAGCCCGGGGACGCCTGTACCAATGTTAGCTATTTTAATTTACAGTCTTCAATAGGCTCATACTAATTTAATTTTGTTTCATAAAAATAGGATAGTGCGTGGAGAGAGCGAGGCTTGCAAGACAGAGGAGCTCAACGACTGGGTTTACTTTCCTTCGTCAAACTATTTCCAGGCTTTTTGTACGATTACAGTACCTTATGACTGGTTATGACAAATGTTGAGCTGATTGTTTCGCATTGCAAAGAGCCCATGCACGAGCACAAGGTGCGATGACACTAGAACACCTGAAGGCCATGTACATATATGTCCATTTACGAATGGTCCAGCAATTGGTCAGCCACTTTATTGTCTAAGCACACCAGGCATCCCATCACTTTATTTCCTCTTCTCTGCACGGTGTTGTATGAACGAGCAAGGGTCCTTGAAAAAATACGGTCTTGCACGTACAGTACTGTACTAAACAGATCTGAGCAGGTACAGTACCACCGTTGCCCACCTCAGGTAGACGGGTTAGAGGTCAGGTGAACGTGCTCAGCGGGCAGTCGAGTCGAGTCGAGTCGACCTCACGCCACGTCGGGCTCCGCTCATTCTTCAATTCGCCAGCCCGGTCGCAGATCTCCAGCAGCCAGCCAGCGATGGCCGTGAACGACGACAACTACCAAGCCATGGACCCTCCGGCCCCGGAGCCCAAGTCGTGGAAGCACAAGGTCCTGACGTCGCTGACCTTCTGGATCATCGTTGGCATGGTCATCGGCATCATCCTGGGCGAGTTCGCCCCCACGTTCTCGGAGAAGGCCGCCCCCATGAAGAACATCTTCCTGCGCCCCATCCAGTTCGTCGTGTTCCCGCTCGTCTTCTCCTCTCTCGTGGTCGGTATCGCTGACCAGAAGGACATGAAGCAGCTCGGTCGCCTTGCTCTCAAGTCCATCATCTACTTCGAGGTGGTCACCACACTGGCGCTGATCATCGGCCTCTTCGCCGTCAACATCGTCAAGCCCGGCAAGGTCGGTATCACCGAGGGTGACGCTTACGACAGCGACTCGACGTCCTCGTTCACGTTCGAGACGTGGATCGAGCACCTGACCCCCAAGACGTGGGGCGAGATGATGGGCGGCGAGGGCTCCTCCGAGCTGCTCCAGGTCCTGGTGGCCGCCATCCTCACCGGTATCGCTACTTCTATGCTGAACGAGCACCACAAGAACCTCATCCTCGAGTTCGCGCGTGCCATTCTCGAGATGATGTTCAAGTTCGTGGACATCGTCATCTGGTCGGCACCCGTGGGTGTGTGCTTCGCCATTGCCGATGCGATCGCGTCGAACGGTCTGTCGGCGTTGGGAGGTCTGGGTGCACTCATCGCCACCGTCTACGTGACCATCATCCTGTTCATTGTCGTCGTCTTTGGTGCGGTGTGCTTGCTGTTCAAGATCAACCCGGTGGAGTTCCTGGTCGCCATGAAGGAGCCACTCATCATTGCCTACACGACGGCGACGTCGGAGGCCGCTCTGCCCAAGGTGTTCGAGGCTCTGGAGAAGTACGGCGTGTCGACGCACATTTCGGGCTTCGTCGTGCCCTTCGGCTACTCGTTCAACTTGGATGGATCGACGCTGTACCTGTCGCTGGGCTCGGTCTTCTGTGCCCAGGCTGCTGGTGTGCACAAGTCTATCGGTGAGCAGATCGTCATGGTGTTGATGCTCATGGTTTCGTCCAAGGGCGTGGCCGGTGTGCGTTCCGCTGCTATTATCGTGATGGCGTCGACTTTGGACCAGTTCGACATCCCGTCGTGGCCCGTGGCTCTCATTCTTGGTGTGGACTGGATCATGGACATGCTGCGGACGTTCACTAACGTTATGGGCAACTGCCTGGCCTCGGTCGCTATGGCCAAGACGGAGAACGCTTTCCGCACGGAGGAGTGGGAGCGCGAGTACAAGCAGCTGTACGGTGGCGGTGAGGACAAGGTCAGCGTTGTTGCCGAAAAGATGAGCGTTGTGTCTGCGGTGTCGGCCGTCGAGGAGGGCCGTCACTAAGCGAGTCTGCATTGATCGCAAACAAGTGCAATTGCTGCAGTGGCGGCGTACGTTTGGGTCGTGTCGTCCCAGTATATCAATAGGCAAAATCGTTTTGTACTCGAATGCGTCTGAAGTTTTTTTTTTTTTCAAGTCATGCACTCATGAAGTTCACCAAGTTGCTCAGGAAGTTCGTTAGATCACGCTTACTCACACATGGACGGTCTCATAGTGAAGTAGGCATTGCGTGTGCAGTGATACATGTAAATGCGCTCTTCTCGATCGGCATCCATACACCGGCGTTGCACCCCACTGGCATCCTATCATTTGAGCGTCGTACAATTCGTCTACTCCGGTAAACATTCACCAAGTTTTTCTTAACCTAAAATGAGCATTCGTATTCCTCGATCTTCATAGACGCGCTGAAAGCTTCACCTTTGCACTGCGCCACCCAACACTAACGCTGGATCTTGCCGCGCGAAAAACAATCAAGAAAGAAAAACGAATCGAGAATTTGGATGCAACGGGTTTGATTTTACTGGTATATCTTGCCTACGTACACTTATGCCCTCCTCGCGGCACTAAATCGTACTGCCATACAGCACTAGCGCTGTGCGTTCATCGGGGGGATTGACTCCATCCGGAAGCGACCGCTTAGTGGCGGCCCTCCTCAATGGCCGAGACGTTCGATACGTGGCTCATCTTCTCGCCCATGACGCTCATCTTGTCCTCGCCGAGCTGCTTGTGCTCGCGCTCCCACTCCTCCGTGCGGAACTCGTTCTCCATCTTGGCCATGATGACCGCGGCCAGGCAGTTGCCCATGACGTTGGTGAGCGTGCGGAGCATGTCCATGATCCAGTCCACGCCGAGGATCAGAGCCACGGGCCACGACGGGATGTCGAACTGGTCCAGGGTCGAGGCGATGACAATGAGCGTCGCCGAGCGGACGCCAGCCACACCCTTGGACGAGATCATGAGCATAAGGACCATGACGACCTGCTCGCCGATGGACTTGTCGGCGCCCGATGCCTGAGCGCAGAAGACGGAGGCGAGCGACAGGTAGAGGGTCGAGCCGTCAAGGTTGAACGAGTAGCCGAAGGGCACGACGAAGCCCGAAATGTGCGTCGACACGCCGTACTTCTCGAGGGCCTCGAACACCTTGGGCAGAGCGGCCTCAGACGTCGCCGTCGTGTAGGCAATGATGAGCGGCTCCTTCATGGCGATGAGGAACTCCGGGATGTTGATGCGGAAGAAGAGGCAGATGCCACCGAAGACCACAACGATGAAGAGGATAATGGTCACGTAGACAGTGGCAACGAGCGCGCCCAGACCACCCAGAGCCGACAGACCGTTCGATCCGATCGCGTCGGCGATGGCGAAGCACACACCGATGGGGGCCGTCCAGATGACAATGTCCACGAACTTGAACATCATCTCGAGCACGGCGCGGGAGAAGTCAATGATGATCGCCTTGTGCTGGCCGTTGAGCTGCGAGGTGGCCACACCCGTGAGGATGGCGGCAACCAGCACCTGGAGCAGCTCGGACGAGCCGGAGCCTCCCATCATCTCGCCCCACGTCTTGGGGGTCAGGTGCGCGATCCACTTCTCGAACGTGAAGGTCGACTCGGACTCGCTCTCGTACTCCTCACCCTGGGTGAGGCCGACCTTGCCGGGCTTGACGATGTTGACGGCGAAGAGGCCGAGGATCAGGGCGATGGTCGTGACGATCTCGAAGTAGATAATGGACTTGAGCGCGATGCGGCCGAGCTGCTTCATGTCCTTCTGGTCGGCGATACCGATGACCAGCGACGAGAACACGAGCGGGAACACGATGAACTGCACCGTGCGCAGGAAGATGTTCTTCATGGGGGCGGCCTTCTCGGAGAAGTCGGGCGCGAACTGGCCCAGCAGGATACCGACGACCATGCCGGCGATGATCCAGAAGGTCAGCGACGTCAGGAGCTTGCGGCTCCACGACTTCTTCTCCGGCGCGGGCGCGTCCATGGCTTGATAGTTGTCGTGGTTGATGGCCATCACGGAAATTTGCTGGCTGGGGCTGGCTTGCTGGGTAGGAGGGGGGAGGTCTGCGCCCGAGCTGGCAAATTGAGGAATGAGCTGGATGATACCAAAGTCGGAGACTGCCGCCGGTGTGTGTGTACATTTCGTTCGCCAACAGCACAAACCCATCTACCCCAACTTCACATGTGGCACTGCTCCAGCGTCAAACTGCGCTCCGTATCTTCGTGACACCGGCGTCGTCGATCCTAAATCGGCACGCTTTCAATGGTTGCAATCGCCATGATTGGCGTGCAGTGGCCCGTCGTGGAGCTTTTGGGGGGATGGTACCCGCTCAAGGTAAAACTTTTAATACTGAGGTCCAGTATTAAATATTAATCGCCCCATCCCTTGCAGTAGGGATGCGGAGGTAATGCCCGAACAGCTCGTGCATAAGCGAGGGCCCCGATGTACGTGTAGCATGAAAACAGCAACTGATAGGATGCAGACCTTGTTTAGAGAAAGTGGTGCGGCATCCCATCACATCGAGAGATCTTGCCTGTCGACTTAGAGCCAGGATCTCGGGCACCACCATCTTACCACACTCCTTGGCTCAGCTCAAACTGGAAAAATGTATGATTTGCCTTGCCATTTAACATGTAGGTTAGTTTGGCTGGAATGCCAGCCTTGAGATTGCACTTTGGCCTTCAGCTTCATCGTGAAAAACTCCCGCGCGCAGTTTCCAGAACATACGACACAAAAGAGTCCCGTTACGAGCATACAAAGTTAAACTATTTTCAGTGTTAAAGCCTTCCAGAAAAGAGCGCGCGGCGGGGGCCAGCACCGGATTTGGGGGGTAAAAGGGAGCATTGAAGTTAACGAAGCAACTACCCAACAGCTCTTAAAGCTCGTACGCGTCTTCCCTGCGAGTGGAAAAAGACGAGCGCGGGGCGGAGTACAACCACCTGATTTGGGAATTGAATAGAAGGGGGGCATTGAAGTTTTTCATGATGAAATTGAAACTGAGCTTCACTTTAGAGGGGGCTTTGCTGCACCACAGCCGATCTTGGCGGTGACATTACTCTAATGTTACCTCATTTGAACGCTGGATCATTCATCACTCACATGCCGAATCTCACCATTATTATACAAGCTGAAATATCGTTCAAGCCATACATGTATGTATTTTATCTGTGAATATACTGCTTTTACCCAACTTTAGCAGTACTGACGTACTTTTACCGTATAGGGATTTACAATGAACATGTGCAACTGTTGTGCCGCCACTTTAACCAAAGTGAAGTTTGAACTTCAAAGGGGGGGGGGGGGGGGGTGCGCGTTAATCACTGCGCCCTTTTTGGCGGTCAAACTTGATCTGTGGACTGATACCGCCACCCTACACGTGGCATTGTTTTGTTTGACGTACCCACGCTCCAAGTTCAGCGCTTACTGGCAGCCATGGTCTTCACCTTTCGTAAGATGCCCACGCGAAGCTCGCATTGCGAGCGCGCCATTGCTGTAATGTTACTGTAATTTCAAATTCAATTGGCACGGCACACCACTCTGAAGACACGGAGCTACATACTGGTTGTCGTCAAGTTCAAACTACTGTACATGTATCCATACACGAGTGTCGTTGTCTTTGCTTGAGATCTCAACTTGAGATCAATCGCTGTACTGTACCGTTGTTGAGCTTAGCTCCAGAGCCAGCGCAGTAAATGTTTGTACATTCTTGAAGATCGCGAGCTCCAGGGAAAGAGGAGACACGTCCTGCAGGGGGATGTACCATTGTCGTCGTTCATTTTCATCGTCTGACAGCGTGGCAGCGTGTTCACGCTTCTGTAGTTGTTGTCGCTCGTGTACATATGTACATACTGTACGCGGTGTGTCGTCTGTCGGTGCTGGTCCTCGTCACATGATGAACCATTGGAGCGTATCCTGGGTAACAACGCACTACAAAAACGGTATTGCTCTGCTCGTTGCCGCTACATGTACTTGAACGGGTCCGGAAACTAATGCAGTCTCGAGCGCGACGCAGGCGCGTGATGTGTTGCACTAGCCGCTACAGTGTCACAATACTTATCCACAGTCAACCGGCTCCGCCAAGCATCCGTAATACGGACCGTACGCCACGTCAGCGTGCTTCGTGAGGCTCAGGCAATATCTAACGGCGTGCACATGGATGGATACTGTAAGTCGAGTCATGCTCCAGTACATGCACACGTACAGCTATGTTTACCAAGTTCCCTACCTCTTATCGATCGCATCAACGGCCTCTCCGAGTGGATGCGCCCAGCAGGAGGGGGTGACAAAGTGTTTAGAGTCGCCACTAGTCTCATCGGACCAATTCGACTCGACTCGTACTTAGTACCACTTTGTCAAGTAGTTCACACTGGTAAACCGACACAGGGAGATCGCGATATTTTGCTGGAGCCGGGTCGTAGATGACAGTGCTTCATCCCTGCGATGTCTGAGAGTGCCATATTGGTTCAGCAGCGCTAGGATAAAATAAAAACGAATTATGAGTAAAATATACGATAATATGAGTAAAAACGAGTACTCCGTGAGTAAGTGTTGACCATGCTCACCCCAGCTAAAATTTGCAGCGCTTTAGCGAGCGAGCTGCTACACCGAAGTACTCTGTAAGAAAACTATCCATTTTCCTTAGTGGGTCGTTGCTGTAAGTTCATTCATCTGCATTTATATCAATTCTCAGGAAGGATCCCTTCGAAGCTGCTATCCTTATTGTCGCGTTTGCGTTGCAGCATGGCGCGGAAGTTCTTGGGAATGTCGTCCGGGTTGTGAATTCGACGCACGTCGGCCGCAGGGTCCAGCCGGTTGCGCACCGACGAGCGCTTCGGCAACAGCCCGCCCATAACTCGCTTCTCGCGAGGTCGGATGAGAGGCAGAGTGCGAGCTCCCATGCCTACACTGCTAGCAAGGGCCAGTGCCTCGGGAGTGCTCCCTCTTGACGATGTGGGATTAGCTGTCGACCCGGCAATTAGCTCATTGAGCGCTTGGTCGGCAACGCTCAGTGTCTGCAAGTTTGTATGCAGCTGTGGGACGGCCATTGACGAGTTCCCTTGGCCAGCGGAGAACAGAGAAGACAGCACGAGGGTTCGTCGACGCTGCGAAGGCGGAACTGAAGACGCATCGCTACGACGAGATCGATCGTTCCGGGAGGATTCAAGGAGTTTGAGCCGAACGGAGGAGATGGCTTCATTCAAAGGCTGAAAGTCGTGCTCTTTAGCCTCCGAATCGATCAGTGAGTACGTCTTCTTCTCGGGTTTGGTCTGAAATTGACAGTAACGGCATCGACCAAAGATCATCAGCGCCGAGGGTTTGAGCGGATTTACCAGCGAGGCTTAGAACGCACCGGATCAACGGGCCGCATCGCGATCGCACTAACGCGGAAAGGTGTCTCGCCATCCCTGAAAAGCAGGGATCAATCCACGTATCAGTCAGGACAAATTCGTCGTGACGTAGACAATAATCACAGAGTAAACTTACAAAAAGGAGCGCCCCACGAAGTACGACAACAATGCGTGCTTGGTCCAGCCAGCTTTCCGCACGAACTCGCTCAGGTCCAGTACTTTCAGCGCACCGAGCGGGTTGTTCGCGCTGCCGTCCCAGCACGAGATCTGCGGTCGAATACGCAAAACCACAACAAGAATTAGTAGTGGTCTGCATCGAAGTCCCCTGATGCAAACACATTACCTCGCCGCGCGTGACTTTTACGATTGTGATGAGATCTGTGACTTCACCGTTGACGTCTGCAATCTTCCGCTTCAGATACGACGGCGTTGCCAGTGTTCGGGGCTCACCGTTGTTGTTGCCTGGGCCAAACGGGCTGCTTCGTCGGCTCAGGATAGCGGCATTGCCCACCGTCGAGAGCGCCAAGCTCTTCCGGCCAATGCACCCTGAAAAAGACCCGTCTCCAGACAACTCACCGTCAGCGTCATCCAGCTTCTTGGACGCATTCTGCGCTGCAGCTCGCGAACGGTGACCTGACACGCATATCCAGACTTCACCCGGTTTAGGCATCGTGTCCTCTAGCAAGAAGTTCTCGCGGGGCTCCGACGTTGAGCCGTTCAGAGCGCTGATCGTGCAGTTCTTGATGAAGACTGCAGTCGGTGGGAGGAGGGCGTTGGCGAGCGTGTCTTCATTCTCCCCACCTTCGGCTGCATCATCCGCTTCACCTTCGTCCAGAGTCTCAAGCTCCTCTCGAATCACCGCTGACGACCTGACGGACAGAAACGATGACTGCCGTCGTCGAGGCAGCCACCCCCACTCACAGCTCGACTCAGATGACGCGTAGGTTGAAGGTCGACCGAGCTGCCAGGAGCGATGCCGACCTCCGAAGCTGCCTACCTGCAGGCCATCCAATGTCCAGAGACTCACTTCTCCATCCGCACACGAGAAGACCAGGAACAGCTCAGGTACTCGGGTCAGGTTCTCCACGAAGTCAGCACACAAGACTCGCCTACTCGGTGCCGACAGCGAGTTCGAGGCCCCCGCTTGGTTGTATGAGTTACCACTACCAAGACGCCACGTGCAGACCAACGCAAGCTCCACTCCTTCGTGATTTCGAGCCACGCGGAGCTCCCACACCTTCACGTAGCCAGCAGCGTCACCAGATACAAGATGGGTGTTCGCCTTATCACAGCGCAAGACGGTGACAGCCTCCAGATTCGTCGAGATTTGCGAACTTTGGCTCTGCACTGAGACGTCAAGAGGAATTTCAGCTTGCGTGGCCATGGACCGGTCGAAGCAGAGCAGGATGCCGCGCTCACCAGCAGCGAAGAGGAGCTCGAGCTTCTCTGCGTACCACAGCGACTCGATCGGCCCCGAGTTTTGATGCAGCGGCGCCACCAGTTCGCCCGAGTTGAGAGACCACAGAAGCACTAAACCATCCAGCCCTGCTGTCGCCACGTACGCGGGTGGGAGATACGCCAGCGCCAATACGTCCATGGTGTGATGCTGTCGCCTCCGACGACGCCTACCACGCCTTCCATGCCCTAATTCGTCCGGATCATGGTCGTCGTCGTCACCGTCACTGTCTGGTGGAAGGACGTGCACTGGTAAGGCCTCGGACTCGTCGTTCTTGTCGGCCCACACGTAGAGCTGGCGGTCCCAGCCGACAGAGCACACGAACCTTTGGCAGATAAAGTCCCCCATGCCTACACGAAGGTTGCGCTCGATGTCCATGATGTTGGTGACTTCATGCTGTCGATACTGGGAAGTCTCGGAGCCCCGTGCCGTTCGTGTGCCTCCGACAACGTGTGGTCGAGGTCTTGGACTTGGTCCTCTAGCTGAGTCTTGCAGGGGTTGACTAGCTTCAGGTCGTGGAGGCTGCACGGGTGGAACTGGAGTCGGATGATCCTGTCCATGCTGAAGACGTACGCGAGTCGGCGACGGAAGTTCTGCCTTGGCCATCAGCGCAGAATTGCCTCGTCGACCTTCGTGGTCCATGCCGAAGGACGCGGGTAGCAGCATGATGTCGCGAACTTTGCGCTTTCGAGGAGCTGCTGAAGCAACGGCAGCTTCTGCGCCGTTAGAGCCACCAGAGGGGTCGTCGGACAGAGCGGCTGAGCTCGCTACAGTTCCACCCGTTGCCTGTGTCGGCGTGAACAGCAGGGAGCTCACCACTGGGGGCTCTTTCTTGTGGAACTGCTTGACGAGCGCTCCGTTGCTGAAGTTCCACATCTTGAGCTGCTCGCCGTCGTGCGAACCCGTGAGAAGTCTCCTACCAGCATGGTCAAAGGCGATGCTCGTCACGGGGTTGGCGCCGTGCGCGTGCGTGAAGCTGGAGATCTCGTCCCCAGTCTCGGCACTCCAGGTCTTGATAGCAGACTCCGCGTCCATCGCAGCGGTCACCACTTGATGGAACACGTTGTTGTAGCACGCCAGCCGAATAGGTCGCTCCACTGGGACTCCTCCTCGCGCTTTAGTTTTCCTTGCAGCAGCTAAAGCCGCAGCAGGGCTCTCGTCCTCGTCAGCACCTTGGGAACCTGGCCCGCCTGCAGTTTTCACTGCCCAGCGAGTGAGTTGCGTCGTCGCAGTCATAAGACACGGTTGCTTGCCGTCAAAAAGCAGCGCGGACACGCGGTTCTCGGCGCTCAGACTCGCGGCAGCTCCACCAGAAGCGAACAACGACGCGGCAGCTCCTGCGCCTGCAGTGTGACCTGAAGCCCCGACACTCGCGACTGAACTGCCGCCTCGATGGCGATCTACGATGAAAGTCTGCAGACAGCGGTGGTTCCTCACGTCCCAGACTTTCACCGTGTTATCCGCAGCCGCCGACACGATTTGGAAATTGTCGTCGTCGCTCACGAGATGCAGCACCGAGCTAGTGTGGCCTTTTAGCGTAGCAACAGCGCGCTGCGAGCTGTACGGGTTCCAGATGTGAATGTCGCGTTCCATCCCGCAGCTAGCGATGAGCCGCGTACTAGCGCACCACGCCAGGTCGAAGACGCCCTTGCGGTGACGAGTATACTCGAACTTGACTACGAGTCGATCGACATCCAGGATCGACACTGTAGCGTCCAGCGAGGTTGCAACCACCGCGCGCATGTCGTGGACCCACTTGACGCGCGTGATCCAGTCCGTGTGCTTCTGGAACTTCACGCGCGATGAAAAGCCCTGCGCTTCGAGCACTGCACTGCCCGCCGGGTTGCCACCGCCGCCTCCGAGGCTGCTGGGATTGCTTGGAGTCGTAGTGGCTGCCATCTGACTCGTATTTCTAGCCTCCCCACTCCCTGCTGCTGTGGTCGAAGACCCTGACGGAGCTCCAGCGGGTCCTGTCGAGTTAGCATTCCCCGGATTTAAGCCGCTCGCTCCGTTGTTGTTGGCTCCGTTGCTAGAGCTCGACGCGGAGGCGCTCGCCCCAGGCGGAGGCGAACGGCCATCGCAAGCCAACCACTGGTCTGAACACGTAAGCACCGAAATGCCGCCTGTGTCGTCTCCAACTACTAGAGCTTCACGGTCATCTGACGGCTTCTCCACGTATGCGAGACACAGCGGGATACACTGCTTCCTTGAGTAGTCCACGAGGTCGCCGATGAGTTGGCCGGAGTTCAAGTCGTAGAAGCTCAGCGTGCGATTCATGGACGACACCGCCAGTCGATTGGAGCGCTTCATCACGCAGCAGTCTGTCAGCCAGTCCCGACCCGAAGCTAGAACTTGCTGCGGGGCGAGTGAGTTCGCGCTCCAAGTTCGAACGCTGCCGTCCTTGCTGGTCGTGAGGTAGACGCTGGGTCGCTCTAGCCGCACAATGCGAGTGATCACGTCCTTGTGGTGTAGTAGCAGTCCGAGTCCAAGCGCCCCGCCACTTCCTCCAGTCACATTCCCCATTGTATCCGTCGGAGCTGGCCCCGTGCCCCCGGGCCCATTGCCGCTGCCCATATCGCCCGTGAACTTCTCCGGATACGCCGTCTCATAGCAAGAATTGCCATCATCTCCTGTATATTCATCACTGCCGCTCCCACTGAGGAACATATACTACGCAAAGCAGCAGCATCAACGTTAGCAGGTGCTACAGTAGTGAAGACAGCAGGCAAGCGTTTTGCAACGCACATTGGTGAGTTCATCCCAGTCCACGGTCCCATCCGAGTTTGCATCGATCTTCTGGAACCTGACAAACAGCAAGAACAAGCGTGAGCGATGACTGCAATGACCAACCAGCAAGAACAAAGCCGACTTTGTCGCAACTTACAGCTCCGTGAGTTGGGTTTCGCTGAGCGACGCGTCCACGATCTCGCGAAAGAGGCTCACGAACTCCTTCTCATTCAGGTCCCCATCCGCAAACTTCTCCTTGAGCGACTGCAGCTGCTCGACGCCGATTTCATCGCGAGAGAAGACGGTGCCCGAGCGCTTTTTCGCACGAGGCAGCGCCATGCCAACGAGGCCCTACGAGGCGTAGCAGACTGCAGTAACTTGAGTATCGCGACCAAAATACTAGGAACATGAAACCGCAAGGTGATGACTTTGGTGCAGCAGAGCAGTGCACGACACGCTTCAACTTCATGCACTTCAACCGAGCTGCTGCTGCTGTCGGTACGGAGTTCATCGATCGATCTTTTGACAGCGCTCTCATCGTCCGTCCCAGCAGGACAATCGCCCACGATTGCGCCGCTGACAAACAGCTTTTCGCGCCGTTCACCGCGTGTTTTGTGTCCGGGCACTCGGCGCCATCTGTGCTAGACGAAGGTCGCGGCCTCCATCTGTCGCTTGGTGTTGAGCTGATCGCTGTGATCTCCATGTCCACATTGCGTGAGTGAGCGACGACTGACTGCAAGAGCTCTTCCGCAGCTTTTTAGTCGGCCTCTCCCGCGCTCGCCACGACGACACCGGAGCCTTCATATGGCGGACAGCGCTGTCGTCGTCTCCATTTCACACCACTACGCGCGTACAAAGCGCTGAAGTCGAAGCAGCGACGGCATTTCGACTGGAACAGCTGCAGTCCCCGCCTCAGTCTTCCGTGTGACCCGCAGCTCTCGGGACTTCGCTCCTGACTAACGGTGACCCTCGCCGTTGTGGTGGTGTTGGCCACCTTCGCCAGAGAGAGAAGCCTAGGATAGCAGTCGGTGTGGAGGATTCCCGGCCCGGCACGATACGGACGATCAGATCGCGACCAGCTCAAAATGCTCCAAAGGCTCGAGCCTTTTGGTGTCAAACGAGTGACCCCCATCCCGCAAGTCGATCCTGCCGGCCATCTGACTCAAGGTGCCCCGGTTGCTGCACCCCCGCGCTTCCTCTTCTTCGCGCTTTACATTCGGAACTGCAGAGGACAAATCCCGCGCTCGCATCTGCAGAGGCTCGAGGCATTTTGACGCCGTCATCTTTGCATTCGCCCCGTTCAGGAAGGTCTCCGTAAACAATGCCGGCGGCCCGGAGGTTCGGGACGCCTCGGAAGCGCGAGGAAGTGTACACGCCGACGACGGTGGAGGGCCCCAGCTCGGCGTCCGTCGCCATGATGAACGCGAGCTTCAGCTACGGCAGCGAGGAGAGCAGCGCCGCCTACGACTTGAGCAGCCAACGCAGCGACGACCCGATTTCGCGCCGACGCAAGGCCGCGACTGTCGAGGCCTTGAGGGAGTCGGCTCGGATGAGCGACAAGCGGCTGCACGAGCTGGCCGCTGCCGGCGTGTCCAGCGTCAACTGGGGCGAGCTCGACATGGAGCTGGCGGCCGCGAGTCTCAGCGAGAAGCACGACAGCGTCTGGAAGCGCAAGAAAACGCGGCGCGGATACTCGCACAGCGACGCCATGAAGCTCTTCACGCGCCTCACAGTGCGTGACCGTCGACACCAGACGCGGTGGGGGCCCAAGGGCTTCGCAGTGCTGGCCGAGGGGACTTTGAACTGCACCGTGCAGGAGCTTCGCCTCGTGTTTCGCGCCGCGTCCTCGGACATTTTCCAAGACATGATGCGGTGCATCTACCGCCGTGAGTTCGTCGAGGGCGAGCTGCTGCGTACCATCAAGATCCAACGCGGCGAGGGGAACCCGGCCAAGGCGTACGAGCACCGGGAGCTCACCGTCAAGACTGCGACCTTCGAGAGCGGCAAGTTATTCTCCAAGAACGAGGCCTGGTGCTTCTTGGAGATGCTGCAGCCGCGGGACCGGGCGAAGGAGGATCAGTCCGCGAGGAGGACGGCGTCGTCCACTGCGAGTGCCGTCAGCACGACGCCCCCGCCAGCGTTCACGAGGACTCTCGTGTCCATCGCGCGTTCCAGTGTCGTCTTGGATAACGTCTTCGCTCCGACGCCGCGCACGCCGCAGCACGAGCCAAACGTGGTCATCAACTATTCCTTTGAAGAAGACAGCAGCGGCCGCACCACGCGCGTGGTTTTCCACGGTGAATACTTGCCTCCGGACTCCCACGAAGCATTTAAACACGCTGGACACGAACGTCGACTAGCTCGAGTGTGGCTGCTGCGTCTCGCAGCGAGTTGCCATCGGTTCTTGCTGGTCGTAAGACGCCGTCGACTCGGAATGCAGGTGATCATCAGCAGCACGCGGCTGCCGCTCGAGACCGTCGCGAACGTCCCTCGCTGCGCCTGCTGTCGCCGCTCCTTCTCCAAGTTCTTCAAGCGCACAAGAAGACGCCTGTGCTGCTTGTGCGGCTTCCTTGTGTGTGATAAGTGTGCCCATGCCCAGGAGCGAGAGCACCGCGCGCGTGGCGACTCACGCCCACAGATCGAGCAGGTGCGCGTCTGCGAGCGCTGCATCATCCGCGTGGACCAGGCGAGATACACTGCAGTGACCGAGGAGGACCTGCGTCCAGCGCGAGTGATCTCCGACTCGAGCTCGCCGATTTCACGAGCCAACAGCACTCCAGGCGGCAGTCTCCGTGGCATCGGCTCGAGACGTATCAGACCCACGCTCAAGACTCGACCGGCATCTCTCAACGACTTGCTACTGGAAACTCTCGCAGACGCAACCGCGGGCGGTGAAGCCCAGCGAAAGCGTAAGGCGAGTGTACTCAGTGTCATGAAGGATATCGTTGACGAGGAGCGCGCGCGCAGACGAGCAAGCTCCGCCAGACACCGCAGTTCATCGGCAGATCCAACCAGGGGAACGGGTTTGCCGTTGCTTGGAGAGCGCAACGAAGACAGTGAAAACGACGACGAAGCAGAGGACCACAACGAAGGCGACGAGATGGATAGCGTCGAGCGTCTCAAGCAGCTGTGGGATGATACCCCACGCTGGGAGGACGACTACCCTCTCGCCAACGCCGACTCGAGAAGCTACCAGATCGAGTTCCCCGATGACCCGTCGGAAGTCATCATCCCCCCGATCCCAACCAACGAGTACGAGCGACTGAAACTCATCCGCGAGCAGCAGCTGAACGAACTGGGCGACGTGCCAGAGCTGGGGATCATTTGCTCGCTGGCGAAGAAGGAACTGAGCTGCGCCGTGAGTATGATCACCGTCGTGGACAAGGCCCAGCTGCACGTGCTGGCCTCCACTCACCCGGCAGTGCCTGGCGGTATGTCGGCGCCGAGAGAGCAGGGCTTCTGCACGCAAGTTATCCTGGACAAGAACCCCCTCGTGTCTCGCCACGTCCAGGCCGATGTGCGCTTCAGTGCCATGTCGACCGTGCGCAAGATGGGGATCAACTTCTACTGCGGATTCCCGTTGATGGGGTCGGACGGCAAGACGGTCATTGGATCCGTGTGCTGTGCTGACCCGCAGGCTCGTGACTTGACGCGGTCGCAGTATAAGGCCATGAGCAGCCTGGCCAGCACAGCATCGCGTGTGGTGCAGCGTGCTGCTGAGAACAAGGCAACGCGCGAACACTCCGTCGAATGCTGACGTCGAAGCACCTCCGCAGTCTGAAAAACTACTATAAGGAAGTACTACAAAATGAACAATCAGATAGAGGCAAGCAAACGTCATGGTCACGAAAGCTCATCGAATTGCATGTATCAAGTGAGTCCAAATCAAACAGAACGCGTATTGAACCGTGCAAGGTTACTTACTCGATGGAGTTCAGGTCTTTCAGCAGCACCAAAGCGTGTGTGGCTTCCAGGTTTTCACTCCACGAGTTCGTTTGGTCCTCAGAAACTTCACTGCTGCTGATCTCACTCGCCAAGGTTACGAACGACTGCATGATAGCAGTCGCCTTCTCCGGCAGCGACTCTCGGAACGCCTTCAAAACCATGTCGCCGTACGAAACAGTATTACGAGGAAAGCTGCCCGGGAGCGCCGTGATCTGCTGGAAGAAGAGCTGCAGGACCAAAGCTGCGATTTCCGCATACTCTTCACTGTGCTCAATCGGTTGTGCTGCCTTCTCGTCCAGCTCTGAAAGCGTGGCCTGTCGGTACCCGAAGATGACCTGGCGCTCCTTCTTGCGGTCCAACTTGCGAAGTGGCATACTGAGAACCTCTGCCAGCACCGGCACGTGAGCCATGAAATCGCTTAGTGACCGACGACCAGCAGTGGCAAGCGTCCACAGACGCACCAGGGCGCTCGCAGTGGATTGCGGGAGACTTGACTCGAGCACCTTCTTGTTCTCGTCACTCAAAGCAGTCAGGGGACCCGTGGCAGAGCTCGGCTTCTCCTCATTGCCAGCAGGAGTCGACAGAAGCGGAACGCCTTCCAGCTCCAAACTGTTGCTCTCAGCCACAAAGCTCGTGACAAGTGCCGCAAGCTCGACTGACGAGGATTCAAGCACGTGTGTCTCCACGAGAGCAAGCTGCTCCATCCCAGACGCATCCTTGGCATCCACGTGCATTGAAAGCTTGTTGAACCCCTTCTCAAGAACCAGCAACTTTGCGAGCAGCTCGTCGAAGCGGTCTTCGAACATCTTGCGCAGCTCGCGCAGTGACGCGGCATCGCCACGCAAAATGCTTGACAACGCCTTGGTCAGAGCAGTCGAATACACCTCGTCCAACTTGGGCTTAAGATATGCCACCATGCCGTCCATGAATTCATCGTCACCTTCTAGGTCCTCAACAACCGGGAACCACTTCACGAGAAGTTCAATCGTCTCCTCACGTGACGGCACAATAGAAAGCTGGGAGGGCGCCGACCTGCTCTCGTCATCTCCCCCAAGATCTGCACCGCGCTTAGACGCTCGCTTGCCCTTCTTCCCCTTGCCGGACTTTCCACCTTTACCACTGCTCTCTTCCTGGTCACGCTTGTTACCTCCCTTGCTGTGCTTACCCTTCTTTCCGCGCTTACCTCCAAAGTCCTCATCATCCGACTCATCTGCTTCGTCCACCTCTAGTCTAGTTTCCCGCGTGCTTGGAGCGTGGCCACTGCTCTTCTGCTGGGCGGTAGCACGCGAAGCTCTAGTCGTTGCGTCTTCCGCAAACTTCTCCATGCACAACGCGAAGAATCCAGAGCTGACAGCGTAGCTCTCAGCGATCTGGTAGGCCTTGGACACATGGCCCGACTTCTCCAAGGCCGGCGACATCGCCAGCAGCAGCCCCACATCCCCCGCAGGAAGCGCACTCGGCAGCAACAGGCGCACATCCACGAACGTGTTGTCATTCACCGCCGCCTCCACCGCGCCCTCCAGCTGCAGCTGCAGCGCTCTGCTCACCACGCTCTCCTGCAGCGGGACGGCGTCCGGGAACCTCTTCTTCAAGAAGTCATAGGGCCTCGCGACCTGCAGCTCCTTGGCGCGCGCGTGCTCCAGGTACCAATTCTGCTGGAAGAACGAGTACATGCTCTCCCTCTGCGCCGCCATGAACACGTAGGGCACGTACTCGCGTCCTCTGAGCGTGCCCATGAGCACCTTCGCCTGCATGAGCTCCCCCAGCGCCTCGGTGGCCACGGCTTCGTCAAAGCCGAAGGACCGGATCACGTCCGGCATAAATATCGGCCGCGTGACCGCCGCAAACACGCCGCGCACGCGCGCCTTCTGCGCCGCCACGTACGAGTCCGTGTACAGCACGTTGTCCCGCTCGCGCGCCTTCAAGATGCTGCCGAGACGCGCGCGCACCACGCCGCGCATGAAGTCCACGGCGAAGCCGAACTGCTGCGCCAGGTCCCCCACGGACGTCGTGCCGCTCTCCTGCAGCAGCACGTCCGTGTCCTCCATGATGCCGTCCAGGTACCAGCTCGTGAGCAGCTCCTCGCCGTCGTTGACCAGCGCGTAGCCGCCGCGGCCGCGGCACAGCGCGTGCGCCTGCCTCTCCACATGCGAGCGGTCCACGTCGATGAGCTTCTCCAGCTCCGTGAGGCTCAGGCGCCCGCCGTGCAGCGCCACGTAGTCGACCACCTCGCGCTGGATCTGCAGCGGCGTCAGGAACTGCTTGCCTGTGCGCGTGTGCACCACCTGCAGCTTGCCCAGCTGCTGGAGCTTGAGCAACAGGTCGATCACGTTGTGGTCCGACAGCTTGAGCGCCGCCTCCTGCTGCTGCACGGCGGCAAGCTGCTGCTGCAGCAGCGCGATCTCGTCCATTTTGGCCGTCGGGGAGAAAATGCGAAGTAAAACTATTTTAATAGAATCATTTATTATTAAATACAAGAGGTCCACTATTATATTTGGCAGTAAAACGTTTTGTGATGAAAGTTTTATACCTTGTAGATTTTGTAAATTGGTTTTTGCTGCAGTGCGAAAACATAAAAAACAAAATTTGCTGTACCGGTAACAACATCTGATTTACAAAAACCGAAAACAGAAAATGGAAAACTTTGAACGTTAGATCGTTTATATATACCTACAACTCCGATAATGTTTCTCTTTTTTTAAACCCATTTTCGGTTAAACAAACTACACTTGAAAAAGGAGTTTGTCCGATTCTTATCATGTATACCTCTTAAATTATTACCGATCACCTCCCTGATTTTTTCACATTTGTTTTCGAAAAACCATCTTTTTGATTGATTTCGCTCGATGTTATTTTTTAAAACCCATCTTTTGTACGTAGTATAGCAATATCTTTTATTAAAAAATATATTGTCTTATATAGAACGGGTCAAACAAAATGATGCTTACAAACCCATATCCTGCTACGTTATTAAATAATTTAGCCGGATACAGAAAACCATGCAAAGTTTAATAATATGACGTATCCTTAATTAATTTAATCAGCCAAACACTAAAATGAAATAGCTTTAGCTTCTATAATTTCGGCCTAAGCTATCTAAGCAACTCCGTTATTTTTGTGTGGTAATAACGCTTCTAACACATTTCATGCTTTATTAAGTAATCGATAATCAATACAGTTTTTTACTGTCGTTGTATTTAGTGTGCTAATTTTTAAGCCATGAACCGTACTCTATTATAGCGTTCTACATCCATTTTTCATCGTAACTAGTGCTCGTACTCCATGAAAAGTTGGAAAGATGAATGTGAGGCACTCAAATCGTATTTCGAAGCCGGTTTAACTAGGAAATGACATCTCAGACCGTGCCAAAAATGCTTATACGTACACGATGTATAAAACCCTACACTAAATATCATATGCGCAATACTGGGGACTGGTGGACCATCCAAGACTTACACCAATTCGTATTCGAGTACGATTTAGGTAGCGCTCGATAAGTCATACGAGTTACATTCACAATAAATTAAGGATAAAATACAAGTATATTCTCTTTTAACTCCTGTTTTCACTTCAAAATATCTTCGAGCGCGCGGGCGTAAAGTAAACCATGCCGCACACCAACGATGCAGCAACGCGGAGGGTCATGTGGAAGCGTAGGGTTAAGAGGAAGTTTCCTTAGACCGTGCGTGCGTTGGCGACTACATTTCCGAGGAGCAGAAGCCGCGCCACACCAAGATGGGTTTCGTCATAGACCGAAGCGGAGGCAGCTGCAAGGTTTACACCTGCGTTGACGCAGGATTCCGCTGGTCGAGAGTGGGCAAGACCGACATGTATAATCTCAACAAAAGCCTATTGGGTTTCAGCAAATAACATCGTTTTTTGTGTATTTGAGACAGTACATTGGTTCACAAATTGTCTTCAGCATGGTTTTTCGTGGTGGCGTACTAGTGTTGCCTGGATGCGAGTAGAAGGCGTTGAAGTATGGAGTTTGTTTGTACGAGGCCCTGGATTTCTCAGAAGACTTCAGATAAGGAGAAAATACACGTATATTCTCTTCACTTCGCAATATCTCTTAGACGGCCCAAGTCAAGCAACATCAAGCATCGCCATGCAGCACGACATGCCACAGCAAACTACGCCGACCAAGAGAAGGAGCATCTTTCCAAGTCGGAGCGCGATCAAGCCGTACGTCTCCAGCGTGGTGCGGCGACTCCACAGCAGCATAGCCTACCAGGAGCGTCGGAGCAGTGGAAAGTTCGTGGTTTACGCCTGCACCGAGTGCGGTGCAGAGAACCACTGGACGAAACTAACAACAGGTCACTTCAAGTTGACCGAATGCCCTCCAAGTACTGCTCATATTATATTGAAGATGATGTAAATTGGTCTTGTTCGTATTTACTAACCTCAACTATGTTAAGCTACACCAGGCAGGCGCTGCAGCGTCCAAGAGGAGCAAGAACCTGCAGCGGCTCCGTCCCCTGAAAGCTCAGGGCTGGATGCTCCTCTGCTTCAAGAAGCAGCTGCGTCTCCTGAAAGCGAAGGGCTGAAGGCTTCTCCAGTTCCGTCTCTTGAAAGCACAGGACTGGAGACTTCTCCAGATAACCAAGAACTCCAGCACCAGATCGAGCAGCAAGACCATCAAGCTACAGAGCTCCAGTCCAGCAACGACCAGCCTGCTCAAGAGAGATCGGTCGTTGAGGTAGGATTTGTCGACAAATTGGTGCTCTAATTTATTTCTTACTAACCTTACGTGATTTAGATGAATAACTGCGAACTGCTGGCCAAGATTGAGCAGCTTGAAAATTTAGTTACAGAGCTCCACGACCAGCATGTTCAAGATAGAGCGACCAACGACGCTGTCAAGGTCATATTTTTTTTGAAAATTTGTGCACATATCTACTTTCTAACTATTAACGTGCTAAGAGGAGAGCCGCGAGCTCCACGAATATATCGAGACTCTGGAGAGCCAAGTGGCAAGGCTCCAATCCAGTAACAACCGGCTCGCACAAGATAAATCGGCTGTGGAGGTAAAATTTGCTGAAAACGGTACTCTCTTTATTTTACTAACCGTTTTCATGATTTAGATATACCACCACGTGCAGCAGGCCAAGATTCGCCAACTGCAAGATCAAGTTGACCAGCTCATTTAAGATAAATCCGTCAACGACGCCGTCCAGGTAAGATTTGTTTGAAATGTTGTACACATCTATTTTTCTAATCATTAACGTGTTAGGAAGAGAACCGAGAGCTGCACAAAACGATCGAGGATCTGAAGAATCAAGTGGCAGGCCTCCAGTCGCGAACCGCCAGTCTTGTTCAAGACAACAAAGCCGCAAACAACACCATCCAGGTAACAGTTGCATGAAAATTTGTACACTTTAGGATTTTAGGAGCTGCCTGGATATGTCCGCATCCTCGCTCGAGCCCGCTCCGCCCCAGGTCAAGCCGGCAATCTCTCGTTTGGGAGTGACGGGCTAGATGTGACCCTGAAGGAGGGCGAAAAAGCTCGGTCGTTTGAGTTCGACCGGGTTTTCAGCCCGTCGTCGAATCAAGACGACGTCTTCGGTGAGGTGGCGGGGGTGGTGCAGTCCGCCGTCGACGGGCACAACGTGTCCATTTTGGCTTACGGGCAAACAGGATCCGGCAAAACCTATACGGTAAGTTTGCATGCATTTACATTGTCACAAAGTATTCTAACACTGGCGTCCATTTCTTCATCCCCAAAACGCACCCCAAAACCCCAAAAAAAACCAAACGTCAAACCTCATAATTAGGAGCCATGTACCTAACTTTTACTAAGACCCATTATATATCTAGCTAAGAGTAACCAGCCGCGCTGCGCTTGGCTGGGCGCCCCTTCGGCGCCCCCGCTGTTCGCTTTGCTCGCGATAAAAAGATTCTCTGAGTGCAGTGTTCGGCTCGCTGGAATGCTCGTCGCTGGGCCCGCCTCCGCAAATACCGCGCGGCCCTGCTTCGCGGGCACCCCGCGCGGGTTTGGTGCGGCTACGCTTCTCGCAACCGCTCACCTCCGTTGGTCGGGCGCTATCGCGCCTCTGGAATATTACACAAAAAATTAGCCTAATATTTAGTTACCCCAATACTAAGATTTTTTTTTTTTGGAGACAATTTGGGGGGGCGTTTAATTGAGATTTTGGGGAGTAACAAACAGTTTTTATTGAAAGACCCCAAAAAGTTTTGGGGGACTTTAGGGGACTTTGGGTACGTTGTGGGGATGAAGAAAATTCTCCCCTAACACTCATGTATTAATACATGAATGTTTCATTGTAGATGCTTGGAAATCTGGCCCGCAACGCGGAATAATTCCGCGTGCGCTGGAACTTATTTTTCAGCGAACTTCGGCTTTGACAGAAGAAGGCTGGACCCACCAAGTGGAAGTGTCGGCGCTCCAGGTCTACAATGAGACCATCCAAGATCTGCTGGTCTCCGGTGGCGCCAACTTGGAGCTTCGGATGGCGAGCAAGATCAGCGTCCAAGGCCTCTCGAGTGCTCTGGTGAGTAACATCGATGATGTTCAAGAACTGCTCGCCCGAGCGTCCAAGAACCGCCGCACCGCGAAGACTGCACTGAACCTGATGTCGTCGCGGTCGCACTTCGTGTTGAAGGTACGAATTGTTGGTTCCCACGCCAGCTCTCGAGATCGCTCTGATGGCCTCCTTCATTTGGTCGACCTCGCTGGGAGTGAGCCCGTTGATCGCTCCGGCGTCACAGGTGACCGGATGAAGGAGGCTCAGGCTATCAACAGGAGCTTGAGTGCTCTCATTGGCGTGTTCAACGCGATCGACCAAGACCACAAGCATGTACGTACACCAAGATTTTTGTTATTGCTTTCAACTCATCTTCTAACCTGCTTATTGTTTTGTTTGGCGCCAGGTCCCTTATCGCGACTCCAAGCTCACGTCCCTGCTGCAGCCTTGCTTCTCGAGCGCAGGCAACGTGCAAATGCGCTGCGCTTTGCTGCGAGCCTCAAGACGTGCGTGCTCGGAAAGCCGAAGAAGCTCCTGCAGCGTCACGCTATTCAGGCGTAAGCAGCCCAAGATGATCGCTAGCTAGCTTAAGATTAAGATTCAGATGAAGATTTTGCTTTCATCATGTTCTTCATCTCGCTACCGTAGTGCCACCCTGAGCATCCGAAGGTCTCGCTAGCCTTCCCTACAAGCTCGTAACCACCAAAGTTGCTGGCGAGCTCGATCGTCTACCTGCCGTCTTCGATGCCTTTGACGAGGGTCACCTGCTGCTGCTTGTCATCGTCGGCAACCACCGTGGATGTCTGCACCACTGCCGACTCCAGCAGTGCTGGCTCAAAGCGAGGACGCCTCGCACCATCGTCATCAGGAATGGGGTCGAGCTCCTCCGCGATTTCCAGCTCAATCTCCTCCATGCACCGCTGTCAGCACGTTGTCGTCGTCCGTCGACGTCAAAAGCTTGATTCCTTCGTCGATCTAAACTACCTTCACCTGGTCATGAGGTCATGGATATTCGGGCTGAGCTCTTGAGCGGCAAGATCAAAAGCAGAAACTGTGGCTTCCCTTCAATGTGTGGGTCTTCTTCATGCTGCGCACCCAAGTGACAATACAACACCAAGCGCCCGTTGAACAGGCATGACATTCGTCAGTCGCTCTAATGGCGACTTCGTAGCCCTGTTCAAAAGCTGACTTCTTCACTAGGACGTTGTTATTGTTGGGTAAGTTTGCGAAGTCATCGCTCTTGAAGCCCCCAAAATACGTTCGCTATCTTGCTGCTGGTAGCTGCCTTAGTTGGTAGCAGGATCGCCTTATCATCATGCCACTCCAGCGTGACGACACAGGGAATTTCGTCGGGGCTTTTCAATCACCTGCTGGGCCGCACGCTGCTGCAAGACCCTCTCGTACGCCGCCATGATCACCTTGCGGTCAGCAGCTTCCTCCTGCGCCGACGACCAGAACTTCGGCTTCTCGACCACTAGCGCAACTCTGCTCGTCAATCTCGACAAGACGGACCTGGGGGCTTGAGGCACCGACTGGCTCGATTCGTGCGACGCGAACGACACGAGAGCCCTGCGAATCGATTCCAAGCCGTGTGTTGGCTTGACATCTTCCGGTTCTTCATCATCCGCGAAGTCCCGAAGCGAGTACTTGGCAGGTCGACGACCGTCGTAGTACAGCGGCTTATATGACACGTCGTCCGTGTCGTCGTGACTGCGGAGCGGCTGGATGGCAATGTACGCGTCAAACGACAGCTTCAGCTCCAAGCGGAGGTCGTATATGCGAGCCACCTTGTTCTCATCCACATCGCAGCGCATCGCTCGGAGCGGCAGGTTCATGTAGAAGGTGTCGACAGCCTTCTCGAGAGCTTCCTCAGGTTTGAAGGTCTTGGCAGCCTCTTGAGCCTTGTCTCGGAGCTCAGGCTGCAAAATGTGCTGAAAAGACGATACCAACGACTCGGCGGTGCACGTTCTCAGATCAATAGGCGGGATACCAACACCCGCCGACACGCACATGCAGGCGGCGTAGTACTGCGACGACAAGCTGACGCAGATTCCAACGGGCTTGCCGGCCGCGAGTCCCTCTTCCACGATAGCGGGCTCACCCCAGTGAATGGTGGCCGCCACCTTGCGAAGGATCAGCGAATACGGGAAGTCGCTCTCCACTTCGTAAATATTCTCCGAGTGATACAGCGCGTGATCTGCTCTCCCCTCTCGAGCTTGGAAAATAATCTTCACCTTGGCCTCCTCGGCTGCCTCGTCGATCATCTGTAGCAGCCGATCGATATCAACCGATGCCAGGCAGTACGTGGAGACGCCGAAGTAGATAACAGGATCCCGGGTAGCAAGCGTGAAATCGTTGAGCGATCGACTCCACTTGAACTTGCGCATCTTGGCCATTTCACGCTCGTCCTTCAGCGTAACGTAGCCTGCCACCGTCAGCTCACGCCCCCAGTCAACTGGCCTCTGCAGCAGTTTAGGATTCCACAGATACACGTGTGGGATCTTCCATTCAACCAGAGGGCTGGCCTGGTTGCAGCGACCAGTTAAGCCAATGTGCTCTCGAAAATCGTCCACAATATCCTCCACTCCTCGCCACAATACAGTATCCACGACGCCGTAAGACAGCCAATTCGTCTTCTTGAACTCACGCCCCAGTTGGCTGATATCGTCCATGAAAGTTGCGCTCAGCACGTGGGGCATGGCAAATGTCGGCGACAAAGGCACCAAGCTAAAACACTGTAGCGGAATGCCCAACCGTTCCGCGACGTGAACATGGCCGAACAGCAGCGGGTGCCACAGCAGCACATCCGCTCGGAAGTGCTCTCCGGGGATATCTTGCCCGCCTCCGTGAGGATCAGCTCCGTTCGCTGCAGGCCACAGGGAGTAGACCAGGTCTTTGAAGGGGCCTAGCACCGGACGCCCTGCCCTGTGTCGCTGAATCGGGTTCGCGTCCTTCGTGTCGTGCAGGTACTTGATGAAGTCGTGGAAATTCTTGATGGCTCCGGCCAGTGGGTAGAACTCGAGCCCACGCCCCGTGATGTCAGCCCGGAATTCTTCATGAGCCGCAATCCGAACTCGATGGCCGTCGGCTGCCATCCGCACACCGATAGCAACAAGTTGTTTGACGTTGTTGTCCCAAGTTCCAATGGTTGCGAGACAGATATTCATCGGCGGCACTGTGGTCCCCACGAAATTCTTGAGGATCCGCTCCGACTTGACCTTCTGCAGCTTGGAATACTGACGCCACTCCTCAAGCTTCGCCTCACTGATCGTGTCCGGCACTTTACTTCCAACGTTGAAGTTCAAACCGATGTTGCCGCTTGCAGTGAAGTCAACGGAAATGATCGAGATGCCCTCCCGTGGCGAAGACTCTTCGCTTTCTGCTCCGGATGAGGAGGACGAAGAGTGCGAGCTCCGCTGGATGCGATCAAGAGACTTGCGCTCGGTCTCCTTTTCGCTCATGATCTCGCGGAATCGCGCCTGGTACTTGAGCTTGTCCTCATCGGTGACGTCCAGCTCGACCTTTCTCCGAACTTCCTTCTTGGGGCCAATTGATCGGTGGGTTTCAAGCTCGTCGGAGTTGCCTCCCAACGTGTAGGAATCGTTCAGTCCATTCTCCTTCCCTAGAGCCGCCATGAACGTCTTGTCAAACACACTTCCACGCTTGCGACGACCAGTTTCATTGAAATAATTAGCGTGACCTGCGGCGATATGATCCGCAAACAACGCGACACCATGCACGGGACGGATCACCAGTCCACTCACGCCCTTCACCACTCCAATCACAGCTCCCTTGGGGCCTTCCTCGCGGAATCCCTTCGCAGGCTTCACAATCACATCTTTGAAGGCGCCACCCAGCTCATGGAAGAACGCGGCAGCACCTGACGAAGCCCCAGCAAAACCATCAGAGGGGCCTCGAGCCGTGTAGTCCACGAAGTGATAGTCTACCACCCTCCGGCCGATATTCTCCGGTTGAGACGCCACCACGAAATCGCACACCTCACAGAGCTTCAGCTTGCGACGCTGACACCACCTCGTTGCCACTCGTACATGATCCAAATCACAGCGCATGTTCTCCACTGGCAAGTGACGGTAAAAGCAGCGGACCGCTTGCTCCGCGCCGTCCTCCTGCTGCATATTCTGCTGGGTGGCCACTGCGCAGTTGCGCAGCTCCTCGCTCTGCAGCTCTTCAAACGCGGCACGAAGCTTCTCCGTCGTCAGCTCCTCGATTGGGCACGGGGTCACACCAACACCAGCTCGTGACACCGCCCAGCCCCAAAAATGCTGGTCTCCAAAGAACGGCACGATGAACGTGGGCTTCCCCGCCAACAGACCCGCTGCAGTCGTGCCAGCGCCTCCGTGATGCACCACAGCACTCACACGCGGCATCAACCAGTCGTGCGGGCAGTTCCCCAGGAAGAAAATGTTGTCGGGGATCACCAGGTCTCCAGCCATGTCACTCCAGCTCGACTGAATCAACACGCGCGCGTTCGCCTGCTTCGCAGCTTCAATGATCATCTTAGTCGTCGCGCGCGGGTCGTCCAGCACCATGGACCCAAAGCCAACGAAGATCGGACCGCCGTCACTGCCCAGAAAGTCCTCCAACTCTGGCGAAGGCGTGTACGTCGACGCCGTCCCCTTCAAGGTCACAGTACCCACGACATCGTAGAGGTCGCCCCAGTCTTTGGGCTTCGGCACGAGCTCCGAACTCCACATGAACGCGTGCGGGATGTGCAAGTCCAGGAGAATGTCGCGGCCTCCGTCGCCCTTGCGGATCTTGCGCAGCCCCAGAACTTCCGTGCGGAACTCGTTCACCAGGCCTTCCGTCCCCTGCCACATCAGTAGATCCACGAGCTTGTACGACAGGTAGTTCCTCTTCTGCTTCTTGCCGGTGTACGGCATGTTGGCCAACGGATGCGGAAACGCCGTCGTGGGCACCCACGGCTGCGGGAACATGATGTGCAGCGGCACTCCAAGCCGCTCGGCCACATGAATATGGCCGTAGGTGACGGGGTTGGAGATGATGGCCTGCACTCTGAAGGGTTTGCCACGCACGCCGGGGCCGCCTCCTTCCGGGTCAGCGGCCGACACTGCGGGCCACGTGGAGTGGAGGATCTCCTCGATCATCTGCATGTTGCGCGGCACGTCCTTCTGCAGCGTCTCGATCTTGGTGGGGATGAGGTGGCCGCCGGTCTTGACCATGTAGGTGGCCAGCTCCTTGGGGTCTCCACCCAGCGGGTAGAATTCTACCCCGTGGCTGGTCACAAAGTCTCTGTAGATGGCGTGCGTGGCCAGCCGCACGCGGTGTCCGTCCCTCTGCAGGCGCTGGGCGATGGCCAGGAACGGCTGCACGTCGCCCCTGGTGCCCACGATCATGATGCAGACGTTGAGCACGGGCGGCAGCGCGTCGCCCTCGAGCGGCGTGAGGTCGTCGTCGCTCTCCACTGTGGTGTGCGACCGCCGGCGCAGTGCGTCCAGGTCGATCTCCTCCTCCTCGGCCACGTCCAGCCGGATGCGGCCGTCGGGTCCGTGCACTGCGATGCCCGCCGTGCGCACGTCCTCCAGCGCGCTCTGCACGGGGGACGGCGGCGCGATCGCCAGCGTCGTCGACTCCTTGTGGAACGCCGCGCGGAAGCGCTGGTTCCACGCGTGGAACTTGCACTCGTGCGGCATCGAGCGTCCGAGGCTTGACTGGACTTGAGGGTGGTTAGTCGAGGAGAGTGGAAGTGAAAATGCGGCACTGCCCTGTGGCCTAATCAAAACGAGGGTTGACGCGGATTCCATTGAGATGGGCGCTGGGCCCGTAATATGGCTACACTGCAATGACTGCATGACTTTGAGTGATCGAGTCGATTCTCTGCCTTGGTCTATACTAACTAGCATCCTGCTGCCCAGCTCATGCTTGGCTTGACTCGACTCGAGTGACTCGAGTTGAGTCAGCTCACCTGACGGGCACGACGTCCCAGGACGTGAAGCACGAGAGCAGCAGGAACTGGCTGATGTCCCTCACCACGCCGCCGATGTGGTTCATGCACGCGATGGCCCAGCCCACCTCTTGCAGGATTACGGCAGCGCCTGGGGCTGACGGCCCGCATGTGAAGCGCGTGATGCTCGCCAGCTCCTGGCCTCGCGCCGCGTAGTCCACGGATCGGTACTCGACTTCGTCCTTGCAGTCGCTGCCGGGACACGAGCGCCTCGCAGCGCTGCAGCGCTCGCAGAACTTGACTCTGTCGCGTCGACTCCACTTGGTGGCCATGCCTTCATGGTCCAGGTCGCACCTCATGCGCCGCAGCGGCAGGTGTCGGTAGAAGCTCTTCACTGCCTCCTCGGCGCCATCCTCGCCCTGCATCCTCTTCTGGAGTCTCTGCGCGCGGTTGCGCAGGAAAGGGCTCTGCAGCTCCTCAAACGCAGCACGGAGCTTCTTCGTCGTCAGCTCATGGATCGGGCAGGGGTCCACACCTACGCCAGCTTTCACGACAGCGCGGCCCCAGAACGGTTGGTCTCCGAAGAACGGCACGATGAACGTAGGCTTACCAGCCAGGAGACCACCGGCAGTAGTGCCAGCACCGCCGTGGTGCACGACCGCGGAGCATCGAGGCAACAGCCAATCGTGCGGGCAGTTCCCGATGAAGAAGACGTTGTCGGGGATATCGAGGTCACCAGCCATGTCCGTCCAGCTGGATTGGATCAGCACTCGGACGTTCGCTTGCTTCGCTGCTTCGATGATCATCTGCGTCGTGGCGCGTGGGTCTTCCAGCACCATCGATCCGAACCCGACGAAGATGGGTCCTCCGTCGTCGAGGAACGCCTCCAGCTCCGGTGACGGCGTGTACGATGAGTCTTCGCCTTTGAGCGTGACGGTGCCAACGACGTCGTACAAGTCGCCCCAGTCGAAAGGTTTGGGCACGAGCGCCGGACTCCACATGAACGAGTGCGGGATATCCAGATCCAGCAACATTTCTCGCCCTCGACCGCCCTTTCGGATGCGTGGTAGACCCAGCACGTCGCTTCTAAAGGTGTTCACGATGCGCTCCGTGCCCTCCCACATCAATAGATCCACGAGCTTGTACGACAGATAATTTCTCCGCTGCGGTTTGTCCTGGTACGGCAGGTTCGACATCGGGTGGGGAAACGCCACCGTGGGCACCCACGGCTGCGGGAACATGATATGCAGCGGCACGCCGAGCTTCTCTGCAACGTGAATGTGTCCGTAGGTGACTGGGTTGGAAATGATGGCTTGCGCACGAAACGGTTGACCAGGGACGCCCGGCGCCTTGCCGTCCGGATCGGGGGCCGACACGGCGGGCCACGTCGACTGCAAGATCTCCTCCAGCATCTGCATCTGCCTCGGGACGTCCTTCTGCAGCGTCTCCAGCTTGAGCGGCGGGATGAGTCGCCCTCCGGTCTTCACCATGTACGCCGCGAGCTCCTTCGGGTCGCCACCCAGCGGGTAGAACTCGACGCCGCGGCTGGTCACGAACTCGCGGTAGATGGTGTGCGTGGCGAGCCGCACGCGGTGTCCGTCCTGCTGCAGGCGTTTCGCGATGGCGAGGAACGGCTGCACGTCGCCTCTGGTGCCGACGATCATGATGCAGATCTGCATGGCCGGCGGCCGCACCACCACGCCCTGGTTGTTGCCGACATGGATCTTAGCATTGGCCTTGGCTCCAATTGGTGCGAGCTGCTTGCGGTTGCTGTTCGCCTCCAAGTGGCAATCCGACAGCGTCTGGCTGCGAGGTCGAGAGCACCTCCTCCTCAGCGTTGAGCGCTCCCCTGGCCCTTCCTCCTCGGACGAGTATCCGTCCTCGATCTCGGACGCGGTCTCGTCCATGCTCTTGCCTCGCAGTCGCTCGGGGGAGGTGCTCGCCTCTTTTGCATCCTGTTCAACTTGCTGTTCGCGCTGGGCCGCGTGTGCGTGCCACGTGAACAGGTCCCGGAGCTGCTCGTGCCAGGCCTGGAAGAGCTGGTCCAGCTGCTGCAGCCGCTCGAAGAGCACGGGCCACGCGGCGGCGCCGCTGCTGCTCTGCGTGGGCTTGCGGATGATCGGCGAGCTGTGCACGGGCGGCGCGTTCTCCAGCCGCCAGAAGAGCGCGCGGAAGAACTGGTTCGAGTCCTGCAGCGACGAGAGCGTTAGTGGGTACAGTCGTGAGGTTTGTGTGGCGTGGTGGCTGCCAGCAACGTACTGCGAAGCCCCATGTCTCGGAGCCGGCCGTGGCCACCATCGTTCGCTGTGGCTTGCGCGTTGATCCGCAGATTTGAGACTGAGAGCAGGGCGGTGATAACTCACGTCTAGCGGCGATGCCCTTTCGTATCCAGCGGAGAAAAACGGGGGCAGAGACGAAGCCCGCAATTTTGACGGCGATGGCGATGCAGCTCTCCTCTTTGACGGCGTCATGCTGTGTGCACTATCCAGGGGCAACTGACAGGGCCTGCCCTCGATTTGCATGGAGTTTCCAGGCGACGGAGGTGGTGGTTGGCGCTGGGTGGTTATTTGGGCCTGCAGTGCGAGGGTCTCCGGAATTTCGGACGCGTTGACGCAGAGCTGGCCGCGCTTGCTGATGGCGGGGCTTTGCTTACTCGGTTGCTTGCTTGATGGCTCAAGGATATCATGTTGAAGGGTCACGAGTGCCCCCAGATGCAGGCAAGATCCCCACATGCTCGTGCCGCGCAAGTTTTGAATTTGAATTGACAAGCGACGCCCCAGGATCCCGCCATCAGGCAAGTGCTAGCATAACGGCTGAGTGCATCCCTTTGCGGTTTCCTGGAGCTTTCTGCCACACCACATCGGCATCATGGAGGAGGCATGAGCGAAGTGATCGAACACAACAAGCAAAGGTGTTAAGAGCCAAAAGTAATTAAACTTTAGTCGCTATGAATGCATCGAGCCTTATAAACGGCCGTGAGAAAGCAAAAGCAAAGAGCTTGAAAACTCGGGAGATCGGTTCAGCAACATCAGCAGCACCAGGAAGGAGGAGAAGATGATGATGAGAGGAGGAAGACCACGTCGAAGTGATCTCGACAGCGAGAGACGAGCGACACGACCAGCACAGCAGCACGAACCCGCATCCAAAGCTAGGCAGCAGCATCTCAGCCACTTCAAACGCGAACTAACCCGACCCAAAAAAACCTTCACAGGTCGTCGTGGATGCGGGTCGCGTGCCTCCACTCGTCTCACTCGTCGTCCTCGTCGTAGTCGTGGGCCTTGTTGTCCGCCTTCTTGGCGAAGCCCTTGATCTTGTCGGCCCACGAGTCGGCCGTCTCCTGCACCTTGGACGACATGTCCGAGGCCTTGCTCTTCATCTTGCCCTTCGCCTCTTCCTTCTCCTCGCGCGCGCGGTCCCGCGCCTTGCGCGCACGGGCCTTGGCATCGCCCGCCACCTCGTCCGACTTCTCCTTGGTGCGGTCCATCCAGTCGTAGTCGTCGTCGTCGTTACGGGAGCGGCTTGAGCGCTTACGCTTCTCCTGCTCCTGGCGGCGGCGCATCGCATCCTTCACAACAACAACAACAACAGTCAGCCTCTCACCAGCCTCTACCATAGCAACGAGCAGCCGATCTTACCTGCACACACTGCCGGTAGTCCTGCGTCTCCTGCTCGCAGTCGGCGCGGTCGAAGGAGCCGCCCCAGAGCTTCTGGAACCAGTCGCCGTAGCAGGCCTTCACGCGCTCCTTCTGCTCCTCACACTCGGCGAACGCGTCCATCTTCATCATGCGCAGCACAGCGAACAATCGGCAATGAGCAACGGGGGCAACGCGCAGCGAAGCGACGAGGGCGGAGAACCGGCGCCATCTTCACGGCGGGGACGCGGCGCCAAGTGTCGCGCGCATCGGCACCGTTCGTAGCAAACTTCAAAATGCGCCGCTCACCTTTCTTCGGCGACAACTTATACTGGCAGTCACACGGCGAAGGCTCGGAATTCGACCGACGAGACCGTATCCCCCTGCAAAGTCACTGATGCGACAGTTGGGGCAGCCTGTATCGCCTTTCGCGGGGGTCTGGGCGGGACACAATAGCAGAGCACTCGGTTTGGCTATGTCGGCCGGCGTGACTTGCGCCCAGTATGCTCGAGGAAGGCGCCCCCTACCGCGCGGGACAGCGCCCAGTCCCGGTGCTTCTTTGCTGCCCACAGTCAAGCCAGCGAGACCCAAGGCTCAAGCGCAACACCGGGCGCTTCTGCTCTTATTCGAGAGATCTCTCGCCGTCGTCTCCGCCTCCAGTCGCCTGGGCCGACCGACCGATCGACCGCCAGCTAGCTAGCAGGCACCTCTCGTATCACACAGCCACAGCACACACACACGCAGCGACTGAGTGCAGGATGCCTCCGATCGGCAGCAGCTTCCGCAGCATCATGCGCGGCAACTCGTCGTCCGAGTCGTCGACGCTGTCGGACGAGAACGAGATCCAAATGCAGGGCTGGATGCGGAAACAGAAGGAGACGCTGCGCTCGTGGGCGCGGCGGTACTTCACGCTCAACGGCAAGGTGCTGACCTACTACGACAGCGAGGACACGAGTCGCGGCGCGCGCGGCGTGCTCGAGTTCGTGGACGTGACGGCGCTCACGACGGAGAACAACGGGCTGTCGCTGCACCTGGTGAACGGCAAGGAGGTGCGGCTCATCGCCGATACGCACGTGGCCTACGCGGCCTGGATGGCGGTGCTCTCGGCCGCCGTCAAGAAGCCGCGCACCAGCAAGAACCGCACCAGCAAGGAGGGCTGGGCGCACTGCCTCACGGACGACGACGTCTGGACGCGCTTCTTCGTCGTCATCAAGCACGACAGCTTCAGCTGCTACGAGTCGGAGGACGACGACGCCGAGCTCGCGCTCTCGGGGCTCATCCGCGCCGTGGACGAGTGGGACGGCAAGCGCTTCGGCATCGTCTGCTCGCTGAACCGAAGCCGAACCATCAAGCTGTGCTTCGACTCGGCCGAGGAGAAGATGTCGTGGTTCCTCACGCTCGAGTTCTCGGTCTCGTACGGCGCCGCGCGCATGAAGAAGGAGGCGTCCATCAAGAGCAACAGCAGCGACCACAATCCCGTGCTGCGCGCAGACTCGTCCAAGTCGGACGTCGGCGGCGCGGCTGCTGAGGAGGACGACGGCGTATGGATCTAGATGGGATCTAGTGCTGTTGCTTGCTGGCGCGTTGGAGGAAGACGTGCGCGGGACGGAGGGGGGATCGAACGGGGCGGAGCGACGGAGCTGCTCGAGGCGCTTTGCCCACGTTGGAGACCCTGCGTCCTCGAGAGGAAAAGATGAGGCCCACCCTCATGGGCACGCAGCTCGAGTAAATATTGCCACCGAAGGCTGCGACGACGAGTTTGTGTGGTCGCGCTTGCGGTCATTTTCTTTTTTTGGTAGTGCTGCTGCGAGAACGCTGTAAAAGGAGAGAAGACGTTCATTTCGATGTAAAGATCAATAAATGAAAGTATACCTAGCCAGCTGGCAGCAAGGTGTCCATGGACTCGATCGCGAGGTGTTGCTTGCCAGGGATCTTCCGCTGATTACGGCGAAAGGCTTGAGGCGACCTGATACATGAAAACCTTGATCCTTGCAAAGCACTCAACGATCCTCAACTCGATCGGCGTTTGCGAGCGTCAGCTGCTGACGAGCTGCCGTCTGGCAGCTGACCCGGTTCTGGGTTGACTCCAATGCAAGCGGGACTTCCAGGGCAAACTGCTGAATCTTGCGCACGTTCACGTAGCTTGGCACCGTCATCCTCTTGCGCGTTGCGTTCAGATACCTTTGGTATTTAAATGTGGCGAATCTGTCTGGTGGGAGCACGAAGTACAGCCGCGGCACTGCAGGGTTTCCCAGAAGCTTTAAAACAGTGTGCTGCTTGCAGGGGTGTTTGTGCACCAGTCACTTGGAACAGGATATCAGGCTTAATAATTGCATCGACCGACTGGTAGTTCTTCGCTGCTGGCTGCAGGTTACTCGTGTTAGCAGCAGCGACCACTTCAGTGTCTTGAGTGAAGACAACAACTTGCTTGGATTCGTTCAAGGAAATGACCGAACCATCTGCATTCATGTCAACATCCTCGTCATTGTCAACATCCTCGTCATTGTCAACATCCTCGTCATTGTCAACATCCTCGTCTTCGCCGTCCCATTCATCTTCCACGAGATCATCGCCATCATCGTCACCCTCGTCGTTGTCGACCAGACGCCGGACTGGAAACACTCCACCCCGCGGTAGCAACAAGTGGCCACGAAGCACAGCAAGTGCACCGACACCATCCGAGGCAGCAATGAACTCGAGCAGTTTCCGCTTGTCTTTTTGGTACAGACGTCTGTAGACCGTTTGCTGAACGTATTGCGATGCGAAGACGAAGTACTCATTGTCAAATTTTTTGTTGACACGATAATGCAGCAATCGATGCGATACTTCAGCATCTTTTGCTTCCACTTGGCCACAAGCGTTCACCAATAAGTCGAGATCAGCGCTGTCAATCGCTGTTCCAAGCAACGCCTGCTGGTTATCAACTTGAGCATATCGCAAGACGTAACGAGCAGTGCCACCCCATCGACGAAAGCAATCCTGCACGACTGCCACTGGTGTATCCGCGTACATCAGCTCACGACATTGCAGAATCTCCTCGATGGACCACACCGGCATGTAACAGGACTGGCAATTCGTCTTGTTGAACTCATACCAGATTGAGCGTCGCGGTGGTGTCACAAGAATAGTCTTCGCTTTGAAATATGTAGGCTTGACGGCATCCACGATGTAATATGTTGTCGACCGGTCGAGAATGGGAGCAAAGTCCTCCTGTGATCCTTGAGCCACCACATCGCGAGAAAACAAAAAACGCCTCTTGAGAATACCATTCTCATACACCACCGTCGCACCAGCATGCGCAAGTAGAAGCAAGATCACGAAGCCAAAAAACGTTTTGCCAATTCCTGGGTTGCCGAGGATCACAAGGTGCGGTGTTTTCTCCACTTCGTCATGGATCCTCTGCTGACATAGCTTCCATAGCTTAGGGTAGCAAGACCGAATGTAGATACGAGAGCCAAGTAACTCATCACCAAGAAGATACGTGCCTTCGGGTAACTTGATCAAAGCTCCAGCTTTCACCTCAGTACGATCGCTCACAAGTGCTTTCCAAAACGCCACCAACGGTGCCGGATTCAACACAGCATGTTTCGTGACCGGGATAGATACATCGCCCACGACAAATTGACGATCTCCAGGAAGCGCAGGCAGCTTCGAATCTCGGAGCTTCACCAGCACGTGAATTTCTTTGCGTCCAGGCTGAAAGTTCGATCCAAAGTAGTCTTCATCGAGAAAAGACGAAGAAAGCATCTTGTCATAACTACTGTCGACGTCTCCTAGCAAAAAGCTTTCCGTATTGTGGTCGTGCTTCATCCACTCGGGTTTCCCCTCCCCCTTCTTCCGCGCCAAGTACAGCGTCAGCAACCTTGGAGGGATAGGATTCTTCTCAGTGCTCAAGATGCCAGCGATCTTCTTCTGTAGCGCCTCCACATCCGCGTCGAGCTCGATGTCAATGGAGAATACACTCCCTTCAGTGTACACACCGCAGCGCAGCGTCACCTTCACCATGATCTTCGCCAGGAAAGTTCTCGACTACTGGTGAGAAGCTACACAAGTCTTCCTGGGGCCTGTTACTCCGATTTAGTAAGTTCTTATACACTCCTTTTTATTATTACTTGCTACTTAAGTACATCAATTCTGCGAAAACAGTCCTAGCATCCATGGGTCCTTAGAGCGATGTCCAAGTAAAACGTCGATCGATTATTTGGACCTGTTAGGACACCTTATTAACAGTAGTTGGGCCTATTACAGAACTCCCCTGCTTACCCCTCGCCTGCATAAAGTTTGGTACCTCGCACAGATAGTACAAATCACTGTTGTCAGCATCCATGCACATCCGTGCATAAATTCACCATATACTGATTTAACTGAAAATGGAGGGAAAGTGTCGAGTGCGGGAAGCTTACACAATAGCTATGCGCCGCAATGTTGTAATAAATCAGTATGTTTAGCCTCCTTTGCAATTTTATTAACCTTGCAAGATTTATTGGTCCCACCTTTTTGGCTAAGGCGGGGAGTTCTGTATTACACTGTGTAATTTACACAACACTACAACAACGCATGGACATCGACAAGGGGCCGCGCTCAACGCAGTGACCTAGCCACACTCTTCTCTTCATTTGCTTTTTCTTGGTGCTTTCCCCACTATATATGTGTAGTGCATTGACGCGTACTTGTCACCGTCCTGCCGGGGCGAATCTTATTTACAGCTTCGCCAGAGCGGCCTCGACCTCCGCGTCGCTAGACACAACGAAGCTCTTGGTGTCGGCCTTCTTGAGGAGGGCCTCGAACTTCTCAACGTCAGCCTCGGCGTCCACCTTCTTCAGCAGCGCGGCGGCCTCTGCGGAGGAAATGGACTTGACGCCCTTGCCAGCCTGGTCCACGAAGACGGCAGCCTTCGGGTGCTCCACCAGGTTGTTGCACGGCACGTTCACGGCAGCGCCGCCCTCGACGGCGACAACGTGCTTCTTCGACACCTTGCTAGCAGCGTCCACAACGGCGCCACCGAACAGCGAGGTCACGCCGGCCTGGTTCCAGATGTTCAGGTGAGCACTGTAGAGCTCGCCCTTGTTGATCGCCGCAGCACGTCCAGCGCCTGTTGTAGCAACAGCATTGGTGTTAGATACAAACTCCAGATCTCGCCACTTCAACTTGCTATCTCCGCTTACCCGTGGCGTTGAACACAAGCGCGGTCTTGTTGCCCTTGATCAGCACGTCGGCGGGGACCACCAGGGACTCCGACTCGGCAACCTCCAGCAGCTTCTTCTTGGCCAGGCCAATGGCGTCCTGCACCGTGGCCAGGTCGGCGGCACCCGTGATCACGACCTTGACGAACGTGGCACCCTCGTCGTCGTTATCCACGAGCAGCTGAGCCTGCGGCTCCTGGCCCTTGAACTCGCCGCCCGTGGCCACGTACACCACAATGGGGCGGGCTGCGTGTGGGTCCTTGATGGGGACGCGCACCAGCAGACTCTGAGCGAACAGCGCCACCAGCGGCGAGTCCGAGATCACGCGCACGCGCGTGCGGTCGTCCTTGAACGAGCCCACAGCGCCGTCCTGCGTGTACAGGTTGGCCTCCGTCGACAGGTGATCCGTCACCTTCTCGTACAGACCGTCGAAGTCGTTGAACACGATGCTCACGTCCACCTCCTCAATCGCCACCTTCTTGCCAGCTGCAGCACAATAAACACGCAACAATAAGAACAAAATCTCCACAATAAAACCACTACAACAGCAACAACAATGCCGTACCGGGCTTCTCCTGCTTGGCGAGCTCCGCGAGCTTGGGCCAGCTCATGTTGCGGAAGGCGTCGCCGTGCGGCGTCACATCATCGTCAGCGAGCGACCAGTTAAACTCGATGTTGAGGCCTTCGTGCTCCTCCGGGAACTCCTACTCGTCGAGAAATAACAGCAATAGTGACAGGAAATTATCAGCACCATCGCAATGTATGTCACAACGATATAATGGGCGCTGTACGCACCACCACGAACTTGTCGGCGGCGTGCGGTGCGACGCTGAAGTTGCGGAGCAGGACGCGGCGCGACGCGACCGAGCGCAGCGCCTGGAAGCTCTGGCGGAGGGCCATGGGGACGGGGAGCGGGCTTGCGGCGGCTCTGGCTTTTCGCCTGCGGTTCTAAGGGTCCGGCGATCGTGCGGAGGGAAATGACCGGCCCACAACTCGCTCGCACTTAGTCGAGTTTCCACCAACCAGAACGGTGGAATCGAGTTTTGGCCAATTAGATCTGAGCGTCGGCTTTTGATTGCAGCAAGTTGAACGTTCTTCCGCACTCGAGCGGGCACATGGCGGACGCGGAAGTGCCGCTCGCGGCGTGCGGCCTAGCGCCGTCAGTTCTCGGTAAGGCGGCGTGGAAGTCAGGATGATATGTAGACGTGTGTCTATAGTATATGCTACAGCTAACGCGGTCGCGTGGTTCTCTGTGTGCACTTCGTGGTGGGCCATCGCAGCGGCGCTCTTCCGAGCTGGATTCCGGTACCAAAAAGACCTCGTGGACATCTCGGCGCGCGAATTGGCCAGCGGTAGGAGCGTAACGTTGATAAATTGGTATACTAGAGGGGGAAATGAGGTGATATATCGATGCTTTGATGCTGTAGAGGCGCAGATCAGCGTGAAGGAGGCGGTGGAAGCGCTGGAGATCGCTCGGGGTGACGAGAAGTCGGCGGCTGTGGGGGAGACGGCGCTGGATCTGCTGCAGGTGCCGATGGATTGCAGGTATCAGTGCGATGAGGGTCGCGTGTGATGCTTATGGGTTGTGTTTGATGGTGGTAGGAGGTGACGAAGAGCACGCCAATTGCTACGAGGCTGGTGGGGCTGGATGGACTGCTGGGTGGAGGCTTGCAGCGCGGTGAAGTCACAGAGATATGTAGGTGTCAGGTGTGGTCGGAAACGTTTCATATTCATGTGTGTAGTATTTACTTTTTATGGTTTTCAAAACGAAGGTGGCGGTCCGGGGACTGGGAAAACCCAATTTGCGTAGGTGTTGTGATAGGGCTTGGCTGGATGAATGTGCAGGAAGGCAATGCGACTAATTTTATAAATTTGATGGCTATAGAATCCACGCTTGTTTGGCGGTTCAGTATGTGGCGAACGAGTCTGGAAAGCCGTCATCCGCGGTATTTATTGGTAAGCCGTTGGCACACGAGGCGAACATGCATGGAGTATTACTCTGACTCTTGCTGATGCAGACAGTGAAGGGAGTTTCATGATAGAACGTGTCGCGTCGACGGCTGAGCACTTCATCGAGGATTTTCGTCGGCTTGGCACAAAGCAATTGGTGCGTAATTTTTGACGCTGATTGTTGCACTGAAGCTTATGAGCATTCTCTGATGCTATAACGATTGGTATTATTCCTGATTCCTGTAGACGCGGGACGATATGCTGCGAGGGATAACATATTACCGCGTGCACGACTTCTTGGAGCAAATGGAGGTTCTGCACTCGTTGCCAGCTTATCTTCGAGCTACCGATCAGGCAAGGCAATGTGTTTTTTTATAATGTTGCTGGGTTGTCCTTACAGTAGTGCGGAGCACTCTTTTGTATCTATATACTACAGTGCAAGCTCGTTGTGGTTGACTCTGTTGCCTTCCACTTTCGTCATGGATTCGAGGATTACAGTCAAAGAGCACGAGCTTTAGATGATCTCGCCATCTTTCTGCATGGGATTGCCGCTGATTTCGATGTGGCTGTAAGTGGTTTTCTTTCCCCGTCTTAATCTGGTGTGTATGCGGTGCTCTGAACTCCAACGTCTGTGTGAAGGTGCTGCTGATTAACCATATCACCACAAAATCGTCAAATAACGAGCGCCAAGTATCACAAGAAAGACCAGCGTTGGGTATGTCTGGCTGATAATATGCTTGTGGGCCTCGTTAATCACATTTCCTTTTGCAGGTGAAAGCTGGGCACACTCAATAGGAAATCGGGCGGTTTTTGAATGGGAGGTGCGTGCTCGTTGAATTACCCAAAAGTTTGGGTAATTGAATTGAAAATGATATTTGTGGCTTGGTAATAAGAGTGCAGGCTAGTTGCCGGGTGGCCCGCCTGATCAAGTCTGCGGCGTTAGCACATGATTCTGCGCTTTTTGAAGGTACGTGTGCATCGTTATCAGCGCGGTACAGGCTCTAATGGGTACGCTGACATTGCGAATGTCTGTAGTTTCAGAACGAGGAGTGCGCGATGTGTGCGAAGAAGAGTACTAAACGCTCGAGAAATTTACTACGTAGTAAGTACCATGTAGTAGTTGTCAATCATGGATGATTCATTACCATCTCGCTCGTCCTGCTGCTACGAGTTGCTGCTCAATCGAAGCCCAAATCGGGACGCGTCGATAGCTCTACACGAGCGCCTCTTGGCTTTCGCACGCCAAACCCATGTGGCCAGCAAAGCACGTGCAGGCCCCTGTGCTGTAGTCGCAAGTGCCGCGGCCAGAGCACTCCGCCAGCTCAGTCAGCGGACGCTGCACTACCGTGGTCGCCGAAATGATACTGCCCGCCACAACGTCCGCATCCGCGTAGACTTCGAATACCTCACAGCTACCGGTTCCAACCCCGCTCACTGGATGCTGACCAACTGCAGTGTGTAGGGCGACATTGCACTCAAGCATGTTCTGGTAACCTGTACCTCCCGGCTCGGAATTGAAAACTACCTCGCAGATCACGCTATCTTGAGTTGCAGCGGCAGTGTTAGCAACGCTATAGTAGATTGGCAGGACGGTGCCATAGCCTTTTGGGTCGGTCGGGTCAGTGCGAAGGAACGAGTAAAATGATGCCGCGGCCGACACAGTGACGCCGTTCAGTACATTGTTGGGCAAACGTCGTAGGGCCTGCTGGATGTTGGCACACGTCGTGTCATCATTGGTCCCTGCTGCGGCGCCAAAGGTGATCTTCTCAGTTGTGTAGGCGTTGCCGTACGGGTCGTGGTACGTGAGGTATCCAGAACCACCGGACTGCTTGATTTTGATGGCTTGCACCATGTCTTTTTGGTTGGGCGTCAGCGGATCGTCACCCTTTGGACACGTGCGGAGCGAGCAATCGTGGCCTTCGTAGTTGGCGTCGCACACGCAGCCCATGATCTTCTCCTGATCCCACAGCGAATACTTCCGGCCGCTCACGCCTTGAATGCGCTTGTGGAAATTATCTCCGGCCAGCTCCTCGATGAACTCGCACGTTCCGTGGCCGCTGCAGTCGTTGGGGCATTGCATCCGGCGGCACCCGCTGCCGACAAACCCGGCGTCACACGCGCACTCCCCCGTCGAGCGGTCACACGAACCACGGTTGGCACACTCGGCGTAGTAGTGCGCGTCGTCATCCCGCTGGGCCGTGTCGTGCCACGCGCGAGTGAACGGGCACTGGCGGCCAGAGCAGTCGCCGCCGATCCAGTTCTGCATGCAGTCGCAGACGTCGTTGAGGTCGCACTTGCCGTGGCCGGAGCACTTGTTGGGGCAGGCACCCAGCACGAGGCTGGGCGTGGCCAGCAGCGCCGTCAGCACGGCCACAAACCACCACTTGGTCATTTCCTGCTCTCTTCGACTCTTGCTCTTGCTGCTGAAGTCTTGCGCTGTGCTGGGAGGCGAATCCAAATGTGTGCGGCTTCAATGAACGTCCGTTGGTTGGCGAGTCCCTTTGTGCGATCTTGCAGCGAGACGTCGCCAAAGTGACCATTGGCGACGATCTTCCAGCGGAGGGGCGCGCGACCGCTAACCGCCCGCACCCTGACCCTGGCCTTGGACGTCCTTCCTTCTCATTTTTCCGTTTAGCACAACCTCCAGCTCCAGCTAACAGCTCCACAGCCGTGTATTATCTCTCACATTTCACCTGAGCACAGCACAACTACCCCCCTCTCTGTGATCCCTCCACGACCAGCCTACAGAATCAACGCAAGCCACCCGGCAACGATCGCAATGCCACCGACAGGCTATAGAATACCAACATCAACACGTCAGCTCAATTCCCCTCTAGTCCGCCACCTCGCACGCACCGTGAGCATGCCGAGCTTCTTCTCCCCCGTGAGCGTCATCACGTAGAGCGAGCCCGAGAAGAGCATCGTCCCCGTGGTGATCAGCCCGCCCGCCAGACCCGGACGTCGGCACATTGGCGTGGCCAGCAGCACCACCGAATGGATCAGCTGTCAGAAATAGCTCATCGTGAGTCCACTGCAGCCCAATGACAATGACAATTAGAGGCTAATTTCGACCTGGTAGTGAGCTGCAGTCTCCCAGTTCTTGAGCAGATGCGGGTCCGTGATGCGGTTCTTGAGCCCGTGAGCTCCGAAGGCTCCTGAACAAATCCATTGTGCGCGTCGCAGAATTACGGTTGAGCTGGTTGAGCTAAATATAGACCGAGGGGGCTATCAATAGCACGCACCGAGCAGCACGGCGCTGGCGCCTGAGAGCGCGCCCACCTTCCACCAGACCGAGAGCGCCGGCGAGATCACTGCTGCCTTCATCGTCGATGCAAGCTCGCTCGCTACAGTACCGGTATGTACAGTATCTGCGGTCGACAATCGGGGTTTGCAGCGTGGTTTCGACCAATCAGAAGCGTCGAGTTGCATGACTATGGGACGGATAATCCTCAAATGTGAAGTTGAAGTGCATCAAGTTCAAGGGGTATTGAATAGCGATCTCATATCAATGGTGACCTCAGATCTGCTGATGCGATGGCCTTGCGGACAGGGTAGCCTTGCTGCGCTAACGCCTTAAGGGCTTGCTCTCTGCCCGTAACCTTGATCTCCACTTGGCAGTAGCGACTCGAGAGCAAGGTGCTGAGCGCTTTGGCCGCGTACTCCTTCTGCTGGAAGGTGCCGTCCTGCGCCGTCGCCGCCAAGGCAGATACGCCTCCAGCTGCTACGATCGCAGCCTTGTTATCCCCGCGCGACAGGTGCTCTAGTGCTCGCAGCCCCATTTCCTTTTGGTAGATAGTCCCATCACGCGCGAACGCCACCACTAGCGGGATGACTTCGGAACTGACGAGTAGGGGGAGCTCCTCGTCCGTAGCCGCGACGTACAGCAGCTTGTACACGGCGTGTTCCTTCAGAGCGATGTTGTCTTCGCTCTCTGCTGCCTTGAACGTGGACAATACCTCCTTGATGCTGCTAAACTCCCTCTTTGTTCAGTACGTTGTGGCAGGTGCTAGCCAGCAGTTCTAAGGTGAGGATGCCCTTCGCGACTGGGTTCGCCGCTTTGTTGCGAACATTTGACGATACGTTCAACAACGCCTCCGCAGCTCTCTTCTTCTGCACTTGGCTTCCACGAAGACTGAGGGTTATCAGAGCAGGAATACCGCCGGCTCTTGCGATTGCGACCTGGTTACCAGAGTCCTCGGACAGCAGCCGTGATAGCGCTTGTTTTCTGAGAGGAATTGCCTCTCCGCACTAGCTTCACCAGCGGTTGAATCCCTCCCGCAGCTGCAATAACGCATTTGTTGTCAATAGCCGAAGAAAGAAGCGAGAGAATTGCCGCGGCCTTGTCTTTCAAATTGTCATTTTCACCGCGGAGCAGCTTCACCAAAGGAGGAATCGCACCTGCGGAGGCAATCGCCACTTTGTTCTTGTCGTTTGCCGACAAACTCCACAAAGCCGTCGCAGCCTTTTCCTTCAGTGAGTGATCAACTGCACGCAGCATCGCCACCAACGGCGGGACTCCTTCTGCTTCGACAATCGCCACCTTGTTGGCTTCATCGATCGAGAGACTGGCGAGCGCTGCGACCGCTTTCTCTTTCAAAGCGGGGCTATCAGAGCCCATCAACGCCACAAACAACGAGATCCCTCCGACCTCTGCAATGACGCGTTTGTTTTCCGTATTCGCCGACAAATTCGACAGCGCTCCGACAGCTTTCATCTTCTGTGCAGTGTTTCCATTATCTGCCAACTGGACTAACGGAGGAATTCCACCTGCCGCCGCGATTATCGCTCGGTTTTCCACATTTACCGCCAGATTCAGTAGAGCTGCAGCCGCGTACTCCTTCGCACGGGCAGATCCACCACGAACCAGTTGTATCAACACCTGCGCTCGCAATCGCCGCTTTGTTTCTGTTGTTCACCGAAATCCCCCAGAGTGCAGACGCCGCCTTCTCTTTCTGAGCATCGGTGCCATCGCGCATTAACGCCAGCAGCACTGGGATCCCACCTGCAGTAGCAATCTCCACCTTGTTCACGTCATTCACCGACAAATTGGCCAGAGTACCAGCCTCGCTCGTCTTCTGCGCGATTCCACGATTGCGGGCGGCAGCTACCAATAGAGGAATCCCGTGGGCTGCCGCGATCGCGACTTTATTCGCTTCAGTGACGGACAAGCGCTCCAGTTCGGCCAGGGCCTTGGTCTGTTCAGTGGTGCTACCATCCCGTAGAAATGCCAAAACGGGCGGGATATCGGCCGCAGTCGCTTTTGTCGAGTTCCTCTGACCCATACTATAGGTAGTCAATTGCAATGCGCTTGCGTGGTAAATATTCATATGAGGCTGTGGCGAAGTGTGTGTTTTGGTAGCTACATGTAGCTATCACGCACACAAACTTTGGAGATTCAATGAGCTGGATACTGATATTTCACCAAACACCTGGGTCCCCGCTGTTTTACTCCTACAAATTGTAGGCTACAAATGCTAACAAGTCTGCGGTTTTATCCGGTATGAACTTCATCGACTGAGTTTGTATCTTCGCCGTAAAGTTTTGCAGTTTCTTATGGGCGTCTCAGACTGGAGACTTATTTGAGGCGCAGGCGTCAAGCTCGGATATAAATCAGGGGACGTGTTCGTGTGCTGCAAACGAAAGCACGCCATCATATGCAAAATGCTATCTCAAGCTATAGTACAGTACGTGCACTTCGTATTCAAACAACCACACTTGGTGAATTAGCCGAGATGTTTCTGTCTACATGTCAACACCAGGAACGCATCAAAGCGACAAAGAGAAAGAGACAGAATCCACATGCTCATACAATCGCGGCAAATGCATCTTTTGCAGCTACATCAAATAGACTCTATTCAACAGTTGAGTCCAAGGCGCCTTCTTCCATTTTCAACAGAGAACTATCAGTGATTTCTGGTGGCAAATCAACTACACGTAGCATTCATGCGTATCCACGTGATGGTGGAGAGGGTTGTCCCGAGCAAGTGTCATCGCCGTAATATCTCCGCCAGTGTTCCGATCATTGAGCGATATGTTCGACAAGACCTGCGCGGCATTCCTTCTCTGCGTCTTGGTTCCGTTCTGCAAAAACTCCAGTAGTGCGTGAATGCCTCCGGCGGCAGCAATCGCCATCTTGTTCTCTTGGTTCAATGCCAAATTGGACAACACCACTGCGGCTCTCTCCTTCAGACCGTCGCTACCATCACGCACCAGCATCACTAAAGCTCGAATGCCCCCAGCAGCTGCGATCACTGCTCTGCTTGCAGGATTCATCGACAAATTCGTCAACGCTATCGTGGCATTCAATTTCTCCGTTGAATGTCCATCCCAGAGCAAAGCCACGAGTGGAGGAATGCCGCCAGCACCAACGATTGCGGAGTTATCGCGGCTTGACGACAAATTCGCCAGCACCCTGGAGGCATCTTGCTTCATCGAGTCACTACCACAGTACATGGCTGCAACCGCCCCCGCAGCAACAATTACACCTTTAATTTTACCAGTACGCTCCGAGAGATGCATCAACATCGTCAGTGCGCACTCTTTCTGTCGAACAGTCCCAAACTGCTGCAAAGCCACCACCGGATCAATTCCACCAGCAACTGCAATAGCAAATTGGCACTCTGGAATCAAAGCGAGATTCGCCAGCGTTCCCACCGCTCTCGTCTTCTGAACGGCATTACCCGAGCGCAACAATTCGATCAAAGGAGGGATTCCACCCGCCACTGCAATAGCCTCTCTGTTCTCAGGCACCATCGAGAGATTCCACAGCAGTCCAGCAGCCACCTCTTTCTGGTACTCCCCGACGTCGCTCATCGACTTCACCAGCGGAGAAATCCCCCCAGCGGCTACGATAGCCGCTTTGCACGCATCATTGGCTGACAAAGTCCACAATGCGGTTATGCCATTCACTTTCTCGGAAACATCACCACACTGAACCAACAGCACCAGCGGATGGATACCTTTTGCTGCTATGATGGCCATTTGGTTGTCTGAATTGGTTGCCAGCAATGCCAAGACCCCCGCCGCCTTCTCCTTCCCAACCGAGTTTCCATCTCGAACCAACGCCACAGTTGGTGGAATGACACCAGCAGCAGCCACGATCCCTCGGTAGTTGGCGTTCATGCACAAGTTGAATACTGTCGCGACAGCGTGTTCCTTTTGAGCTGCATTGCCACGACGGACCAAATCCGCTAGAGCTGGTACACCCCCAACTTCCACAATCACCGATCGATTTTCATTATTTGTCGAAAGTTTCGATAGTGCCAACGCAGCCTTCGTCTTTTGGGCTTTGGGTCCATGACGTACCAACTCCACCAACGGAGGGATGAGGCCCGAAGATGCAGCTATAGCAGTGACTCGGTCCACGTCGAGTTTTGCCAACGCGACGGCAGCTTTTTTCTTGTCGCTGGAGCTTCCTCGGGACAAGAGAGATACTAGATACGGGATATCCGCTTCGGTGGAGTGAGGCTTGCCCATGTGCGTCCTTCCAAGCAAATTCGGGAATGAAGGGAACACTCTGAGTTGCGATCCTAGCACGTATGGGTACAGACGCGAAAGAGTATCCATTGACCCCATCAAGTACGTGGTCACCGTCATTGAAGTGTTGAAGCATGTGAAATGATGCAAATACTGCTGCTTACACGATGCCGAGTATATGCCCAAGTTACGAGCTCCATTGCCCCGGCTACCAGTGAGTGCATCAGTGACGAGCGAGGAGAGTTCGTTCATTGTCCGTAGCATACTCATCACGCTCGAAGCGACTCATAAGATGTGGTTACTTCACGTCACTCTTCATTCTACTACAAGGCCGAGTCGAGTTGCTCGTGATGCATCTGAACCATCGCGAGCAGCGAGCTGGTGTCGTTGCTCGTGGTTGCGCAGTGTAGCAACGATCATGAGAACTACACCTCGACACCCTGTTGCCTCCAAACACAGGCATTCACAGCTTCGTGGCTCATTGAATGACTATTTTTCGGACGAACTTTGTTTGTTTCTTTTGTTTTTGTAGTGTCGAGATTCTTAGGCTTCGTGACACAACACAAAGACAATGGATGCCCCCTGGTGTGCGTCTTGAAGCACTCTACACCAGCGCTTCCTGCTTCTGACACGCCAACCCCATGTGGCCAGCGAAGCATTCGCAGGTGCCCGTGCTGTAGTCGCAGGCACCACGGCCAGAGCATTCGGCCAGCTCCGTAAGAGGACGGTACACCGTGGTGCCATCCGCGATCTGCTCATCGAGGACGGATCCGTCGGTGTTTAGATCAGTAACGACGACATCCACAGGATACACCTCGTACACCTTGCAGGTCGTGGCATCGGCGCCCGTGATACCAGCGGACATGGGGTGCTGACCTCCCGCATCATTATGAGCGAGCACGTTACAGTCGAGGAGGTTCTGGAACCCCGTCGTGCCTGCCTCGGAGGTAAACTGCACCTCGCAGATGACTTTATCCTGTGTGCCTGTTCCATCGTACGGAAGAGTTCCCGTGTTGTCATCGTTGAAGATCTTGGTAGTCGTGCCCTCACCGCTCACGCCCCGCGGGTCTTTGCGCGTGAAGCCGTACACCCGGGCTGCAACCTCCACTGTGACGGTATTGAGTACGTTGTTCGGCAGACGCCGCAAGGCCTGCTGGATGTTGCTGCACGTTGTGTCATCATTGGTCCCCAGAGCGGCACCAAAGGTGATCTTCTCAGTCGTGTAGGCGTTGCCGTACGGATCGTAGTACGTGAGGAATCCCGAGCCACCCGCCGCGGTAATCACAATAGCTTGTACCATGTCAAACTGGTTTGGCGTTAGCGGATCGTCACCCTTTGGACACGTGCGGAGTGAGCAATCGTGGCCTTCGTAGTTGGCGTCGCACACGCAGCCCATGATCTTCTCCTGATCCCACAGCGAATACTTCCGGCCGCTCACGCCTTGAATGCGCTTGTGGAAATTATCTCCGGCCAGCTCCTCGATGAACTCGCACGTTCCGTGGCCGCTGCAGTCGTTGGGGCATTGCATCCGGCGGCACCCGCTGCCGACAAACCCGGCGTCACACGCGCACTCCCCCGTCGAGCGGTCACACGAACCACGGTTGGCACACTCGGCGTAGTAGTGCGCGTCGTCATCCCGCTGGGCCGTGTCGTGCCACGCGCGAGTGAACGGGCACTGGCGGCCAGAGCAGTCGCCGCCGATCCAGTTCTGCATGCAGTCGCAGACGTCGTTGAGGCCGCACTTGCCGTGTCCGGAGCACTTGTTGGGGCAGGCACCCAGCACAACGCTGGCGAATGACGCTGAGAGAGTCGCCACGAGCCACCACTTGGCCATCTCTTGATGGGTCTTGGTGCTACCGGTGCGTTGAAGGAGGCGAATTGAAGTGTGCGCAGCGGCTCGACCCAGCCCCCGCTATGCGGATGCGGCTGCATCGGTTGGACCCGTTCGTTACGCGATCTTCTCCGTTGGACCCTTTTTCCAGATCTCTGCGGAGGGGCGCGACGCACAAAATAAATACCGCGGGCGTTATCATCAACACGCTACCTTTGTGTCGTAGGCCTCTCGTAGGCGCAACATGCGCGTACTTCTCAGCCGCGCCAGTTGTCGCGAGTCAGTTTAAAGTTCAAGAATCGTGGCTGAGGCTGGAAATCTCGCCGCCGTATTGAGGCCGTGTCTGTGCGGGCGAGGAGGATTAGACGGACAAGAGCAGCAACTACTAAGCAGAGTAATACATGCAAAGCGTTCTGTCTTGTTGTTCCCAAAGCTAAATCACGACTGACCTCTTCGCTACTCCTACCTCTCTCGATCCTTATCCTGCGATCCTTGCGTATCCGCGTATCCGTGCCGCTCATCTCCCGCTCACCCTCTCTGATGACTTGAACCGTTCACTCGGGCGACCCTAGAAGCTGCCCACCATGCCATCCGTCCCCGAAATCCAGCCACGACGCCACGAAACCCTCTTTCCCTCCGAGGTACCTCCCAGTAGCAGCTTCCGGGTCTTCAGCTTCACGGCGACCCAGCCCATGACCCGCCGCTCCTCGCCCTAGTAGCATTGTAGCCTGTAGAAGCACGCTTGTCCGTTCCTAGACGATTCCACTCGTGACACAGTGTCGAGCAAGTGCCTTGTTTTGCTGCCGGTGATCAAGTGAGAGAGGGAATATATTTGGCTCATCGTCTGTGTGACCTTTCAAGATTTCAGATCTTTGAATAAGTCATCGATATAAGTGCCAAGGTGCTATGCTGTATTAGAGTTCTAAACAGCAATTCATTCGAGTTGGCCTCCACAATTTCGCGGCTCACTCTTCCAGTTTATTTCAAACGCGACGGTGGGTCACTCCAACAATCTACGACATTCAATTTCGCGTCTTGAACGATCTGCTCCCCGTCAACGCCCGCCTATTCTTCCTGCAACGAGGCCGCAGCGACCCAACCATTTGCCCACACCGAGGTTGCTTCCACGTGGAGAGTCTTGCGCACTGCTTCTGGCTCTGCTCGGCAGTACAACAAGTATGGGCGTTTTTACGGCCGCTCCGAGCTCTGCTGCTGCAACGACGTCACTACTCCTGGCGCGACATTCTGCTCGGGGGTCCGGACATCCTCCACACGAGATGGTTGACTCACGAAGACATTGCTTTCAGTGTCTGGCTGATGCTTCGCGGGATCTTTATGCGAGCAACTTGGCTCAACCGCAACCGGACGGCGTTCGCCCGCCCTGCGCTCCCTGCGCGTTCGGTGGCAGCCGGTATCACTCCTCTGTTCGTCGCCCACTTTAGGTCTCTTCGGCGTCGGCGGTGGGACCTCAAGATCACCTCGGCTTCACTGGAGAGCGTCCTTGCTCGTCTGGTCTCCGAATCGGATGGGCTCCTCCCTGTTGATCTCCAAGAACCCAAATCGCTTTGGTCGGCTCGAAGATGAGCTTCATTCCGTACTTAGACAACCGAACTTAGCCAACTCGCCAGAAAACGGAGTCCGACCCGTAATAGAACGCCATTCATCATCATCTCCACAATTTCGTCGAGTACAACAACGCATTGCTACATAAACTGGTCCTAGAGCCGCAACCGCTTACCACGTGTGAGTTGCAACCAAGAAATAAACGATACCAGGCGAGTGGATGTACATGCAGCTGATGTACAGAGAGGAATTTCCATAAATCAGTTATTTTCACTGAGATTTGACAAAATGATTGTGATAGCTTGAAACTACTGACTCAGTGCTTTGGTAAATAGTAATAATACAGTAGTATTTGTGAAGTCTTTAGATTGCTATGTTATTCCGTTCTGGACCGTTGCGTAAGCCGCGAGTCGATGTGAAGGAGAAAGACACCACGGCGAAGGCTGTAGTCTACCTAAGTACTTAAGTATGCGTTGATATGATTCCCCCCTTCACAACTGAGCAGAGTTGCCGCGGTAAGAGACTTGCGAGAACTGAGTACCGTTGGGAGCTGCGTCAGTGAATTCAGGCAAACTGTCACAATCATTTTGTCAAATATCAGTGAAAATCACTGATTTATGGAAATTCCTCGATGTACAGACAACGACGGAAAAATCCGGCAACGCAAAACCCGGCATTCCATTGACATGTCCATACAAAACAAGCGATAATTTTGTCCAATCAAATTTATTTATTCATAAAAATAAGCCAATCACCGCGATTTAATTTTTGAATGGCTCTGGTAAATCTCCGTGTGCCATTGCCTAATTTGGAGCTGGTCGACTGAGCCGCTCAAACTGTTTTTCGAGCCATGGAGGACACGCCGCCGCCCAAGAAGAAGCAGAAGAGCTACACGATCCGCGAGAAGCGCGAAGCGGTCCGTCTCGTCGAAGATGTAGGGGTGGAGGAGGCAGCCCGCGAGCTCCAACTTGCTCGGGGCACTGTCCATGGCTGGTGGAAGCAAGCTGAAAAGCTTTTTAGCTTCACTGGCCACTCCACCTCTAAGTCCCTGAAGGGCCAGGGCCGCAGGGAAGTATTTCCCGACATTCCTGCGGTCGTCACCTTCATGAAGGACGTGCGGCGCGAAGAGAAGGTAAGTTTTTTAGAATCTCATAATTTGTAGCGTTTAACCGTTAAACTTTATGCTATAATGTACAGACCCTCACTACACGTGGCATTATGTCCTTCATGTGGGCAATCGAGACCGAGTGGGTCGAGGACTACCTGCAAAGGAAGCGGTGTGGCATCCTGGCGCTTGAGCGCATGGTCGAGAGACTCGCAATTCGGTAAATATTTTTTTTTGCTTAAACTCCATCAGTTTCCTAACATTTACCTTTATTTGCGTGTTTAGGCATTGTTTTACCTCCCAGAAACCACAAACGGCAAAGAAAAGCACCGAGAAGCTAGAGCAAACGCGCGCCGAATTCGCGCTGGACTTCTGAAAGACGCACGCCGCGTACGGGCCGGAGGGCATGTACAACGTGGACGAGACTGCCATCAATTTTGACATGCCTCCGGCTCGGATGTGGGCGGGTAGAGGTCGGCGGGACGCTGCGAGGATTGCGAACAGGTCCAAGCACACCGGCCGCATGACGGCTGTGCTCACGATTCGAGCTGATGGTAAGTTTTACTTTTTGTTGTTCTCTTAATTTTTATTTTTTTAAGGCTAATTAGTATTTGTTATACTATTTTTAGGGAAAAAGCTGCCGATTCTGTTTGTTCTGCGTGGCAAGCTGGGCGGTCGAATCGACACAAGCGAGTTCGAAGAGTATCCGGAAGGACACTTCTACACCGTCCAAGAGAACGCTTGGATGGACGTTGTAACGTTTTTACGTAGAAAAGTTGTTAAAATATGAAGTTGATGGACCTTCTTGACAACTTTGAGTGTCATGTGTCGGAAGAGGGGCAGCGGGTCGTTACCGAAGTTGCTAATGCTACTGTGGTCCCTCTACCCGCAAACAGCACGGCTGCTTGCCAGCCGCTGGATGTCGGTGTAATGGGGCCACTATGTGCGCTCGAACTGGTCAGGCATCACGGGTGGCAGTGCTAAGGAAAAGCGGCTCCGTGCCGTTCGCGCTACGATTGCTGCTTGGAATGCCATCCCCGAAAGCACTGTAATTAGGAGCTTTAAGGCAGCTATTCCTCAGTATCCTGAGATTAGCATTTGAACAAAATGCAGCTTTTTTGCAGAACATTCGGGTTTGTGCTTTGTTTTTGAACAGTTACGCAACCTTTTAGCCAATCATGTTTTTCTTTTTTATCTGTGCCGTATTTTGTGTTACACTCCTTAACTATGGAGGATGGCAGTCAGGCACGCCGGATTTTTCCGTCGTTGTCTGTAGTTGCTCAATCTAATACTGCTCCCTTCCGTTAGCCAGACGAAAGGCTTAGATTTGCTTTCAGATTAACATTAGCCAGGTGTCCGATCGCTAGATTGTTTTTTGATCATACCGAATTTGTTTTGTAGAGGGATACACCCACGTATGGGATACAGGATAGTATTAGCCAATCACAATTGTGTCGTCAGATTGACAGGGCTTGACTTGTTGAGGGATACACCAGTTTCATGCCAGTAATTTTGGCACTCTCGGCCGCTCAGCGCGCGATCATTTCTGCAACGGCGCGGGCGCCACCACCTGTCTGGAGGTCAAGGCAGGTAGAAAACGACGCGGGCCCTACCATTTTGACACTGCTGCAATGAAGAAGGCTATGGTCGAACACCTGAGACTACACTGCAATGTTTGTTTCGCTGTAGATACGTTCTTTCCGGGTCTACCTACAGAAAAGTATCAAGGGGGAAGAGTGGTGGTGTTAAGATGGGCTCGTCGTTTAGCTCTATAGCTGCTCGGGGTGCTTATGTCGGCGGCAGGAACAAACGCAAAGCTTGCTCTACTGAACTTCGATCTCAAGTTGGAGTGGTGGCGGCGAACAAGCTAATAAGTTGGGCTGTGTCGGCAGCCGCATTGGTGAGATTCGGCCTTGAGAGACTCGAGGTAGAGTGCTCAGTTTAGTAATCTTGATAAATACATCTGGGCGTCTGGTACCGATTCGTTTTTTTGAGCAAAATCGGGCGTCTGGTATTTTAGCTCCGGTAGGGTGTATCCCTCTACAAAACAAATTCGGTACGCGGAACTGATCAGTGATTGGAACAGGTGTCTTATCTTGGTTTTTGTATGGAAAAAATCATAATGTTACGGTAGTGAGCGGTTGTGAGGAGCGTAGCCATACCAAACCCGCGCGGTATTTGCGGAGGCGGGCCCAGCAACGAGCATTCCAGCGAACGGACCCGTTGGCGCTACTCGGAGTTAATTTTCTTTATGCGGGGGTCTGGGGGTGCAACCCCCAGGGCACCCTTTAGGAGATCTGTTCAAATCTCTGATCAGTTCCGTATATGATCCAATCCGGAGGTAACCGTCCGATCCAGCCTCGTCAAATCGGCTTAGCGAGTGCAGCGATCCCATTAGGGGGAGTCGAACCTGGAAAACCCCTCCCAAAAAGTAAGCCAAGGGATTTCCAATATCTGAGCAAGAAAATGACCAAAAGATAAGCAAAAACTGAGCGATACAGGGGTAGTTAGAAATTGCTCAATAAATGTGAGATCGCACTTAGAGAGATATGATGGCCCCCTTCCCGGCGTAGGTGTCGAAGCAGGAAGGGCTACGGCTCGGGCGCGCTAGAGCAGTATCCACAGCGCAAACACCGGCAGTAGCGTGCGCGCCCTCGATGGTATTCTCGGAGGTGGAGTTGGCGGCCGCTAGGGAGAGCCTAGCGAAGTAAGCGCGCGACAGCGGTATATACGCAACACTCATGCTGCGGGTCTCGTATAGCTAGCTTTCATGCCCTCGCAGACAGCGTGGAAAGCGCCCCACTGTCTACGAGTCGACACCTAATGCGCACACACCTACGGACAGTCCTTGTATGTTCATGCCCGCGGCCGCCTGCGGCTATGGCGTCGCGGTCGAGAGCTATGCTTCATCTAGGCGAGCTCGCAGCACCCCGATCCGAGACCAGAAGGTGTCGGGGGCTAAGTATGCTTTCGCAACGTCGAACTTGAACTTAGAAATAAGAAGCTCATTTCACAAACAAGGTTGCTGCGCTTTGGCTGGGAGACCAAATTTCTACTTAGTATTTTTATCGTGGAAGTGAAAGTTCTGCATGGTTGTTCACAGACAGATAGTTTGCACTAAATGCAGCCTTCCGCAATCTAAAACTCTTTGAAAGTCGACGCGTTTACTTCTAATTCGCGTTTGTATCGAACCTGTTGTACATTCTTTAGAGGTCGGTGCAGTAGTTGGAGAACTGCCTGTGGAACTACGCATACTGCAGCTTTCGAGAACCCTAGCAGTCGGAGGCAGGCAGATACTGCGGCTGCGAAACAGGCGCAGGAGACGCCTGTGGATGGCGGTTTTGTAGCACAGAATCTAACCTAGGACAAAAAAAAGCACGGTTAGTTGATGATAACTACGGCCATCTACTGCGCCTGCTTCGCAGCCGCAGCATCTGGCCGGTAATCTGCAACTGGAGAACTACGAATTGATGTTCTAGTCAAATTGAAACGAACAAAATTTGGCAGACATTTAATGTCTGCCTACTTTCTTAAAACTTGTGAAGAGCGAAAAACTTCCAAATAAATGTTTTGTTTTTGAGAAGCTTTTGTACCATCGCTAATTGCGATTTCGATGTCTCCTGAACGTTACCTGTAACTGGGAATACATTCGTGACGAATTAAAGTTTGTGAGGCTGGTAAACCAGCAAGCTGGTCTCCCAGGATAAGTCACCTCTGGAGGTGGCTTACTTCGGAAATGAGCAGTTTCCCAAAAAGTAAGCAGAGCAACTCCCAAAAAGTAAGCACCGTTTTTGCCAGGTTCGACCCCCCTATTACTAATATTACAGGGCCTCCGAAAATAGCATTGTCAATAACATTATTTCTGAAAATAAAAATAAGTTACGCATTTCCGCGGGTCAAGACATTTACTGTTATAACTTATTTTGCTGACTTGTGATATTACATAATTTATGACAGTCATCTTTATATATTTATTTTTGCTGCTAACCACCCACCTACTAGGTTCCAGTCGTTTAGAAACGCTGGAATCACTGGTCGTCCACGTTGCTAGTTGCCGTTCTCTCGGCAGCACTCACTTTTCAATTGTCGCCGCTCAAAGCCATCAAGTCCCCATTCCCAGCATGGTTCGCGCTATCCGCCCCCCTCGTCCTACGTTCACCAACTCCCAAGTCTCGGGGTTCTACTTCCGCCCGTGCCGCGACGAGAATGACGAGGTGATTCTCGAGTATTTCCGTTGACGTTGCGGCACGGTGCGGAAGCAAACCCATCAGAACGGGTACTCCAACCTGATGCAATATGTCAGGCGGGAGCACCCTGACTACGAGACTGTCATGCTCTACTCTACGACGGTGGAAACAGGGTCGCTCGTCAACTTCGTCCGCCATTCGGCGCTCAACCTCCACAGCTGGATGGTATGGATTGCCATGTGCAACCTGCCTCTCCCCTTTTGTGAGAGCCGCGAGGCAAGGCGGTATGTGTATATATTACTTTGCTGTGCTTACTTTACTATGTGAAACTAACGGTTTTGTTTTATGGATGTTATTCAGCTACTCAAGCCTGGACCCCATCTCGGAGGAAACGCTGCGGGATGGCATGGACGGGGTCGTCGTCGCCGTCGAGCGTTCGATTGCATCGGAGCTCCCTTCACACTTCGGCATCATGCTCGACGTCTGGACACACGCGTCGGAGCACTACATCGCCGTGTTTGCGTGCTACGAGGTGAACGGCTGCCCAAAGACAATGCTGCTCAGCATGGCCCCGCTGCTTGACGCGCTGGACGACGATTTGTCCGCGCAGAGCCACCTCGAGTTCCTCGCCACCATGCTGCCTCGCGACTATGGCGTACAGCTGGCGCAGTGTCGCTTTCTTGTAGCTGACAACCGCACCGTAAACCGCCGGCTGGCGACTCTTATGAGCGTGCCGCTCATTGGGTGCGCAAGCCACCGATTGAACCTTGCTGTTCAGGCGGACATGGCGGCCCATGAGGATGACCTGGCTGCTGTGCAGGCACTCATGGCCAAGATACGTACTCTGACCCAATCGGCGAAACTGCGGTAAGCCCTATTGTTTATATGTGGTGTGTCAATATGTTTCTAATACAATTTGTGTACTTTTGTAATTTTGAAAAAAGGTTGAAACCCCCTACTTCGGCCTGTCACCCGCCAGGACACGCGCTGGAGCTCTACCTTCGAGATGGTACAGCGCTACCTGAAGCTCCTCGAGTTTCTCGACATCGAAGACGACGACATCATGGAGCTGCTGCCGCCGGCGGCGGCGAACAAGCGGCTGCGCGCTTTGTACCTAGAACTGTGCGATATCGAGTCTCGAAGGCCCTTCAAGGACATGACGTCGACCTCCTGGACATCCGCGAGTGGTTTGACGAGCTCATTGCCATCAAGCCACAATATAGACGATTCATTGGTAAGTTTATCATTGTGGAATTTGTTTGTATACAATTTGGCTTACAATTATACAATGTTTTTATTCTGCAGGACCTCGAGCCAACATTGTGCACAGCCCAGACTTTTAGTCTGGGTGTGTTCACGTTCTTCGCGGAAAGGCGCAGCGACTGACACGGGCTGAAAAGGCCGCTCTTCAGCCTTTTGAAGCTGCCAGGCCTGACGACGCGGAGGCAAGTGAGGAAGAGGATGGCGCAGCCGCGTCGTTAGTGGAGCGTCTTCGGAAGCGCCGGCGGCTTGCACAGGACCGTGTCAAGTATGAACAGCTGAAGAGCATCCCACCCATGTCGAACGTGGTGGAACGCTTCTTCAGCATTGCTTGGGTGACGTTTGGCCATCAACGACACGGCCTGCTGCCACACACGCTCGAGACGATATTGTTTCTCAGCCAGAATCGGTCGTACTGGGATGCAACAACTGTGGACAATTTGAGCTAGATGATAAGCTAACTGGTGTCTTGTTAATAGACTTCATGCTTTTCATAATGGCATTATTTATTGTGGTACATGGGGGCAATGCCATAATTTACTGTTGTATTGGTAGGAGCGTCAGGGGATACTTTATTCAGCAACGCACAACCTACTAAATAAAAATGCCATATTCGGAGGCTTATGGGCCATAAGTGATGGGTAACGTTTCTATCAGTGTAGCACTTCAGGCGGCGAATTCCTTCTCTTGTGTTTCAAATTACAGTATTTAGCATTTCTCTTGCTTCTAACTCGTCAATTAACAGTCAGCAAACGTACAGCTAACACTGAGCTAGTGTCTAGTAAATTTTACTAACAGCAAAACGCCCTACAGACATTATGGTAAGAGTAGTAATGAGGCTGCCTTTATCATGTTATATGGCATCCCAACTACATAGCGTATAGCCTAGCAGGGGATATTTGTCCACGGCTGGCGTAGTCCTGCATCCACACACACGATACATCAAGTAGCTGAACTGCTTCTAAGTGGAGCATCTTAGATGCAGCTCATCCACCTTCGAACAGGACCCTTGAACCGGGTATCCTATACTACGGTTATCGTACGGTACTATATGACTGCTAGCACATAGTAGCTGTGCAGCAAGAGGTTCGTTTATTTGAGATTATCAAGAGTGATCTACTGCTATCTTCTATCGCATACCGTCCTGCAGGACCTGTTACACAGCTCAGGTATTTAATATTTAAAATGAATCGAGGGCTAGTCGCAACACAGACGCACGTACTCTCAACTTCCTCACGTGCACTATGTCGGCTGTAGTGGTATGAACGCATACCAGCACATTTTTTTAGAAGCGCTAATATCTGATGTGCTGTACGGCTAAACGTACTTTATTTCAGTGACGTCGCCGGGTCGATGGCTGTACGACTAGCTCTCATGCTTCATGAGCCCCTTTGCTCGCTCTAACCCTATAGCGACAGCTACAGCTAGGTCAACGCGCCACCTCCGACACTACTAACATAAAAGACCGATTGAGTGCGCGGAATCGTTTTAGTACGCGATATCTGACATCACCCTATCATAGACCTCTATTAGACGGAGAAGGGTTCTCATTGACTAAAACTTGTCGAACCGTTTCAGTGCACGCCCATTTATAATTTTTACTAGGAAAATATTATAATGTAAAGATATTTTATTTGAATGGTGGGTAGGAGCTAACTCGGAGTTGTTGCGGTAGCCCATAGTTACAACACAATTTGAGGGACCAAGTCGTGACCATGGTGCTGCGCCGTGGGCGCTACAAGGAGGAGGACCTGGAGGAAGCATTAACCAGAACATGCGAGGGGGAGAAGTTTGCGGCTGTTGCCCGAACGTCACCGATTCCCCTTCGTATGCTCTTCAAGAAGTCGAAGGATCTGCAGACGACGGGGTCTATCGAGGGAGAGCGCCGCGGACCAAAACCAGCCCTGTCTCCTGAGCAGGAGGCTAAATTGTTGCGTGGGTCGCCGGTATGCAGCGTGCCGGCTTCCCTGTGGGTCCAGCCAGGGTTTTCGATCGGGCGAACAAGATCTATGCCCAGCTCCACGGAGCTACGACCCGTGCCGGAACCCCGTTCCACTTTTAAACGAAGGGCTGGTATGGGCGCTTTCTGAGCCGCCACCCCGTGCTGACCACGTGATCGGCGCAGAAGATCACCCGCGTGCGCAACTCGGGCGACGCCGACTCCGGTCGCGACCTTTTCCACGCCATGGCGAAGAGAGTGGTGGAGTTGCAGCTCTCCACCGACCGCATCTTCAACATGGATGAGACGGCGTTCATGCCGAAAGGCACGTCGAGAAGGGTGCTGGGGCTTAACAGAAGATCCCGCTATGAAGGGAACAAAAAGAGCCCAAAACGGTGAACGCCGAAAAAAACTAATTGCGGATTAAGTGAAGCATACATGCAACTAGTGTCGTTCGACAGCTCGCTATCTCAAACTTAACACTGTGCTATCCTAGTGTAAGCTAGCATTGTTGTCTCGCGAGTGCAGGCGCAGCGATAAGACGCCTCGAGTGATTGACTGTATGCTCTGTGAACCGATTTTAAAAAAACTGAAAATCGGTTCAAGAGCGGGGCGGCTTTCCCACCATCTCTTGGTGCTACCACCAGCTCAGCACAGCGCCCACCGCGCGTGATTCACGAAGTCGGTCTTGCGGCCAAAGTCTTTAGGCTGCAGCGGCTGCACGTCCTTGTTGCGCCCACTTGAGACGTGAGCGATGCGCACAAGTGCCGGTCCGCTTCACACTTGAACAGTTTTCGTGCTTGTAGACTGCGGTGAAGACCTTTGACCGGGCACAACAGCTTGTCGCCCGATACACCCATTGTTCGCCATGCGCCCCGGCCGTATTGGTCGTTCTTGGCCCCCTCAAGGCCGATGGTGACGGATGTAGCCGCCTTTCGTGCCACGCGCCTGCCGTTGTCGTCGGAGTAGAATGCGTTGCAGGTTTTTAAGCAGAAGAACCGGCGGGTCTTGCCAATTTTGAGGAATTCGGACTGTCGGAGAAGAAAGAAATAGCCGATGACGATGCTCCCCCAGAGCAAGCGCTGTCTTGGCCTTGACAAGTTGAGTGGGCGGTACAGCAATCGCAGGAATGGCGGAGTCAGCGGTTGTTTCTTCCGTCGGGGAGCGGAGAGACGCTTGATGCCTTGAAGTAGTAGTTCGATCTTCGGGCTTGTTTCGAGTGTTGTGTCTTTGTATCTGCGATGAAACCAGCGGATGCTGGTGAGCTTCAGCTTGATGGTCGAGTATTGGTTTCCCTTGGTGCGAGAGTTCCAGTCCCCCGCCCAGCAGGATGTAGCGAAGTATCCGAGTGGTTTGGAAGCTGTAGATGCTGTGAGCCGTCGAGACCACCCCATCTTTGCCGCGAATTGGCACCATTGGTGCCAGTACCGAGTGTACGTGGTGTTGGTAGAGTTTGCCACGGCGTGCTGACGCAGCAACGATCCCAGACGACTGATAAATTGTCGAAAGGCTCTGCCAGATGAGTCTGCGTCCACGGGGATGGCAGATTAGCCCATAGATTAGCGAGAGGGTGGCCAGCAGTCCACACGCGAGATCCGGCGTACACCATTACGTTGAGTTTGCCGGCGATGTGCGAGGCGGTGAAAACGAGGTTGTACTGAAATTCGGCGAGCGATAAGAGTCGATTGTACATTTGAGCAATCGGATTTCGGCTTGCTCGGCGGTTCGCCCACGTGACTGCACTTGTGTTATCGATGTGAAATTGAACATGCGTGCGTGTTGTTGGGTCCGGTGAAGACCAGTACGGCCCCCAATGCAATGCCGCCAGAACTGTGCTTTGAAGCTCTCGAACGTTGATGGAGGTGTCACGAATGTCTTCTTGCGAGAACGGTTGGCGAACGTAAGTCTGCAATAACGGCTCGAGAGAGCACAATCCGTCTCCGCTTGCGTCCATGAAAACGTGATACTGCGGTACAGAGGCGTCTGCGAAGTAGATGGCTGGGATTGAGTTAAAACGCTGGGGTTGTTGAAGAACGGCGCAAAACCAGCGAAGATCATCGAGGCTGGGTTGCGATAACGAGCAGCGGCCGTACTTGGGGGAGCGGGCGGCCACTTCCTGTAGGCATTGTAAGAAAGCCCGGGCCGGCGGAAAGCAGCTGGCGACGTGTCGGAGACTTCCAATTGCCTCGAGCATTGTGGTGCGTGATGCCTTCCCTGCCGCCAGCAGATTGTTGACCCGCATTGATGCTTTTGCGAGTTTGTCCGCCGGGATCGATACTGTGGCAGCCTCGGTATCCCATAAAAGCCCAAAGCCTTGCACTTTGTCGACCAAGTTGTGAACTTCAGCTCATTGATGGCCGTCGGACCCAAGACAGTGGCCATTGCTCGACGAAGAGACAGGTTGGCGTCGACACATCTTGTTTCTGCGTCGACTTCGATGCACGTGTGGTCATCACACCACACATTTCCGGCAAATTGGCGAGTTAGGCTATTGCCGTGTTCGTAGAGGGCGTTGATGATGGTACCGGCGAGCGAATAAAACGCTGGTGATCCACACCAGCCGAACCCGCATGCCAGATCGATAACGAGCAAATTGTCGAAAGCGAATGCGAACATGTGAACCGAGTCAGCATGTATTGAAATGTGGCGGAACGCGCCGGACACAGCCCCGAGCATTATCAATATACATCCGACATGAGATGTACTGAGATGGTGGATACGCCTTGCAATATCCCGAGGCGGGTTGTACGAGATCGATGGGAAGTTGCTCCGGTCAGTGAAGTCGTTCACCGATTGACCGCGGGGGATCGAGTAGTCGTTGATTAATCGAATATCACCGACGCTCGAGCCCGCTTTCGCGATTGCGCCCAGTGGACTGATGAAGAGCTCGGGCCATTGCGTAGCGAGACGGGTGTCGACGATGAGGTATCGCCCATCGAGTTGCCCTACTCGAAGGTGTCGCCGGATCTGCGCTGACATACGGCGGATGCCTGCGTGATTTGGTTGAGGTCTCGACTGTGTAGGAGGTGGCCCTGTCGTCCAGCGCGGGATAACTCCATGTCGGACGATCAGGTTCCATTCCTTGACCGTTGCTGCAATTGCCGGGTCGACCGATGTTGCCACCTCGAAATGATCCTTGTTCCTTGTTGGGTCGCGGGTCGGAGGCAGTTTGGCCACGCAGGTGGCAGACGACCTGTGGTAGACTCCAGTGGCTTTGTTCCGCTAACTTTGACCAAAACTGGACTTGGTCGTGATCTACGTCGTCCAAATAGGTTGGCCGATGTGGTGGAGGTTCGAGTCCGAAGTCGTTGGTTCGGTAATTTTGATGCTTAGACGCTTGACTCACGGCACGAATTCGATTCAGAGTTGACATACATTTATTGTGGCGCTCGATTGCTTCGCGATTTGGCGGTGATCTCCTTAGCTTTATCACTACGGGGCCGTTATAAATCGCTGAACTGTGTACCGAGACCTCCCCATCGTTCCAAAATCACCTTGCGCGCTCCTTCTGGGAGTGCTTCGGGGAGAAAATGAGCACTCGAACACTTCGAAAATTGGCAACCAGCCTGCGAAAGGTACTTGAGGCAGAGCCGTCGCCCGTCCTCCGCTTTCGGTAGTTGCGAGTATACGTCGGCTGGAATGCGACTGGCGCCTGGAGTGCGACTGCCGCGATGTCCCTTGTCTCCGTCCGTCGCTCGAGATCGCCCAGACGCTGTGACCGGCTTCCATGTTTGGCACGAGTCACGGAGGGCGGCCAGCTTGTCGTCGCTGCGGCAAAACTGTGCTGATATCTTCGTCGCCGCGCCCAGACCCTCGGAGAGGATGGTGTTGCGAAATAGGCTGAATTTGCTGTTGATCCAGAATACGAGTAGTCGCGCCATGGTCGGGTCCGGTCGGGTGTGATCGGAATAGTCGATGATGAAGTCTTTAGCGGCTCCGATGAAGTTCACCGTTTCACTGTTGTAAAAGTACTGACCGAACTTGTAAAGTGCTGACAGTGCGCTGATCAGGTCGGCGCAGCTGGAGGCCTTTGGCGGGGTCGGCAAACCGTTCTTTGCCGAGAAGTCCCATAAGTTGACGCCCTTCACGCTTGTCATGACCTCGTCGTCCCAGCGAACCTGTTGGCAGTGCATGTTCGATAGTCCAAGGGCAAATCCAAACGAATGTAAACCTCGTAACACGGCGGGTCTCCCCAGGAAATCCACGTGTGGTGACTGCTGAAGCAGAGTTTGAGCGACCTTACCTTTGTGTCGGCGGTTGACGATGGCGGCATGCACACATCGCTCTGTTGGGGATGGATGAAACACGATGCCGCGGCTCGATCTTGCTTGCTCGCCAAGGCCGGACTCGGTGCTATTGTCGGAGCTGTAGTCTTCTTCGTCCATACGCTGACGCTTCGTTAACGGGGCGTTCATGTGCTGCACTTCATGTATGTCGTCTTCTGCTGAGAGGATGGAGTCGTCGTCGTTGTCGTCGTCATCGTCGCCGTCGGAGCTCGAAGATTCCATCCGTTGCTTCATTGCCTGTTGGCGTACTTTTCGTCGCTTGCCTGGTGCCGAGGTGTTCACCACCGACCGTGCCGGTTGCTCACTGAGCGCTGCTTCTTCCGCGACTGCTACTTCTTTGTCTGTATATAGATCGGCTGGGCGGTTGGCTCGGGTGGCGGTTGCGAAGTCAACGATGTGGTGCCGTCGGACTTGGACTAGTCCCAGCGTTGATGGGCTTACCAGCGGGACCAACTCGTTGGGGGAGAACGGCACCGACAGGCCGGCCAGTACTGTCGCCGGTATGCCGGATTTGCGCTTGCGACAATTGTCAAGGAGTGCGTTTTGGTGATGAAGGAACTCCATCGGACTGATTGCTGCAACGTTGGCGCCGTGCCCTGGTCGCAGCGCGTAGTTGAGCGGGTCTACCTTGATAACCGACTACTCGTCTGTCAGAAGGAGGCGTGTGGGTCCGCCGGGACTCACGATGTGTAAGATGGCGTTCGTGTCGGACACTGTGTAGCCTGAGACCACACCGTAAGCCCACTCGTCTACCCCTGCGGCAGTCGTGAGAATGAAAGCTACCGGGTGGGCGATATCGGAACCGGGCCAAAGCTTACGCTCTGGTTCCGGTACCAATCGAAAACCGATGATCTCCGTGGCGACGTCAAATGTCTGAGCCTCGTTGTTCGAGTCGGGACCAGTGATCTTCACTTCAGCCGTGGTGTCGTTGAGGCTGACGACTTCGACGTACTGAAAATCGGTTAGGTGACTCGCGTGGGCCGGTCCGATGAAGGCGAGAGCCCCGACTTGAACAGACGTTGGCATCGTCGTGCGCGAAGAATGGCTGGTTGGTTTCTTCGCTTTCCACGAGCTGAGTAAAAATGAAAGTGAGGTCTACGAGTGATCGAATCCTAAAACTTCCTAGGGTCCTCGTGCACGCTGCGATGCCTTAAGTTGCGATGCGGCGGACCGTCTTCTGTTCTTATGCTTCCGGATATAGGAGAATCCTTGCAGGATACTTCCGCATCACCATCAAGGGCGCCCGAGTTACCGGTACTTCGAAGGGATTCAGTAACGGCAGTGTTTTTCGCTTGTGGCTAAAGCTCTTCGTGGAATAAGCTACAATTCTCCAGGTACGGTTTCCTGTGGTGCTGGTTCTGGACAATAGCTTCACGCACCTCGATCTCGGTACGTATGTGCTAATTTCCTCTCTAAAGTGATTTGGATTTACTATTCGGTTTTGGAGATTTATTGTGTACCAGAGTCCGTTGGAGCGTATACGACATGGGGATCATGTTGCCAGCGTTGCCACCGAATGCGGCGCACATGAACCAGCCACTGGATGTGGCTGTGTTCAAGCCGTTCAAAGCCATGGTGAGGGATGAGCTGGAGTCAAAGCGGCTGCCGACGTGCAACTCGCAAAAAGAACGCAATCCAAATTGGCTGTCGACGTGCAACTTTCCAAAAAGAACGCAATCCAAATTGCTTGCTCCGCCTACGAAACGGCCATCATGGATCGGCCTAACAACGCTGTGAGCGGGTTTAGGTCCACGGGATTGTTCCCTCCCTCGCTCGTCAACATGACGAAGCGCCTGAGAGTCAACACGAACGGCGGCGCGAGAGGCGAGATCGGGAAAGAGGCGTGGCTCATGCGACAGCGCGAGACGGTGAAGGAGAGCTGGTGTCAAACGATGCGCTCAACCTACTGAACTCGGTGCTCTCGTGCCACTCCTCAATATGGTTTACTACACCAGCTCATATCTTCTGCGATAACTGTTCGCTTACATGTTGTAGGCCTTCCCACTTGGGATCGCACGTCTTGGTAAGGAACACGTCAGGCTTCCCGTACTCATGAACTATAGCCATTGAATCTTAGTATGCCTTGTACATGTAGCGCGGGCGACCGACGTGCGAATCTGGAAGGATTACTCGTTTACCGATTTGGCCCAGAAAGTGTCCATCTTGGTCGCCGCGGCTCCGATCGGGATGTACCAACTCGCCGGTTCCACGATCGAATTCGGACACAATAGCTTCTCCTTCACCAAGTGTAACAGTTGTTTCGTTGAGCAGCGTGTCTTGAACTCCGTGGTACTGGTCAGCTCGGATCTCCTTCTGATGCGTGGCGACCCATCGTAACTGCTCTTGGTCACACTTAGCTCGCTGATCGACCACCCACTGCTGAAAGAGACGCCCACCTTGAAAAAGAGCGGGTTGATCATAATCCTTCTGGAACAGTGTGCTCTCGTAGAGCCATCTTCGTTTTCTTCCTGTACTTGGCTCCGTCTGCGTACGTGTTTGTGTACGTCCATCCGAGATCGCCGTATGGAAACAGCAGGGGATATTGAAGCGGATCGTACTTCTCGTCGGTCTCAAATAGGCGCAACAGTTGCTGGTCTTTAGTGTAGAGAAGTAGATCGCGAGGCTTTGGAATGTTACCATCCGTAACAACCACGGCGCTGACTTCAGAAACCGTAGGCAAGTTGTGCGTCCCTGGCTGAGAAGGCTTGGCGTGCAGCTTGTACTCAATGCCCATGATGGGTATACCCTTCGCCAAATCCGTCCGCAGCTTCTCACCAAAATTGAGGAATTACCGCGCAAACGGATTGCACCGCTCCATCATATCCTCAATGTACTTCAACACAACGTTGTCCAAGTCTGCATAAATGCTTTTGCGTCGCTTGGCGCGCTCCTGCATCACGGGATCCACGATGTAGATCTGTGCGAACTTGGGCCGCGTCCTCTCGCCCGTAGTACGGTCCACATAAGGCAACATTGACCCCAGGTAATGACCCATCGCCCCTTGGATACGGTACGTGTACACACCACCTTGCCCCGCGACCTCCTCGTCTTGGGCTACCTCTCGAAATCGCCTGTCGCTGGATGAAGCACCGATAGACGTAAAGGCAAACGCCTGGTTGTTCGCCCGGATATTGCGGCGGAACTTGTCGTATCGGTACCATTCCAAGAGGCGCGGAGGTGCTGCACGAAACGGAGGTAGTCTCACCCTGCCCCGCATGCAGCAAATGAACTCTAACTCGTCGGGCCATTTTCAAGCGTGGCACAACCGGCACATAGTTGTGGGGGGTAATTTGTGGCGCCCATTGACGATATGTTGTCCTTTAACGTTAGAGATCCGAAAGCCTATATGGTTGGCGTGTGCGTGGCGATGTTTAACCGCCTTACGACGAATGCGGTTCTGCTCGCGCTGGGCCTTGATCTCTGATTCCGTTAAGGCTTCGCGTCGGGTAGCATACTGCTCCCGGTTGGTAGCTAGTGATGCCGCCCGCGCTTCATCCGTCTGGGAGGCAAGTTGAGCTGCCATACGTTCACGGTTTAGCTCTCGGGCTGCTCCAAGTTCTTCTGCGGTCTGCGCATCACGCCGGACAGCCTCTCGTTCGCGGTGCACTGCTCTATCCGCCTCTCGCCCTTCTTCGCTTTGATGAGCTACCCTAGAAGCCTTTCGGGCACGATCCGCTTCTCGGTTAGCCTCACGTTCCTCCGGTACCTGTGTACGCCGCCGCTGTTCTTGCTGGGTACGATTTTGATCACGATCTCTCTCTCGTTGGGAAGACGTTTGGCGTGCCCGATGCTCTTGTTTCCTTCTACGGTCAGCCTCCCTCGCGGCGGCTCGCTGAGAATCCGTCCTGTTCGCTTTTCAAGCTCGCGCACGTTCTCGGATTTTAGCCTTCGTACGCTCCTTCTGCGATGCCGTCATGTTTGCCCTGCGAATCCTTTGACGCTCCGACTTTCTGGCTCGTTCGGCTACCGCCGGATCGACCGAGGTGGGAATCGAAGCTAGTTGTCTCGCCGCCTCTGCCTCTGCATCCGCAATGCGAATACCTTTTGCATACGCAGCTGCAAACCTACGCTGGTGCCCCAGTGGGTCATCCTCTTGCATTCCTGCTCCGCTGTAGGTTGCTCAACAACCACGGCGACCTGAGGCGCAAGCTCTGGTGCAGCGCTTTAGGCTCCAGTAATTCTGAGCGCCGCGAGCTCCTTCAGCAAGCCGCGCTTGGACCGAGACTTCCGTTGCTTGCGCTTTCTCCGTTCATCCGGTGTCTTGCTCACATCCTCGTTATGCTTTAGGGCTGCTTTGAGTTGAGTTCAGGCTGCGTGCGCCGGCGTTTGGGTCGGCGAGCCATGACCACTTACTGCGAACACGAAACAGAGTAACGTGACGCGTTAGACATAAAGTCTAGGTACACCGCACGTAGCAGTAGTCTTCCATGTAGCTTGGTTGGGTTGGACATCTGCGTATTGCCCGGGTGGTGCGGCTCCCATCGAAGTTTACTATCTCATGGAACGAAGTAACCGACACGAAACACCGAAGTGAATTCGCTCGCAAACGTGCAGTCGGCAAGTCAGAGTTGAGCACCCGGGCAGTACTGAGGGTCTTCGTGCGATATCCTTTCGCGCATTCATGGGAATGGCTTGGTCGCATGGGCCAAAGGACCCAATACGGCCAGCTCAACTGGTTCACGTTCGGGTTTGTTGTCAATAGACCGGTGCCAATATAAATTACCAAAATGTGTCAGATTTTGATAATTTACGTTATGCTACTCGCCAGAGTGGGCGGTGGGCTTAAATACTCTTTAAAGGACCGAAATGTGTAATACTATAAATAGTCCTACCCAAATCAGACCAATATTTCCTAATAAACCCTAAGCACGGCTTCCGCCTAGCGAGGCAACCCCCGCTAGGATGATACTTCCCCCTAAGCAGCCCCAGGAGCCTCGGACTATCTGTGCGTGGTAGTGGTGGTGGCTTGTGTGGCTAACTAACATGCATTCACGCAGCGTACCTCGTGGCGCGCGCGTCCCAAATTCAAACTGGGGGCTAAATGCATACAGACTCTGATGTGGCCCACATGAATAATTCTTTTAAATATTTTATTAAATTGGTGACACCTTAAATAATTTAAGTGAGCAAAAAGGCTAATTATATTTATCGAGAGCTGTAGACACACGCTAGCCAACGCCGCAAGCTTGCCAGGACAGTAGGCCTAGCGAAGGAGCAGCACAGTCCGCTATATCGGCTGACGGTGCCGCGGGTGCCGCTTTCGCTTCGCTCGGCAGCTTGTAATGTGGCCGCCTTCGGCGTTCAAAAACGATTATGTGGACCACTCTAATTTTGTCGCCATGGGCTTCACACGGACACACGGAAGCACACACTGGACGGTCTCTCTATTAGTTGTTGTTAGAATAGCGACTCCGCTCGGGATTTCACCTTGTCTACGCGACAAAAATTCCTGGAAACAGCGAGTACAGCGGAACCACTGCGAGATGAAAGTGAGATGCATGTGAGATACCATTGTCGAGGCACGACACTGGCAGATCACTATTGTACTCTTAAGCGTGTGGTTGCCACGCGCGGCTATCGTGATATCCAGCTCTGCCGCGCTACGACAAACAACACTGTGTGAGTTTAAGTAAGGAGAAGGTGATCAATGGCTGAGAGCACGAAGGCTCTGCTTCGTGCTCTATTGCGAAGGACAACATGTATTGAGATTTAGTGTAGTTATCTTGCTGGGTGTATTGCTGCTAATACATTGACTGCTGGTGAGCGGTAGTTTGGCTGAAGGTTCCCACTTACTCGAGAACTTGACGCCTGTGGCGCAAGTGGGAACCACTACCGAATTGCTGCTGTGCCTGTCGTGGCGTTCTGCCTCGGCACTTACGTACTTCTTAGTCTTACCTCTACCTACTTTGCAACGACTATGACAGTAACTCTGCGTAGGAGTAGCAACGTGGAGTCTAACACCTCTCAGGTTATGAGCCCAACTAGAGGTCAGGGTGACTCGACTGAGGCGCAGCAACCTTCGGACGACTCTGAGGCTGCGGAAGAAGCTGAACAACCTGCCGAAGTCGAAAATGTATCCATCACGGACGCCGAGGATTTTGGTCGCCGTCTGGTGGAAATGCCAGGTGGCTACGAACTCCTCGCCCTATTGGTGGAAGATTCTCATCACCGATTGGTCAGTCGGGCCCGGCGTCGGGACGCCCGTGACCGATCACTTCAGAATCCTCCCCCTTCGACCCCAGCACCGGAGCCGAACACAACACCGGAGGCAGCACCACAAGCAGCGCCACCAGTAGGCGCTCCAGCACCAAGCGAGCCCTCCGAGCCCAGCGAGCAAGGCGAAGCCGGACCACCCGACGACTTGCGCAGCCGTGCGTCCTCGCACGGTACCAGCATGCTGGACAACCAGCTCGGCCAGCGCTACGACGACCCTGACCTGGCCAAGCACACGGAGAAGCTGATGGGGAAGGAAGTGCCGCTGCCCAAGCTCACGGACAAGAAGGAGGAGTTCGTGCGCTGGAAGAGTGAGGTGACTCTGCGGTTCCCCTCGTTTGCGCTGGACGACATCACGTACGGTGGTGAGCGCTACGACTCCGTACTTGGCTACACCAACACCAAGTACAATACCTGGTACAACACCCGGCGGGTGCTGGCGTTTAAGGCGATGGCTCTGTCGCTGGACATGAACTTGCGTGACCTGTTCAAGGTCGACGAGCTGCGCGACCAGATCGAGGCGCCGTCGCCGTTGTGGGGGCGCATCACGGCGCACTTCACCAAGGGCGATGGAGTCAACCCTGACTACATCTAGCGCGACTTGCTCAACCATGAGCTGAAGCCGGTCCAGACGGTGGAGGCCTACGTGAAGAAGAGCGAGGAGCTGATGCGGCACCTGCGTGCCGCCAATGGTGAGCTGGAGGAGTGGGAGCATGCGGGCCTCCTGCTCTCTAATGCACAGCTCGTCTTCCGCGAGTTGGCTGAGCAGCACACGGTGTGGTGTGGCAAGAATGATCGCCGCTCGCTGACCAGAGCGGATGCTACGCAGCGACTGGGTCAAGCTGAGCAGGCTCGAAGCCAGGTCGCTGGGCTACAAGCCGGACAACCAGCGCAACGTGCTGCGCAGGTGGTCAGCTTCGTGAGTCAAGGGACCAAGTCGGTGGGTAAGCAAAAGAAGAAGAAGAGACAGGGCATGAGCGAGAACGAGTTGGCGCAGAAGAAGGCACGGACGAAGTGCAGCAACTGCAGCCAGCCCAGACACTGGTACGCAGAGTGCACGGCGGTAACCGGCAAGCCGCTGAAGACGGAGCTGGCCGACAAGCTCAAGGCCAAGAATCGCAAGCCGGCGACATCGTTTGTAGGGGCAGTGGGTGTTGTGCAGCCCGACCGGGTAGTGCAGCGCGTGGATGTTCAGGTGGCGTCGCCCATCTATTCTCCTACCACGCCCGCAAGTGACGACGAATGTGACCTGGCACTTCAACGTCTGCCAGCGGACTGAAGGCCTTGCCGGTGAAAGGACAGGAGATCAGCCAACTCGTGCACGTGTTGAGCAGCAGCAAGGCGGACACGAGCAGCGCGGTGCTGCATCTGCACTGCGTGCTGATAGTCAAGAACGTGAACGCACTTATCCACGAGACACTCGTATTGAGGGTTGCTGGTCTTGGGTACTGTGTACCAGTTGTACCCATTAACCGGTTAACCCGAACCGGTCCAATCCGAACCCACGTTGATTATGGTGATTACGGTAAGTTGTTTACGCCACCGATGATTAGACGAGTAGGATGATTGGATGAACACCGGTGAGTGATGGTTGATTAGATGCACTAGGTGATAGGACGCAGGGTCGCGTGTCTATAACAGTAGGGTGTAAGCTCCAACAATTCAATCACTTTCGAATCTTCATTCTACCCCTCAAGTGCCTTCGCTCCGGTCCCGCCGTCTGCGACGTCCCTCCCTCCGCTTCGTCCGAGCTTCGTGTCCCAGATCCATACCTTCCATCAGGTTATGAGCCCAAGCACCATGTCCTCTGCCCAAGACGCCTCGACCAAGGTCTCCATTGACAAGTTCAACGGGGACAACTACGCGACGTGGAACCGCTACATGCGTGGCGTGTTCCTGACCAAGTCGACGTGGCATGTCGTGAACCGCGAGACGACGCCGAGCACTCGCGGGCCAAGGACGACTACGTCAAGTCGAGCAACATCGCGTTCGGACTGATGTTGCTCCACATGGACGCGGACTACCACCATGTGGTCGACGACTGCGAGGAAGCGTGGGTTGCGTGGACGCGCCTGAAGACGCTGTACGGTGGTTCGCAGAAGGCTGGACGCATCTACCTGAAGCGCCAACTCTTCAGCATGGAGATGTCGGAAGGCGGCAACGTCTTGCATCATTGCAACGAGGTCCTCAACATCAGCGCCAAGCTCAGCAGCATCGGCGCCAAGATGGAGGATGAGGACGTGGCGATCTGCCTGTTGCGCAGCCTCCCCAAGAGCTACGAGAACGTCGTGCTGAACTTGGAGATGAGCAGCGCTGAACTACGATCGCAAGACGTCGTGAAGGTGCTGACGAATGAGCACATCAAGAGACAAGGCGAGAAGACGGCGACGGTGAAGACGGAGAATGCGGCCAAGGCGTTCAACACCGACCGAGAGTCTCGCCAGTGTACGTACTGCGGGAAATTGGGGCACACGATTGACAAGTGCTGGACCAAGCAGAAGGACGAGAATCGGGGCCCAAGACGCGGCGGCAATGGCAATGGCCGTGGACGCGGGGCCAACAATGCCCAGTGGAGGAACGACGACGCCAGCTACAACTACGACTACGGCTATGATCGAGTGGCGTTCGCGGTCTCACTGGAGTGTGGCATTTCGACGGGCAAGAATGTGTCCGGGTTGTGGGCGGTTGACAGCGGCGCAACGCACCACATCTGCAACGACAAGGCCAAGTTCGCTCATTTGATTGAGCGGAATGAAGGCGAACTTTCGGTGGCCGACGGCAACAAGGCGGCCATCATGGGTGTGGGGACCATCGTGGAACGAGTGGTTCTGCCCAACGGCGACGAGCGCGACATCGAGATCAAGAACGCGCTGTACGTCCCAAGCATGAGCAAGAATCTGCTTTCGGTGCCACAGATCAACAAGAGTGGTCTGTTCCAAGTCGTGTTCGACAGCACCAAGATGCAGATTGCGCACAAGGGCTCCAAGCAAGTGGTGGCGACGGCAAACCTCGTGGATGGACTCTACTGGCTCCAGACGCCTCAGCGATCGGCGAATGCGGCGACCAGTGGGAAGACGGTCGACTTACACGCGCGTATGGGTCACGCTCCGGTGGAGGTGCTTCGCAAGATGGTCGACAACAACATGATCAAGGACGCGAAGGCACCTTCCAAGTCGAGTGGACCAAGCGTGTGTCGCGGCTGCCAGCAAGGGAAAATGGTCCAGAAACCGTTCCCAAGCAACCGTGACAAGCGTCACTACGACACGTTCGAGCTGCTCCACTTCGACGTGTGCGGCCCCATGGAAGAAGAGTCACTGGGTGGCAGCAAGTATCTGCTGCTGATCGTGGACGAAGCCAGCGGATGCATGAAGGGGTTCTGCCTGCGTGCCAAGTCGGAGAGCGAGGACTGCATCAAGATGTACGTCACGAAGGTGCAGACGCAGTTCGGCAAGAAGGTCAAGTTCGTGCGGCACGACGGAGCCCGTGAGTTCGCGACCAACTCGCTCAAGGCCTTCTACGAAGTCGAAGGCATCGAGCAGCAAACCACGGCTCCGTACGCGCACCAGACCAACGGCACGGCAGAACGCGCCATCCGGACCATCGTCACGATTGGCCGCAGCATGCTGCATCACGCCAAGCTGGACAAGAGCTTCTGGGCTGAGGCGGCCATGACAGCCATCTACGTGAAGAATCGTCTGCCATCACCCAAGATCGAACACAAGACTCCGTTCGAGATCGTTTACAAGTCCAAGCCGAGTGTGAAGCACATGCGTGTGTTCGGATGCCAGACGTACATCCTGACGCCGAAGGAAAGACGGCGCAAGTGGGACCCCAAGGCTCGCGCCGGGCTGTTCCTCGGCTACGAAGAAGTGTCCAAGGCGTATCGAGTTTATGACATCGAGGCGGGGCAGGTGGTTATCAGTCGCGATGTCAACTTCGATGAGTCGACCTTTGGACTTTCGACGCATACTTCGGATGAAGACGTCGATGATGCTGTGCTGGACTTGGACGCGCTGGACCTGGACGACAACGATGGACCGCGCCAAACGAGCTTCAAGCAGGCGGGGAAGCGCAAGTACCGACCGAGTGGCGACGACAACACTGCCAGAAGATCGCGCCCCGTTCGCCACCGAGCTGGCTTAGAAGAAGCAAGTGCGCCGGACGTATCCTCCTCGCGCCGAGCCGACCCCGACGAAGAAGAAAAGTCTGGGGACCAAGATGAAGACGACGACTCGACGCCTCCAGTGTTTTGGCGTGCCAGTGCCAACGCTGTGGAAGCAGCAGCCGATCTATCGGAGCCGACGACGTTCCAAGAGGCTGTGAACGGTCCTGATCAAGTGCACTGGCGCAAAGCGATCCGCGCGGAGCTCAAGTCGATGCGACTGCGTGGTGTGTTTCGAGCTGCCAAGTTGCCTAACGGACAACGCGCCATCGATACCAAGTGGGTGTTCAAGATCAAGCGCAAAGCGGACGGCTCGATCGAGAAGTACAAGGCGCGCCTCGTGGCCAAGGGCTTCAAGCAGAAGTACGGCATTGACTACACCGAGACGTTCTCGCCCGTGGTCAAGTATGTGACGCTGCGCATGGTGATCGCGATTGCTAAGTATTTTGGCTGGCCCCTCGACCAACTCGACGTGGTGACAGCATTCCTGTACGGGATAATGAAGGAGGTGGTCTTCTGCGTGGTTCCGGAAGGCGTCGAACTGGATGGTGACTTCGACTGCCTGGAACTGGTGAAGGCCATCTACGGTCTCAAGCAAGCTTCGCGAGTGTGGAACGAGACCTTCGACGAGTTCGTGTGCTCCATCGGCTTCCAAGTGTCGGCCTTCGATCCGTGCCTCTACATCAAGGTGGTGGACGGTCACTGCGTGCTTGTACTGGTGTACGTGGATGACGTACTGATTACCGGGAGTTCGCCCGAGCTGATCGCACGCACGAAGACCGACCTGAAGACGCGCTTCGAGATGACCGACAGCGGCAAGTGCGCGTTTGTTCTTGGGATCGAGTTGGTGGACGGCCCGGACGGAAGCGTGACCATGTGCCAGCGGCGATACGTGGACGACATCCTGAAGCGCTTCGCCATGGACGAGTGCAAGGCCGTGGTGAGTCCGGTGGACATGAGCACTCGACTGGTTCCAAGCGACGCGGCGACCAAGGTGAACGCTCCGTTTCGCGAAGCTGTTGGTGCTCTGATGCACCTGATGACCGCCACGCGCCCAGACATCGCGTACGCCGTTGGCTATGTATCGCGCTTCATGGAGAACCCCCAAGAGGAACACTGGGTTGCGGTCAAGCGTATTTTCGCTACCTGCAAGGCACCAAGACGCATGGGATCTGCTTCAAGCCGGGCGACAAGATCGACTTTCGTGGCTACTCGGACGCGGACTGGGCCGGCGACCTCGCCGACCGCAAGTCCACTTCAGGCTACACGTTCATGCTCATGAGTGCGCCTGTGAGCTGGGGAAGCAAGAAGCAATGAAGCGGAGTACATCGCGCTCAGTCTGGCTATCCAAGAAGGCAAGTGGATTCATCGCCTGCTATGCGAGATTCTGGCGGCCGCTAATGAGACTGGACCCGAACTCATGATCCGCGAAGACAACCAGTCGTGCATCAAGATGACGAAGAACCCAGTGAACCACGGTCGCGCCAAGCACATCGACATCAAGTACCACCACATCCGCGATGAAGTCAAGCGCGGCGAAGTCAAGCTCCAGTACTGCGAGACTTCTGTGATGCTAGCGGACATCATGACGAAGGCGCTTGCGGGACCACGCCACACGGATCTGACGGTGGCTCTCGGCATTCGTGGGACTTCGCATTGAGGGGGCGTATTGAGGGTTGCTGGTCTTGGGTACTGTGTACCAGTTGTACCCATTAACCGGTTAACCCGAACCGGGCCAATCCGAACCCACGTTGATTATGGTGATTACGGTAAGTTGTTTACGCCACCGATGATTAGACGAGTAGGATGATTGGATGAACACCGGTGAGTGATGGTTGATTAGATGCACTAGGTGATAGGACGCAGGGTCGCGTGTCTATAACAGTAGGGTGTAAGCTCCAACAATTCAATCACTTTCGAATCTTCATTCTACCCCTCAAGTGCCTTCGCTCCGGTCCCGCCGTCTGCGACGTCCCTCCCTCCGCTTCGTCCGAGCTTCGTGTCCCAGATCCATACCTTCCATCAACTCGTGGACCAGGGCTTGAGCCAGGGCGAATAGAAGGTGGATCACGAGGGGGCCCACCTCCGCCGGGGGATAGCCGGGATGGTCCTCGCTGGGGCGTTCGTGGACAACATGCATGAGCAATGATGACTATGGTGGACACTCGTGGACAACATGCAATGGGCAATGATGACTATGGTGGACACTCGTGGACAAACCAAAGTTATGACGAACGACGTGGCAATGACTATGGCTATGCTGGCCCGCTGCGTCCATGTCAGGAGCGGGGCCGCTCGCCACAGCGTGGCTACTATGAGCGTGCGCGTGATGCGTACGTGGAACGTCAATCGTGGTCGCCACCACGCCGTTGGTCGCCGCCACGAGCTCGTTTTGATCACTATAGAACTGAGCAGCACCATGGCCCACCTCGTTGGCAACGTGATCCACCGCGTGGATGGGGCAACTCGCCGTGGCGCAGTGAGCGTCGTGGTGGGTCGCCAATGCGCTACAATCAGTGTCGCACAGAGGGACCAATGATGGTGAACATGGTGAACCGGAATGAAGGTATGCGAGCGCCAGGGGCCTTTGTTGAGTGGATACTCGACTCTGGCTTCCAGGCAAATGTATGCAACGATCTTTCACTGTTTACTTCGCTATCTGACCAGACTACAAGTCAACTCAGCTTTGCTAACGGGACGGTGCAATCTGCTGTTGTCTGTGGCTCTGTGCTGTTGCGCGTATGCAACCAGGTGACTGGTGAACTTGAGGACAAGCTCTTGGAGAATGTAATGTACATTGCGAATGCGCAAGTCAACATTATTAGCTTGGGTTACATGCAGATGGAGGGCAGATTCAAGCTGATGTGCTCTGACGATCAACGCACGGCAAGCCTGGTACTTCTCTGAGATTTGATATGCGTGACAACATTTACCGCCTGCGAGTGGAGCATGTGGCTGGAGTGATGGTGAATGCGGTGCAAACGAAGAATGCCGACTCGAAGAATACGATAGCGCTGCTGCATCAGCGCCTCGGCCATTTGAACATGCCTGTTGTGAAGGCGATGGCAAGCAAACAGAAAGTTGGGGTAAAGATTAATTCAAACGATCTGAGCCCTTACGACTGCGTTGCTTGTACTGCGGGTATAGCAAAGCGGATGCATCATGCGAGGCGTTCGCTGCGGAAGCTGCAACCGCTGTCTACCTTGATGATTGATGTCTGCTTGATGGATGAACCTACGGCGAGTGGAGCAACGATGTTTCTCTATGTTGTGGACGAGGTCACACGCTACAAGTGAGCGTACTTGATGGAGGCAAAAGGAGACGCAACCTATTACCTGATCAAGCTGATGAATGAGTTGCGCACACAGTTCAAGCAGTTCCAAGTGCAGCGCTTGCACTCAGACCAGGGTGGTGAGTTTGCCAGCACTGAGCTGGATACTTACTGCGCCAAGGAGGGTATCATCTTGCAGACGACGAACGGCTACTCACCACAAGAGAATGGTGTTGTGGAGCGCGCCAACGGAGTTGTGCTGCCCAGGATCCGTGCGTTGCAATTCGCCACGGCAATGCCTGAACTGCTGTGGGGAGAAGCTTTGCTACATGTGGTGGATACGTTGGACAAGCTACCGACTCAACTGCTGGGCATGCAGTCTCCGCATGAACGACTGTACGGTGCTGCACCGGACCTCAGTGTCTTGCGGACCTGGGGTGGTTTGGCGTGGGTCTACATTCCGCCTGAATCTTGTCGTCGTAAAGAGAAACTGAATCCTCGCGCACGGCTGAGCTTGCTGTTGAGCTACAGCGACTCTACGAAAGGCTACAAATTCCTGGATCTTCTTACCTCTTACCTGTCAAGTGGTCACTGCACAAGGAGGAAAAGCACATTTCCATGAGGATTTTATTGCGGACGGCGACTATGTGAAGCAGCTTCTTGAGAACAACTATCTGGATTGCATGCACGAGCTGCCATCAACTGTGCCGATCGTTCGCATTAAGACTACCATGGACTCTTTCGTTGACGGGTCTGGCGGGCTGCTGCACAGCACCTTAGACGTAACGCTGAACGACGATCCAGTGGGAGCAGACCCGCCTGCGACGGCCGATGCTCCAGTGGGAGCCTGTGGTGATGTGGTTTCTGGTGAGCCTCGTGGGACTTCTGCTGCAGTGCGCAGTGCATCGAAGTCCAGTGGGAGAATTGTGGAGAGCTCTAACAAGAATGCAAGCTCACCAGCTGATCAACCTGCTGCTGTTGCTTCTCCTGCGAAGCGCAGCACACGCAAACGACGTACACGCAAGCGTGACAAGACCGTTGAGAAGGTCACGAGCGGATTTGAGATCCAGCCACCGCCTGTGGAACCGTGTGTGAAGCGGCCTCGGCGTACGCAGAAAGCGTAACGTGCGGCTGAGTGACTACGTTATGGGGCATGTGCAAGGAGACATCGAGATTCCAACGACGTACAAGCAGGCCAGAGCTAGCAAGTACTGGCCGCAGTGGAAGCCAGCGATGCTGACCGAGCTGCAGTCTCTTCGAGGCCATCGAACGTGGAGACTTGTGCCAAGGTCCTCGGTCAAGAAGATGAAGGTGATTACCTGCCGCTGGGTGTTTGCTGTAAAACGTGATGAGCGAGGGCAAGTGACGCGATTCAAAGCTCGCTTGGTGATTCATGGATTTAAACAGCAACGCGGAGTGAACTACTCTGAGACGTTCGCTCCTGTGATTCGCTTTGAGACGATCAGGGCAGCTATCTACTATGAAGTGCAACGTGGCTGGGCCGTGCTCCAGTATGACGTCAAGACTGCGTTCTTGTATGCTGAGGAGATTTTCATGGAGCAGCCGCCCGGATTCCAGGAGGAGGGTCCTGACTATGTGTACAGGCTATTGAAGAGCTTGTACGGGCTGAAGCAGGCCCCGCACATCTGGAACAAGACGCTACATGCAAAGCTGGTGACCATGGGGTTCGAGCGTCAGGACTCGGATTTTGGTCTCTATGCACTGAAAAAGGATGGTGAAGTCCAGATGCTCTTGACTGTGTATGTCGATGACCTACTGCTGATGGGAACTCCCGAGTTGTGCAAGGCTACTGCGGCCGCACTAAAGGAGTCATTCGAGCTGACTACAATGGGAAGAGTGAAGTACCTACTCGGTGTGGAGATTCTGATCGATCGCCCGCGGCGACAGATCATCTACTCGCAACAGCAGTACGTGGTGGATGTGCCGAAGGAGTATCACATGTCGACATGCAATGGGTCCGCGACGCCTGAAGCTACGTCACCATCCAAGGCTGTGCAGCCTGAAACAATCGAGATTCTTCCCTACCGAGAGCTGGTGCGTTCGTTGCAGTATCTTGTGCGTGCCTCGAGGCCGGACATTGCTCATGTTGTACGACACCTCGGCAAGTATCTATCCAACTTCGACCACACACATTTTGCTGAAGCCAAGCGGGTGCTGCGCTACCTGCAGGCTACGAAGGACTACGGCCTAGTGCAGGACGTGTCTGACGGTACATCAGCTGGGCTGGTGGTCTACTCTGATGCTGATTATGCGAATGATCCTGCTGATCGTCGCAGCATTAGCGGCTACGCGACGATGCTCGATGGACACGTGATCTCATACGCCTCCAGGAAGCAGGAGATCAATGCAATGAGCACCTGTGAGGCAGAGTATGTGGCCATGTCTGAAGCCGCGAAGGACATCCTGTGGCTACAGGGCTTATGCAAAGAGCTGGCTTGGTCGCATCCAGTGACGCTCATGCTTGGCGACAATGAAGGAGCCACCTCGTTGAGTGCTAAACCCGGCAAACATTCAAAGACCAAACACATCGAGAACAAGTATCACATGGTGAGGAGGAACGTCGAGCTGAAGCGCATGGCAGTGAAGCACTGCGGCACCGAGAACATGGTTGCCGATATCATGACGAAGGCGCTGGGAGCTGTGAAGTTCGCTCGTTTTCGGAAGATGATGAAGGTGCTACCTGTTGTGGCTGCGGAGGGCGAAATGACATCTACTTCGCTGGCAACTGCTGCGCAGGGGCCACGTCGTGCTGACGCGTGCTGAGATCTAGTGTGCCTGGCGAGGCCGAGCGGGTTGCACCTGCTCGCGTAGTTCTACTACGACATGCATGGTTTGGTGGGATACTGTACGAGTGGGGTGCGTGGTTGCACCACGAGGCACATACTGCTGCTAATCTGAAATGGAGTATGATCACGTCGACTTGGCTAAGATCACCGTGCTCAAGTAGGAGTGCGAGATGAAAGTGAGATGCATGTGAGATACCAGTGTCGTGGCACGACACTGGCAGATCACTATTGTACTCTTAAGCGTGTAGTTGCCCCGCGCGGCTATCGTGATATCCAGCTCTCCCGCGCTTTGACAAACAACACTGTGTGAGTTTAAGTAAGGAGATGGTGATCAATGGCTGAGAGCACGAAGGCTCTGCTTCGTGCTCTATTGCGAAGGACAACATGTATTGAGATTTAGTGTAGTTATCTTGCTGGGTGTATTGCTGCTAATACACTGACTGCTGGTGAGCGGTAGTTTGGCTGAAGGTTCCCACTTACTCGAGAACTTGACGCCTGTGGCGCAAGTGGGAACCACTACCGAATTGCTGCTGTGCCTGTCGTGGCGTTCTGCCTCGGCACTTACGTGCTTCTTAGTCTTACCTCTATCTACTTTGCAACGACTATGACAGTAACTCTGCGTAGGAGTAGCAACGGGGAGCCTAACACCTCTCAACCACGACAAGACTCGATCTGGGAAGGAAGTACACGCCCATATCGCGACGGTTCCGGCATCCCTACATTTTCCGACAAACAGGACTCTTACTTAAAGTACTGACCAAATTAAGGTTCTCTCCAAAATACAACTGTGGTGAAGATGGTAAAGTAAGTGACGGTGTCGAATGGAAGCACATGCGGCTAATACTACATGTAGTAGAAGATATCAAAGAGTATAAGGATAGCTACATATATTACTGCAGTTCACCTTCTAAGATGCTATCTCGGCAATATTGCCGGTTGTTGCAGCACGCGTAGTCTAACACTACTCCTGTTCGTCTCATTCGACTTCACCAGCCTCGAACGGGCCCACCAGCGAGGTCATGACGGGCCGTTGCCCTTCGCGGGGCACGTTCACGACCGCGGCGGCCTTGGCCTCCATCTCGTCCGGGGCAGCGACGCGCATGGAGGACCCAGCAGGGGTCCGCCCATTTCACCTGCGCTGGTGGACACCTCGCTGGATGAGCCTGACAGACCGACGCCCCATTTTTGAGCTTGCCGACGTGGAGCCCTGCGACCACGTGCACCCATCTACCTTCTTGTCCTTGGTCGGCTCGCCGCCGATCTTATTCACGGTCACGAGGGTCATCATGCTGACGATCTTGGGGGGCATGGTGCACGACGTGCTGCCGCACGAACAGTAGAGCTGGCCGACGTCTCGGAAGTAGCAGCCCTCGACGGAGACGGAGCCCGGGACGTTGTGCGCCCGCCGGCGACCTCGTCGTAGACCGCCACCATCGCCGTTCACCTGTTGACCTTGTTGCCCTTGGTGCACGGCTTATCCTCGCTTCCCTCACCGGACAGCCTTCTCCAGCTCCTGCTCGCTCTTGATCATCTCGCCCGACACACCACTGTCGCCGATGCAATTGCCCTCGCGCACCACCACCTCATCGCTGCCCATCGTGAGCACGCACACCGTCTTCGCGTCGATGGGCAGCGCCCTGCAGTAGCACACGCTCGACGTGCTCCATCCAGCCCCGACCGGTGCGCCGCGCGAGACGTCATGCCCCGGGTCCGTCGGACGCGTGCGCGGAGGTGGCGGCACTGTGCAGGAACCGCGCTCCGCGCTCGCAGTCGTGGTCACGATCTCTGGCCGCCGCTGGGTCGCGTGTGGGGCCTCCTTGCTTGAACATGATTCTTGCAATGAACACCAATCAAAACTCCAATCCGTCCTACTTAGTATTCTAGGACACATCCTAGCTGTCAGAACGGCGAAAATATTTGCAAAATATTTTCTATACTTGACTTTTGTAAAGGCATATACATATTTAGGCCAGCCTTCCGACAAATATTTATCGGAAAGTGTCGGAACGCATTCACCTAACCCTAACCGATGTCATTGGCTGAAATAGCCACTACAGGCGATATGATAGGCTGTCATTCAGGTGATGACCAGCCTGAAACAATCCTGCCCACTTATCAGTCGGAAAGACCACATATACTTGGTGCTATTCTGGTGGTAGGACAGGCTGCGAAGTACACAGGAAGTTACACAGGTAAAGTGCCAAGAAAACCTTATGCGACGGTTCTGAAATGCCCTCGGGCTTCTGGCACGAGTATGCTATCTCTCTCGTTTTATCTCACCAGCACTACCGTTTCTCGTCTGGGATGATGCTTGCTTAAGTGTACATTATTAATACGTGCGTGTGGGATCACTGCACCACTGGCGACTAGGGCGTCATACTGCAACAACGTCACGCTAGAACCATGAACGATACCGCCGGGGTTATCGGCCCGCACCGCGCGCGTAGGTTTGCCAGCTCATTCATCCCGGTCCCACCACCGTTGCCTCTGATCCTCTGATCAGGTTCCGTGAAGAACCGCAGCTAGCTCGTACAGGGGTACCTGAATGCCGCCCGATGCATCTGCCAGTGCGTCGCCATATCCCGAACGCAGTTGAAAGAGCCGCCTTGGAAGGCAAAGCCTCTGGCGGCAGTCAAAGCTTTGACACCGCCCCGCCATCGAAGCGGGAACGGATTCTTCGAGAAAATCCTGCTTTGATAGAGCTCGAGGCAGCGCAATACAGGAGGCGCGACGTACTGGCGCGTATCCGCGTGCACGAATACAGCCAGACCGATGCTGCATGCGGCAGCGACACCCTCATATTCGACTCCGTGTTCGAAGGTGGCAACCTACAGCGGGCCGAGCGCATCCTCCGCTTGACACCAAAATCCGTGACAGCGTCTCGGAAACCACAGCAAGAGTACAAATTACTGGTGCACCCGGACATCGGTCCTACCGGCAGTGGTTTTACTTCGAAGTGCGCAATGGGCGGCCAGGCGTGACCTATCGCTTCGCTCTTGTGAACCTCTCGAAGAGGGAGTCGCTGTTTGGGCGAGGCATGCAGCCTGTAGTGTACTCGGAGCAAGACGCTGCAAGGAAAGGCGTGGGCTGGTGCCACCGCGGCACAAATGTGCATTATGCTGAAGACGTATCGTCTGGTGATAACAATCTGAGCTTCCACTACGAATTCGAGCATGCGGGCGATCGCGTCTACCGGTACTTCGCATACAGCCAGCCATACAGTTGCATGGGTAGGACGATGCCAGACCACTGATGCCATCTACTGCTCACTCATATGTTATCGTGATGTCAGAGCCTCGCCGGAAACTCGTGCGACCTGCTTTCCATCATATCCCCATGCAAGGACGGCGTCCCACCGGATGAGCGCTGCAGTAAGTACTTCAGAGTCACGTGCACACTATATCACAGTCAGGGTTGTTATAACTTACTGGTGGGTTAGCACATTCTGTTGACTAGTTGTTGCTTTGTCTGCGCGCGTCAATCCTGGTGAGCCCAACAGCAGCTGGATGATGCAGGGCATGCTTGACTACCTCACCGGACCGAGCAATAGCGCAGTGATCCTCCGACGTCACTTCATATTTAAAGTGGTGCCCATGCTGAACCCGGACGGTGTTATCAATAGCAAAACGCGCGTTGGTCTGGCTGACTGTGACCTCAACCGGAAGTGGGGCAACCTAATTGAGCAGCTCGCCCCCACAGTGTACCATTTCAAACGGCTGCTTGCGCACTTTCAGGTTCACGAGCGTGTAGCCATTTACTGCGATCTCCACGGGCACAGCTTGAACCATAACTTTTTCTCCTACAGCTGCAGCAGTGAGAAGTCCCCCATGGAAACCCATCTGCTCGCTACTGCAGCAGAGCATGACGACGGAAGTCGCGTTTGCAATGCCGCGCGAGGACGTACTATCGCCGCAAAGACTTCTACTAGCACTTGTAGGGACAAGTTGAGAAAAAGAAATGACCCTCAAGACTTCCTTAAGGTCGTTGCAGACCACTCCCCAAGCTTCCGGCTCGATAGCTGCGACTTCAGCGTGCAGAAGTCAAAGGCAGACACTGCGCGCGTCGTGGTGAACCGAGGATTGGGTGTGACCAACAGCTACACACTGGAGGCAAGCATCTGCGGGCCAGATGCCGGAGTCTACAAAGACACCCAGTTTTCGACCTGGACCTTCAGGGCATGGGTAGAGCGAGAGCTTGATCGCATATTACGCCTGCACCAGGCCACCAACAACAGGCCATGTCGGCGGCGTCATCTGCCACTCCGTGCGACTGCTTTCACGAGCCAGTTAACAACCTTCCACGGCGAAAAAAGAATGAGAATGGGGATGGCACGAATCCGAGGAGATTTCTCTTTTGTGGTGGCAGCGACGAATCCGGCGAAGCTGCAGATTTTCACGATGATCTGGCACTCGACGCCGTTAGTATCAACGCTGGCGCTACGACGACTCTACCTCTATTCGGGACCGAGTATCAGCACACTCAACAGGGTGTGGCTACGTTTGCTGCAGATACCGATGAAAACGAAGAACAAGCTGGGAGTCACGCACCTGTTCGAGAGGCCGACCACCCGCGAAAAAGCTCACCACTGGGCTTGCAAGTAACGAATGCTCCTGCAGCAACAAATGCTGAGCCCAACAGCATGAAGGTGCAAGAGCACTACCAGGCCGCAACTGCGGCGCACGTTATCGACACCAATCGGTACGCCCGAGGACTCCAAACCCGAGAACGTACCTGCATCTAGGCCTAGCAGACCTACCCATTCAACAAGCGGCGATGCAATCTTTGCAGCATTTACGAAAAGAACCGCCGCTACCCGACGCGCGAGATCTAAGACTCATCGACTGGTAAGCTTTGTGGAGGATTCAGCCGCCGTCACTATAGCACTTCAGAAGGCAGACTCGAATTGTTTTGCACTTACAACGCCCTCTAGGGGCCACCCCCGTCCTACACCAGAGCGTCCGAGCACGACTAGTACTCTACTACCGATACGTCAGACCAATCGGTTACCGGTGGTAGCACCATTGCAAGCAGCACTGTGCGTCGACGGCAGCGAGCTCGAAGGGCGAGTCACCGTCAAATTACTTTTATCCCGCGTGCACTTGGAGCTTCCCGTTCTGGAGCTTTTTGGTGGCGACTTGGACCATGACACCACACTGTGACAGTAGCTCCGAACGAGAACCGGTGTGGTAACTTCCAGTCTGCTCGCCGAGCGCCCTGGGTAACCAGCCCACAAAGCCGCAGTACGACGGAGCCCCAGAAGTAATCTAAACATGTAGGGCAACTACGTAAACTACACTGTTACGATAGTGTCCGCGTCAAGCACGCTTTTACGACAGCGGGCACAAAAGCGGTTCGTCGTCCCATACTGTGCAGAAAATAATAGACACGCATAGGACTAGATCATTTCGATCACGATGAGCAGCGAGAAATACTATCAAATGCTAGGGGTTTCTTCGCTCTTCACCTACAAACCAAGTGCTTCTACTGACATCCTCGCTCGCACCCCTTGTGGGGAGCTGCGAGGTCAGCTCGTTGGAACGGCAACGTAGCCTCCTTGGAACTCGTACAGCGGTGTCCACCGTAGCTCCCTCAAGAGCTCGGTGCGAGACGGAGTGTCCATGTCTGTATACCGGATTCGCATGCACCGCTGACTTCTTGTCACCATCGTGTGAGTGGCATGGGCGACTGCGCCGTGGAATACTATATAGCGGTCTACTTGTTCATGGGCTGAAGGTGGAGGGGCCAGGCGTTCTTCCAGCACGAGTCGAACGTGGATCCGGCGCATTGTGGTTACACCGACAAACTCTGGGTCAGTCGATTTTCGTAGACTCTCGGCATTCCAGCGCAGGTCTCTCTCCACGAAGGCGTAGATCTCCACTTCGATCTCGTTTGGACGGTCGGAGACTATCGCCGCGTAGTCGCCGATGGGCCATCCTCCCCACGTCGGTATCGTCGATGCGATGCCACTCGGAGTCAGCGAAAACGCTCGCAGAGACCCGTCTAGCACCAGCTCCGTGCCCCCGAACACCCCGCTTAGCACAGGCAGTGCGGAGCGCACGCCGAGTACTTGTATCGATGCATCGCCGTCGCGGTGAAGCGCCAGGTCAATGCAAGTGAAGTCATGCAGCCACTGCGCAAACTGAACGGTCGACGGGCTTTCGGCCGCTTGGGACAGGCTGGCGACGTGGATGGAGCTGGGCTCGAGCAACCATCGACGACTCCATTTTGTCGCCAAAAGGCCACGATCTCTCGCTCGCTGGAGAGTCAGGACGGTAGCTGCAGCGGGCTGCCTAGCCTGTCGTAGCCCGCGACACTGCGCGACGAAGACGCGGAATAGATCCCCGACAGCCATCACTTGCCCCAATAGTAGCGTCGAGACCTCGGCTCGCAGCGCATCGAATTGTCGGTGCGTGTAAATCAGCGACAGCACTTCGTCCACTAGTGCCGGTAACGACGTTATGCGGCCCGTCGGAAGATCCGAGGGCACCACAGGAAGCTGCGTCCGTATGAGATCGGTCAGAATGTCGTACAAGCGCAACACCAGCGCCACGAAGCGATCATGCATGCTGCCGCCTTCAGGTCTAAACGCCGTCTCCAAAGCCGGCTGAACATCGCACGAAGACATCGCATGAAACAGCAAATGAGTTGCCACCTGAACGACCCACTGCTGTCGCGATACAGTCTCCTCTTGACGAGCCGCGGAGGAGAACTGGCAAAGATCCACCAAGAAAGAGCCCACGACTTCTCTCAGGTGGGGGGCAGCAGCACAAACGCCGGGAGGCGATCGAGCCGCGCTCATGGCGCGCCACCAGTGCGTCCGCACCTGCTCGACGAGTGCGGTAACCGAGAGGCTGCCAGCCGTAGACAGCGGCATGCAGCTGAGAAAGCGCCACAAGATGTGCAAGTGCATCGCCTTCTCGACCACCCCGACCTGGAGAGCACATGTGCTGAGCAACCAGGTCTCCACTTTCACGTCCACCTTGGTCGTAGCCGTATTACTTGTAGTATCGCCGTCGGCGATGCTATTAGTACTATCCCCCGTACCAACCGGCGGTGGCTGACTCGCCCAGTAGACATCGTCGCACGAGGTCTCACAGCAAGCTCCTTGGTTACGCGAGCCCTGGCTGGAGGAATCGTTGTAGACGTCCGGCTCCGTGCCAGTCTGCGTCGAAGGGCGACAGTTCTCGATGTCCATAAGTGCGTCGGACGGGATCTCGGACGCGAACTCCAGCGCTGGCAGGTCGCAGCCGGCATCGAGAGCGCTCTTGCCCGACCGACGGTAGGACACGAACGTGAACGCAGGCGACTCGTGACGCGCCAGCACAGCAGCTTTGACCGTCCCCGTGCCACTCGATCTGTTCAGGAGCAGGAAGACGTAGACGACCAGGTGGTGCGTCATCTCTCGCCGCGCTCTGCTGGTGCTGCTGTCGTAGTTGTAGAGCCACCTGGGGTGCCGGTGGTTGTTGAGCACGTACAGCACCGCGTCCTTGTCGACCGAAACACGTAACACGTAACACGAACACCTGGTCAGCCGTTCGTCACAAGTTTGCAAAGAGAGCTGGCTGCTCACCTCAGGGAGCGTCTGCTGCTTCCTGTCGCCTTCCCTGTCCGCTCGGATCCAGGTCGTCGTTGGCGCCACGTGCCGTGCCGCAGGGTCGAAGAGACTCGCGGGCAGCGCCACGACCTTGCCCGGCTGCAGCAGCCTCCGCTCGTCGGCGTCGACGTCGGTGCCAGAGACACGCGCGGTGATACATTTGGACGGCTCGAAGCGCGCGAGGACGGCCAGCGAGCTCTGAGTGGCAGCCGACACCGCCGCGGCGAACGTCACCTGCACGTGGATGGAGGAGCCGCAGTAGCCTCGGCGGACGTGCTCCGGGCAGCAGTGCGGGAAGCAGCGCAAGAACTGGCAGCAGCAAACATAACCCAGTGGGTAAGTAACTGCGTCGCCACAGCCAACTGGGCAGCCAGCTGAGCTACATGTACTGGGAGCGTACCTTGACCCCACGATCCCGGTTGCTTCTTCGGTATCAAATCAGCACGCAACTTTATGTTAGCTCACGTGTCGCCCGACAACAATAAACGGAGGACAGCTGCCGACACTCGGTTGGCGACCGTCCTACAACCACGCCCCCTACCTTGTGTAGTGGCGACGGAAGAGCGGGTGGTCGTCTTCGCTGCAGCTCCAGCGCAAGTAGCGACACGACACCACGCGCACCATTGCTTACGTCTTGCGGTTTGTGTACGGTTGGGTGACTCTGTACGTGGACGTCTTACTCTCCGAGCACGATGCGTAATGAAGCGACGCCACTAACGGAAGGACGGGCCCTGTTTCCCCAAAAGGTAGACAGTTTTCACAACTGCGAAGCCAAGTGACGAAGTCGAGTTAAAACTCGATATCCTACTAGGATATCCTAGTAGGATAATCCTGCACACCTACAGATAAAGGGGCGGGCGTCCGACCGTTACCGGCGAGAGTGAGTCTTCAGAAAGCCCCCCCCCCGTACTGTGCGAACATCAAAGGAGTGGCTACAAAGTGCCACGCGCGGAAACGAACGAGACGCAGCCGTTAGCAACGGACGTGCTCACGTGGAAGATGCAAAAAGGTCATTCTCGGGCTCGTTCTTGACTTGGCACTAGTTCCCACTCGAGCGTCTCGTTTGTTCATGGTCAGTGAACAGCCCCATTGTTGGCTGTCGTTTCCAAGCGCTTGGGCATGCGTCCCTGACAAATCGTTTGCTCCCACCAATGGTGGTGGGCCACCATAACATGAAAACCGATGGAGGGCTTGAATACACACTATACTTACGGGTGGTTGAGTAGCGATAAGCGTTGGGCGCCGTTGAGGAACACACAATCGCGTACGCGTGTATTTTCGTCTCGAAACGACCTTTTAGCAGAACCGGAAGTATACGCCACCGACCAACCCCATGCGTGTAACTGAAGATAACTGAAGACCAAGAACTCCAACTAATAATGGTTGCATGGACCTCTCGCCTGTGTTAAAAAGCAATACCCCTAAGCTTAAACGACTAGGTGTATTTCCGAGTGTAGCGGGGAAATTATGTTTTCCGATGGAAGGATAAAGCCACGTTGAAGAAGGACGAGGTGACCGTGGACGGCGAGCCGCACGCGGACACCAAGGCACACGTGGACACCAAGATGCACACGCACACCAAGCCGCGCGCGGTCACCAGTAGGTTTAGTATGCCATTCAAGCGGGCGGTTTTCTTGGACCGGGCAACCGGTACATGTTTTGCCCCAGCCGAACGTGGCAGTAGTGTAGTTTGAGCAATTCATTCTGGGCCAGTCAAGAGTTTGCACCGTCGGGCGCAGGGCCCCAGCAGCCCCGACACGCCACCACGGCACGCTCGACCGCACGCCCGGCGGCACGCACCCGACTCTTTGACACCCACCACAACCACTCCCTAAGGGGGCAGCCCCAACTCGCACTCACTCCGTGAGCTTGATGGGGCTCGCCTTCAATAATCCAGAACGACTGCTGACCCCCCAACGTGCTTTAGTATGCTCAAAGGACACGGGCCAATTTTGTGATTTCGCGATGATCAAAATGTGTACCTTGTGCAACTTTATAAATACAGTTGTGTATGTTGAGGTGCATTACAGTCACTTAGCCTAGCTAACGACCTAGAAAATGCCCGATCCTTCAGCGCTTCAGGTTTTCCACATATTTCCACGACGACTTGAAAATTGGCGGTGGGCATTGCAATAGCTTCACTGCTATAAACGAGTTTGAACGCACCTGTTACGTGATAGCTACCATCTCAAGCGTAAGTATAGCACTAGTACATACACCGACAACTTGGTAGCGATCATCCTCATTCCAGTGCAAGCGCAACAGCAGTGGTGCTAGCGACGCTCTGGTTGGGCTTATCAAAATGGGCGTTTGGCAAAAAGCAAGCCGCCACCCGAGCGTTGTGCAGCTCGTGTCATGTGGGTCAACCCTCCTGTATGCTGTCCAAGTATATCGCCGGAGGATCGCTGTCTGAATGAAACAAGCCGGTCATTCTAAATTGTGGCGTGCTCTACTGGACGTGACTCATGGCCTTCAGTTCCTGCACAGTAGAAAACTCACCCACGGCGACCTGAAAGGCACCAACATTTTGGTTGACGGCGGTACCGCAAGATCACTGATTTTGGGATGAGCTGCGTTGTGACTTAGTCGCAGCGTCAGTTTAATCGATTCGGTAACGAGGTCCGGAATACGTGTTGCAGGAATTAGTTTGAGGCAGACGTCTATTATACCTCACCTAAAAAATGAAAAATAAAAACAAAAATGTCGAATGGATCGTGGGGCTAGTTTGCGCGCGAGTTCAATCCGTCATAGCGAATGATGTTTGGCTTGGTGGAGAAGCGTATCATGAATTTTGCCGAGTTGGGGTAAAAACGTTCTCGCGAATGGCGTGTTTAAGCATCGAGGAGGTGAGATTTTGCCCGGAAAACAAAAGTCTAATACAAATAACTAAATGCACGTTTCTTCTCTTGTTTGTTGTTGTTGTTGAATTAGCATTGTTGTCACTTAGCTATCCTCTTAACGACTACTAAAGACCAGCCCCGAAGATGCCATACTTCGTCATTATCTGAATCCTACACTCGTATCGCCTCTATCGCTTCCGCTTTACTCAGCGTCTGCCTCAGGCACTTCCGCCCCTATATGGAAATATGTATCCGTCCAATGGATTATATCTCTGTCTAAAAGACGAGAGACATCTGCCCAGGTTTGGTTGGTCCGAATGAAAAAAAAATGATGGCGTCCGTAGTTGTATTCGCCAGTTTGTCCGCAGCCGCACCTCTCTTGTCAAGATTATCCCAGCTTGCTTCTTAAATCCCTACACTGCTGGAGCTCGGCCTCACATAGCTATATATCTAATACGAAACACTACTCTGCCCAGAAACTGCATCAAACGATTCGCTCCTCTTCCTGCATCAATTCCTTTTGATTGCCTTGTGATAGGATTTCAACGCACTTCACCACAACCGGTGCGTTCATGTACACGTAGGCCCTGTGGTAAACTTGGCCATATGAACCGTAATTGAAGGACGCGTCTTGCATGCCAATTTCGTGCCGCGCAATGAACCAAGATTATCCTGACGGCACGTCTAGCTCCAAGAAGGCCACGATTTCGCGGGTCACAGTACCCAAAAACTCCCTTTGTTGCACCGAATAGGAACTCGTGTGCTTAACTCCATGCACCAGCAGGATAAGTGCCTTCATTTCCGCACTGGTACCAATGAGATCACTTACTAGTTCTGGGATGTCGCAGTCGAAGAACTGCTTCTTCATAATAGCTTTCTCGGTTTCCCGCTGAGATCTCCACGAATCCCTGGATCCCTTGGACGCCAATGCGTCGATATTTTGATGCAGCTGTGCGAGTGCTGTTGCCCGAGAATCTATTATACACCTACGAGACGAAGTACCGTCGGGTTTCCGCTTCAGCGATCATTTTATCGACATCTTTGGAAACCTTGACCAGTGTGGTTACTGCTCCAGCTCGTTCAACTACAGACCCAACCGTAGCACCACTACTAGACCGAGAGATTCTACAGTAGAGCAGCAAGACCCTCGTGTTTCTGTTTGCTGCTCTCGCGTCTACTGATGTACGATAGCACCGCTGCGACGCCACCATTGATTGCGGCTCGAGCCTTAGTAGTAGAGTCAAGGGAGTCACAAAAAATCCCAATACTCCTGATTCTCTTTCTTGTTGAGCTGGAGAACCGCTCTATATAAACTTGCTTAGCCTCTTGACCACATTCTCATCAGGCAAGTCAACGGCTCGATCTGCAGCAATGCCGGCCACCGTATTTCGCAATATTTGTTTTCGTATTCTCCTTCTGGGATCCGTACTAGAGCCACGAGCAGTGGAATCACCCCAGCCTCGCAGATTCTATCCCAGTTGGATGCTATTGCCACTAAATCGTGCAGTGTTCCAGTGACATTTTCCTGCTGCCTTCGTTGTCGTCTTGGAGGAGCCCAATCAGGCCTGGGATCTTCATTTTGATCGCGTCGATAGTAGATAAACGTTAGAGAACTCCAGCGGCATTTTCTTGCTGCGTATTGGTTCCGTTCGGCACCAGCTTTCCTAGTGACGGAATGCGTCCAGATGCAGCGATCAGCTCCTTGCTGGTTTCACGGATCGACAGCTGCGACGAAGTTCCGACGGCATTTTCGTTCTGTTGATCATCACCGCTCCTCACTAATGCCACGTGGTGGAATGCCTCCTGTCAGGCTGGTTCTGTCCTTATTAACGTCAGTGATCGACCGATTCCACAACGACTCAGCAGCTAGGGTTGTTAGGAATCGGCTCCGGTTGCAGCCGTTGGCGCAACGGAGGTGTCGCTAGCAGCGACAACAAGAGCGTGAGTCCAAGCAGGAGGGACGAGGACAGGAGAAGCTGCGGAGCAGCAGACAGGTGTTGAAGTAGTATGAGTGGCTGACAGACTAGCTGCAGCCACACTGCATTGAGTGAGTAGAAGATCAGTCTCGAAACAGCACGGTCAGACGCAAGTCCAGGAGCAGACTAAGTGCGGAAACAAGTTGCGTGTTGCATTTCACGTGACTGGTGGCGGACATCTGGCGGCGTGCACTCGGTGGCGCTGTGACCGGACCCACCGCGTAACAAGGGTCTTCTCTGCGGTACTGCCGTTCTGCACTAACGCCACTATTGCTGGGATGGCCTCGACCTCAGCCACCGATAGTTTCCTTATTGGGGTCATTTGACGACAAATTTCTTAGAGCTTCAGCCATCAACTCTATTTCAGTGTGGATAGTACGTCCACTAATGGTGCGAAGTCTCCAGTGCCCAATCCTTTCTTTGTTGGCATCGTGGAATGACAAATTCCTCAGAGCTCTTGCAGAATTTTTTCTTCTGCTCGTCGGATCAACTGCACCTGTACTGGGATGCCTCCTGCCACACCGACGCTTTGCTTATTGGATCCTTCTCGGACAATTTACACAACTCTTCAACCACATACTCCTTCTCGTCGTCACAATATCCTAGCTCCCACGCCTCGTCAGTCATGATCTCTGAATTCTTCATGAATTTACCACGAGTCATGTGGATAGATCAGGGACCATCCCCCACGGCAGTGCAGTCTACCGGTCACGGCTTCCACGATCACCATACCGAGTGAGTACACGTCGGCTTCGAATGACGCTCTGCCATACAAAACGAACTCAGGCGCGCGCCACCGAATCGCCCCCAAGTTGTCGAAACCGGGTTGCACGCCAGCGCTGGAGAAGCTCATCCCAAAGTCGGTAAGCATCGCCGTGTCTCCTCCATCCACTAAAACGTTGTCACCTTTGAGATCGCTGTGGACAATGGCTTTACTGTGCAAGAATTGGTTACGCCAAGCAAGAGCCGCCATGGCTTTGCCTCGCCAGCTTTCCGTTGCCGATAGAGAAAATCAGTTAGAGATCCTCCAGCGATATACTTGCATACCATAAAGCACGGGTCGCCAACGTGGCAGGCGCCGTACAATGGAACAATCTTGGGGTGATTGGCCTCGTGCCAGATCTTGACTTCCCTCAGAAAGTCGCCCCGCAGTTTCTTCAACTCGATCGCAACGCACTTGACGACAACGTCGGCATTCACGTACAGTCCACGGTAGATCTTTCCGAAAGCACCGCGGTTAAAGGACTCATCATCCATCCGGACGTCGTGTCGTGCGATGAACCACTTCTCCTCGTTCGGAACCTGCAAACCAGAGAAACCCGAGGAATTTGCGCTGCTCTGTCGAATAGAAGCTCTTGTTGTTTTGAATTTCGTGGATCAACAGCGTCAGTGCTTCCGATTGAGTCTTCGTACTATCAAGACTGCTCACGAGAGTTCCAATGTCAGAATCAAACAAGCTCTGAATCATCGCTGCTCGTTCAATTTCCGGTAGATTTTTAAATGGGTCTTATGTAGAACAGGTCTTGGATTTGGTCAGATAGTACTTTTTCAATGATCTCGTGATTGGATCACATTCGCCATCGGAAGACGCAAAAGACTACATTACGAAAGCTGTCGAGCGCTGGCAAGCATCCCCGAGATGCCAGCTTCTCGGTGATGTCGAGCCTTCCAGACCCAACGGTCCAGCACGTCATGCAGTGAGCTCCCTCCCCACCTGCCGGCAACCCCAGCGAGCTTTGTAAGCTGGGGATGCAGGTGCAGCAGCAGCAGCCTGCGGTGGCCTACGGAAAGCTCGCACGACCTCCGCAGACTTGCCATCGGAGAAGTCGCCGTTGGGCACGAGACGGCGGCTGCGTTTAAGGAGAAGGAGGACGCGAGCACGCCCGCTGTGCATCGCCGCCGACGACGACTGGCCGCGCATCTTGTGATCAAGAGCTCTACGCGCGGCGGAGCGCATCTCGAGGTGCTGATGCCACCCGAGCCTGTGGGCGATGCCAGCGCTGTGATGGGGTACATGCTTCGAGACCCTCGGAAAGACAACGACAAGAGCATGCTGCTATCCCGTGGTATGGCGTGCTGCCTGGACACCTCAAGAACACTGAACGTAAGTGTGCTCCGAATTCGCCATCGTTCTTGATCAAACGTGTGACTAACTGGGAAAACGTCATGTCTGAATCCCCCTGTCTTGCTTTTAGGCGCTGAGGACACGAAGCACACCCGCCGCGCGGACTTGATCAGATGAGCACCGGCCCGCTGACTCTCTGACAGAACGTGTACCTGAAGGACTACGTGCTCGACATTGTGCTGACCAAGTCCAAGCACAAGAATCCCAAGCGTACGACGGTCGTGGAGCTGGAGGCGCCAGGCTTCCGTCACCGCCGTGGACCTGGACGGCACCGCAGCCTCACAAAATACGCTGACCAGGGCAAGATCTCGGTCCACACTTGCCGCGGGCTCTCGGTCGTGCCGCGCTCGCCACTTTTCCCATGCAAGTTGCCTGACTCAAAGAGTAAGACTTGGAAGCGCTAGGACGGTAGGTACTGCAGGCGAGACAGACAGACCATTAGGAACGGAGTCAAGTCTGCGTACTGCGTAGTTTTCATGTCGATTCGAATACAATTGCTTCGAACACGTATTGCTGCGAGGTTATACAATGTGTTATGCGTCCTTGACATTATTGGCACAGCTTCTTCGGCAACGTTGCGCAGTTCGGCTACGGTACTTTACTACGCCCCAAGCAAAGCAACTGGGTATCCCAGTTACTGGGTGTACACCTATTGGTGCCTTGTGGACTTTGTGTTGTTTCCCACAATTTTCTTTTTTTGCATTCTAAAGTTGTACATCTTACCAACGTAGAAGAATGTCCAGCACATGTAAGGTTACCGCTAGTGCGTTTTGCTGTGGGTAGAAACTCGGAAGAGATAGATGCAGATACCGGTACATGCACGAACTTACAGTTAGAAATTACTAGCAGTGATAGTGATACATCGGAGAATGCTACTGCACAATGTCTGCTCATTCGAGTAACCAGTCATATAGACCACCTTTATCTGCAACATACTTAGCAGGACACATCTAGGTAGTTGAACGGAGCATGGAGATGGATCGTCGTGTCATGTTCCACTGCTGTGGTTGTTTGGTTCAGGTCTACGGATTCGGTCTCATAATCAGCATGTTCAAATCCTAGACCTGATCTGCATAAGAACCAAAATAAAGGCAACCCAATTTCCCACTGGGGTTCCCACGAGTCTGTGACGTCGTGGCATTCTAGCAGGTCGAGTTCCTGATGTAGCTCTGCGAGTGCGTCTGCGAATGCATGTGCACCCACTACACGCAGAAGTCTTGGCTTTCCTGTAGTAGCCTTAAGAACTGCATTAAAACGGGGCTGCACATTCTCCAAGCTGTGGACTCCATGCTCCTGAAGCGAGTGCAGCCGATCAGGTACGTGTCGGCATATCGGTTCTTCCACTTCCCTAGCTGTACACGAATCCGATATCTCGGACAAGTTGTACACCAGCCACGCCAATAGTTGGTCCGCGAATTTCTTGTTTCTTTCATTCCCGCTGTTGGCCATCATGGATAGTATTTCGTGCCCATCAGCTTGCATCATGACAGATCGGACGGTATCGCCACCACCAGCACATAGTCCCCAAAGAGCCGAAAGTCCTTCATGTATCCGCCCACTCTGCTTAGGATTCGTTATGTAGCCCAGCAACGATGCAATTCCTCCATTGCATGCAGCTCGTAGTTTTACATCAGCATCTAGATGCTGAGCTAGGAAACCCAATATCCCCGCTGCGTGTTCACGTTGAGCTGAGCTACCATCACAGACAAGCGCGACTAAACACTCCACCAATCCATCTTCAGCAATTATCAAGTCGGGGCATTCCGGGTGTTCAAACGTAAGATTCCACAATGCGCCTAACGAATTCCCTTTCATCTGCAAGCCGTTTCCCTTCCGCACCAAAGCCACCGTCGGCGGAATACATCCAGCCGTTGCAATCTTTCCTTGATTTTCATAGTTAGCGGCCAGATTCTTGAGAGCACTGACAGCCATTTCTTTCTGCATGATGTTTCCGTTCAAAGTCAAAGCCACCAGCGGCGGAATACCTCCGGCCGTTGCGATCTTGGCTTGGTTTTCAGTGTTAACAGATAATGTCATGAGAGCACCGGCAGCCTGCTCTTTCTGTACATCGTTGCGGTTCAAGAAATTCTCCTGTCCCGCGATGAAAAAATCGCGAAAATCGACCAAGTCTCCGATTTCAAGTCAAGTTACATTTACTGTCCCCAGTTACCAAGATAAATTACGTCTCCACGTCAAAGTCCGTATCGGAAAGAGACGCGCTATTAAGAAGTCAGATGCAACACCTTAGCTAGCCAGGCAACTTGCGCTATTAAAAGTGTTATGCAATTTTATTATCCTCTGTACATCGTTTCCGTTCTTCACCAGAGCCACCAGCGGTGAAATACCCACCCCCCGCCGTTGCAATCTTCACCTTGTTTTCTCTGTTCATGGACAGCTCCCAGAGTGCACCGGCAGCATTTCCCTTCTGTGCGTCGTTTCCGTTCTCCACCAAAGCCACCAGCGGTGAAATACCACGAGCTGTTGCAATCTCGACTCCGTTTTCGTCGTTTACGGACAGATTCATAAGAGCAGCAGCAGCATTTGCTTTCTGTGCGTCGTTACCGTTCTGAGACAAAGCTATCAATGGCGGAATAGCTCCCGCGGTTGCCATCTTCTCCTTGTTTTCACTGTCAAATGACAAATTCCGGAGAGCACCGGCAGCATGCTCTTTCTGCCTGTCGTCCAGTGATTGAAAAAAAAGAATTGTAATTGTACAAGTGCAACAATTGTGTAAGTGCAATATTGATTGCTGTCGGCCTGGCAATCTCCACTACATATTGATCAATATTGCTAAGAAGGAATCAAGATCCTGCAAGTCATCTACTCTCTTACTGGTAGCTGTCGACTTCTCCTTCATCTTCTTCGTCGTCTTCGAGAGCCGTCTGCACTGCTTTCGACGTGATCTCGTTCGTAACGAGATCCCAGTTCATCCGTAGGAAGAGAATAGTCTCCAGTGTTTCTGCGCTCATCCGCTTGCGCAGATACCCGAGCATGCACTTCATAGTGGAGAAAAGGCGTTCCACCTCAACCGAAGTAGCAGGGAGCCAATTCAGATCGATATACTTCGACCGATCCTCCTCCCGGGCTTTGGCCCGGTCTTCAATAGCTGCTTTGACTTCCGCTGGTGTACGGCGCCGTCTGGGGGCGGGTTTTGTCTCCGTTGACGGGGTCGTTACATCGCGAGGACTTCGGGGCCTTGATGCACGACTCGTCGGTGTTTAGCTGCGCTTCTTCTTCGCTGCTGACGTGCGCCCGGGTACGTTTCTGTTTCGCATGCGCTTCGAGGTAGATACACGCGCAGGGGTGTTGGTTTCTTCTTCTGGGAAGCGCTGTAGCCGGACAACAGCGACGGCTTCTTCTGCGATTAGATCTTGGTCGCGACCTTGCATGATCTTGACCACGGCGATCTCGAACGCAGGAGACTCCACGATGTCGGCGTCGGCTTTGCGGCGGTCTGCCAGCTCGAGGAAGTCGACCAACGTCTCGTCCAGAATGTCTCGCTCTGCAACGAGCGTCAGGTTACGTGCCTGCAATCGTTTCGTAACCAACTCCGACAAATCCATGTCGTCTAGGAGATCCAAAATGGTGCAGTGTTCAGCTGGGCTGGGCAGGTACTGTACAATGGGGAACCGTCGCGTGTCGTCTTCGGGGGCATCTTCGGGGATGCACCTATCAACTTCGCAGTCTCGCTCAAACAAGAACAAGTACGGCTGGAGCTGTTTGTACCGCTTGAGCATGCGGTGGATGCCGCTCCACCGAAGCTCGTGCAGTGCAACGGGCTTCCACTTGCACCCGTTCGCTTTCAGCAAGGCGATGCGCTTGACCGACTTCAATTTGCGCATCAGAACAGACACCTTCTTGATGGTGTCGGTGTATGATTTGATGTAGTCATTGACAGCCAAATTAAAGCGATGTGCCGCGCAACCTATCATAGGCGCGGAGACACGTCGTGAAAACGCTTTGTTGGTCTCCATGTTGTCGCAGACGATGCCGACGATGTTCGCGATGTCGAGTTGGTACTGGTCGAGAATTAGGTCCAGGAACCGGATGTGCTCATCCGCCGTCATGCTGCGCTCATCGATGAAAGATGACAGGGCAAGGAATCGCCATCCTTTGCGCGTCACGACATATACGGCCAACGAATGCTCTCCGTTGTCGGTCACACCGTCGAAGACCAGCACATACCTCTCGTCCTTGAGCTCCTCTATGATCAGAGGCTCGAGCAACTTGACACTCGCCACCATACGGGCTTTCAGGGTCTTCGAGCTCATAGAGTTGAACTTGACGGCGGCACGCACCGTCTTGTCATCCACGTCAGCAAACGTGAAGTTTTTGTGGACGACGAGATTCATCCACTGGTACGTCTCTTGCGTGTGCCGGTCGACGAACATGTCCATGGTGACGACGCGCTTTTCGCGCAAACACTACCGGGCGATGTTCTCGTAGCCAGGATGCTTGGACACGAGGTGGTTGAGCAGGTTGGTGTATCCGGCCCTCTTGGTCTGCTTGACGAAGTTGTTGCACACGTTGCACGTCCGACCCAGGGTGCTTGGTTCTCGAAACAACATGGCAACAACAGTCTTGGAGTCGAGTTTTGGGCCGAGAAGGGTGAATGCTGAGTTGGTGGCCATGTTGAAGGAGGGGTGAAAGCACGTGCTGCTGGTCTTGTTGTACGTGAGCCACCGGCAGGACGGGTTGGATCGGTCGGGACGGCCTTCGAGATGCGTTGGTCTTGGGGGTTCGTGACTTGCGCGTGCGAGTCGAGCGACGAAACCTTGCTTGAGGAGCGCGATGGGGTGTGTTCGATTCGTTTGCGGGCGTTTACAGGCAGTGGTGTCTAAAGGAAGCGTGGTGCAGTGGCGGTGAGGTCGGGGGAGATGGTTGCTTGCAGGGGGTCAATTCGAAAGTGAACGCTCAAACGACTCCGCTGTCTACCGTGCTTTCCCGTCTTGTGCGGCCTACCCGAAAGCTATTTATGCGTCTGCCAAGACTGTGACGACGACTTCAACTTGAAGATACACAATTAGATACGCATATTGCAATGTATTGAGGAGTATATTGAGATTGTTACAATATTGATTGAGTCGGCCGCCTCAACAACAATCCATAAACAATGGATATTGTCCGATCCCTGCCTGTCGTCTCCATTCTTCAGCAGAGCCACCAGGCGCGGAATTCCTCTCATCTTGACTTCATTACCATTACATGTAACCATCAGTCGTGGGATATCTCCAAATGTTGCGAGTGGCAACCCCTCGTCACTGCAGCTATAATAATCTTATTTTTATCATTCGTGGACAGATTCCAGAGTGCAGCAGACGCGATGGTTTTCTGCACCTCATTCCCATTTCGCGCTAATTCCATGAGCGGTGGAATCCCTCCAGTCGCAGCAATCATTTCCTTGTTACAATTCTCTGCGGCTAACTTCCAGAGCGCAGCAGCTGCTCTCTCTTTCTGCACGTCGGTCCCTGTCCCCAGCACAGCCACCATCGGAAGAATCCCTCCTGCCGCAGCGATCGTTCCTCTGTTTTGCACATTAGGAGTCAACACTCCACGAGCCCCACTCCATCTGCTGGCATTCCCGTCCTGCAATAAAGCTACCGACGGAGAAATCCCTCCAGCCGCAGCGATCTTCTCTTTGTTTCCGTTTTTCACGGACAAATTCCATAGTGCTGCTGATGCATTTGCCTTCTGCACGTCGTTCCCGTTTCGCACCAATGCCACTAGTGGTGGAATGCCTCCAGCCGCAGCGATCTTTTCCATACTTCCATCGTTCATAGACAAATTCCAGAGGGCAGTTAATGCACTCCCCTTCTGCGCATCGTTCCCATTCAGCAATAAAGCCACCAGCGGTGGAATTCCTCCAGTCGCAGTAATCCTTTCTCTGTTTCCCACGTTTGAAGCTAGCACTTCAAGAGCACCACTTGCCTTCTTCTTCTGGAGGTCGTTACCGCCCTGTATGGGGAGATACCTCCTGCCGCAGCGATCCGTTCGCTGTTTTGAGCGATTAGAGCTAGTACCTCAAGAGCACCACTTGCCTTCTCCTTCTGGAGGTCGTTACCGCCTTGTATCAATGCCACCAGGGGAGGAATACCCCCGGCTGCAGCGATTATCTCTCGATTCTGAGCGTTTAGAGCTAACACTTCAAGAACTCCAATAGCTTTTACTTTATGCCCGTCAATCCCGCTGTGAACCAAAGCTACCAATGGAGAAATATCTCCCGCCGCAGTGTTTAGAATATCTCAAGAGCTCCACTGGCCTTCTCTTTCTGCAGGTCATTCCCGTTGCGTAACAATCAGGGATGTTAAAAGAAAGCCCATCAAAAATGAGATTTTTTCTCAAGGATATAAGAAGATAAAAGAAGATTTTCGGGCTCTCAAATTACAGCGAGCATATGTGTGTATACCTACCTAACCCACGCCCCTACCACTTTGTCTACTTGCTTCGCCGTTGAAGCTGACGTTGCTACACTAACACTGTTGCCTTCACTTTGGATATAGATATACGACGCAGACAGAGTCGGCAGCATACCTGAAAATATAGCAGGCATTTTGTTGAATATATTGGACATGAAGGGATGACAAGGATGTAGTCGTCACTTTGTTGGAGTGACCTATGACTTCAAAATTCCGTGAATAGACGACAAATGAACTACTTCGAAGTATTATACCGTAGTTACTGCTCCTTTCTAGCCCGTTTTGGACCTTTCCCATCGTATCAACTAACAGCTTGAAAATTGGCTACAATATAAGAAAAAAGAAAAAAATCGGCCTCTGGCACCAATCTTCTTTTTCAATAAAAGAAGATATAAGAAAAATCAATAAAAGAAAGTTTACCATCCCTGGTAACAATGCTACCAGCGGTGGAATGCCTCCAGCCGCACCAATATTTTCTTTATTTGCATCATTCGTAGATAAGTTCAACAGAATAGCAACTGCCTTCTCTTTCTGCACATCGTTTCCAGATCGGGTCAGTGCCAGCAGCGGCGGATACCTCCTCCCGCAACAATCTTCTTAATGTCTTCATCAATGTTCGATAAATTCGATAGAGCTGTTGCTGCAATCTCTTTCTGCACATCGTTTCCATTCCCCAACAATCTCACCAGAGGCAGAACGCCTCCTGCTGCAGCAATTTTCGGTTTGTTTTCATCGTTTACAGACAACTTCGAGACTATAGTAGCGGCATTCTCTTTCTCCACGTCATTTCCGGTCTCCACCAACGCCAGCAGCAACGGAATGCCTCCCGCCACTGCAATCGTCATCTGGTTCTCGTTGTTGGAGGACAAATTCCGGAGAGCAGCAACTGCATTCTCTTTCTGCACGTCGTTACCGCTCCGCAATAACTCCACCAGTGGCGGGATTCCTTCCACAAACATCCTTATCTTGATTCTGTTGTTGAGGAATAACCTCGCGAGAGCCCGAGATGCTTTCTCCTTTTGCAGGTCGGTTCCGCTCTCTGCCAATCTTATCAGAGGGGGGATACCTCCACAACGGGCGATCTCTGCCTTGGCCTTGTCATTCTGAGCCACATTCCACAGCTCTTTCGCCGCCTGGGTTTTCTGCTCCTCGCTGCCGTCCCCCAACAACCTGATCACCTCTGAAAAGCCTCGTTGCTGCTTTTCGCTAACCCGCGAAGAGCTCGAGCAGCGTTCTCTCTCTCCGCGTAGGAGCCCGTTTGCATCAAGGCCACAAGCAGAGGGATCCCACCTGCATCGGCGATTAAAGCTCTGGCGACTTCGTCGCTACCAGCTAGAGATCCCAGCTTCCAAGCAGCCTTAGCCTTCTCGTGTGCACCCCCGTCGCGCAGCAACCCTATTTGTTGGATCACCGTAGCCTGCTTCTGCCCCATCGCGTTCTCGACGCGTGTGCAAGTTCCCAACTAAGCGTCTCCTCGAATCCAACACCACTCCCTGGATATCAGCCGTATCATATCGGGTCGATGGGTAAATAAAAACCATGACAGACGAGTCTCTCTGTGAATGAGGCTCACGCCGCCGGCCATTGTGAGCTTATCTCCAGCACAGGTAAAAGTTGCATGTTGCGAACACCAAACACCACTCTCCGTCAATGAGCTGCGAATTAGAGTATTCCTGCTGCAAGCTCAGCTTTCAGGGAGAATTAGGCGCTGGCGATCAGTATGTCCACTTGCAAGGTTCCCAGAGCACCAGTGGCGCTCTCTTTCTGCTCGCCGATGCCTCTCTTCACCAACCCCTCAACGCAAACCAGCACATGAACGTCCCTCGCCGCAGCGATCTGCGCTTTGCTCGCATCATCCTCTGCCAAGTTCCTCAATGCTAACGACAGCTTCTACGTCGCTGATTCGTCGTCAAAGTTACAAGTGGTAGAACAACTCCTGCCGCAGCGATTCCTCTCTGTTCGCGGTGTGTCAACAGAGCCACCACTGCTCTATCCTTGTGCTTGCGTCGCCGCTGCTCTCAGTTGGTGCAGAACAAATTCCATACTTATGCTGTCAGCCCCAATCTCTTTTTGCCATTGACACTCTCTTCAACGTCAGCGCAAAGGTGAACTGGACTCGGCTTGCACCATTGACGCTCAAAGCCCACATAGCGCTGCCACCGTCTAAAACAAATGTTGCCCACTCTGCACCAATTTCACCAGAGGCGATGCATTGCCTCCAACCGCGACGATCGGCTACGGTCGCCAGCCACACTAGCACAAACGTACTGCAAGAAAATGAATCGGCGGCTCGTAGCCAATCTCATCAAAGACGGAGAGCCTCACACCACACCGAGCGAGGTGCTTCCTGATGTCGTCGTTCAATGAGAGCTTGCTCAGAGCACCAGTGGCGTCTCTCTTCCTGCTTGTCGTCCCCAGTGGCTGGATGCCCCGATCCCTCCTGTGCCGATCGGCGTCCACGCATGGTAAACTCCCCCACAGCTCGAGCAGCTCTCTTCTCCTCCTGACTCTTGTAACGCTGCACCAACGCCACCAGCGGTGGCATCCCGCCTGCTTCGGCGAACAACACGCAGCTCCGGCAGCGACTGGCTTGGGCGCCCTTGAAGCCCTACCGCACGACAGACCCGTGCAGGTTTGTGAAGGATCGAGCCCACTTCCTGCCAAAGAAGCAGACTCGCACCTGGACGCTTGCAGTGCCGTGCTCCTTGGTCGGCCGTGTGGGTGTCCCTCAACGACTCCAGTGCCACAAGAACACTCTCTTGCGACGCAGCGATTGGTCGTCCGGTGTTCCGCCCTATCGCTACCTCTCCAGGCGCACAGAATCTCGAACCACCATACAATCCTCCAGTCCCACGTCAACTTAACCAAAGCACGACCGAAACCCCATCTTCAGGATCCGTTTTCCGCCGACAAGTCCTCAGTTCGAAAAGAGCCTCCAAGCAGCGACAAACACTCTTGTCTTCAAGGTGTCAGATGGCGCCCGTCGAGTGGCTCTCGTCTCCGTCCTCCTCGGGCTCGCCCGTGGTCGAGCCACCTCCTGCCACCTCTCAGCCACCTACTCCTGCGTCCCCCGCGCCTGTCACCCCCATCAGCTCCCCAGCCTCCCCGCTCTCCGTCGAGCCCATCCAGCAGCAACAACTGGACGCGGCCGAGAAGCTGCCGTCACCTGGCGGCCCCGACTCGATGGACTACAAGACCGTGACCTTCACGGCTCCTCCGCCGCCGCCCTTCAACCGCCGCGGCTCGCGCGAGACCAACCGCCCGCTGTTCTCGGAGCGCCAGCGCTTCACGCCCACGGCGGACAAGCTCGTGCTGGTCATGGTAGGGCTGCCGGCGCGCGGCAAGTCGTTCATCGCCAAGAAGCTCTGGAAGTTCTTCTGCTGGAAAGGATTGCGCTGTCAGGTGTTTAACGTGGGCCAGCTGAGACGCGCCAAGAGCGTGGGCGTGAAGCAGGACCACTCGTTCTTCGACCCGAACAACGCGCAGGCCCGTGAGGAGCGCGAGCGGCTGGCGGCCGAGTCGCTCAAGCAGGTGCAGCGCTGGTTCGTGGGCCAGGACGGAGAGAGGGGCGGCGACGTGGCCGTGTTCGACGCCACCAACACCACCAAGACGCGGCGCAAGATGCTGCGCGACACGTTCAGCGCCTTCGCCGAGGAGCACAAGACGAGCGTCCACGTCGTCTTCATCGAGAGCATCTGCACGAGCGAGGCCGTGATCAACGCCAACATCCGCCAGAAGGTCGAGAGCAGCCCGGACTACAGCAACATGCCCGAGGACGAGGCCTTCGCGGACCTCAAGCAGCGCCTCAAGAACTACGAGGCCGCCTACGAGGCGCTTGAGGACGCCGAGGACTGCAGCTACATCAAGCTCTTCGACATGCAGTCCAAGGTGCACGCCAAGGGGATCTATGGGCATGTGGCCAAGTCCATCCTGCCCTACATGATGAGCTTCCACATCGAGCACCGCCCCATCTGGCTCGTGCGCGCCGGACACTGCACCGAGGTGAAGAGGGACTTCCGCGCCATTATCAAGGACCCGTGTGTGGCGCCGCGCTCGGCCAGGCTGAGTCCGCTCGGAGTGGACTTTGCCTATCGTCTGGGGCACTTTGTCAAGCAGCGCACGGCCGTGTGGATGGAGAACGAAGGCATCATGCCAGAAGACAACCCGACCGAGTGCCTCGTCATGACGTCCACGCTGCCGCGCGCAGTGGAGACGGCGGATTTCCTCCCCTACGGCAAGCGGAGTACGTGTGGAGAGCTGTAACCTGGAGGTTGTACTGCTGGTGCTAGTTGATACTTATTTGTGTGTTTTGCGTATTGTTGTGCAGTGCAAATGGCGACGCTGAACCCGCTGGACAAGGGCGAGTGCTATGGTATGACGATGGACCAGATGAAGGAGCAGATGCCCGAGGCCTACGCAGCGTACGAGCAGGACCCGTGGCGCACGCGCTTCCCTGGCGGCGAGTCGTACCAGGACCTGATGATGCGTCTGGAGCCCGTCCTCATCGACATCGAGCAGCACACGGGCCCCGTGCTCGTTGTGTCGCACATCTCGACACTACAAGTGCTGTACTCGTACTTCCTGGGCGCGCCCATCGAAAGCAGCCCGGACCTGGAGATCCCCTTCCACTCGGTGCTCGAGCTCGTGCCGAGTCAGGACGGCTGGACCAAAACTGTATTTAACATGCGTGCCTAAGGCTAAGGTGCAGGGTGGCAGCATCCTGTCGCGCCGCGCCGTGCACGTCTGCTTATTTGCTTCGCTTCTCACGTATGAACCTTGGTGCATGTTGGTTGCACGAGGCCAAAGATGAACTCAACACGACAATAGTTCACCCACCTATTAGTGCTCACGTGTGCTATGCTACTTGATGTCCTGTTACAGGTTTGCATCGGCGCTCTCAAGTCCCGCGGAAGATATGGTACGAGTGTTCAAGTTCACGCGCAGGTACAAGTGGTCGGTCGCCGTCGCTCGGGTCGTCGACTTCGTCCAGGTGACCGGTCCCCTCCAGCACAACTTCGAAGTCGCGTCCGTGCTCCACCGTAAATCGGAATCGACTCTTGTAGCGTCGGCCATTTGCTCGTGGATGGAACTCAACGCGAACTTCCAGCGGCGCGTGGACGAGCGGGTGAGTCGTGGTCGCGTCTTCACTCAGCAGATCTCGCATCGAGTCGGTGGTCGGCAGATAACCCCCAGCAGATTTGAGGGTGGTGGTGGGTCCCTGGAGCTGGCCCGACAGTTTGGAGAACGTGAAGACGCCCGGTTCGTCCGTCAAGTGCGCGTGGTGCTGCCGCATTTCCTGCTGCTGAGCTCGCGAAATGGGTTTGGGTCTTGGAACGTGTTGTACAGCGAAGCGCGCAGGCACGACCGTGGGGTTTGCCAGCCGCAGCACGACGAACCGAGAGGCGGAAAGATGAACCCGACCAAAGAAGAAGACCGACGGCGATACCACGATGGCAGGTCGCAGCACCACAGCAGCGAGGCGAATTGTCTGCACCGAGCGCGTTGCAAACTTGACACGCAATTCGCCGTCGAACTGCGAGTGCAGAGGGAGCTGTTGCTGTTGAAGAAGCGCCTTCGACTTGGGCTTTGAAGATCCAACTGAAGCTGCGTCTGGCAGCGATGCTGAGGGTAAAAATCGCAAGTCGATCCGCACGGACATTCGCGGCGGCAGCATGAACATGTACGACTCTCCCTGCGCTGAGGATCGACGGTGTGCTGGTGGTAAATCTGCCATCGAGAGAGGATGTCGTGGCGCCAGCGAGTCGGCTTGAGCCACGGCAAACGGACCATCACATTCCAGTCGGAACGCCACCCTTGAAGCCAATCGGTTCACCAAGAAGAGCTCGCGTCGATGGAAGACGTGCTGAGCTGCCGCTGCAGACATCAGCGTGGACCACGTGGTGAACTTGATGTGATACGGCGCAATTTGCGGCGGCACGGGGGTCACTATCGCAGCTACACTGCTTCTCCTTGCCCCGTTCCTTCCTGAAAGAGGCGATGGCGGCGCTTGGACCTGCTGAAGTTGCTCCCTGGGCTTGTCGATGGATAATTCAGGCTCGATAAGGTCGGCTGACAGGAGTACGCGAAGACACTTCGGGCTGTAAGACGAAACTGAGATGCTGCCTGCTACTGGACCAGGCTTCCGAACTATCGCGTTGGCCATGCGCACAGCTGTAAACGCCTTCCCTGCTGCAACATGTGCGGCAGTGCTTGGACTGTTGTTACTTTGTCTAGCGGGACTGGAGGCGCCTTCTTGCCGAGGGTCAGCTTCTGAATGAGTGCTGCTCAGAGTCAAAGAGCTGCCGGTGCCATCTGAAGAATTAGCTTCCTCCGTGCTCATGTCGTACCAGTGAGCGTCTGCCAGCAGAAGAGCTCGTGGTGCACCCACTCCATCTTGTGGTGAGAGGAACGTCACTCGGAACGGAGTTGTGCTGAAGGGAGGCACCATCGCCACCTGAGGTTCCACAACGAACGGTAACTCAGCGGCACCGCTGTTGTGCTCGTCATACGGAGTAATCCGAAGCTGAAGCCGTGAGCCGAAGTCCACACGCAACGTCACGTTCACCAGTTGGTCCTCTCGTCCATTCTCCACCAGTTTCCACTTGAGACGAGCACGCTGCGGTCCGCGGTTCACCACGCGCAACGTCCTCGTAATGCTTGGAGATCGAACGCAGACCGCGCCAAACGTCAACGTCGGCTGCCGAAGCAGAACTTGGGGTCTTCCTTCAGGTACCGGCCTGCCCAAGTGTAGCCCTACGCAATTCTTGTCCAGAACGAGCGGAGTCCCGACGATCCCCACGTTGGCATGCAAGAACACAGGAGGAGCTCCAGTGGCGCGACTCACAACGTCGTCAACGTAAGTACCCGGCATGTTGTTGAAGCACGTGACACGAACGACAGCCTGCTCCCATGGTGGAATGTAAACTCTAGCGGGGGACAACTGGAAGGCGACTCCACGACCTTCACGCAGTATTTGTCGGTCTTCCACGTTCTCTGCGCATTGGCGGAGATACGCTCGCCCGTTGTCGGACTGGAATCGGTTCCGGTTGTCCTTGGCATCGGAAAGTCGCGGCTTGGTGGGGTCCTGCCCTGTTACGCTCGCTCGGTATGAACTGGTTCTGTTAGACAACAGAGACCGCGTGGTCTTGGACACTGTGAGCCTGCTTTTGTGTTTGCGGTGGCTTGGTGACGTTGAAGGGGAGCCCTGTATCAACTGCGAGCTGTCTTGACGTGACAAAGCCCCGGTACCCTTGTGTGACGAGCTGACCGGCGCTGCAGGAAACTTCTTCGCTTCGAGATCCACCAGCGCTTCAATACCGCTGAAGTTCCGTATCAGCAGCAACAACGTTCGTCTCTCACCAAGCGGCACGCTATCCCCGAATGCGAGCTTAGGGATACTGCTGAGTGGATTTGTCTCTGGCTCCAAATCGCAGTCCGACAGCGTGATGCCTCTTTCCAGAGCGATTTCCTTCGGGGACTTGGGGAGAGCGAGCTCAGACGCGTCACCACGCCGCGCTTTCTTCCCCAATGGGAGTTTCGGAGGCTGGACAAGTTCATACGACAGCACCAGCCCCTTGTGGTTGCTACTGACCTCGAAGCCCAACGGAGCCAGCAACCCACGGACACTGCATGCGAGTATGACCGTGAATCGCCCAACCTGCCGCGGTGTGTAGTTAATCGTGACCACAAGACGCTCTTTGGAGTGGATCGTGCCTTGCTTCGGCGAAAATGTGATACTGTACGCTCTGGATGCACCCTCGGGCTCCACAAACTTGAACGCAGCTTCGAGGTTGGAAACATTCACGAGTTCAATGGTTCGGCGGATCTTCACGCCCATGTACGTCGTCCCCAGCGGCAATCGGGTGGTTGAAAGGAAGACGTTAGGACATTGGATCTCAGCACGCGCCGATACAACTGCATGAGCCACGGACGAGTTGATCTCGAAGAATTTACGCTCTGGAGCTGCCTGGCAACTGAAATTGCCTCGGAATCTCTCAGGTAGAGACCCCGCCATGCAGGTAGCCGTCACAGTGAAGGTTTCGCCAGGTAAGAGCACGCCGTTCTCAGGTGCGAACGCGACAGTGGCTCGTGGCAGAATATCCCTCGAAGTGAATAGGCTCCGCTCCGTCTCGTTACCAGAACTCGAGGATATCGCGGAGTGTCGCGAAGTTACAGACTCCTTTGAGCTGGATCGGCGAAGCTTCGGGCCAGTCGACTGCAGTTGGTGTTGGGCTGCGGGGTCGCCACCTGAAGTCGATCCATCCAGGTGCAAGAATCGCCAGTTTGTCGGCACGTAACGTGACGGGTTTCGGATGGTTACAGTTGATTCAGCGCTTGCACCTACGAGAACCAGACCGAAGTCGACTTCAGGGGTAATAATCTCGATCTCAGCCCCGGCAACCTTGCCTTCCAGAAGCAGCCACCGCTCGAAACGCGGTGCACGAGGCGTCTTCGTGTCGTTCGGTGTTGTTATTCGGCACGGCACGCTGAGTGAAAATGAACCCGTCGATAGTGGGGTGAACGTGATTTCGACCCGCTGCTGACCAAGAGGTTCCAGCTCACCGGTATGTGGGGAGAGCGCCAACTCGAACGTAGGCGGTTTACCCTTTGTAGCAGCCATGGATGTAGATGATAAAGGCCCACCGCCAGCTGCCAAATGTCGCTGTTTTAACCTCGCAAGTTCCCAACTGAATGCTACCCGCGAGTTGCATTGGTTCTTCAGCAGCACCGTAGCTGTGTACTTCTGGTTTTGCAACAAAAGTTGCGCAGACTCACTTCCAACATTCCCAGGACTTTGCAAACCGTCGTCCTGCAGCGGAATCCATGAATCGTTGAGTGCCGGGATAATCGTAAAGCTGCCCAACCGCCCACGTCCGCGAAGTTGCATCGAAAACCCCGGCATTTCATCTCGTAGTTTTCTCGCTGCAGCTTTAGCTGCTGCCCGAGGACTAAGCGGTTGATTTTCACTTGCTTGGAATGCCGCCTTGAGGTGAGCCATCTGACCGGGACCGGGCATGCTACACGCTGGAATATCATTGATCATCAGCGTGGCTTGACATGCATAAGCACGTGCCCCAATGGGCAAGAACTCAATTCTGAATTCTTTTGACGATGATAGAGCGAATACGCCGCTCTCTGGGGAGATAGTAAACGGTGGAATCCATCCGGGAGGACTCGATAACGCCATTGACTTGTCCTTGACTTCACTTCCACTTGGTACTTCATCTAAAGGCATGATCTTCCAGGAATACTTGACATCTATCGGCGTGTCATTCGTGATCACGATAGATTGTCGAGCACGAGCATTTACCAGCACTTCATCACGGAAAAATAGTCGATCAAGAGGACCCATCTCGGTAATGGTGGTGTCGATGGGGGAGTCGTTGACTTGCGTGGCCGCAATATCCACTTGACAACCACGACCTACGAGTTGGAAGACTCGCACGAGGCAGTTGTCGCACACCATGACAAACCGTTCACGCTGTTCACCGATACCCGACGGTGTGTACACGAGGTCGAACTTCACGCTTTGGCCCTTATCCAGTTCAATGGCATTTGGTGTCATCTGGAATGGACCTACGTCCATTGCTTTCCCAAGTATGTAGTCGCCGCCCAGCATTTCCACAGCGGAACGAGTCGCCGAAATACCTCGAGTTGCTACATGCTGCTGCTCCAGTCGAGCCCACGCTGGCTCGCTCAACAGCCAAAATCTCGCCTTCCCTCCAACATTTTTACAGTTCAAAGTCGTCACTGAGCGTCCGCCCACCAGCGTATTCTGCGCTCGAATAACTAGTGGTAACGTCAACTCTGGGGGTTCTCTATGTGCCATCAATGGGACAATCATCTCTGCCGACCCAGCAGCACCGGGGGTACCGGTAGATCCAGGCATAATCGACTGATCTGTTTCGTACAGAACGGTGAAATGGTCCTTATAGTCGGCACGAGAGTCCGGGGAGAAGCGTAAGCGCACTTCCACATGCATCCCCGGCGCCACCATCCCGCTCTCCTCTGGGAAGGAAACGCTAGCCATAGAGAAGAAGATCGTGCCTGGAGGGAGGATCCGAGCCCGACGCGATAACTTTCCAGTGTTGCGGACATACACCACTTGCTCGTAGACACCGCCGATGTCGTAGTCCGTGAACATGATAGGAGGCTTGGGTATGATGTCGAAACATGGTTTCACGGATCCAGCTAGCTCGGTCGAGTCTTGATCCTGTTGGTCTGGTACAGCGTAGCGTGGGTTTCGAACGAAGTCGAGCTTCGTCTGCATTCGTTCGAGGATCGCCATGTTCTTCCGCTTCTCCACCGGATTCATGATCGACTTCGACGATTTGAGCTGCTGCTGCTCTAATAGATTCGTCGACAAAGGGGTTAGCGTTGTCGCGATCAGATCCGGTATGTTATCTCCGCTTTGGTTTAAGTTGGCCTTCAACGGCGATAGCTTGCCAGAACTTGCAGCTCGATGCTCCTCCTGTGCAAGCTTCACCCCTGCAATGTGATTCTTGTGCTGCGTCAGCGTCGCCTCCGTGCGTATACTGGCCGACATGGTGGAGTCGAGGTATCCGACGTGGTCTCCATTCTCTCCGCTCTCCTCCCCAGCAGCAGTTCGTCTCGACGGGGACGTCAATACCTTCTTCACATTTCCACTTCTCTCTCTTCTTCTCTGCTCGTACTCCGCCACCAGCGTCTTCGCATGCAACAAAGAGCCCGCGAACTCGCCAAAGTCTGCGCCAGCATCCGTCGCGGCTCGCAGCTCCTGGTCGTCTAGACGCAGATGCGTCGGCCCCACGGGGATCTGCGCCTTGATCACCAGTCCCTTCTCGCTCAGCTGCTCTGCGATGCGAGTATCTGCCTCTGCTGCCTCCTTTTGTCGCTCCTCCATGAGCCGGAGCAGCGCCCTCGCTCTCTCGTGCTTGAGCTGCAGCTCTTGTGCAATGGCGTCCTTGCGCTCCTGAGCGAGAGCCTCGAATGGACTCGGCTCCAACTGCAACTGCACAGGCTCCCGAGTCGACAAGGTTTCTATATCACCGCTGTCTCCTTGCTGTTGGGCATCCTGTTGAGGCGACTCCTGCTTGGTCAGTTGCTCCGCCTGGGTATCACTTGACCCCTCGTCCTCCGCAGCTTCTTCAGTGTTGTTGGCAGCCTCGGGCACTTCAGTTGCTGCTGCTGGGTCGGCGTAGAACGCGTGGAAGGCGCGGCGGATCACGTGCGCGACAGCTCCGACAGCGACGACGTCCATCTCGTCCTGCTCCTGCTGCTGCTTGAGTCTGGCGGCCTCCTGCTCGGCCTCTTGCTGAGCTTTCAATGCGGCGGCGGCAGCGGCTTCTCGCTCTAGAGCTTCAGCAGCTAGAGCAGCCTCTACAGCAGCTACAGCCGCCGCGGCGCTATCGGCCGCCTTCTTCGCTGCTGCGGGCATCTAGATGGATACACAACAATTGTCTTGATTGCGTCCCTTCAAGATCCGCGCTAAATACGGGATGTCTGTTGATACAAGCACGTAAGTACGGGAACTATTGAGCAACATCAAAAGACCCAAAATCCCGCCAATCAGCATTAAACCCATTTTCCATTATACCACCTCTCACTGCAGACCCAAGTGCGCACTATTGCAATGTTGCATCAAGCTCCGCCTCTGCACCTGCAGGTCCCAACCTTAGGTTAGCTGTCTGTAGACGAGTCTCCGCGAGAAACGGGCGAGCTCCTGGCTTCACTCCTGCCGCCCACTCCTCCGCAGGACGGATCTGGCCCTATCCAATAGACGTCGGGCTGTGCTGAATCCTGTGCGTGGGTTCGAGGAGACGCCTACCGTATTTCGCATGTAGAAAGCTGCACATGATGTTCACAACAGAAAACATACCTTTAAAAAACGATGTGCATCACAATATGTATTGTAGAATAAAGCTACACCACAGCTTCGTCAAGAATGACATTGCGGTCGAAGTCTTGAGTTTGGTCGACCGCCTTGGCCACTGGCACTACTAGCGATAGGTTCTGCAGCTCTGCCACCAGCGACGCGGCGGCGAGGCACTCCTCGTAGAGGTGTAAGTCGCATTTCTTGTATCCATTCGCGATGGTGTCGGAGCTCAGGCTCTCCCAACTAGCGCGAATCCAATGGCACATCCCGGCGCGGCCTGGTGGAGTCAGCTTAAACTTGGCTTCCGCGTCGCTCGGCTGCATCAGTTGCCGCTGGATGTCCTCGAGCCAAAACCTGCGCAGCCAAGTCTTGAACGGATGATTCCATGCTACGTCTGCCGGCTGGCAAACAGACGTAGCATGGGGAGTCACCTTCAGCAGCACCACCCTAATAGATGCAGCGTAAGCCAGCACTTCAGCGGTCCAGTGGCCGCTGGAGTCATCCCAGAGGAGCAGCACGGGCTCTGCATGCGACGTGCGGTGACCAAAGTGAAAATGTAGGAACCTTAGCGAAAGATCACTTTTCCATCAGCCTAAAAAGAAAAACAATAATAATAAAAAGAAAATGAGATAAATCCTTTTGAGCAAGTAAAAAAAAGAAGCGTACCTTTGCCGTTGGCGTAAATCTGCAAACCGGTTTCAGCTTTCAGCTTCCTGATCTCTGGCCACGTTCGCGTGCCAAAGCCACATCGTTTTTCGTTGTTCTCCTTGACAATGGCTGGGTTTTTCGATGGCTTCATCTTGAAGACTACGAAGGGGGTATAACGTACCCCGCTTGAATCCCCCAGTAGCATCACGGTCGCACGCTCCTTTGAAGAGCCGGCACATCTCACCCACACAGTTTTGGCGCCGCGAGCATGCACTGTTTTCTTGGTAGGCAGATACTAAAAAAATGCAGCTAGAGAACATAAGTTAAAATATACATTCGCAGTTAGAATAAATAAAAAACAAACCTGTCTGATCTGCATTGTAGATTCGCGTAATACCCAGCTGCCGAGCCATTTTCTCGACTTCTGTTGCAAACTCCGCTTTAACCTTGGCAATATCCTCGGGGCTGATTTGGCTTTGACGAGTTGGAACTCGCATGCTCATGCGATGGCGGCCTCGGAATCCTTGAATCCATTTGTCAGACGATCGGAAGTTCCTGATGCCCGCTTCAGCTGCAACCCGCTGTGCTTGTAGGGCCAGCATGCGCGGCGGTACTGGCACACCTTCCTGGCGCAAACTGTTCACCCAGAATACCACTTCTAGTTCTACCTCTGGTGGGAGGATCGTCCCAACTCCTAAGCTTCGCACCTTTAAATGTTTACCTTTGCTATTTTTCATAGCAGCCTCAAGCTTTGCCGATTCACGCCGCCAATGCTGGATCATCGTGCGCTTCGAGTTATAGAACTCGGGGGCCAGATCGTGCCAGAAATGGGCGATTGTATGTTTCATCTTGGGCTGAGGCGCATTTGCCCAGAAGGACAACACCTCGAGTTTCTTTGCGACGCTGACACTCTTCTTGATGTGCTTGGGCTGATAGCGGCCTTTGCCATTTAGGCGTGGCCTGCCGACTGGCCGTGGCTTGGTGCGCGCCATCGGCAAAAAGAAAATGGCGCCAACCCCCGAGAGCGCGGGCTACGAAGTGCAATGAAGTGAGTGGTGAGCATTTGTATCAGTTTTGAAAGGGTTTTAGGAAATGACGTTCAGAGAGAGAAGGCTGCTGGTGCTCTCTGGAATTTGTCCGTTAACAGTGAAAATAAGGTGAAGATCGCAACGGCAGGGGGTATTCCACCGCTAGTGAAATTAATGCGGGTGGGAAATGATGTGCAGAGAGAGAATGCAGCTGCTGTTCTCTGGGGTTTGTCCGTTAACGATGAAAACAAGGTCAAGATCGGAAGGGCGGGAGGTATTCGGCCGCTGGTAGGATTGATAATGTACGGAAACGACGTTCAGAAAGAGAATGCTGCTGGTGCTCTCAGGAATTTGGCCGTTAACAATGAAAACAACGTGAAGATCGCAACGACTGGAGGAATTCGGCCGCTGGTGGTATTGGTGACGCACGGGAATGACGTTCAGAAGGAGAATGCTGCAGGTGCTCTCTGGAATTTGTCCCTTGACCGTGAAAACAGGGAAATGATCGTAACATCTGGGGGGATTCCACCACTAATATCATTGGTGCAGGAGGGAAATGACGCGCAGAAAGAGAAGGCGACAGGCGTGTTGTGGAAGCTTGCATCTGAAAATTGCGGTTACCACGATTTGATGGTGGAGGGAGATGTTTTGGTGGAGTGTTTGATCGGGCTTGTCTCTGGTGGTAGCTCAACTCAACGCGAGAATGCCGCAGGGGTATTGGGTATCTTGGCTCACCATTTAGACGCCGATACGAAGCTGCGAACTGCAGCCGATGGAGGAATTGCGTCATTGCTGGTCTACGTAACGAACCCCAAGCAAAGTGAGCGGATTCATGAAGGCCTTGCGGCTCTTTTAGGACTTTGTGTCGGGAGTGGTGATACCGTCCGATCTATCATGGCGAATGGTGATGGGTACGAGATACTTTCCAAGATTGTCAATAGTGAAAATGAAATGAACAAGAACCTTGCAGAACAACTACTGGCTTGGCTAGTGTGCAGTTTATCAGAGACATCGGATTTGTGTAAAGGTATGGAAGAAGCGGAACCAATATGCCGACACGTACTTGATCGGCTGCACTCGCTTCAGGAGCGTGGGGTTTACAGCTTGGAAACGGTACTGTCCCGCTTTAACGCATGGTTGAAGTCTAATTCAGGCAAACCAAGCCTCTTGCGTGTTGTGGGTGCATATGAACTGGCGGACACGGTCGCGGAACTGCATGGAGAACTTGATCTGCTCGAATACCGAGACGGCCCAGTTTCGTGGAAACCCCGATGGGAGATTGAGCGAGCAGACATGATCCAGCGCTTATTTAATTGTGACATCGGAGTTCTAGTGAGCAGTCTTGACGATACCGACGCTCAAACCGAGGCACTGACGCTCCTTGCGAACGCAATTCGACTCAAGAAGAGCTCCTACTCAACAGACCAGCGCGATTTTCTCTATGCAGTAATGACTCGTTTGGTGGGCTTTTCTGACTCAGAGGTCCCGAATAATGAAGAACGGTGCCGTGGAGTAACGATCGCCGATGGAGGTGCGATAGCGGTGCTGGTAGATTTTATGCGGAGCGGAAAGGTCCACCAGAAGGCGAACGTTGCGTGCGCACTGACGAACGTTTCATCTGACGACGACAAAGAGGATCTGTTGGAGGTATTTCACCTCTTGTGGCGTTAGTGGAGCGGGGCAATGTCACCCAGCAAGGGGATGCGTTGAGGATTCTCCTGAATTTGTCAGTGAACAATTTAAGCAAAGAACAAATCGCCGCGGAGGGAAGTATCCCCGTGCTGGTAGCGCTTGTCGAAAATGGCGACGACGAACAGAAAGAGACTGCGACTGAGATTCTGTGGAATCTTGTATTTCAAAATGGGGACTGTCAGCATCTTATCATCTGTGAAGAAAATACGATCGAAGTCCTGGTAAAGCTATGCTCCCATAGCCATCTACGGCAACGCGGACTCGCAGCAGGGGTACTTGGGTTCGCTGGTCAACGTCTCGACGCTGATACGAAGCTCCGCATTGCGAAGGATGGCGGTGTTGCCGCCTTGTTATCTTTTATCACGAACGCTAACCACAGCCAGTCGAAACACGAGGTGCTCATAGCGATTTTGGGCCTTACTATGGGAGGTGGCGATACGGTTCGCTCTATCGTGGATAGAGCTGGTGCGAACAAGATTCTATTGGAGATCGTTGAAAGTGACAACGAACGGGACAATGAGCTAGCGACGCAACTGTTAGCGTGGCTGCATAGCTTGTCCGCGACGTTGAGTCGCTGTAAATGGATGGATGAGGCTGAGCCGATATGTCGTCACGTACTTGATCGACTCCAGTCACTTTTGGATCGTGGGTTTTCTGGCATTGGAACGGTTCAATCACGGCTCCACACAATTATGAAGGCTAGGGAGGGTACACCTAGAATCCTACGTGTCATTGGGGCGCACGACTTAGCAGGCGCTCTGGCTGATTTACATCGAGAGCTCGGCCTGCTAGTGCCCCAAAGCAGCAAGGAATCGTGGAAACCACGGTGGCAGACCGAGCGAGCTGGAATGATTTAGCGCTTGTTTCACGGTGACACTGGAAGTCTAGTGAGTAATCTTGACAACACAAGTACTCAAACGGAAGGACTAGCACTTCTTGTCCGCGAAATCAATCACAAGAAGGATTCCTATTTGCCAGAGGAACGGGCTTTTCTGCAAGTGGTCATGAACCGTTTGATGACGAGCCCGAGCCCGTCTACTTCAAAAGTGGGCTCCCCCTAAAACGAGAGCCAAAAGTCGCACAAAATGGGCTCCCTCATGGTAAGTACGAGATCAAGGAGCCCTGGTTCGGGCTCCCCATTGGCTCCCCTCCAGGGCTCCCCAAATTTAGCTTCAAATCTATGACGGGCTCTTCATAGTAATATCTGATTGGCCAATTTTACCTAGACTTAAGGCGAGCAACTTCGCGTGATCGATGCGCCACGCTAGAAGATCGAGCTCAAAGATCGCCACACTAGAAGATCTCGCGCCGCTCATATGTGTACAGCCGCTCCGAGGCCACCCCAGCGTCGCCGATAGTCCTTCCTTCCCCTCAAGGAGAAGCCCTCTTTCCTATGCCTTTTCAGGTTAGAACCTGGAGATACTTCAATGACGGCCAATCATCAGCGAGATATTTAACACAGGTGAGGGAGCCCTTAACGAGGGCTCACAGTTCTGGAGGGCTCCTTTCACTTAACCTATTGAACTCAAGAGCCCAGGAGCCCGAGCTCGCGACTTTTTGGGTTCACCCAAGAGCCCAGGAGCCCGGCTCTCCCCAGGGCTCGTAGAAGGTGTGGTTTGGTGGGTTTCTCTGGCTTACCGGATCCAACGGTGGAGAAGTGGCTGATAACTCGACACGACGTTCAGATCGAAGACGAACCCTTTGATCGCGGAGCATTTGGACAAATCTATCGTGCACTATATCTGAACGCTGACGTTGCCGTCAAATGCGCCTTTACCAAGTCGGACAAGCAGCGGACCGATTTTTTGAGGGAGGTAAATACCTGGTACAACGTGAGCGGCCACCCCAACATTGTGCAGCTCTACGGCGCCTGCGATGTCGGCGATCCTTGTTTCATGGTGTGCAAGTATGCCACCGGTGGTTCCCTATCTGATTATCTGTATAAAGCTGGCCGGTCAAACGCGTGGGGTCTTTTGCTTGGTGTGACCCTCGGACTTCAGTTCCTACACAAGAAGCGAATTGTCCACGGTGATCTCAAGGGCGACAACATTTTGGTGGATGGAGACACTGCAATGATCACCGACTTTGGGATGAGCTTTTGCAGTGATGATGCGCAGCCAGAGTTTGAGAATGTGGGGGCAATTCGGTGGCGCGCCCCGGAGTTTGTTTTGGATGGCAAGGCGTCGCACGAAGCAGACGTCTACTCGCTCGGCATGGTGATCGTGGAAGCCGTGACAGGCGGCCTGCCATGGGGAAATGCCGAAGATCTTTCCGTCAAGTGGCACATGAAGAAGGGCAAGTTCATGAAGAAACCGGAGGTGATGCCGGACGCGGCGTGCGAGCTGGTGTGCGCAATGTGCGACTTTGATCCGTCACGGAGGATGAAGCTTGGCGAGGTGGAGAAGCGATTCAAACATCTTGCAGAGCTGGAGGCTGAAGCTTTTTATCAAGGAAGAGCTCAAGCTGCAAGATAACGGGGATGGATGGTCGATTTAACTATGGCTTGTGGTACAGCTGGAAGTAGCACTGGCGTCAGCTCTATGACTCCTGGTGCTGCTGTGGGAGCCGTCGGCAAAGATGGTCGAAAGGTTTGTTCTGGAGAAGGATCGATTCACGGAGCGGCTGAGTAACAGGCGACGCACATCCGTCCTGGAAGACCGAAAAGCTCCGATACTCTGGCAGACGATAGTGACGGTGTGCGAGCAGCAACGACGCCTCCGTCTATTAGACGATCTGCGCCATTACCACGATCTGCCCCATTACCACGAGGTCTGTATTCTTATGGCGATTTCTAGGCAACGCACGACTCGCGTTTGAACTGGACAGCTAGGTCGAGGAGGGGATGGCACGTAATGAGCGCAAGTTGCTGCTGATACAGCCCGCTGAAGTCGACCAGGAATCCGATGATGCAGGAAAGCACGGCAAACTCGGAAACATCGGGCAGATTCCCACACATTGCACCCACGAGAATCGACTTGATAACTTGTATCCAATATTTGGTACTGTACTCGGTCGTATACTGCGCTTCAAGGATTTGACCTGATTTGGCGCGAAGTGAAAAAAAATTGCAGAAGGCCTTTCGCCAGGCGATCTTTTCCAGCACCTACGCCCTAAGACCGACAGCCGGCATGGGGCAGAAGCTGACGAAGGCCCCCAAGTCAGCGGGGCTCCTGCGTGACGGTAATGACCTGGAGAACACGGAGGCTGCTCGCAGCAGTGCGGCTGGCCGCGACGCCGCAAGCAGTGCGTACACGGGCGCGGTTATCGGAAGTCCAGTTGCAAGTCCGATCGGAAGTGCACCAGTGGCGACGACTACATGTATTACGCGGGCTGTGGAGCTGCCTCAGAACCGCTTCGGAGGGCGGGCACCTTACCTCGAAGGACGTGCGGGGATTACGAGAACGATTACGACGACTGTGGTGCGGTCGCCTCAGAGAACAGTAGTGCGGAGAGTGGTGGCGAGTCCCCAGTCCGGACGAGTGCGGTACGTGAACACGTTGTCCGCTCCACCGCCATCCAATGAAGCGGAGGTGGGGGGGACGTGCTGCGGTGGAATCCATCCCGTCGCTGGTGGCGTCGATGCAGAATGGAACTCAGCAGCAGAAAGAGCGCGCGTCGGCAGTTCTGGCGCGTTTGGCATCCAACCCAGCGAACACAGCGACGATTGCGGCTGCGGGGGGCATCCCACCGCTGGTGGATTTGGCGCAGAATGGCAACACCACGCAGACAGAGAATGCGTCTGCTGCTTTGCGGTGTTTGACGTCGGACTTTGACACCAGACCCAAGATTGCCGAGGCAGGTGGCGGCGCCGTGCTGTCGGACGGGTTGGCGCCGAACAGTGATGAGGAGGAGAATGAGGTCCGTATGGTGCTCGACATCATGTTACAAAAGTTCGTCCCGGTCCGGCGCGTTGGGGACGCGCCGAGAGGGCGTAGGCTTGTCACCTACAGGCCGGCGAAAAGGTCGGCGGCTTTACCATCCCAGGCACCCGACAATCAGAGGGCCCCCGTGTCGGGAGCTGTTGAAACGTTGTTAGCGTCATCGAGGCGTATCACGGACAGGACAGCGACAGTGTCGGCAGGCGATACCCCACCGCTGGTCGAGTTGCTGCAGAATGGCTCCAACGAGGAGAAAGAGGCCGCATCTGCTAGTCTCTGGAATTTTGCGTATGCAAACGTCGGTAACCAGGATTGTTTTATCGCTGAAGAAGGTGTGGTTGACCGCTTGGTCAAGCTTGTCTCCGATGGAGAAGGGCGCCAACGGAAGGTTGCAGCAGGATTACTTGGATTCGCAGCTCAACATCTAGACGCTGATACAAAACTGCGAGTTGCACAGGATGGCGGTGTCGAAGCGCTGCTATCTTACATAGCGCAGCAGCACCAAAGCCAGTGCGTTTACGAAGGGATCACGGTGCTGTGGGGGCTTGCGCGGGAGGCGGTGACTCTATTCGATCGCTCGTGGACGGTGCAGGCCGACGGAAGGTAATGTCAACGATCGTCGAGAGTGACAATGAACGCAACCAGAAGCTGGCGGGCCAGTTACTCGCGTGGCTGAAGTGCAGTTTGTCTGAGACACGAAATCTGTGTAAGGCGATGGATGATGAGGCGCGACCCATGTGCGAGCACGTACTTGGTCGACTGCAGTCTCTTCTCGATCGTGGGATCGATGGTGTGGGAGCTGAACAGTCTCGAGTCAACGTGGTTTTAAAGGCAAACAGGGGCAAGCCAGCAATTCTACGGATCGTAGGTGCACGCACTTTCGCCGATGCACTGGCGGGCTTGCATCGAGATCTCGACCTGCTTGATGGTGAAGACAAGAGGGATTTATGGACACCACGGTGGCAGACCGCCATGGTTCGGCACTTAGTCAGTTCTGACATTGGCCGTTTAGTTTGCAATCTTGACGATACCCAGGAGCAAACCGAGGTGCTGATGCTCCTTGCGCACGAGATCGGACACAAGAAGACGTGTTATTCGACGGAGGAGCGGAAGTTTCTCTATGCGATCATGGCTCGTTTGGTAGGCTTCTCTGGTTTGGAGGTCCCGAACCAGGAATAATGGTTTATCGCTCGACACGACGTCCAGATGGACGACGAGGCCTTCAACCGTGGGCATTCGGGAAAATCTACCGCGGTATCTATATGAACGCGGACGTTGTAGTCAAGTGCGTCCATATTCAGTCGGAAAGGCAACGTGCCGACTTTCTGAGAGAGGTCAAGATCTGGTACGATGTGAGCTGCCACCCTAATATTGCTCAGCTCTATGGCGCCTGTCACGTCGGCGATCCTTGCTTTATGGTATGCAAGTATATCGCTGGAGGCTCGCTGCCTGAATACCTGTATCGGCAAGCTAAAAACGGTCCGTTAAAGACTTGGGATCTCTTGCTTGGCGTAACCAATGGACTTCAGTTTCTCCACAGTAAAGGCATTGTCCACGGTGACCTCAAGGGTGACAATATCTTGGTAGATGGAGACTCTGCAATGCTCACCGACTTTGGGATGAGCTACTCAAGTGCAGGAACACAACCGGACTTCGAGAGTTTGGGGGCGATTGGCGCGCACCCGAATTGGTTCTCGAAGGAAGAGCGTCAGTCGAGGCAGATGTGTATTCTCTCGGCATGCTGGTCGTGGAATCCGTGACAGGAAGGGCCCCGTGGGGAGTGGCAGAAGACATCACCGTGAAGTGGCACATGAGGAATGGCAAGTTCATGAAGAAGTCACGGTCTTTGTCGGACGAAGCGTGGGGGTTGGTGAGTGCAATGTGCGACTTTGATCCCTCGAGGAGGATAGAGCTTGGTGTGGTGGAGAAACAGATTCAGCAGTTTGCAGAGTGGTGGGAGGCTTGCCGCCTCTATGCTAGAGCAGCAAGCTAGTTGACGGAATGTGAGGCCGGTCGGATACTTGGTAAGGAGCCACAAAATGGTTGACATCGAAGTAAAAGAAAATATTGGCTGCTGTAGCCACCCACATTCCTCCAGAATAATACTAGTCGTCTGCACATATAGGTCCTCTAAACGCTGCGGTCCTTTGATGGATAGGGTCGAAACAAGCTTCTACTACTACTAAAATTTTACTTGGGTTAGAACGAACAAACTATGGCTACAACGTGAGAGTGTGCCAGCAACTAAAGCTTGGTAGTAACTGAATTCGTATACCCGCTGTTTTATCTCGCGCGGGTGACCCAGCGCGTGATTAATTCGATAGAGATCCATTATTCCGAGCGGGCGATAGATTTTTCTTTTAAGAAAAATGTATCAGTCACATTTAAAAATGTGCGATCTCAAAAAAAGTAAGCTTTAACCACTAAGGTGGTAGGCCTCGCCATTTCAGAGATGGAATGCAACTTCTGCCTTCGACTTGCAACTAGCGCGATCTCCACACGTGCCACCCCTACACAGTCTTAAATCGAAGAACATGACAACTTTGGTATGCTATCGGTTAAAATCAGTGCTACGAAATCGCCTCAAAGCTTGTTTATTTACCTACTACTACTATTGTACTGTACTGTAGTAGTACTACATTGTGTTAGTAATAAACCGGGTATTTATTATGGTTTGGAAAACAAAGCAATCCAATCAAAAACTAAGTTGTCTCAAGGAAACGGGTATTTTACTTTTCACCACCAACGCTCGACTACAAACGCACGCGGCGTGATCGTCAAGATGAAAAGGCGCCAGAACGAGCAGCAGAACAAGGCCAGTCTTCACGGGTTGTCGACTTTTCTGAGCACTGAGTAGGTATATTGTGTTGTGTAAATGGAGTAGCTATGTTATGGTAGGAGTAGACTTCAACATCAGTTTCGCTTGATATACTAGATGATCATTCCTGCACACTGTGTTAATGTCAAACCATGAAGTAGACTGCCTCACAAAGTTGCGTAGACTCGTAGTGTCGGCTAGTTGCGAATATTGCAGTTGCATTGATATAACTCTGGTGTGCCTAGACAAAGAACAGCCGAACTTGTCCTTTGTCTATGCTTTCAACCCAGTGAGTAAGCTCGTGAGCAACTTATTTTCCAATTGTGTTGCGATCGTCTTCGTGGCCTCGACCTTCTTAGCAGCACCAAGAAGTCCGAAGAGTTTTGGCTTTGAGTATTGCTCTAGCAGCGTCTTGAGCATCACCTTGACCGCGCCCGACCCCTCCAACCTCTGCGCGTACGAGGTCCAAGTACAGAAAGCTGGCATCTGAAATACTCGGGAACCGGCTGAGTCCAATTCTAGTTTGTAGAAGACCGCGTCCGCGCTCCACCTGTTGCTGAACCAGCGCTCGATCTCCAACTTCTCGGCAAGGTCCTTGGCATATTGCTCGGCTGGAGTCTTGGGGCGCTTGACTCTTGCTTGCTTCAACATGTTGGGGAGGTCGTTCGTGAACTTTTTGTTTAGAACGCTGATCATGGTCGCAATCGGAGTTTCCTTGTCCACCATGTGCACGTACGAAGCCCAGTCGCCCAAATAGCGGGTTTGGAACACCAGGTTTTTGTGTCTTTTGAGCAGAAACTCAAATACGTTCTCGACAGATTTCTGCTCGCGTAGCCAATACTTGCCCGCTGGTTAGTAATCCGTATTGTAGCACGCGGCCTAGCTGCTCGTCGGATTTGTAGTGCGTCTTGAGCACAGAGGATCTCATCGTCTACATTCTGTGGATGCAGCTTTGAGACGTAGGAGAGCCAAAGCCGCGTCTCTGAAAACCACACCATCATGTCCCCACTTGCCGGTAGTTTTAGCTTCAGGAAGGCATCGTCTGCCGTCACCTCTTCATGAAACCAGTTAGAGAGCCGTGCCTTCGAGAGTCTGTCAGCAAGATCCTTCGTCTGGTCCCTCGTCCTCGCTGCATGCAGTATTGCCGTCAGGGCTTCATCGTCATACTTCGTCGCCAGAATCGCGATCATCACTTCGTCCGCTTTCCCCGGGTAAGTGTCTGAAATGTGGCTCGACAACGTGTTGAACTGCTGGCTCTCGAGAAGATTCGACACTGGCGTGTGGGCTTTTATCTTTGACAAGAGGCCGTCAACAAATGGGCTCTTGGATTTCAAGGCTTCCACGAGTTTCGCGACACCCGAAATTTTAGCATCGATAGCTCTGTCCTCCGCGTTACCGTCCGTTATTCTGATATTGCGTTCCGAATTCTTAGAGTTGATGACCACTGCCGTTAAATCTTCAGTCGCAGCGACATATCCCAGTAATGCGAAAATAATTAGCAGAGTGACGCTGTAGCCAAGCCGCGCCGTGGCCCTGGGCTTGGTTACCATGCTGGAATCGGAGTGCTGCGGGTTCTGGAGGCGGTTTCGAAGTGATGTTTTCACGTGTCGCCGTCCTGCCACTCAACCGTACCTGGGGACAGATCTGGTTTTGATCATGACAAGTACAAATCGATTTGGCCCTCGTAATCCTAGAAGTTTTTTTTTAAAGCTAAATCGTAACGTTACCGTCAGATGAGGGTGGTTGATTGCACGCTATGATGTTGATATGGATGGCGAAGCCTTTACTGGGGGGATCTTTGAAACAATTTAGCGGTCACGAAACTACGTGCTTCATTGAATTTCCCGTGCAATATGTTGTCGACTTATGAATTTTGTGAATTTAATTATGCACCATTAGAACACGCCTTCAACCGATCCATGAAATCGCTTCTCGAACCTTCCGCGGTTCATTATTTATCGCCAAAGGGTTAATTTTGATTTTGCGGGTATGTTACTTTTTCACCCGTATTTTAGATTATCGTTTGGTACACTGAGGTAATGTTCAAACCGTGAAGTAGATTGTTGCGCACAGTTGCGTAGGCTCTTAGGATCGAATAGTTGTGAAATGTTGCACTTGCATTGACTTAATCCTGCAGCGCCTAGGTCCTTCTGTCTACGCTCTCAATCCAGTTGACTGAGCTGGAGAGCAACTTGTCCTCGACATTTTAGCTGCAGCAAATAGGCGGAAGAGTTGTGCACTTGAGTGCCGATTTTTAAGTGTCCAGAGCTCATTCGACTCCTCCAACCTTTGCGTGAAGTATTGATAGGCTAGCGTCTGAAACACACGGGAACCTGCCGACTCCAAGTACAATTCAGAAAAGACTCCAGCACTTGCTGAATTACAGCTTGGTCACCAACATTTCAGCAAGTTTCTTGGTACGCGGCACTTTTAAAGCCTTGTCCAGCATGTTGGGCAGGTCACGCCCGAAACGCTTGTCTAGCACCTTGAACATGGTCGTCAGCGGCGTCTTCATGTCAACCATATACACGTATTCAACCCAGTCGTCCAAATCGCGAGTTTGGAAGACAAAGTTTCTGTGTCTTTTGAGCAGAAACTCGAACACATTCTCGGCCGATTTCTGCTCGCGTAGCCAATACTTGAACACGATCTTCTTTAGTCTCGCCGCGATGTCCGCATTGGGGGTCAAACCATATTGAAGCACGTGGCCTAATTGCTCGTCGGTTTTGTAGTGCGTCTTGAGCACAGAGAGGATCATATCGTCTGTATTCTTTGGATGCAGCCTTGACACGAACGAGAGCCAAAGCCGCGTCTCTGGAAACCACACCAGCATGTCCCCACTTGCCGGTAGTTTTAGCTTCAGGAAGGCATCGTCTGCCGTCACCTCTTCATGAAACCAGTTAGAGAGCCGTGCCTTCGAGAGTCTGTCAGCAAGATCCTTCGTCTGGTCCCTCGTCCTCGCTGCATGCAGTATTGCCGTCAGGGCTTCATCGTCATACTTCGTCGCCAGAATCGCGATCATCACTTCGTCCGCTTTCCCCGGGTAAGTGTCTGAAATGTGGCTCGACAACGTGTTGAACTGCTGGCTCTCGAGAAGATTCGACACTGGCGTGTGGGCTTTTATCTTTGACAAGAGGCCGTCAACAAATGGGCTCTTGGATTTCAAGGCTTCCACGAGTTTCGCGACACCCGAAATTTTAGCATCGATAGCTCTGTCCTCCGCGTTACCGTCCGTTATTCTGATATTGCGTTCCGAATTCTTAGAGTTGATGACCACTGCCGTTAAATCTTCAGTCGCAGCGACATATCCCAGTAATGCGAAAATAATTAGCAGAGTGACGCTGTAGCCAAGCCGCGCCGTGGCCCTGGGCTTGGTTACCATGCTGGAATCGGAGTGCTGCGGGTTCTGGAGGCGGTTTCGAAGTGATGTTTTCACGTGTCGCCGTCCTGCCACTCAACCGTACCTGGGGACAGATCTGGTTTTGATCATGACAAGTACAAATCGATTTGGCCCTCGTAATCCTAGAAGTTTTTTTTTAAAGCTAAATCGTAACGTTACCGTCAGATGAGGGTGGTTGATTGCACGCTATGATGTTGATATGGATGGCGAAGCCTTTACTGGGGGGATCTTTGAAACAATTTAGCGGTCACGAAACTACGTGCTTCATTGAATTTCCCGTGCAATATGTTGTCGACTTATGAATTTTGTGAATTTAATTATGCACCATTAGAACACGCCTTCAACCGATCCATGAAATCGCTTCTCGAACCTTCCGCGGTTCATTATTTATCGCCAAAGGGTTAATTTTGATTTTGCGGGTATGTTACTTTTTCACCCGTATTTTAGATTATCGTTTGGTACACTGAGGTAATGTTCAAACCGTGAAGTAGATTGTTGCGCACAGTTGCGTAGGCTCTTAGGATCGAATAGTTGTGAAATGTTGCACTTGCATTGACTTAATCCTGCAGCGCCTAGGTCCTTCTGTCTACGCTCTCAATCCAGTTGACTGAGCTGGAGAGCAACTTGTCCTCGACATTTTAGCTGCAGCAAATAGGCGGAAGAGTTGTGCACTTGAGTGCCGATTTTTAAGTGTCCAGAGCTCATTCGACTCCTCCAACCTTTGCGTGAAGTATTGATAGGCTAGCGTCTGAAACACACGGGAACCTGCCGACTCCAAGTACAATTCAGAAAAGACTCCAGCACTTGCTGAATTACAGCTTGGTCACCAACATTTCAGCAAGTTTCTTGGTACGCGGCACTTTTAAAGCCTTGTCCAGCATGTTGGGCAGGTCACGCCCGAAACGCTTGTCTAGCACCTTGAACATGGTCGTCAGCGGCGTCTTCATGTCAACCATATACACGTATTCAACCCAGTCGTCCAAATCGCGAGTTTGGAAGACAAAGTTTCTGTGTCTTTTGAGCAGAAACTCGAACACATTCTCGGCCGATTTCTGCTCGCGTAGCCAATACTTGAACACGATCTTCTTTAGTCTCGCCGCGATGTCCGCATTGGGGGTCAAACCATATTGAAGCACGTGGCCTAATTGCTCGTCGGTTTTGTAGTGCGTCTTGAGCACAGAGAGGATCATATCGTCTGTATTCTTTGGATGCAGCCTTGACACGAACGAGAGCCAAAGCCGCGTCTCTGGAAACCACACCAGCATGGTCCCACCAGCCGGCAGGTTTAGCTTCAGGAAGGCAGCGTCTGCTGTTACGCCTTCATGAAACCAGTTCGAGAGCCGTGCCTTCGAGAGTCTGTCAGCAAGATCCTTCATCTGGCCCCTCCCCCTCGCTTCACGTAGTATCGCCGTCAGAGCTTCATCGTCATACTTCGTCGCCAACATCGCGATCATCACTTTATCCGCTTTTTGCCCCGATACATGCCCAAAATGTGGCTCGACAACGTTTTGAACTGCTGGCTCTCGAACAGATCCGACGCTGGGGTGTGGGCTTTCAGCTTTGACAAGAGTCGTCAACGAATGGACTCTTGGATTTCACGGCCTCCACGAGTTTCGCGACGCCCGGAAGTTTAGCATCGATAACCCTGTCCTCCGCCGTTTTTCCGTCAACAGCGAGATTGCGTTCCGAATTGATGCCCATGGCGTTCGAATTCACGGTCGCAGCAATGCATCCCACTAGTAACGCGAGAATAATTAGCGAGTGAAGCCGCGTCGTGGGCCCGGGCTTTGTCGACATGCTGGAATCGGAGTGCCGTGAAGTCGGGAGGCGTTTTCGAACTGAAGTCCTCACGTTCCATCCTTGCCACTCAACCAGGCATTCAATAAGTTTTGGGGACCGATCCTCGGAATTTGATCATGCCACGTAAACATCGAAACGCGTGCGGATATACTGTACCTACAGTTGTTGTGAGTGGGTTCGCAGCTATATAAGCGTATTTCGTAGCGTACCGAAGAAAAACCACTAGAAACTCGTATACTCGGCGCACTACATGTATTTCGCCGTATTGGTTGTTATCACAAAAGGACGAATTGCTGACACAGTGCGTCGTTAGGAAAAGAATACCGCCGCGAAATCTTCCCGTTTTCCGTCAAGAGTAATTCAACAAAGTTGCCCGGGGTTCCGATCTATGAGTACACTGACATCCCGGACATCGAGGAAGTATCATGTTCGCATGCTGTGAAATTGACTGTGAAGGTAATTTATTGCGGCAAGGAGTTCCTCCTGCTGCTGGCGGTAGAAGTTTACCTGGCTTGCAAGACATAAATGGGGTTTGATTATGCGGGATCGACGTTGACGCGGTACTCAGGTGTCGGTAGCATTGTCGGTGGAGCAGCCGGTGTCGGCTGCTGTGGGGCCGGCGGTGAAGGTCACCAGAATGTACAACATTCGTACCGAAAATCAACGAATGCCGCTCTGGAATGTATTTGGTGGATGCAGCAAAATCAATCTAACATTGCCCTTGCTCGACGTATTATTGTCTGCGAGCCGCTTCGCCTTCTTGGACGAAGTTACCTTCGTCCTTGTGTTCTTCTAAACGGACAATGGCGGAAGTTTTGGAGGTTTCGTAGCTATCCTGGGCAGCATCGATTTGCCCTGTGCAGTCGTCTTGCCACTCAACCCCCTTTGTCCTCAAAGATAAACTCGTATAGCGAGCAGGTGAAGACTCCGGAGAGTATGGCTACAGATCTCCCCATCGTCTACGGGGAAGTACTCAACGTACGTCCAGCCCCAACACAAGTCTCCATTATGCTATGTAGAGCGCTAATTGCTGCTGTTTGGTGGAATTTTCCTGCAGCTGAACGCGCTAGGTGTAAGCCTGGAGCATGTCAAGCCAGCCACCACAACGATGGAGTCGGACAAATTCGTGTGCGTGTGCGAGCAAGTCAGCGGCTAGGGCAATGTCGTGATCGTCGACTTGTCCGAGGGCATCACGCTGGAACGCCGACCAATCCACGCGGACGCAGCCATCATGAACCCCGTAGCCAAGATCATCGCGTTACGCACCGAGACCCAGCTCCAGATCTTCAACATCGAGAGCCGCAAGAAGCTCAAGAGCCACCAAATGACCGAAGCCGTCGTCTTCTGGCGCTGGATCTCGGCCAACACCATCGCATTGGCCACACCCACCGCTGTGTTTCACTGGAGCATCGAGGACGACCTAGCACCGACAAAACTGTTCTACCGTAGTGCGAAACTGGCAGCGGAGATGCAGATCGTCAGCTACCAGGCCTCAGTCGACAAGCAGTGGATGCTATTGGTGGGTACGAAAGAGGGTCAAGGAGGTCGTGCTCTTGGTAGCATGCAGCTGTACTCTATAGAGAAGAAACTGAGCCAAGTGCTGCAGGGCTACGCGGGTTCCTTCACGCAGATGAAGCCACCAGGGAGACTAGACAACGCGCAGGTGCTGGTCTTCGCGGGTATAAAGGCGGACGGCAGCCAGTTCAACTTCTTAGTATGGAACTTGGTCGTGACTCCGACACTAAAAACGCATTCCACCTTGCATCCAAGCCCATTCCTTTCGATACCGAAGCGAAGAACGAATTCCCGGTATCGGTTCTTGCAAGTCCAGGTGATGACATCATTTATATGATGACCAAGATGGGGTACCTCTTCCTGTTCGACGCGCACTCTGGTGAATTAATCTACCGCGCGTGCGTGATGCAAGACACGCCGTTCGAAACCTGTCTCGACTCCAAGACCAAGGGCGTGTTAAGTATCACGCGCCGTGGGCAGCTCCTGCATTTCGGGATCAACAGGGACAAGCTGGTCCCATACGTGCTCAACTCGCTTCGTGACCCAAAACTAGCCTTGAGTCTAGCATCGCGGATGGATCTTCCAGGCACAGAGGAGCTCTTTTACCCAGAGTTTAACCGCCTTGCTAGCATCAACGACGTTCAAGGTGCAGCTCGACTCGCTGCTGCGTCCCCTAACGGCGCGCTTCGTACGGCTGAGACCATTGAGATCTTCAAGCAAATGCCCGACCAACTGGACCAGTCCCAGCCTCTCCTCCAGTACTTCTCCATTCTACTAGAGAAAAGCACGCTGAACAAGCTCGAGTCCATTGAATTAGTCCGTTCTGTGATGGTCCAAGGTCGTACCAAGTTGTTATAGAAGTGGCTGGTGGAGGACAAGCTCGAGTATTCGGAGGAGCTAGGCGACGTCATTGCTGAGTTGGATCCGATGATGGTTCTGCCGGTTTATCTGCGTGCTGAGGTGCCCCCTAAGGTGATCCACTGCTTCGTGCAGTGCGTACTGAAAGAGTCCAAACCGCAGGACCCACGCGCGCTCATGCAGCTCTGCGACCGCTACGATTTCGTGGAGGAGTTGACGCAGTACTTGCACGCGAACAACTTGATGCAGTACATTGACGTGTACGTGACGAAGATGAGCCCGGACACAGCTCCAGTTGTCATCGGCCAGCTGCTGGACTTGGGCTGCAGCGACGAGTACATCAACAACCTTCTGAACAAAGTTCCGAACTGCTTCCGTGGGCGACTTGTGTGAGCAGGTGGAGAAGCGCAACCGCCTGCTTCTACTGCAGTCTTGGCTCGAGAAGAAGAAGAAGAAGGATACGGCGGTATACAGCGCTCTTGCGAAGATTTACGTCGTGTTGGATAAGGAGCCACAGCCGTTCTTGATGAAGAACAAGCTCTACGACTCGAAGGTTGTGGGGAAGTTCTGCGAGAGTGCGGACCCGTTCCTAGCGTTCCTCGCATACCGTCGCGGGTGGGGCGAATGCGACGATGAACTGATTCGTGTGGCTATGGAGAACGGATTGTTCAAGGACTTGGGCCGATACCTAGTGGAGCGTCAGGACCTTGAGCTGTGGGGTAAAGTTCTGATGAAACAGGAGGAGGGCGAGGAAGAGCACCAAAGTAGACGTACCTTGATCGACCAGGTTGTGCATACAGCGCTCCCAGAGTCCACGAGATCTGCCGAAGTGTCGACTACGGGCATGCGCTCATGAATGCAGAGCTGTCGAATGAATTGGCGGACCAAAAGATGAGCTGTGTGGGCATGAACCGATGCTTTGCCTTCTTTTAGGAATCCTACCGCTTCAATATATTAATTTTTTATGCCTTGGAGTTGCTTTGATAGGTGAGAATGCGCTTCATTCGGGAAAACACTGACGCTTGAATCCGCCGACACGTAGCAGAGATAGTAGGCGTAGCGACTGTCGTAACGTGAAGATTGGCCACGGCTGCTTTCTTGCCCGGGGTAGGAGCGAGCCTTACAAAAGCTACAATGCTCGTCGGATAGCTGACACCACGAGATCCAGACTCGTATTGTGTGTCACTCGGTGGATAAAGATTTTTATACTGACCTCCAGCAAGGGATCGATGCTTACAGTCAATGCTTACCGCACTCTTGTAGAACCGAATCAGCTTTGCGAAAAATTTCCGTCAGTGTTTGAAGAGCGTACGCTGAATCCACAACTTTTTTCCCACTCGGCGCGAGATCGAAGACAATTGAACCCTTGTCTCTCTGCTAAGCGTGTAAACTGCGTCTCTAATCTCTTGTCATGAAAACAAAAATACCAAGCATTCCCACCTGAAAACAACTATCGTCGCTCCTGTTCGTTCTGCTCGAGCCCGTAGACCAGTCTGTCCAGCGAAAATAATTCCTGCTTCTGCTAACGCGATAGTGAAGTGCTCAGTGTCGTCAACGCGATTCAGCTCTATTAGTAGGGCTGAATAGCCTTGCTGATCGTATTAGTGGATTTAGAGGCGTACAATCATCATCATGCTAGTAAAAACTAATGGTAAGCTAACGTGTACCGTGGGTACTACAGTAGAGTGCCCCGGATCAGGCAGACTGCCTGAGACAGTCACACTCTTGATAACTACACCTTTGCCCAGACTTAGTTGTCTAATCCGCATCCAAAGCTGTCAGCTTTTATTTTGGGTGGGAGCGAGGTACCCGAACTAAGGGGTTCCACTCTCCTTAGTGCAAGCAAAGTCGTCTAATCCCCGTTGTCGGAACTGACGAGAACCTGGCGTGAAGTTCCCGCGCGCGCGAAGTTGATCAAGACTTCGTGCGTGGCGCGCTCACGCGTCAATCTACCCAGCATCACGCGAGTGCTATAGGATCTGCTGGGACTGTGCTACAACGGCTTCAGCCTTTGCTTGCACTAAGGAGAGTGGTACCCCTTAGTTCGGGTACCTCGCTCCTACCCAAAATGAAAGCTGACAGCTTTGGATGCGGATTAGACAACTAAGTCTGGGCAAAGGTGTACGTATGTTTGTATAATAGTACATTTAGGCACTTTTGTCCTTATGTGTATTGTATATATCTGTCACGGGAACGAAATACGAGCGCTATGTGTGCAAACCTGTGCAAATCACGTTGTGTGCATGTATGGACATTAATGTAGCTGCATGGGAATTGTTGGCTTTTTCAGGAACGCTATCAGCTATAATAAAGCAAGACCAACAAATGTGATCATTACACTCAGCGTCAACATCATCACATTTCGCCTTCCTATTTGGCATCGAGCTACGTGTAAAGCACTGTGTCTCGACTGCATCAGCTGTATCATCAAATAAATGGTGGTTGTACCTCACATGTTTTCGTGTTATCCGAACGAAGCTGTCTATGCATGTAGGACACCCCAGAAACTATGTACAAGTACGCTGTTGCTACGAAAGTTCTATGCGACGCAAAATAAACAAAACCCGGCGCTGGTAGGCTTCTTAGCAAACAGGTGCATGTTTACTTTGTCGTATGTAGAATTTGGTTTTGTAGATTACAAGATCGCATATCGGGATCGGCTACCACTTGGCCACTTTGGAATTTGCAATCCCGTCGTCGGTGCTTCCGACCAAGCATGTCCGTCAAGTTGCGCTTAAGGCAAGTGGTACGGAGTGCAAGACTATTCTTCGTTCTTGCATTGGCCGCATGCATCGGGGGTTCCCTGGCAACTACAGATTCGAACGCGATTATCGAAAAAACTTCGACCCAGCACCGCGTACATCAACTCGGCACTCAAACCCACCGGTACCTACGAGCTCCTGTACAACTAACACTGGGTGATTCAGAAGAGAGAGGTCTCGACGGAATCTCGAAGATCATTCAGAAGCTGACGCCGGACAAGCAAAAGGCTGCTGACAAACTCTTCACGCGGCTGAAGCTTGATACAGCCACGTCCAACGCTTTCAAGAGTCCAAAGTTCGAGAAATGGGTCGCGTCAGTAACCTCTTCTTATAAGAAAACTCCTGAAGCGGCAGATGCGGCCATCTTTTCAAGGTTGAGCACCAAGGTCGGTGATGAAGCGCTCGCTGGCATGCTACTTGCCGCGAAGGAGGAGTCTGGTACCAAGGCACTTGCATCAAGGTTGGAGACACTACAGTTGACAAAAGAAAAAGTGGAGGCGCAACGAGAAGACAGCCGACGACGCATTTGTTCTTCTTCAGCTGAAGAACGACATATCGGTTCTGAGGAGTCCAGCGTTGAACACGTGGGTGTCCTACGTGGAGACGCTGAGCCAGAACCGCTACACTTTGCTGTATTCAACGCTGGAAACTCGCTACGGAGACGAGGCTCTAGCTCGTTATATTGCGCTGGAGAAGAAATCATCGCTGTCAAGGTCTGCCCCCAAGAACTTGGAAAAGGCTCAAATCGCGGAGTGGGTTAACCTGAAGCTGAGCAAAGAGTACGTTTTCAACCTTCTCAAGGACGGGGAGAAGGTCTTCACGAACCACTGTTCACGACATGGGCCTCATTCATGACGAAGGCGAACCCACAAAGCCCGTACAACTCGATGTTCCGGTTTCTGCAGCAGCGCTATGGTAGCCAAGTCCTCTCTAACATGATTTTCGCAGCAATAGAGGGTAGCCGACCGAGCTCGATAGTCACCCACTTGGAGCAGGTTCTAGTCAAAGTATGGGCTGGTAGTGGGCAAAGTCCAGACGACATCTTCATGGGCCTCCGTCTTCAAAGTAAAAGCAGGAAGCTCCTCGAGAACCCGACATTCACTGAGAACGCGGACAAACGCATCGTGTCAGTGCAATGAAGCATTATGACGACGACGTCGTCGCGCAAATGTTAGTTGCGGCAAGGAAAGTGCGGGGCACGAAGGTTATGGCGACGAAGTTGCAGCAGGAACTGTAGCTAGCCCAGCGCAGACCCGCGGGCGGCGTGTTCGAGCACCTCAAGCTGGACGAGCAAAGCAGCAAGGTGTTCGAGAGCCCGGAGTTGGGGACGTGGCTTTCGTTTGTGACCACCATGACGACGCGGAAGAAGACCCCGGACGAGTTTGCAGCCATTTCCGTATTGGAGAAACAGTTTTCTGGCGATTTGGAGCTGGCTAGGGCGCTAGTGGGGGCGAAGATCGACCCGGCGATGAAGAACTCCATCAACCGTAACGAGATCCTCGAGTTACAGCAGTTGCAGTTCAAACAGTGGCTTGGAAAAGATCTGACTCCCGACAGGTTGGATATGAAGTTTGCGGTGCGTCATTTCGACAAGAGAAATCTCGATGTGGTTCTCGGCTACCACGACGTCTGCAAGGCCCGCAAGCCTTGAAGCGATGGAGCAGCGGCTCGTAGGCGAAGAGAAAGGGGAAGCAGGTAGCAGACAGCTCAATAAAATGAATGCGATCTACATGTACTTGCTTCATCTCATCCATCCCGTTTCTGAGCCATAAGACGTTAATTACATTGTGTACAAGGTTTAACAGACGTACCGGCGCATTGATTCGTGGCAGCAATGCCGACCAACTGGACCAGCCTCAGTCTCTTCTTCAGTACTTCTCCGTTGCACTAGAACAGAGTACTCGGAGGAGCTGGGCGACATCATTGCTGAGTTGGATCCGACGATGGCTCTGCGGGCTTATCTTCGTGCTGACAAACCGCAGAACCCACGCGCACTCATGCAGTTGTGCGTTTCGTGGTGTTGACGCAGTACCTGCACGCGAACAACTGGATCCAGTGCGTTTGCTGAACTGTCGACTGAATTGGCAGACCCAAAGGGGAGTTGTGTGGGCATGGACCGTGTTTTCGGCTTCTTTTAGGAATACTACCGCTGCATTTGGATAGAAAATCTCGTTCAGCTCTCGCAGCGTGCTGGCGTCTATAGTAAGGCGCAGCAGCGGTCATGACCTTGAGATAAGCTACGGTTGCATTCTTGCCGGGCGTTGGATCGAGCTTTACCATCGCATCAAAGCTATGGACATCGAGTAAATCAGGACGCCAGCACGACGACTTTGCCACATATCTCCACCTCCTTCACAGGATAAGGCCGTTGGTGTTGCTCCGCGTTGCAGTACCTACGAGTACCTTCAGCGGCTTAAATGTCAGACCCCCGTCATAATAAGGTCGCTGAGTAGCTGACGCGACTACATAGATCCAGACTGTTGTTGCGTGCCATTCGGTGCACAGATATTTTATACACGCCTTCAGCTATGTGCTGATGCTTACGGTAATACCCACGGCGCCCTCGTTGTACAGTCGAATTAGGTCGTCTTCGCGATAGTTTTCCGTCAGTCGTTGGAGAGCGTACACCAAATCCACAGCACTCTGAAGACCATGAAACCCTTGTTTCTCTGCTTTCTCCTCTATTTCCAGGCTCGTTGGCGCCTCTGTAAGTCGTCCTTCTACCTCTCCCTCAGCTTCACCGCTGCTCGAACCTTCGCGTTCTTGCAGATGCTTCATCTTGATAAATGTACGTTCGCAAACAACCCGGATCTGACAGAAGGATATCTGGGCTCGAAAGCAAATCATCTGAACGGGAGACAACACTAAAGGTACCGTCGATCCTGTCTCTAATTTGCTTCACGTCATGAAATCCAAACCCCGAGCGCTTCCGCCTGAAAAGAAATAGCGTCTCTCCAGTTCGTTCTCCTCAAAGCCCTGCCTAAGGAGAATACATCCTGCTTCGGCCAACTCGATAGACCTCAATTCTGCTTGAGGAGATTTAAGGGGAAAAAATGCAATTGTTTCACACTGAATCTTTAGCCACTTCTTCATCACAACCTCTTTCAGCTTCGCGAACACGTCTTCAGCGCGATATCTTCTGCTAGAAAGCACATCCCCGAGCTTTACGTCACTGTGGAAGGACTTGGGTAACGGGAATACCACCATGGTCTGCTTGGCTTGAGTCCAACTTGGTCACGTGAGCCACCTACATTTCTCCGCGGTCATGAGTCTGTCGACGGCATCTGTGAGCTTGGAGGTCTTCAGCTTTGGAAGCACAACTGAGTTCGCGTGGTTGACCCCGTTACTCAGCAGCGGGTTGGTCAAGAGGTTTTCCACAACATCGCCCTACTTGTAGAACTTGAACACGTCATCTGCAGATTTCTCGGTAAAGGTCAAGCTTTGCATCAGTGCCTGCTCCAACACTTTGCCAATAACATTCGTGCTGGAAGTCTCCGTGGCCTCCAGCTCCCATTTCACGGCTGCAATAAGACTCGCAAGCGTGTGGTCGTCAAAGTTTTGTGCCCTCATCCTCGGCCGCAGCCATCAACAGGTTGGATAGCAGCTTGTACTCCTCCTTGTCCAGCTTAGAGCCCGAAAAGACGTACTCCTGCGCTGTTTCCTAGCCCAGCCAATTCTTCAGTTGTGTCTCGCCCAGTTTCGCAGCCCACGGCTGAGTACTGGGCATTGTCTTCGCCTCTACGATCATTTTCGTTTGCGCTTCATCGCCCGCAGTGTTCACTCAGTATCGAGTCAAGCGATGATCAAATGCATCGCCGCCTCAAGACAGCGTTACCAAGCCTCTACCAGACCTTGAAGACTCAGTTCACTTCCTAGCCAAACACCCCCAAAACAAAACCAACAGTAGAGCTTCAGTATCACTTGCATTCCATGGATCCATTTCCTACGACCGCTGGCTGCGCAGCTTCTGCTTCTTGGTGAACTGCGAGTGATGTCCCTCCAGCACGTTCATCCTGGGTCTGTTAGGCGCGTTGCGTCGCTCCAGGAACTCCTTGGCACTCTCCGACAGTTCCCTCGTCTGGGCGTTCTCCGCAGCGTCCAGCGTCTGCACCTCGATGTTGCCGAACTGCCGGGTGTGCGTCTTCTTCTTCATGAGCTCAGCGACCTTGGCCTGCTTCCGCTTCTTGGCGCGGATCTCGGCCTTTGTCTCCTGCTGCTCCAGCTGCTCCTCCTCCTCGTGGTGGGCCGCAACAGCCGACAGCACATCGTCGGGCAGCTCGGGCACTTCCACCTCCTTCTTGGGTTCCTGCTTGCTCTTGCGCTTCCTGCTCAGCGCGAAAAGCCACCGCCAATTTTCCCGTCAGCTTTATATCATTCTCCACAATTGCAAAGCATTGCAGCGCGTTGGGGGCGTCCCCTTCACACTCAAACAAGGCAAAAACCGGTCAAAAGACGCACCTCTTGGCCAGCGCCTTGGCCTGCGCCTTGGCCTCGTCCTCCTGGCGCTGCAGCGAGCGCGCCTGCTCGGCGGCGCTCTGCTTGGTCACGACCTCGGGCGCCTCATCGCTGTCGCTGTCGTGCACCAGCGGCGTCTTGTCCTTCGTGGCGGCCATGGCGTCGTACGTCGCTAGCCAATGTGTCAATGACGCAGCTGCGGGTCTCCAGTCAACCTTTTCCACCAATCAACATGCATTATACTGGTTTTAAGCGAATCATAGAGCAGCAAAGGCCCTATTTATTGCTGGCCAATGCCTGACTCCAAACGACACATGGCTACATCGCGGACGCAAGAGGACCGACGGAGACGTCTGCGTCAACTCGTGCTTGAAGCGGCCAGGGCGCGCGCCAATGACGCGCTCACGTTGAAGAGCGAGGACGCTCGGCAGGAGCTCTTCGCGCCCTTCAGTCCGTCCCCAGTGGGCGTGATCGATGCCGTGTGGACGAAACTGGAGGACGCTCAGCTGGCGTTGACGTCGGAGGACGTTCTGGTGGACTTGGGATGCGGAGATGGACGCTGGCTGGTCTCCGGAGTCAAGCGCTTTGACTGCAACGCACTCGGCGTGGAGCTGGACGAGAGTTTGGTCCTCAGAGCGCACAGGCAAGTGCACGAGCAGCAGCTGCAGCACAAGATCCAGATCCAGCAGGGGGACGTCATGCTCGCCGACATCTCCCAAGCCAAGCTGGTGATCGTCTACGCGTTCGCTGAGTCGCTGCCGGGGATTGCCCAGAGGTTGAAGGCGCAATTGAAGCAGGAGGCCAACGTGCTGTCGGTTGGGGTGAGGCTTTGAGTGAATGGAGGCGGGATATAGTACTGGTGGGGGAATTGACGGGCTGTTTGTTGTTGCTGTTGCTGTTGCTGTTGCTGTAGTTCCGTGTGCCGGACTGGAAGCCGCATTGGAGTGAGCGGGAAGGGGGACTGCGCTGGTACTTTTACAGGATGAGCGAGTGCAGTTGAGGGGGGGATGGTGTACTGGGATGAAATAGCTGGAGCTGTACGGCTGGATTAAGTGTCGTCGAGAAGTCTGGCGAGTCTTCGCTTGACTTCTTGCACTTCAGCGAGCACCAGCCTGTCAAGCTGCATTTACGCACATGAATTGAAAATCGGGTTAGTGGAAGAGTTGCACGCAAAAATATGTGAGCATGCGCATCGCTTTACCTGCTTCCGTTTTTCCTCGACCCGCACTGCCTTTTGGATGATAGTTTCGCTCGCACTCGAAGCCAGCACTCGTCTTCGATCGGTAAACTCCATGCGCAACAGGTTGGCCAGCGACGTTGACGTCGGGAGTGGGCTGGTTGATCTCAATCGCCGCATCGTTGTCTTCGAAATCTTTTTCTTGAGCCGCTTCTTCTTCTTCGCTGGTTTCTCCCAACCAGTCGAAGGATTAGATTGCCCCGCTGTTTGTTGCAATGATACTGTTGCAGCCGTCGATCTTCGTGAATTACTTCTCACGAGGCTCTTGAGGTCCGAACACGAGGCGCTCTTTGGTATCGTCGGATTATCCATTGAAATTGATTGCCGAGTCTTCGCCACTCTGACCGACTGCTTCCGATCTCCTCCAGTTTGCGCTTCGCCTATCACGATCGTTCGTTCTGCCGCGTGCAGCCGATTCAGCATATTGCCGAGCTCCTCGTCTACAAGCTGTCGAGTTGTTGCATCCCTCCCAATGACCGCTCTTCGTCTGCGCGTAGCTGGTTCTTTATCCTCTTCAACAGGAACCTCCTCGAGAATGATTTTACCTGACGAAAGTCGGCGCATCCTCTCCAATCTCGGTGGGGACGACGCTCGCCTCGTGTTTTCAGAACTGACCTTCTCCTTAGCCCCCAATGCGAATTCAATCTCGAGGTTTCGACCTGATGCCGCGCGCTCGCCATTAAACTTCCGTGCAGCTTCGCGTGCAGCCTGAACAGCATCGACCGCACCAGAACTATCCGCACTGGTAGCGGTCGGTGCTTGCGTTTTCTCTGGGCTTTTATTTGGTGATTTTCCAGGTTTGGCAGGCGATTTTGCTGCTTGGAACTGCACAAGAAGCGTCAATAAGACTAAACGTTTCCATTGCTGTATCAAAACAATCGCACCACACCTCGGTTGCACATAATACGCAGACGCTATCGGTAGCGAAGACCTCCATGAATCCGTGGCGTAGGCAAAACCCGTCCAGCGACTTTTTCGGCTCTTGGATAAATGCACGAAATACCTTGCGCTGGGTCATCAAAGCTTCGGACGCAAGCTCTCGGAACTCTAGACGACACAACACAAGTAAAACCATGAATTGTGGCCCCATCTACTAACGGATTTGAACAGTACACACCTTCAAGACTCATCTCGCCTGAGCCCACCCGATCAAATTGTGCCAGCGCATCCACCATAACTGCACTCTCCATGAGCGAGTGAAGCAGCGTTCGTAGTGCTAGACGTCGTTGTCTCTCCACCAGCTCAGCTATCGTTTCAACATCCTGCAGTGACAGTCGCTCGCTACCACCCACGTCGAGCTCCAACTGATCTTCAACGCCCAAGTACTCTTCTTCAGGGAGACACTTAGCGAGGGAACGTAGTTCTGCGATTTCAATGTATCCGTTGTCCAGCGTCTCCATCTGCTCGAACAGCTCACACAGTACAAGCGCCAAGTTTTTCGCACGGAAATCCCCGATATCTGCTGCGAGGACGACCGAGTGTGCTTTCATCGCTAGTTTATCACTTACGTCGGGCTTGTCTGGTGGTGTCCCAAGCTCAGGAACTTCCTCGATTGCGGTTATATCAGCGGTGGCGGCTTCCCAACGTCGAATGGCTCGGTTCCAGATCACTCGATGCTCAGGTAGACAATTGCTTCGAGTGCGTGGAATGGGGCGCCAGCCGCTGTCCTGCTGCCAAAATGGCTCTAGAACAGGCTCCAAAGCATTCGCATCTAAAGTAGTAGGTAGTGCTCGGTCCTCGATCAGAACCAGCAAGAGTTCACCAAGTAAAGCCAGCATCGGCAAACTTCCGGGCTTGACCTCAGCTAGCAAACGATCGACGGAATATCTCCGCGTAAAGTGAAATCTGGCTGGCGACTTCCAGTTTGACAAGGAGATCGACGGGAAACACGACGTGGACACGGGATTCGCGAAGCTTGCATGGCGTAGGATAGCCGCTAGTAGTATAGTTGGGAATCTGGTGGCCGCAGTATCCTCGGTCACTCGAAAGACGATCCTTTTCGCTGCTAAACAAACTCGTGACAAGGTCGTACCAACCATCGCCACACTCACCAAGTGCAGAGTTCGCGACTTGTACTCGGATTGAACCTGCTCCACCTGTGCATCACCAGCGACAACGCCATCCATGTCTCCGGCTGATGCCAACTCACGCGCAGTATCGGCCCAGCTCTTGCCCATCGTTACATTGGACATCCTTCGCCTTCCCATAGCTCGAGGCATTACGGTAGGGTTTGAAGCTGTAGCGGATTTCTCCATCAGCTCTGAGCTCTTCCGGCGCATCAATGGCTGTGGTTCTGGTGCGGAGGCTGCTATGGATGTCGTGGGGCCTTGAATTTGAGTCCGAGTTGGACTTGACGCCACTGAAGAGTGCGAAACGGGGGCCTCTCTACGACGCATGGGCAGTATCTTGGTGTATTCCGACGGCATGAGAGCTCCGACCCAATCGCGCGGCACGGCCAACCCTCCAAGATAATGTGATGGAGGGGGCCAGTACACTCCACGCGGTGGCTGTTCCTCTAGGAAAATTCGGTCACGCAATACATCCCGCACGTTGGCTAGTGGAACGGGATCAACCAGCAGTCCGACCGTCAACTTCAGCGTAAGTAAGCCGTACGAAGCGGTATGCAGCTCCAGCAAGTAGTCCGTGCGGCTTTCAGGTTGCAGCGAGTTGCCGAACCATTTCGCAGCTGTGGCCACTGACCGAAGTGACAGCAGCGTGTACCCGACGAACTCTTCCATGTTCCGATGGCGATTGATAGTAGCAGCGGTGATGCTATCTCGGTTAAAACCATTTGCGTCATTCCCAGTGAAGTTATCGCTCTCCACGGTCCGAGTTGGTGACGTAGGCTTCGCCTTCATCTTGATAAGCAGACGTTTGTGCGAGCAAAACTCACTGAACGCGTCCAACGTCGCGCACAAATAATGAACTCTTGCTTCACAGAGTTGCCACCGATTCGGAGTGTGGTGCTTGCTTCCTTCAAGCTGCACCTGCGAGACATTCTGGCCCAGTTGGTACTCCAGGAAGAAATCGGTGGGGATCAAGTCAGGTCCTGCGTCCTGCAACTCGTGGAAGAAGAACACAAGACGCAATTGGGAGGCGGTAGGATCCACTTCAGCTCCACGCATGGGCGTCAGGATGCTCCACGTCGGTCGCATCTCGGGTGAATCCCCACGGAGCAGCAACGCAGGTGGTATGGTCTCCGTCCGAAAGGCTTCAAGACGGTCGAGTACGCTCTTCGGAGTCTCGTGGCGGACCCGCAACTCGGTTGACAGGAGCTGAGACGCAGATAAACCCGACGCAGCGGAGTTAGCCATGCAAACCCTAGTGCTCAAAGTGCCAGCTCCAGTCACCACGTCGTCGTCTACTTCTGGTCGTTCGGATGCAGCAGGAGAAAACACACTGTGAAGCTCACGCGCGATCACTTGCAGTCGGTTTTGCTGCTGGTAGACCCGGTAGCACAGCATACACACTGGGAAGTCACACACATCGCGCAGTTGAGACTTCTTCACGGTGCTGACAGCGTTTTCCCACACTGGGAGAGCGACTCCGCGCTGCCGCATGAAAAATATCGTATCGAGCGCCATCGTGAGCGTCATTCGGAACTCGTCTCCCACCGGTGGTTCTATCGAGATACATGTAGTGCTGTTCTCCTTGTAGTCGTCTCCAGTTTGGTCTTTGAGCATAGCATCCAACTGCCCTCGGAACGTCGGGGCGAGCTCGCATGAGCAGCCACACAGGAAGCAAGCGCGTGAATTCAGGGCGTTATCCAGCTCGTCGCCACGCAGTAAACCAGACGCACGTCGAGGAGAGTCGCAGTCATCCACCTGCGGGTCGTTGTTGAGTCGACTGTGCTTCGACCGTAAAGCTTCGGGGATCAATACTGCGGAATCTCGACTACCAAAGCCTCCGTCGTCTCTAGGCGGCTCAACGGAACTTGACGCGTTGAAGTCCACAACACGCGTGAGCCACCATATGCCCGCCGTGTCCTTTATGAAATCCACCGTCATCGAATGGAAGCGCAGCGTCGGGAGCTGCATCTGTACGTGCTCAACGACACGTGAGGTCGCTTGAACACCTTCAGCGATTGCTGCACCACGCAACTTCGGCCATCGAGCGCATGCTCGCTCGTCTGGAGAGACCGTCACGCAGTAGAACCGAGCGATCTGCGCTGCAGTGGTCATGGCTGCGTCAAACGCTGCATTCATCGCCGCCATGGTGGAAACAGTCATGCCGTTCGTAGGGGCAGAAGCTGCAGGTATTCCCGGTAGTTCTGCAGTGTCAACTTCTTGAGGAGCCTCGGTACTTTTCAAGCTACACTAACGAGCGATGAACGGAGTAAAGTCAGCAATGTCACGACGGTGTTAGTCAACATGGTGGCCAATACAGAAGATGGTATCAAGGCCGTACCTGCTGGTAAGATTCACGGCGAAGCACTTGCGCTCCTGCTCGCACCAGAAGATGCGGTAGACGCTGGCTTGAGATCCGCGACAGTGAACAAACTGCTGGACGCATATCGGCAGCTCGCACGGCACAGCCATTACAGGGTCCAGCGTTCGTCGAGTGAGGACAACTGCGCTTCCACCGCTAGGACTGTTGTTGCTCTTCCATCGCGCCACACTCCGCACTGCCAGGACCGGGTCGCTTTCGTGACTGTTTGAAGGGGTAGCCGATGAAGCCGACGCGATGCCCAGGAGGTCGTTGTGCAGCTTCTTGCGCCACAGAGGGGTCTTCTCCTCACGCACGACGTTGCCTTGAGCGTCTGTACGCAGCCATAACACCATTTCCTGAGCGTTTGCACGCTCGCAAACTACGGTCAGAGGTAGGTTGACGCGCAGCTTCCTCTGCGAGCTGCTGCTTGTAGTTGTATTGACATTGTTGTTCCCTGTGCCACTGACTGAGTCCGCGGGGCCTATAGGCTGGAGATACTTGTAGAAGAAAAGCAGCGGCTTCACTTCTCGGGGACACGGATAGCCACTTTCAGTCTGCAGGAGGCAATAGCAGTCATCAATGTCAACGCTGAACAATAAGAGAGCAACGTGGTCAAGACTTACGCTGCCGACATAAGTATACGCTGAAAATCGGCGACTACAACCGCCAGCCTTTGCATCTCCCCCAGTAGCCGAACTTTCCTCGATGTTGAGTCCGATCTGCCACAGGGCCGCAGACATCTGCACCTCGGACCGCAGTCGGTCGCTCAGCGACTCGCCTCGTTGTCGACGCATCCAGAAGCCGAATATCTAACGACGGAGAAGCAACAACAACAACAGATAACGGCCGCAACCAAGCAAATACACACTAAAAATACGGGAACCGTGCCAACATCTCCAGCTTCCTGGACACTATTCGACAGCAAGATTCAACGAGTATTTAGCATGTTATTCATTCCATAAAATGTGATGGCGAGGCACCATCAAGGCGGCGGTGAAGAGCACGCCAGCCACTCCGACCCAAACAGAGACGCCAAATTACTTGTCCGTCTTCTTCTCCTCCTTCTCCTTCTCCTTGTGCTCCACCTTCTTCTCACTGGGTGGCAGCGCCTTCTTCGGCGCGCTGGGCCATGTGTTGTACAGCACGACCGCAGCAGACACACAGCCGACCGATCCAATGATGCCGTCGTGCAGCTTCGTGCCCGTGATCCGCTCGGCCAGCCGCACGCCGCCCGTGTTGGACGACACGACGAGGTCGCACGTGACCTTGAGCACCGCGAGCAGCTTCTTGAAGCGGCCGCTGCGCAGTGCCTCGAGCTGCGTCTGCAGCGCATCGACGCGCGCCGCGTCCTCCTCTGACGCGAGGATGTCGCGCACGCACTTCTCCTTCTCCACGTCGGCGTTGAGGCTCTCGACGGCGTTGAAGAAGCCCGCGACGTTGGCGCAGAACCACAAAATGCCTCCTTTCTTGCTCAGCTCCTCGGCGTCGAAGCGCAGCACCTTGGCCTTGCTGGCGAACGCCACATTGTCCGAGATGAAGTAGCCCAGCATGCCCACGTTCTGCACGAACTGCAGGTAGCTCTGGCCCTCGGAGAGGCTCTTGTTGCCGGACAGCGCCTGCAGCTTCTTGTAGTACGTGACGCTCTTGCCCAGGCGGAAGGCCTTGCGCGACTGCTGCATGACCTTGTACAGCGCGTGCAGGCGCTGGCCCACGTCGCTCTTGGGGTCGGCCGACAGGATGTAGAAGGCCAGCGCTCGGCTGCCGTATTGCAGCATCTAATAGGCGGTCGAGCACGACACGTAGCGCGTTAGAAAGAGGAGACAAAGGCGGTTGCAATGAGCTAGGTTGCGTACCTTGGAGAGCTTGTCTCGGCCCTCCAGACAGAAGGCGAGCTTGATGAAGGCGTCCAGTGATACGGGGGCCTTGGTGTCCATGGTTTTTTCTCGGTGAATACGGGGCGGTGAGTGGTGGGAAAGAGATCGGTGGGTGCGTGCGCGTCTGCTGAACAAGATGCAGTTGGTTGTACGGCGTGAAGAGCTCTAGGAGACGAGATACAAGAGGGCGGCGCGAGACGTCGGCGTCCAGCGGCGGATTCCAGAGTGACCTCAACTTGAACGACGTGTTTTACGTGAACGTAACCGGGTACGACTAGGGGTACACGGAGACCGTAACCACCTTCAGCACGGGACGAAGGCGACGTGGCTGGATGTTTAACACGAAGCTCCTGCTGGCTGCTACTACATGTGGAGGGAGGGATGGGTGGACAGCGTCTACATTGAGCTTCTCGCGGCCGTGATGGTATCCTACTTGGAGGGGTTTGAAGGGCGTTAGTTATAGTTTGAGGACAGTAGTGGACTGTACGTGTACTGTAGGGACTGGTTTGATAGCCGGCGGCGCGGTGGTTTGCCGACGCAGAGTTGGCAGGAAAGAGATGACATTGCGCGCCGGGATAGTCGTTGGTGATGGCTGCGCAAGTCGAAGCACATGGTGCGCCACGCTCGACACGCAATATCAAGAGCGGAGCAAGTTGAAGTTCATTCCTAAAGCGAGGTACTTTAGTTAGTGACATGTACCAAACGACAGGAACATTCGAGCTTGTCGAGCTGCATGTTACAACAAGAGCTGCCGTCTACATGACGACGTTCGCTGCACCACCAGAATTATCGCAATGATCGGCCATAATTTCTGGACATGCCCCTGTGCGCAAGCATGTTGGCCTTTTCTCATTAGCCGCTGGACGAGACGGCAATGCCAGGGATCGCAGATCCGGCGCTTCACGACAAGTTATGTGTGTCTTTCAAGACGAAGCTACGGAGTACAAACGAGAGTGGAAACGTATGTGGTGGATCCTCAGAACGGTCTGCATGACCGTTTCGTGGCTCCAGAGCAATCGAGTGGTGCATCAAGGCAGTAAGGCCACGATTGAAAGCAGTGTTGCTGCTTTTCAAGCAGCTGGACTACGTCAACTCCGAGCGCTAGCGAAACGAGAACGACAGAATCCGCGGACCACACGTGTATTATTCTGTTTAGAACTAACCTTATTCCAGCAGGACCCTAAAGAGGCACCTCGTCATGAGGCGAGCCACGTACAGCCACCGGGACCACCATCGGCTCCGGCGCTGCTCAGTGAGGTGAGCAGTGCTCACCTGGCTTAGGGCAGGTATTCCAGACAATCTTGTCAACCGTAAGTTGAATAAACTAGTCTGATCCTCCTCCTCAGAATTATCGCAATGAACGAGTTCACAGCAACGACGGACACATGAACTATGGAATTGAGTCGCTTTCCTGGAAGTACCTCAAACTATCAGCCTCTCATGGCGGCGCGTAAGTGTCTGTCGGAAGTGCGCAAAGGGCAGTCTTGGCAGCAGAATCTTTTAAATCCACGTAAAGCATTTTTATTGTGCTGCTGTTGACTTCAGAGTATGGCAAGCAAATACATGTACTGCGTCACATGTATCTGGATAGCTCTTCCAGTCCATCATATGACGACTCTCTTTGTTCACTTGTGCTCCAAAGCCATTCGATTACGTTGCCAAAAGCATTTGACGCAATCCACAACGCAACAGCTTGCGTCCTCGTGAAGTGGTCGCCTCGAATGCGACCCGCTGAATCGGTAGCAAACTCAAGAACGTCTTGTTGAGCACTTCAATACGCCTCGTTTGCTGTGAGTGCTCACGCTTTCGGCGCAACTTCAGCAGTATTACATTACACCCAGCAACCATGCGCGTCTACGCTCTCCTCATGGCCGCGGCCGCTGTCGTGGCTCCCGCTCTGGCTGGCAGCAGCAACTACGCACTTGGTACAGTGCAGATTGCAGTCGACTCCACGACCTCCAGCGCCGCTGGCTCGTCTTCTTCGTCGCTGCCCACCGTCGAGCTCGACTACACCACCGTCCAGGCCGACGGAGGCAACACCGCCGTCGGCTACTACAAGTACCAGAACATCCGCTTCGCCAAGGTGCCGACTGGCGAGCTCCGCTTCGCGGCCCCCGAGTGGCCCGACGTCGAGACGGAGATCCCTTGGTTGACGCTGATGTAGAGTGCAAGACCTCTGAAGACTGTTTGTACCTGGACGTATGGGCTCCTGCCAACGCTGCCGGACGCAACCTGCCAGTCCTCGTCTGGACCTACGGCGGCGGCTTCACGGGCGGCTTGAAGTCGGAGAACACGCCCGAGGGCATCTTCGACCTTACTCAAGACTTCGTGTTCGTCGCGTACAACTACCGCGTGGGGATCACTGGCCTCACTAATGGCCCAACGTACCAGCACGAAGGTGGAGTGTGTCTGGGATTCCACGCAGGCGTTCGAGTGGGTGCAGAAGTACATCAGCAAGTTCGGCGGCAATCCGAACGACGTCACCGCCGCCGGTTTTTCCGCTGGTGCGTCCCAAGTCATGTTCCAGTTGACGTGCTTCAGCGGCAACGCGCCTCAGCTCTTCCACAAGGTGTACATCATGTCCGCGGGTTACGTCCCTGGCGCCGGCCACCACCACGCGGAGCAGTTCTGGCAGAACGTGTCGTCCTCTTTGGGCTGCGAGGGTGGACACCTTGACTGCATGCGCGTGGTCTCGTTCGACGACTTGGTCAACGCGTCCAACACCGTTGTGGACACGTACACGTACCAGATGCAGCCGCGCGTGGACGGCTTCATCCTTCCGGACACGTACGAGGCCAGTCTGTACCAGGGCCACTTCAACTTCTCTGGTCCGTGCGTCGTCTCCCACGAGCAGCATGAGGCAAACTCTCACGCGTACTCCGGTGTTGAGACTCAAGAGGACGTCGCAACCTACCTGCGTATCTTCTTCCCTGGCATCTCGGACGATGCTGTGGAGACGGCGCTGAAGCTGTACCCTGAGTGCGACTACGAGAGTGCTGGTCTTCGCTTCGCCGACATGAAGCAGTCGTTCGACTTGACTGCGAAGAACTTGGCGCTGACGAATGCCCTGAACAACCAGACCTGGAACGCCGAGGTCGCACTGGGAGAGACCACGCACGGCTACGACCAGAACTACTACTGGTACAGCACGTACTCGCTGTCGACCTAGTGGGACAGCGCGTCCACAACTGCGTCTTCCATGAGTTCGGAGGAAGCTGCGAGTGTCGGTGCTGTTACGACGACGGTGAACGCGACGATCGCCATCAAGATGCAGAAGTACCTCATGTCCTTTGTGCTCACCGGCAACCCCAACACTATGTGGACCGAGGACAAGATCTACTGGCCGCTGTACAACGAATCAAGCGTGGGCACGCAGATCGTGTTCAACGACACATTCACGGTCGCGGATGATGATCTGGCCAACGCCAAGAGCCTGTTCTGGAACAAGACGTTGTGGTATTAAGCCAAGGAAGTGTGTACTTATAGTGCCTACCGGTAGCTGCACGAAAGTGTGCTATGCGTAAATACAGCAATTTCATTCTCTTGAGTTGTTGCCGTATGCACTTCAACGTGGTACTAGCATAAACAGTAGCTCTGCTCCTGCACAAAATAAGGTCAACCGTAGGTTTGTTCTTCCGGTTTAGCCTGCCACAAATGCCCCATGATCAGCCAGCGGAAGCAAGGCGCCCTTCAGGCGAAACCATTTTTCTCTCTTGAAGTCGCGGTTCAAGTATGCACGTCAGAGGTCCGAAATAATAATTGCGATCCAATAAATAATTGGGTTTTGCAATACTAATTCTTATTATTGGAGATCAACGATTCCAATACAATACAGTATTGTACCATTATTGACAATTAATATGAAAAAGGTTGCACGGCGCCAAACATAGCAAAGTACGTCTTAAAATGATAGTTAGGTCTACATACGCAACGATTAAGGTGTAGTAAAAGCCATAATGGGCAATCATCACCTTTAGAAACCAATATGTACGCAAGGCAGAACATCAATGACGTCCAGATGTAGTGAATCCCGCCGAACACATCACATCAGGGAACGGCAGCGGATGGCAATCCACTAGGGACTTGAGCTTAATGTTTTGATATAGTGATTACGCCTTTGAGGCAATTGTAGGAGAAAAAGCGAAGTGGGTCCGCGAAGCAGTTGATCATACAAAATGCTTAGTCTGTAACCTCATACCAGGTGCACACACTATGAAGTGTGTCTGTGTGAAGCTTGACTGGTCATGATGCGGTGAACCCATTACCTGTGGCTCGCGTGGGTCACCGCCGCGACATGCTATCGAGCCCTTAACTGCGGTGATACCAAGGTGAAACCCTGGAATCCACTACACCAGATTTACGATATATAGCAAGATCCAGATATATCTCCCTCACGCATTACTACCGGTAGGTTGTTTAAGCATCCACCATGCAAAGTTTTCTAAAGCAACACCCCAAAAAGTGTTTCTAAACGACTCTGTAATCATATGACGCACAGAAAGTGGTTTATTTCTTCTGTAGAAATGCCTCAAATTCTCTGGATTTTATCCAGAGTCGATGGGTGGATGCCACTGAGGTGCCATTATTCTTGCATCAAATACCTGACCAATATGATATTTAGTGCTGCTCACATAAGATTCCTGTTATATTAAATATCCTGCTCCCTAATCAATTTATGCTGCTATGTTGACCCATCCGGTTAAGATTAAGATAAATTACCTATTACATTTGATACTCCCTAATCAATTATATATACCTGCGACATCTAACTTATCTACCGCTCAAGCAACATCCATCCGATTTTTTTCGCTCGGTCAACATGCTGACGGGATCCCGCCTTGAAGTGTTCCAGTGGTGATGATTTCGGCATCGCTTTACACTATAACACCGACGATGTCGATCCCACCGTGTGCTGTACACGCAATAATAAGAGCTCATTCCTACAATTACGTCGCAACGTCTGCTTTGATGAGCGAGTTCATTGACCCCCAGAGTCGTTGTGGTTAATGGAAGCCGTAATCGAGTTTTCGTATCGAGCTGCCGTAGCGGCTGGCGCCATATCCTTTTTTGGCGAGAACCCGTAGGGTATGAACACTCGTTCATGGCTGAAGAGATCGGGGGGAAGGGCTAAAGGAGCTGCGAATGCATGCATATCCAGGAACACAAGTTGAAATACGCCCACTTCCCAAAAAGCTATCACGAACTAGCCAGGAATGCCATACTTTCGCTCTATATCTAATTTTTCCTCGTGAAATTGATGCGGCGACAGTACATGTACATCAGGCAGCCGAAAAAAAATTGGGGGCGCCAAAAATGGCCAACTAGAGAATTGGGCTGGATGTGCGCCTGAAAACGGTATGCAAGTCCGTTGAAGCAAACCAAAATCGCTCGGCTACAAACCTACCAATTAAGACATTAGTTCTCTAGACAAACTGTACCAACCTACAGGATTATCCGAAAAACGTGGGGGCCAAGACGCGAGCAGCCTAAAGGTTAGCCGCGCCACTCGGAGTAGAACAGCCCCTGCAGCTTGTCAGCATAAAGGCCGCAGCGATCATGGCGTAGATTCTAGCGCGATCTCCTGTGCTTCAATCGTAAGAAGTGACCGTGTATTCCTAACAAATTCCTTCTCCGTGTAATCCTAAGGAAAGTTGTATGAAAACGTAGAGAAATGATGAGTGAAGCGATCTCTTCGTATCAGCGCAACATACATGGTCCGCGCAATTAGATAGCACCACTGCATCACGAAAACCATCTGCATACAAACCAGAAAAGCGGGGTTCTAGGTGCCTCCTTTTAGTAAAATTCTTCCTTGGCCAGCTGGGCTGTCCAAACTGAAGCTCTACTCCTGAACCTGGCATCTGTCCAAGTAAGCGTAGCGAGCGTTTAAGGTCGGAGGACCGCGCGGAGTGCGTAGCATAGTGGTAGTTTAAATCAGTACACAAATCTACTACTAAGTACTTGCATAGCTTTTTACAAAAGCTACCAAGCTGGAGTAATTCCTCCTTATATGTCCAAGAGCAACGTAAAATCGAGAGCTGTTCCGGCAGAGCACGGCTTTGTTGAAGAGCAGTATATTTATATTGCGGCAATTTTTATTATTTCTCCTTGCTGAATTGTAATTTTTATTACGGTCTGATCTCGTACTAAATTCAATATAGTTCTGTATTTTCGGACCTCTGATGCACGTGAGCCAGTCTTGTCAAGCAAGCAAGAACGATAAGCATCGACCAAAGATTATGTTTTCCAGCGGGCTACTGTAAGTGCGATGCGACTTTACAAATCTTCGTTGAAGTGATACCGCCGCACTTCTGGCCTAGAAGTTCTGGGAAATTGGTTTTTTCTCGCTTTTTTATCGTGCGGTTGTGATAACACCACGCGGTACATGTAGTACACGCGCCAAACCCTTCGTTTAACCAGCATCGTGTCGCCCGTTCCCTGCCAAGTTTGAATCAAGTGCGGGGCCTGGTCGTGGAGCTCCAACCACCAAGTACAATGCGCTCACTTTTAAATTGACGCAATCCAAGGCTCCAGCTCCTCTGAAGAAATTCTCCCTGCAAGAAAATGCGCGTATTGCCGCGTCTAGCTTCTGTGGCTGCAATCGCCGTCTCTGTCTTCGTCTGTAGTGGCGATTCCTCGTCGCTGCCCACCGTCACGCTTGACTACTCGACCGTCCAGGCCGTCGGAGGCAACTCCACCGCCGGGTACTACAAGTTCCAGAACATCCGCTTCGCCAAAGCTCCCGTTGGTGATCTGCGCTTCGCCGCACCGCAATGGCTCGACGTTGAAGCAGACATCAATACTGGGAACCTCGCTGATACCGACGTCGACTGCGCGTCATCGGAGGACTGTTTGTTCCTGGATGTGTGGGCTCCTGTTGACGCCGTGGGGAGGAACCTCCCCGTGTTGGTGTACAACTACGGCGGTCGGTTCAAGCTCGGTTCCAAGTCGGTGAACACGCCCGAGGGCCTGTTCGAACTGTCGACGGACTTCATCTACGTGGCCTACAACTACCGCTTGGGGCTCACGGGGGTGGCCACAGGCCCGACGTACCAGCACGAGGGCGGTGTCTCGAACCTGGCTGTCTGGGACGCCACGCACGCCTTCGAGTGGGTGCAGAAGTACATTGAAAACTTCGGAGGCAACCCGAGCGACGTCACGGCGGTGGGTTTTTCAGCTGGCGGCTCGCAGATCGGGTTCCAGATGACTCGCTTCGGCGGCAACGCGCCTCAGCTGTTCCAGAAGGCGTACATCATGTCTCCCGGTTATCTCCCGAGTGCGGGCCACCACCAAGCGGAGCAGTTCTGGCAGAATGTATCGAGTGCTGTCGGCTGTGAGGGAGGCCACTTGGCCTGCATGCGAAAGATCCCATTCGGTACGCTAGCAAACGCTACGACGGAGATCGTGAACGCGTATTCGTACACGCTGCAGCCTCGCGTGGACGGCTTCATCCTCCCTAACACGTACGAGGCCAGCGTATACCAGGGCCACTTCAATTTTTCTGGTCCGTGCATACTCACCCACGAACAGCACGAGTTTAACAGCGTTGCCTATGACGGTGTTGAGACTGAAGAGGACGCATTTGCGGCCTTCCGCGTACTGTTGCCGAGGATCACCGACGATACGATTGAAGCCGCACTGGAGCTGTACCCAGCGGAGAACTATGCGAGTGCCGGTCTTCGTTTCAGCGATATCCGACAGTCGTTTGAAATAACGGCGAAGAACCACGTCTTGACGAAGGCCTTGAACAACCAAACCTGGAATGGGGAGGTCGGCATCAGTCCCGCCAAGCACGGCACGGACCAAAGCTACTACTTCTACAGCACGCACAAGTTCTCGACCTCTTCGAATGATACGACTACTACCACTTTCAACGCGGCGGAGGCGGCGCTGGTTGGAGCTATCACTTCTCCCGTGGATCCGACGATCGCAAGGCAAATGCAGAAGTACCTCCTCTCATTCGTGCTCACTGGAAACCCCAACTCGGTCTGGCCCGACGACAAACTGTATTGGCCGCGGTACAATGAATCGGCTGTGGGGGCGCAGATCGTGATGAACGATATTTTCTCGGTTGTAGACGACAGTCTGGCCAACTCGAAGAGTCTGTTCTGGAACAAGGCCCTGTGGTTCTAAGATTAGGAGTTCGGCGCATTAACCCATTAAACAAAGTTTACGAGCTTTTCTCGAGTAGGTACGAACGGTACGCATTTTCGCTACCTACTAACGCATTTCGTGATCATAGAGTAAATCCGGCATCGCCACGGCCCAAACATCGGCGCCAAGGCCAGCACTAAGCGTAATAGTGAGTGTGAGTTTTTAGGACAAAAGGTACTCGCAACACAGAGTGCCATCACGACATGGTGCTCGTGACGCGTATCGCCTCGACCGCCAAGTACAGCGGCTAGAAGCTGCTGACTGTAGTAAATGTACATATATCGCAACTTGACTCACCCATCCACGAAAGTTGAGGGGGGGGGGCTAAGAGGTTATCTATCTACGTTTAACGAGAAACTATGTATAGAGTCCTGGTATTAGTGGTTCTCACGGTTGGAAGGTCCGCAGGTTTCATCAGCCAATAGGATTTACCTGCAAACCTGCAGCCAAACCTGCAGCAAGTCACAAAGCATGCTGGCTCACCTGCAATGCACTTCCTGAACACACCTGCAGGTTTACGCTGATTGGTTAGATTTACCTGCAGCCTGCAAATCTACCAACCGTGAGAACCACTATTATCAGAGAGAGAGAAGAGAAGTCTATTTAACCTTAGTTATAAGCCTCCTGGTAAAGTTTGAATCGCTTTAGCAGCACCGGTTCAATGGCTCGGCGCCAGCTCGCTTGGGGTGGAAGCGGGCTCTCTTACCCTATTCCACCTTCATGTTTGTAAAACAGTCGATGCAGAGCTGTAGCTCCAGTCCCTGTGTTCGTGTGTGTGCCCTGTTGCGTTCGCGTTTGGCCACAGCGCGAAGCTGTATAGAGTCCTCTTTTGTTTTTTTTGTTTTTGAATTGAGGTTCCATTGGTGTCACTTAGCTAATACGATCGCTAACGACTCCTAAAGACCGGGACCTCACCTGTGCCAATAAGCGTCACTAGGCAGGGGGCTCTCTGGACCAGAATCTGGTGCGAGAGTCTGAAAATTAGTGCAAAGCGCGACCTCGAAGAGGTCAGGTGGTTCGTACTCGCCACCCACGAGGTCGGTAGATACAGGGCAGGGGCCCTGCACCTCCTGTTGTGCGGCCGTCGGCTAGCGTTCTCCCTATACACTAACTGTAGAGTCAGCTGTACGTGTAAATAACAGTTAGTTAGTGTCTAGTAAATTTTGCTAACATGTATTTGCCGAACGAGCATCACTAATTTTTGCACAAAAACGGAAATTGATAAAGACTTTTACACTTCAATAACTTTATCTACGCCGCTCCGATCGTTCTGGTTTTCTATATTTTAAGAAATAACACGCTTTTAATTCGATATTGTGGCCCACATTGTCCCAACTCAACGGTACTGTCACATTAGATGCTGCCATGTCTGGTCTAGATGCCGGTGCAGTGCCAGAGCCGTAGTTACTTGAAGTGCCAGTCTAGAACGGATAGTCCCATCCGTTAGGTTGTGTTTTATTTTTAAGGACCAACACGTGTGGACAGAACTGATAGTGAGGCGAGATCCTCAATTAGCAGCGATGGCGGTGCTGTATTTGTTGTTGAAAGCATCTGCGCATGTAAGACTGTTGATATGCAGCGACTGTACCTGATAAAATGGGTAGGGTGGGAAAGTCTGACCTGGAACCTGGCCCGTCACACTCCGATCGAGATGATCGACGAGTTTTAAGACGCAGAGCTGAATTCGCCCTGGCCCGAATATATTTCGCTAGAAGATGGGTCTCAAGGACGCAGAGTCTCTAGATCTCTTCAGTAGGTAAGAAAGACATTAACTGCAATCAGCCTTAAGGTTAATATTTATCATGACTTGGTACCGGTATACCTCTCCTTACCGTAGTGTCTGGTGATTGATTAGATGAAATAAGTAGGTTTAGGGTTGCAATCTCGACCTCCCCGAATTTTCCTCAGGTATAGTGGGCTTTTGGGCCCCTCGGACGAGGGGCCAAGAGACTCCTCACAGACTTTCAGTAAGGGCACCGTCATCGGAGGGTCTTAAAGTAATGGTATATAAGTGCACGGCGCCCCTTCGTCTCGCGGTATCACGGCGGTATGAGCACGTCGGATCGCTCTTGGGACTCTGTCGTGGCGATCTTGACCCATGAGAGTGTTGCCTCAGCGAAAGGCTTGTGTTCGGCGGGAACGCCTAGCTGCAAGATTTAGATGCGATGACGAATTGTTGCATTACTGGCACTGCTTTTTGATGCAGGGTAGGAGCTGCTGGCAATTTTGATGCCGCGCACGAAGGCGTGCTGGGCGATGTCAGACATGCTGCATCTCCGAAGCTCGATAGCTAGGTTGAGTGCACGGCTATCAGCTGATCACTCTTGGTGCAACGGGGCACATAGCAACTATCCGAAAGCACAACGCTGTGTTGGAGCTTATTTTCTCACGAATGACCAGCATTCGTGCCGACTCGAGCTAAGTTCGCTAAAACTTGCAGCATTCGTGCTGACTCGAGCTAGGCTTGCAAAAACTTGCAACAAAGCGCAGCCTCGGTCAGGTTGGTTCCCTTGCTACCTGTGCATGCAGTTTTAATTAAGAGCAACACAGCTGGCAGAAGGTGTTTTGATGCATAACTGTGCTAGCAATACCGGACTGCGATCAAGTAAGCAGCTATTCTGTCCCCCAGCAGGTACTGAAGACCATCGCAGTCGTTTCTGTAGCTGGTTCGATGCCCACGACTAGTAAAGATAGCTAGAACTAGTTACTATCTATATGGTAAAGGTGCTGAATACATTTGACTGCACAGCAGAAGCTTACAGCAAGACAGGTCTAAAGCCTAGGCTTACACTTCAAAAATTGACTAGTAGCGCTGATAAGCTTAGGCTGATGCTTTGGGGGCGTCGTCAAATGTACAGTTTTACTGTACGTAAGAGGTCGGCCCACCAGCAACTCGACTCGAGCGGCTCAGCTAGTATATATCATGATATTATGCTCTTGCTACTAACTCGTCAACTAACAGTCAGCAAACGTACAGTTAACAGTGAGTTAGTGTCTAGTAAATTTAACTAACAGCAAAACGCCCTACACTACCGTCGGCCGCTGTCCCTTGGAGACTTGACTTGAGCTTGTTGATCGCGTTCGTCCGGCGCGTGCTGTAGGATTCGTGGGCCTGGGCTCGAACTAACATCACATGACGGCAACATCCCAAAGGTCACCGCCCAAATGCCTCCGTGGAGGCGTGGCTTGAGTGCTTGAAACCGCGGTCGCCTGCCGCGAGCTTGAAAGAGTGGTCGAAGGCTTGGCCTCCTACCCCCGTGGCAGCAACCCTGAGAGTCGCCGCCCTCTTGGAGCGCAATCGCCGTCGATGCGCGGGAGCTGCTGCTGTGCCAACTCCCTACGTCGGCCATGGTCACGCGGAAGCCGTCGCTGCAGCCGCCTTGCTCCTTCCTGGGCTCCCAAGGGAGGATTCCACCCAGGAAGGCCAAAGGCCCGGAGATCTTTGGAGGCGACCCTTGGCAGACACTTTGCGACCCGTAGGATTCTGGAGTGTATAGTGTTCCGAAAGGAATGATGATCCTGCAATCCCCTTTTCGCTACTGCTGGTCTTCATTTCGTTCGCCGACTTTGCATCTATAATACAAACTACAGTCAATATACTAGTATAGCAGCATCCTCACGGCGAATTTTCGCCCCGGTTGCTAGAGGGGCATTGCTTCGGAAAATGTTGTATCATAGCTTCTCAGCACCGCCCCCAAGTATCCTATACACACTCATACTTTTATCGAATTGGTTTCAAAAATATATGCATGAAGTGCCGGGTTTGCATCAGATTTTATTAAAATGACCGGGCTTGGAGTTTAATATCGAAAACGGTATAGGCAGCACGGGGACCGATGCCACGAGCAAGCGTAGCGAGCACTGGTAGACAGCGCGCGTGTTCCCGACGTTGCACACATGCTGATCAACTAGAACTTGCATGTCCGAGTCATCCGTCGCCGCCATAAATGAAGACAGGAAAGAGGCTTGACGTAACAGCAAGGGATCTCGTGCCGCATCTGGAAGTGCCGTCGTAGCTTTCGACCTCTTTCAACCGTAAATCAATGTATAGTCTTTGGCTTAGTCCTGGTTTCCATGCTGCAGTAGTAAATAAACACTTTTCGAATCATTATAAGTGGCTTTGGTGTTACCACCGTTGGCCGTTGAATCGATTGCAACAAATTTCCGGGTGGACATCGTTAAATATCCCCCACAGTACCAGGCTAAATCGTGCTCGAGCATTCAGCAAGCCAATATATCAGTAAAATTGTAACTCATGGCGAAAAATTCAGTCACATTACATTCAACAACCACCGGTATGCACATTTGCTCTTACATTACATTACTTTAAAGCTCATTGAAACAGCGAGACCAGCAGTTTGCCCCCCAACACGTAAGTGCTTTTCACAATAACACGAACTCACTGTAAGTGATTTAAAAGAGCTTCAAGATGAACGACTACACGTCTCACTCCACATACATGTTCGCCAGATTCACTATACAGTAACAAACACTTAACAAACGCTAGTGTTAGGCGTTTGTGTGAACATGCAAGACCAAAGGTTGGTGTCAGAATTGCACATTGCTACTTTAAATTGCTCAGGATATAGCATGCGATTTTGATGAGCAACGACGTCTTACATCCTGCGCAAATGACAATATTTCGTCTATTTATCAAGGTTGTCAGAAAAATATACCAAATATCAGGGCATAAAGAGAATTCTCCACGTTTACTTCACAGCTACAGAGCATACATCCTGGCTATTGTCTCCACTATATGGCACGCCTGGCCTAGTCGCCGCTTTCTGTATCATGCCAATCTTCATACTGCTGCTGCAGAACTGTGTGTAGCAAGCGATTTATAGATTTCTTCAGTCAACGATTGCAGCAACTAATATGCCAATTAATTCGCTTCCGCATGAGTGGTTCGTAATAGTTAGCGGTAGCATAGTATAGCCTTTGGATTATGCCAGTTTTGCCAAGGATCTATCAGTGTACAGACCGATACCTTGAATTAGGTTATCTCTGAATAACTTAATCCAAACGACTCTTCAGTACATTGTTTCGTACGTTAGCGGAGACTTTTACTGGGATAGGAAGCAACGTTAGTGCTGCTATCGCAGACCAAATAGGATTATATCCGTGGTACGTCAAGTCAAACGATGACCCCTCTTGACATCTAACTGGTATATTTTCTTGAAACCGGTATGGCCCCAGTGATGCACTGGGCCCTCCAAAAGGTTTATATGCGTGGGCAAATCGAAGCGGTAGAATATTTATTACACCGGTATGAATCCGGTGCCGCACTGGGGCCTCCAAAAGGTTTATATGCGTCCAACCGGTGTGCAACCGACGACACTGGTATGACCCAGTACGTATATTCGAGCAGTGAACGAATTGAAGTAAAGAGAACGATTGAGTCGGACTGTAGTAGCACTAGAAATTAGCATTGGCATTTTCAAGTATAAAACTTCTACAAGCTGCAAACAGATCTCAGCCAAGGTTCGTATTTGTTGTAAAGCGTTGCCAGTTGATATCTGGCATCTACAGTTTCAAGGACAATTTTCGGGCAGATGCTGCGGCTGCGAAGCAGGCGCAGGAGATGACCGTAGCTCATAAGAAAAGTCATCAATAAAACTAAAGAGAGGGGTTATACCAAAATCCTCCTATCCCAGCCTTCGCGGAGCCCTAGTTACGGAGCTGCCTGACCTCTCATATGTTTTTTACGGCGGGCTCCACTGTCATTTGCCTCCGATACCACATTTAACCAGAGTTCAGCCACCCCTTGAAAAGGGTTCCACGGTCCATGTGCATAAATCGTCGGTCGTCAACTCTTACCTTAAACTTCAACGATTAACGCAATCGTTTGTTTGCTGATACAAACGGGGCGATCTCCGGGTCGATAAAAAGTTGACCTCAGTTTAATAACTTGTTATACCTTCGAACAAGGTAACCTTTGAATGGTCGCGTTTGGGCGCCGTTCAACATGAGTTCGTGTGTTCTTAAAAAGGGGTAAAATTCGATCAAAATCGCCCCCGGGCAGGCTATGATAGTTCATTGGCCCTACCCCATTCTCAATTGTACTGGCTGAGCAGCTCGGGTCAAGTTGCTGGTGGGCCGACCTCTTAAGTACGGTAACGTACTTTTGACGACGTCCCCACGCTTCTCCCAAACTACTGCTGCTCCCGCAGCACATATCGGGGATGTGTGGCGCGTAGCTCGTAGTGTATAGAGGTGTTGAGGCCACAATTGTGTGCGCGGTGGGGGTGATCTTGAAGAGGAGGGGCCCTTGGTGTAGTAGTACATGGCGCGGTGGGGGCGATCTTTAACAGGAGGGCATGTGGAGGGGCGCTATTGCGCGATGGCGGACACACCGGGAGTAAGAAAACAAGCGATGTTAAAGTTGTTCGAAGAGGACTACCGGTCCGTTTGGCATTTGCAATGACGGTGCATAAAGTTCAAGGGCTTACCTGCGATAAAGTTGTTTTTCATTCTCACTCGGTCCCTTCATGTGCATTTGCGTATGTCGCGCTATCCAGGGTTAAGCACAGAAATGATATCATACTCACTTCCCCGTTAACACTTGACAAATTGAAAACATCGCCAGAAAAGCTTCAAATATTCCAGGCCGAGGAGGAAGGAGTGAAGAAAGCAAGACTCAAAACTGCTGACTACGCTACAGCGATCATTGCATCCACGTAAGAGGCAACTCTGCAACACAATAGATGCATATAGATCCATGTGAATTCGCAACCCAGTTTCCGACTCCGCTTATTTCTTTCGGAGGTACAGGAATAATATTTGGAACATCGGACAGAAATGACGGGCCTAGATATGTATCCGTTATCTGCACTAAATTTGATGATGATGAGGTATATTGGATAACTGACCTTAGTCTGAATCCTAACAACCCTATAGCCGATGTTGTACCTTCGGCTGTCCCTCTCTCTAGTCGACAGCTTACTCTTCGGTGTTGAAAACTTCCATAGCCCACTCCGCGTAGTCCCGTCGTGCCAGCTGCGCTATTCGATGGAAGTTTGCACTGAAAGCCTCACTGTGTAAGATGCTCATTTGTTCTGTTTCGGTCGCCAACTGTGCTAAGCTGCGAGAACTTGCGTTGGCGGTTCTGGGCAGCAGGGTCCATGACGCCACCCTGACTTTGTCTGCTAGCTGCCGGCACTTGTTAAACCATATTCGTAGCCGTGTGGACTTCGGGGGCGTTCTGGCGGCCAGCGCCCTTATCAGCAGGGCATTGTCTTCAGCAATGTGAATTCGTTTCTGCTTCTGTCTGTATGTCTCGCTGAGAACATGAAAAAGCGCCACGAAAGCCGCGGTGTTCAACGTGCATTTGGGAGATGGGATCGCCGTGCTCGTGCCCCAGAATACTTATCCGGATTGACTTGACCGCCTTGGCGAATCAAGACACCGCCTGCTCCGTTTCGTCTTGGGATTCCGCCCGTGCAACCATGAATCATGCCGACTACCTGGCAAGATACTGCTGGTCCGCCCATTGTAGGCGTCGTTGCCTCTTTCAGCAGCCTGGCGTATATCAACTTTGTGATTAGCCATTCCACGTAGGATTCTTGCGTGAGGGGCGTATCTAACGCGACCTGCGTGTAGGTGCGCCGAAGCTTGGCTCTCGTTCTTGCAATCACCGCCTCGCCCTCGGCTGCTGTTTCACCGTTCGGGTATAATGCATCCAGCCGACAACGCCAGATAGCTCCAATTGTAGCCGTCACACCTGCTCTCCAGTATTTATTTGCAAATTCTGCCACCAGCCCTAGTGAACCTTGCGGCAGCTGGCATCCCTTCTTAGCATTGCGCTCAACATGGGCTCGCAGTCGTTCCGGGGGTAGTTTAAGCTCCAAAGTAAAGATTTCAGATACCTTCCCAATGTCTGGGTCTCCATTTAGCTGCAGCCAGCCTTCTCGAAAACAAGCCCATGCTGTTCGAGCCACCAGACACGTCCAGAAACTGTGGGAAGCTGTGCTTGTGGCTCCACACTCCGGATGCGGGCAGCTTCTTGAGGTGGTATGCGGATACCACCCACTACATCTCTGCAGTTTGAGCCGATGGAGGAGCTGATGGTCGTATGTTGTGGTCCCCACAATATGACGTATCGAATCCCATTTCAACTCATTCAACGCCTTGCCCATTCGGCAATGTTCATCGATCCACTTATTTCTTGCTCTCTGGATAATACGTCGCCCTTATGACGTTTGCGCGCTGCAAAGTAGATTGAGAAGTGAGTTCATTAAGCAGTTAGACAAAGCTCCCTAACTACTTGCCTAACAGGAGGGCGCCCCCTGTAGCAGCGCCCTCCAGCTCCGCAGCACCAACCACTGGCGCTGATTATGCAGTACCGCCGTTGACGCGGCGGCGATTATGTAGATGCAGTGTTGGCGCGGTCCGTGCGTCCTGTCGGTCAAGCTGTCGGTGTCGGTCGGGCTGCAGCGTCGGCGTCGTCGGCGACGTCAGCGCCGGCGTCGTCCTTGGTCTGATGTGTCCGTTGTCTGGTCAAATACTCCACACTGCCCCCCAAGACGACGAGACACCTTCAGAGCACCTTCGTGTCACACGCCGCGGTGACGTTTTCTGCACTCATGTAGCCATGCCCCGTCGTATGCACCCAACTTCAACGGCAACGAGGTCAAGTTGTACCCATCTTGTGCGATCACCCATAACTTTGTCCTCAGCAACCCGTGGACCCCCAAACTTTTACTGCAATTCGGCCATGTCATGCTGGTCAGCATACTTGGCCACCAAAGCTGGAACATCATGCTGGATCGAGCTGGCGGGCTCCCAGGAATTCTCGATATCCTGGAGCCCACGCCAAGCGACAAACAGCTCCAGCTCACCGGAGGCAGAGTTGACACGGTGTCCAACAATCTCCCGGACCTCAAGGGCAATTCCTTGCAGGGAGACGTGCTCACAGATCTCGGCGGTCTCGTCGAGGTCCTTGTCGTGGTAAAACTTAAGACGCGATCCGTGGACGTTGTGCTCAGCCCCAGTGAGCAGGTAGCGGATGAGGAACGAATGCGGAAGGGCCTTGACCACCTGGAAGGGTCCGACCCAACGCACAAGCAGCTTGCCTCCCTGGAGGCGCTGGTCCACACGCGACCACAGCACGTAGTCTCCTTCCGAAAAATTGCAAATTGTTCCCTTGGAGCGAGCCATGGCAACCATGCGGCGCTGCTCGCGCTGGCCGCGCACAACACAGTGCAGGCCCTGTAGACTGCGGCGTAGCTCCTCGACAGCCTCACGGAACTCGGCCTTTTCCAGCGGCAGCGCGCGCGGCAACTTGTCCACCGGGATCATCACGACGTCCAACGCCGAAGGCGCTGGTAGTCCCGTGAGCAGCTCGACAGGGGCACAATTTTCCAGCGAGACCACGGGCGTGTTGTTGAGATTGGCCTGCACGAGTGGCAGTAGATGCACCCAATTGCGGGTGTCGAGCTGGTTCTCGAGCAGCATCACCCTCAGCACTTGGAGGATATCGCGGTTCACCCTTTCCACGGTGCCGTTGATCCACGGTGAGTACACCGGCACAAAGCCGCGCGATACTCCGAGCCGCTCAGCTAGCCACTCCATCACGTAGTTCTTAAAATGTGCTCCATTGTCTGACATCCACATTGCTGGCAGCCCAAACCTCTTGTGCCAGTCCAGAATAGCCTCCACAGCTGTCTGGCTGTCAGCAGAGTCCGCGGCCACCAGCTCGCAGTAGTGGGTCAGCTCGTCCTTCAAAACGAGTACGTACTTGGCCTCGCCATAGCTTTCACCCAGGTAGAGACAGTCCATGTGCATGCACTCGTTTCGGTCGGCCCCCTCTCGGTCGACCGTCCAGTCACGCTGGATCAGTGTACCACCCTTGACATGCTTACAGAGGAGGCACTCGTTGATGAAACGCACGACGGCTGGTCGGACGTTATCCAGCGAGAAATGTCGGTTAAGACTTTTAACCATCACGTGGACACCGCGGTGTCCTTGTGCACCACAGTGCGCGACCACAAAGATACGCTTCACCAAGCTCTTGGCCTTGGTCGGGATCCAAAGGCGTCCTTCAACTTCAACAGCTCCATTCACCTCCTCTCCCCCATCGGGTGCGTCGCGGCGGTGCTGCCGCTGGGCCTTCACCACGTCGTCTCGCGTGGGCCAGACGAAATAGTCGTCCTGCAGTGGACGCAGCTCAGAGAGCGTCTGGGCAGGTCGCGTGGTCACGCGGTTGACAGCGAGAGCTTCACCAGTACCAGTTGCCGGCTGCCCCCAGCGAGAGATGATGTCGGCCCAAAGGTTGGCCTCTCCAGCGATGTGGTGAATCATGTATCTGCAGCTGATCAGCTTCAACACCCAGCGTTGTAGTTTGCCTTTGACATGCTGCTTCACTTCCTTGTCAGGCGAGAACAACTGGATCAGGTTAGAATGGTTACAGTAGATGTGAAACCCTTCCTCCCGCGCGAGCATGTAGTCTAGTGCATCACATGCCTTCACAATGGGGTACCCTTCTTTCTCCACAATTGACCAATTGAGTTGCGCACCCTTGAACATTCCTCCACGGCAGATCAAACGTTCATGCGATTGCTCCTCTACTGGAACGCCCTCTTGCCAGCGGCGGACCTGCGTGACCACCATAGCGTAGCCGGACAGCGAGGCGTCGCTGAACATGCACACGGTTGCCCCACGTTCAGGGGAAATGAGCTTGCATGATCGCTCAACCATTGCCAACGTGTTCCTGAATACAACTTCCTCATCAGCAGTCCAATCGAGTGTAGCTCCGCTAAGCTGAGCTTTACGGCGGCCCCGCTCCCTCACCACTTGCTCGAGCTTCTCCTGTAGTGGTGCCACAGTCCTAGCATAGTCCACCATGCTGTCGCGCAGCCAATTCAAAGCGCACAAGAAATGCTGCAAAGCGGCCCCGGTGGGTGGCAGCGGCATCTTCAAGAGAGCTTCGAGCCGCTCGGGGTCAAGGGCCGCTCCTTCGCCATCGATCACCTTACCGCACCACTTAACGCGGCGCGCGAACAACTTGCACTTCTTGGCATTCAACTTCAACTTGCGCTGCCGCAGGATGGAGAAGAACTGCTCAAGGTTGATCAAAACGCCCCTGGGGTCTGAGCAAAAAGCAGGACGTCGTCAATCCACACGAGAAAGCTCTTAAACAACAGCTCCTTCAGGACGTCATTCATCTGTGCCTGGAAATGGCCTGCCGAGTCGCTGGCCCCCTGGGGCACACGGGTAGGAGTAAAGAATCCGTCCTCAGTCACAAAGCTGAAAATTTCACGGCTGTTGGAGTGGAGTGGCATTTGCCAAAAACCCTTGTGAAAATCAAAAGTCCCGAAGCCGTAGGCGCCGCGTACTGCCCCCCCCCCACCACCACCACCACGGCAAGGTTTGGCGCAGCTCCGGCTATCGGTACAGTCAGTGAATTGATCTGCACATGCAGGCACAGAGCAACACGACAACATCCGATGAGTCCGCGCACAGAGAGCAGGAGTTGCCGTCCGCATACTTACCGGTTGCACAAGCGCTTGCTCCGGCCAACCACTGCATGTTTAGGACTGCGCGCCACGAGGGCGCCCTCCGGTAGATGGATACCAACAAACAGATAAAACAACAATTCAGTTTCCATTTTACCCGCAATACCACAAGTACAAGCCAGCACCTTACACTTGGCAGCACTTGCGCCTCCGGCGCGCGCTTCCGTCCAGTTCCAGTTCCAGTCTCCGTTCGAGTTCCAGTTCCAGTTCCAGATCCAGGCCAGTCCTGCCACGCGTCGCTAGTGTGCACGCCGACCAGCCTAGTCCATCCCGCGTTGCCGTTGCGCACGCCGTCTTCCTCGCCTACGTTCTTCGGTGCGCCGCACCTGTACCTCTCGCCGTTCAGCTTCTCCGGGTGCGCCGCGCGCGTTGCCTCGTCCGTAGCTTCGTTCCGCTCGTCGCCGACGGGACCTCCATTTTCGCCGGGCTCGCTCCTTTTCTTTCTGGGGAGGAGTGGCGACGCGCATTGTCACACGTCACTTCGTGTCGACATCTCATTGGTGCATTTAGCCCACTCACTCCCGCGTGTCCATACGCGGCACCCACCTCGACCTTCCACTTGTCGCCTCGGCTATCACTTGCAAACAGTGCGCAGCCGAGTGTAACATCCGCGTCGGTGGTCGTTACGAGTCTAGTAGTAGGAATCTTTGTGCTCCGAGGCGGGCTCGAGCTAGCGCCGGACGGAATTTCACCAGTTGCTTCCTTCGGGGCGCTGGAGCAAGTGGTTGGTACTTGTCGGAAACAGAGCTCCAGGACAAGTTTCTGTGACTTCGTTGGGGCTTACAGACATTGTCGGAAGCAGCGCTCCTGGGAGTGCCTGCGACTTCAAACTTTGATTGATTTGGCTGAGGAGCTTGCGCGCCCCAGCCATCCATTGACGACGTGTCTAGCGTAGGCGCAAACATGGATGAAGCAGCGATGCAGCACGCGGACAGCGTGCAGCAGATGTTCGTCTCGCTCGCGGCGATGATGCGCGAGCAGCAGCAGTTCATGGCACAGACAGCCGAGCTGCAGCGCCAGATGGCGGCGACACTGCAACAGCAACGGCAGCAGCAATCCACCTCGCAGCAGCAGCAACCGTCGGTGGCCGACTGTTCGTCGCCAGACACGCGCGAGTACCGGGCCGAGGGCATCACCATGCCGAAGTTCTCCGGCACAAGGACGACGACGTCGCGGACTACCTCTTCAGCGCCAAGCTCTACTTTGAGTCGAAGAACATCAAGTACGGCGCCGACTCGCCGCAGCAGCGCCCCTTGTCGCTCTTGGTGGCAAACTTGAAGGGACCAGCAGCGGCTTGGTACCACGAGTAGTCTCCCACGACAGGAACTTCCTGCACTCGGTCACGCAGTTCGAGGAGCTGCTGACCAGCGAGTTCACGACACCCGTTCGGCAAGAGCACCTGCGTGACCAGCTCCTACGCCTGCGCCAGAACAACTTCACCTGTCTTGAAGATTACGTGTCGGCCTTCCGGCACATCATCTACAAGGTAGAGGAGATGAGCGACATCGACAAGGTCATGCATTTCCAGAAGGGGTTGGTCGTAGAGATCAAACAAGAGGTGAAGCTGCGCCAGTTCAGGAACACGACAGACGCAATTTCGTTTGCACTCATGTACGACCGCACGC